ATAATAATAATAATAATAATGATTACACATAAAATATCATATTAAATAAGAAATAAAGCTTCATTAATTAAGAATAAATAAAAAATCGTAAGTAGGAGGAATTGTATAAGTATATATAAGTCTTTATTAACAGAAAAATTAACAATGTCTAGGAACAATAAATTAAAATTTAGAATTCTAAATAATTAAGCTCCAATATAATTATAGAAGTATTTATTATAAATATCTACTGTTCATTATCCATAAATATAGAGTAATCAATTATTAAAATAAAAATCTAATCATTGTATTATGTAGAGATATAAATTAAAAATATTTTAAAATTAATGGATTTATTATAAATTAAAAATTATGAAGTAACATATTAAAGAATGATGAAGGGGAAATTAATGATTGGACCCTTTGATATCAATAATTATAATTTTTCAAATACCTTTTATCGATTATATAAATATCAAGAATCTGATCACTATTTTATGGTAAATAAAAAATGCTTGCATAGTAGAAGACCAGTAAAATATTCCCCAAAAATATAATTTTTTTTTAAATAAAAAGGTCACTCTCAAATTTATATATTTCGTGCACCTGATTTATTCAGATGTTAAGTAGTTTCTAAAATTATGGATATGCTGCAAGGAATGAAGTATTATTAGGCTAAGAGGAGCCTAATTATTTAGTATCCTATAAGTTCCAGTCCTGGATTGAGTGTAAAAAGAAGAGGGAATTGGAAAGAAAAACACATAAGGAAAAAAAAGGTAGATTAGCAAAAGCCCTTCAAAACTCGAATTACCTGCAAGTAAAAGAGACATTTGTTAGTTCAAAACATTGAAAAAGTATATTAAGGTATCCAAATAATCATGTGAGCCAAGGAGATAGAAAACTGATCCATATGATAGAAAATTCAAAAGGTTTTAGTCAAATATCTTAGATTTTTCAATTATTTCAATTCTAAAAACACGAAAAGAAAATCAAGATTCTTATCATAAAAAAACTTTTATTATTATTGTATTATATCTTAAGTTTGATAATTATGTGAAGGTAATTTCTTTTTTAATTTCAATTGTTTATTTATAGGGGGTGCAAGTGTAGGAAAGTAATTAGATTTGATTTTGATAAATTTAAGGAAGGATATAAAATTAATATTATAGATATTTAATCTAAGGTAAGTTGAATTTGCACAAAAAATTTAATAATTAACTGAAAGGAAATTTAATTATCTATTTTGGATATTTGAGGAGCAGGAATATGCATGAATTCAAAGAAAAATACAGGTTTTTTAACCAAAATTGGTTATCAAGAAGTTGCAGGAGCATTATTCATTTTTGATATTACTTGCAGAAATTCATTTAAAAGTTTAGACCAATTGCTAAAAGTACAAAATCAATTTAATTTATTAGGATTATAAATTGAATACATCATCAATAGTTATAATTTTGCCTGCAAACAAAATAGACCTTTAAGAATAAAGAAAAGTAAGTAAACTAGAAGCTGCATAATTTGTATTCGAGTACAGTTTGGTATATTTGGAGACTAGAGCAATTGATGACTATGGCATACAGTAAGAAATGGAATAATTGGCAACTTCCACATTGATTAGAAATCATAAAATTATCGCAATTAACTGAATAATTTCGAAAGAATCATATTTTCAATTACTACAATTCAAATTTTTGAATAGGAAAAAAATCGAAAAATTTTATTGATTTGTTAATTGGTTATGATCTACTTATTATAATAATTTTTATGGAGCTTTCTTTCGCTCTAAAAAAGTAATTTTTATTAAAACGAGAAGATTAGAGATTATAAAGTAATTATCATAAAAATTTCCAAACAATATCAAAAATAAATGATTTTTATTGATGAACCACAATTTATTGTATGATATAAATATTAAAAAAAGGCATTTAATTTGCATATTGTTGATATAATTTGATTTAAACTCATTTCCATAAACCATTGGCTTAAGCCCATTTTCCAACATTTACTACACATCTAAATTTAGCTTGGGCTTTTTCCATTCTATCAAAAGCTTTTGGAAATTCCTCGAATTCAAAAGTCTCCACAATTGGATAAACATTGTTTTGGGCTGAAAATTCAAGCATTTCCTACACTTTATAAAAAAAAATACTTGTGTTTCATCATAATTACCAATCAAAGAACCAGCAACTCTGATTTAATTTAAGATGATATAAGCATGGTCTAATTTGAAGTTCACTTTTGAAGGAGGAGCTCCAACTTAGATGTATGTACCAGTTGGGGCAGTTAATCTTTAATGGCTTTTGAAAACTTCTTCATTTTCGATATAAAGGGTGTTGATGACAATATCATATTTTCCTTATTCAGCTTTCAAACTTTCTACATCAATAGAGCTGGACAAATTTGAAGCACCTAATTTCTTTATTTCTTATTCTCTGTTTTTGCTTGTTGTAAAAGCTGTGACAGTCATACCTAATTTAGCTGCATATTAAACAGCCAAATGTCCTAATCCACCAATACCAATGACAGCACATGAATAATTAGGTTTGTAGTATCTTTTTAATGGAGCAAAGACTGTAACACCAGCACACAATAAAGGAGAACCCAAAGCATCATTGAATCCTAATGAATGTTATTTTATTTTACCATCTGGAATTCTAAAGACCATTCTTTCAGCAACTTAGATGTGAGTTGAATATCCACCAAAATTGTTATCATCATATAAGCCAATGTTTTGTGAACATAATTAATTATCTCCTTTCTTGCATAGCTCACATGTTTAGCACATCCATCTTTATGGATTGCATCCAACTTTATCACCCACTTTGAATTTAGTGACTCCTGTTCCAACTTTTTCTACTTCTCCGACGACTTCATGTCCTGGACAACTTGGGTATTTACTAAAGTATAGAATTTAAATATACATATATGGATCCCACAATCCTCTTGAATGAAGGCAATCACTATGACACAATCCAGTAAATAAAATTCTAATTCTGACATCATCGTCTGCAATTTTTGGGTATTTATATGGGTATTGCACAGGCTCACCAGTGTTTGATAGGAATGCATAAGCAACAGCATCTGCTGTTTCCTTACTTTCTTAAACTAAGTAAACTGAATGAGCTGGTAATTGTTGCATAATTAAGAGATATTTATTTATGGAGAAAAAGACGAATCCTCACATTTATAAAGACTTTTCCATCTTGAGTTCATGAATCACTTTATTATTAGGATTTTAGAACTTCAAAAATCATTTAATAATTAATCATTTACTAAATATCATTTAAGTTGAGTATATTATGCCTTCAAACTAATAATATGTAATAGCACTAAAGAAATTCCTCTCTACTTTCATGCAATAATAATTAGTATTTATATTTAATTAACTTAATCAATACATTATCATTAAATAATTTTCAGGCTATTCTAATAGTGAGAAAAAAATTGAAATTCAAAAAATATACAAGTTCATCAGCAACTAATTATTGGTATCAAATGTCATTTTTATTCTTAAAATTTTAGGCTAAAATCATAGCTTGATATTATTTATTCCTAGAGGTATTTTAAATTTAATATTGATTTTTTTATTATATTAATATTAAATATTATTATGCCTAAATCTCATTCCTCATCTTCATCAGGGTCATCCTCTTCAAGTGAAGAGAAGAAGAAAGTGAAAGACTTAAATTAAAAGAAGTCAAAAAGTTAAAAGTCTAGAGAAAGATCAAAAGAAAAATCAAAAGAAAAAAAAAATAAAGAAAAAACTAAAGAGAAGAAAGTTAAAAATCTTCTACTTGTTCAGAATATTTCAAGAAATGTAACTTAAGATATTCTACATGAAATTTTTTCCACTTATGGAAAGTTAACTAATGTAGAGATGTAGTTTGATGAATAAAATAATATGCTTCCTCTTTTATTTGCTTTTATTACTTATAATGATGAAGGCGATGCTTCGCAAGCCACTTAATATATGCACAGAGCAATTATTGATGGTAAGAAGATTAAATGTTAAAGTCTTGGATTAGATAGATAAAAGTATATTATTATAATTAAGTAGATATTATACTGAGAAAATTAAAAAAGAAAGATTAGATAAATTAAGGTAAAGAGAAATTAAAAAGGAAAAAGAATAAAAGTAAAAGGAAGAATATGCACGAGCTAGAAATAGAGAAGATAAATAAAAGAATGAAAATAAAGATTTAGATAAAGAAAAAGACAAAGAATTATAAAAGAAGGATCCAGATTAATAACAAGAATAATAAAAATTAAAGGAAAAAGAGAAAGAAAAGGAAAGAGAAAAAGAAAAGGAGCGAAAAGAAAGAGAGAGAGAAAAGGAAAGAGAGAGGGAAAGAGAGAAAGAAAGAGAAAGAGAGAGGGAAAAAGAAAAAGAAAAGGAGAGGGAAAGAGAAAAAGAAAGAGAGAGAGAAAGAGAAAAGGAGAGAGAAAGAGAAAAAGAAAAAGAAAGGGAAAGAGAAAAATAAAGAGAAAAGTAAAAATAAAAAGAGAAGAGAGAAAAGGAAAAGGAAAAGTAAGAAAGGATTGAAAGAGAAAAAAAGAAGAAATAGCATTCATCTAGAAGAAGATCATCAGATAGGCATCATAAAAGATCAAGCTCAAGAAAGAGACATTCAAAAAGAAGATATACTAAAAGATCAAAAACTCCTGTAAAATTTAGATATATTATATATAGAAAAGAAAATAAAATAGGAAAGAAAGTACATCAAGTTCATCGTCTGATTCTTCATCCTCCTCATCATCTAGTGGAAGTTCTAGTAGTAGCAGTAGCAGTGGCTCATCTTCTTCTTCATAATCAGATGATTAAAAATAAACAAACTAAAACTAGAAAAAGACATCTTCAAGTAGTTCTTCAAGCGATTCAGATAGCTCATCATGATTATTATATTATAGGGTTAAGATAAATAAAATTAGCTCATTTAAGCTTTTAAGATCTAATATATTTCTTCTAATTTTGCCAAGAAAATTTGAATAACATCTTAAATTTATTAATTTAGTTTTTAAGTTTATCAAATTATTTTATTTCTATGTTCAATTTCTAAATGGTATTATTCTGTGATTTTGACATCATCAAGATAATTCAAAGAATCCATTTATAATAATAATAAATTTTAGCTATGCAAAAAATAAGTTTTTGAACTACAACCTCAAAGTAATAGAGGAATATATAATTCATTTCTTCATAATTATTCAAAGTATCAAAAGAATGTTTTGAGAGCTTAAAAAGAATATATCCAATTTAACTCGAAAATTTTTCAATTCTATTTTTTAAGATAACTATCAAATAATTATTATTTTTCTTTTATAATTATAACAGTTATCAGTATAATGCAAATGGTCCACTTAAATAGGACTAAATCTATCTTTTTCCTACAAACAAAACATGTTTAAATAAATTATATCCGTTTAGGGTAAGATAATTTAGCTTTAATATAAAACAAGGTTCATGTAGAAGTTATGATATTTCATTCTTTAGATGAAGCATATAAATTTGAAATAATTCAGTTTTTAGATTTTATGGAATTTAATTTTTTAAATTCACTTAATAATTATTCAAATAAACTCAAGCTATTTTAGCAAAATTTTGAAGGCAGAGATTTTTTTTTAATTTCAGAAATTAATACTAATAAAATGGACCCTCTGAAAGACCCAGCGAATGATAGACATGTAAAGACTCTAAAGCCTCCTCCTCATAGGCCATTGATGAAGAGTCTCATGTTCCCAGACAAATTGAAAAGTATATAAAAATTTCATATGATAGACAAACCTGATTGGAAATTGCTTAAGGATCATCTTCAAAAGGAAGGAAGAGTTTCTAAAGAAGACCTTTTCAAATTAGTTGGAGATTGCAATAAATTATTAAGTAGAAAAATTAGTGATTTTTAGAGAATGAAGGGAATGTAATATACATACAGGATCCACTTACAGTAGTAGGAGACATCCATGGGTAAGATTAAAGAGAATATTAGATAATACTATGACTTATTAAAACTCCTAGAACCTAAGGTAGGAGGGAATCCTGAGACAACTAAGTACGTTTAATTCATAGAGTTTAGATATTTGTTTCTTGGAGACTTTGTTGATAGAGGATCTTATTCTATAGAAGTAATAATTTTGCTTTATGCAATAAAACTCAATTATCCAAATACTGTATATTTTTTGAGGGGAAATCATGAATGCAGATAGCTGACAGCATTCTTTAATTTTAAAGATGAATGTACTTAGAATGATTTACAAAGGTCTTTACAAGTATGATTAAGAGACCTATGATATGTTAATGGATTCATTTGATTTGTTTCCTTTAGCTTGCATAATCAACTCAAAATTTATAGCAATTCATGGAGGAATATCTCCTGATTTAAAATCTGTACATGCTGAGATTCATTTTAGTTAGAAGATATTAAGAAATTGGATCGCTATCATGAGCCTCCTAAAAGTGGATTATTTTGTGATTTGTTATGGAGTGATCCAGTAGATTAAGATTAAGGAAATTTGGATGGTTAATGGAAAGGAAATGAAGTGAGAGGATGCAGTTGGTTTTTTGGAAATGATGCTGCTTCTAAATTTTTACAGAAGAATAATCTTATATCTATCATTCGTGCACATGAAGTAAATGAAATTGAATTACATAAGGCATAATTAGATGGATATAAAATGCATAGATGGCATGGTGGAAAAGATTTTCCTGTTGTTATTACTATATTCAGTGCACCAAATTATTGTGATGTTTATAATAATAAGGGTGCTGTAATTAAATTTGAAGTAATATCTTACTTTTATTAATTACAAGAATAATACTCTGAATATATAATAGTTTTAATAAACACCTCATCCTTATTTATTACCAAACTTTATGGATATATTTACATGGTCGATTCCATTTGTAGCTGAAAAAGTAAATGAAATACTTTACAATTTACTATAAGTTGGAGATCAGGTTGATGATGAGGAAATTAATGATGAAGATATCAAATAATTTAAAGAATTGACTTAATAAAATAAGAAATATGATAAATAAAGTACTACTGGATCCAATAATGCTAAAAGTATTAATATGATATTTATTTCAAAAGATACAGAGAAATTGAAAAAGAAAATCATTTTTGTAGCTAACATGATAAAAATGTAAAAGACCTTAAGAGAATAAAGTGAAAGCATAATCTAACTTAAAGGAGCATGTCCTGATAAAAGATTACCAAGAGGAGTTTTGACTGCTGGTAAATCAGCTATAATGGATGGTAATTTAGTGAAATTTGATATTTAGCTCTGGCTGACTTTAATATTGCTAAAAATGCAGATATAGTCAATGAAAAAATGCCTACGATGACATAGACACCATAACAATCAATTTCAATTAATAAATCAATAAATTCTACCTCATCTAAAACGAAAAAAAAGTGAGTAAAATTTATCAAATTATAAATTAATTTAAATTCATTATATTAAACATTATCCTGTACATAATCTATTTAGAATATAATAATTACCCTGGATTTTATGATTTTTCTTCTCCTGATATAATCTTTTGTTATTTTCCAGTAAGAGTTATTGCTAAATTACTTTAAGAATAATGTTTTTCATCTAAACTACCTTTTATTAAACTAGTTTTATTTTTCAAAGTTTATAAGATTTAATATATTTGTTATTTCTTTAAATTTAAAGTTTCTTGTAACACCTCATATTCTTTCTCAGCTTCATTTATTTTTAAGTCTAACTCTTTATTTTGTGTTGATAATTTTAATTACTATATTTTTAATTCATTTAATTCTTCATTTGCATTATAAACTAAAATCATACTAAAATAAATATACTTTACTTTTTAATTTTCAATTTCAGTTTCAATATCTTCAAATTCATGTTATTTATCAATGATTGTTTAACTCATTTAAAACTCTAATTATTAACATTTTTCATTTTGATTTTTATTTAAAAGTGAATTTGCTTTTTAGATTAAGGAAATTTCTTGATTTAGTGTATTCAATTTTTCGTTAATTTATTTTAACTGAAATTCTTACTCTTCAATCTGTAAATTATGTTGTTGATATTACTAAATAAAATATATTTTCAATTATTACAAATGCAAATTTCATTTCTATTAGAATGCAAAGATCACAATCTGACAACTTAATACATAATGAACAAACATTTCTAGAGCATTTAGGACTAATTTAGAATTTTAAATTAATACCAAATATTAAGCTTGTCTTTTATAAAACAGATTTCACAAATAGACATTTGATAATTTTAATAAACAATAATATATTTCATTTCTACTTTTTAGATTTCTTTTCTTTCTTTTATTCAACTTTCTTATGGCTATCCTTTAATGCATAATAAGCTAAATATTATTATCATAATACCTAAAATCATGATTACAAAAAATGATATAAACACTGAAGCAAAAATCAATATAGAAATATTTGATTATTTGTCTATTGATTAACCAAAAACTTAGGTTTCATATGGATTTTCCATGTAATCAGGGTATTAAGAATAGTTTAATCCATCAAATTCATCATCTCCCATCATTTCCCTTGATTTTGCTTAAAAATCCTAGAATATAAATAATTTAATACTTCCATTATTCTCCAAACAGATTCTTCATTTTCATCAAATGTAATTTTAGCAGATTGATTTTAATATTTTGATAAATCAAAGTCATTCATCAAATAATAATATTAAGTAACATTAAATTATCCAACTTGTATTTCATCATACATCTAAAAATTATATCAATAATTGAATTACTTATTTAGCTGTGACACCTGATTATCTAAGGATACAATATTAAGTAGCATCAATTTAGATTCTCTTACTAGCTTTTCTTTATGTTTCATATCTAACTTCTGGAGATTCAATAGTTTGATATGCTTCAATAATTGAATTTAATTAATTCATAACAACATCATCATTATAAGTCAAATAAGATGATGATGTTATTACACAAGAATAAAAAATGTTTTTAGTATTGTTGACATTTTATTCATGTTCTAAGGGAATAGAGAGTAATATCAACCTGGTGTTTGAATTCTGATGGTATCATTTTAAGATTTGTTTCTTGCTTAAACAACAGCTAGAATTAGCAACAAGTGGAGCATAATTTTAATAAATATCAATAAATTTCATTCGTTTTTATTTTTTCATTAACTACCCACATACGATACTAGTTTATTCTGTTTAATATTGCTTTGGTTGGTACTCCATAGAGGGTATCTTATAATCTCTTCAATAATATAATCAATAGCCTACCATAATGTATAAATCAAAGACTTCATGTGATATATTCATATTTTTATGAATCAATTCAATTTCTTTTTATCTAAAGTAGGTCCGATTACTTAACATAAAATCAAGTTCGGTTTCCAATAAGTGATGTACATTAACTTCATAATCCTAAATATCATTTACACAATTTACATCATATATTTACATAAAAAATGGAATCTATTGCAATTATATACCAAATTCAACTACTGATTATTTTTTAATTTGTAATTTCTAAACAAATATTGAATCAAGATCTTAATGAAAATCTTGGATTAATATTTAAGATGTATTTAATCTGGATATTACTTTTTGCATAGATTGGTGTACAAAATGGTATTATTTTAGATCACATTTCTTAATTGATCTATGATCATTGTTGTATAAATATTCAAGTATAAGTTCTATCGCTCTTCTTTGAATTGTTTCTTACTTTTGGTCAGTTACCATACAGTACATTAGATACTAATCTATAAGCTTTTAGCAATTTTAGTACAATTGCAAAGAATCAATTCCATAATGCGTTCGCATCTCATAACAGTACTTTTCCAATTATCTAATAATTTCAAGACCTTCTTGATCCCTCTCATTGAAATCTTATGCTTCAGTAATACCTTATATAAAAGAAATTTAAAATTAAAAAAATGCACATGATTAAGTTTATTATTTTCAGCATAGTTTCTAATCTCTTTATGTAATTTTTAATTATCATCTTATGGTTGCAATATATTTGTTGAAATCTCTAACCAAATATCTTTGACACTTTCATAATCATTAACATAATTCTGTAAAGTAATATCCATTTTTAAGTGTTCAAATAGAGATTTTAAGATTTGATTTAAACCAAAAAAGCCTTTCAATTCTTAATTAATTGATAACAATCTTAAATGAGACATTCTTATTGATTCTAATTTAAATAAGTATTTATTCAAGTCTCTTTCATGAAATAAAACTGTAATGAAATATGATTTAAAATGAGTGAAATCAGTTTTATTTTGAATAGGAAATTCATAACGATCAGTATTAATGAAGTTTTCTTCTTTTACTAAATCATAAAAAAACTCTTATAACATGTTAACATCATAGGGTTCGTGAATAGTTTTAAATTTAAGTGATTCCCATATTTTTTAATATTTGTCATTTACATATGATGAAGTACGTCGTGTTAATTTGGTTAATGTTTTAGAGTGAGAATGATGACCTTTGCTTACTTGAGTCATTAATTTATTCGTTAGAGTTTTATGCAGCTATTGTCTCTATTTGATTTCGTTAGTTTTGCTAAAAGTATATAAATCAAAACTACAGGTAAGTACGTACGGGAGATTGGAATTTGAAGCGAGAGAGGGAGTAATAAAGGGTCACCTAGGAAAGTGGAATCATTTTTGGTATATTAATGGAATAGGTAGAAGAACTCCTGGGATTTTACATAAAAATTATAACATATATATAGCACTATTTTGTTATTCAAAATAATTGACCTTTAATTTACATATATAACTAAAGTATTTATTGAGATCCTTCATATTATTCCCATTCTTTAATAAATCTATTAATTATCTATGATTTTATATGTTCTCATCAATATTATATTATATTTTTTTACTAATATCTGAAAACATAATCAAAATTTGAAAGTTGATTTGAAATTTATATATGTAGCTTAACCTTATGAATATTGATATTTTTATATCATAAATAATTTATGTTGATTGAATATTTTAAACATGACTTGAAAATTTGAATAATTAAGATAAATAGATGACCATATATTTAAATCATTATTTGACTTCTTTAACTAAATTCTCGAATTTCTAAATCTCTTTTGATTCTTGTGTAACTGCTTTAAGAACATAGTGATTATCACAACTATAAAAGTATTGAATTATATTTACTGAGGACAATATTCATCTGATTCATCATAATCAGTAATGTCTTTACGGAAAACTTTCTTACATTTCTTACAAGCGAAAACCATCTCAATATTTTTTAGTAATGGATGATTTTCCAGTTCTTAATGACATTCAGCACAATCAAACCATCTTATAAATATATTAATAATCTATTACTTTTTACAACATGCTGCTCTGATAGCTACTTAGGCATTGAGAATATGTTTGCACATTTTTTATTTTAAATTTTAAATTGTATTAATAATTAAATCTTTATACATGTCAAGTGACAACCCAGATGGTTAGCCATTAGATTTCGAATATTATGAAACAAATTATCCTTATTTGAATGTCAAGAAGAATCTTCTGAACAACACATTATCAAAATGGAGAAGAGCTATTGCACCTTATAATCCATTTGCCATGCAATAAATCCCAAATTAAAAGAGAATGGGTATGGGTATAAGAAATGGTAATGGATTTTACTTCCCTGATCCATATCCTAACAGAGTTAATTGGAGTGTGTTTTTCCCAACTCATTATGATCCTTTGAGTGAATAACACTTTGGAAATCATGGATGGTAAACAAGAAAGTAATAACAAATACTAAATTCAATAGAGATGCACCAATGTTTACAGCATTAGCAATTAGAGCTTAAGCACTCCCAAGAGGATGTGTAAGATAAATTGAAGCCTTTAAAAGATGCTAAAATGTAAATGGAGTAACTAAATGTCAAGAAGAAGCTGATAATATCATTTCTATTTGTCCAAAGTGGGCATTAGAAGGATTGAAGGAAAAGAAAAAGTAACTAGATAAAATTGAAGCCATTTAAACATTACAATATCGTTCAGTTTTAGAAGTGTCTCCCTACAATAAAGTATAATTAAAGAGTTAATATTTTAATAGGGCAGAACAGTAAAAGATGTTTCAGATAAGACCTGGGCTGATGGTCATAGAGATAAGTTGAGACCTGATACAATGTGGGCTGATGAGAGATATACAAGCATAACTTAGAGTGAAATTAATGAAGCTAAGAAAAGAGTGGCTGCAAGAGATGCTGCTAATGGAAGGTAAGAATAAAATATTATGTTAATTTAGAGTTAAGGATAAGGTGTACCCTGTGCATCACCCAGATATGTCAAGTTCTCATATTAGAGAAGACAAACCTCTATATCCATGATTTATTAATAAAATAATAAATAAAAATATTAAAATAAATCTTTAAGAATGGTATGTGTTCATAGTAAATTAGGGATTGTTAAATATCATTAGAAAGATCAAAAAGTCAGAAAAAGAATTGAGAATTCTTGTCTTAGGATTAGATAATGCTGGTAAAACTACTATTCTAAAGGCTTTATCTAATGAGGACATCAATCAAATTGCTCCCACACATGGTTTTAATATCAAAAATTTGTAACACGAAGGATTTAAGCTTAATGTTTGGGATGTTGGAGGTCAAGAGGTATCAATTTTGGTGCATAATAGAAATTACGTGAATATTGGAGCAATTTCTATGAAAATACAGATGCTTTAGTATTTGTTATAGATTCATCAGATTAAATGCGTTTGGAAGAAGGAGGAAAAGAATTAGACAAACTATTAGGAGAGGCTGAATTAAAGAAAGTGCCCCTTTTGGTATTTGCAAATAAATAAGATTTGGTTCAAGCTCTTCCAGCAGATGAGGTTAATATGCTTACTTAATTCAGATTTCTGATAGTTTGAAATTAAATAAAATTACAGATAGATAATGGTCGATTGTAGCATGTTCAGCTAAAACCCAAGAAGGATTGCAAGAAGGAATGGAATGGCTTATTAAGACAGTTTAAGATAAATGAATATTAAATAATAAATATTATTAACATGAAATCATAGATTGAAGTTTTAATTCATTTTAAGAAATTCACAAACATTGATCTTTTTACTCAAGGAATCTATTAATTAAGAGTCCATATAGTAATAATTCTCATAATCCTAAATAGCCTGAAGCCTAACCTTACTTGATATTTAAGTCAATAAGACATGATCCATATACATCAAATGAAGTTGATTAAAATTTTGTTTTTTATGAAGAAAATATAGAGGACAAATATTTCTATTCATAAGGATTTTTGATAAGATATGAGGATGAAGAAATGCCTACTAATATTGGATGCGTATTTCGATAATAAGAAACTCAAAATATTGAAATCGTCATTGAATTGTTATTTCTTGATAAAAAACTTTTAGGAGATATATTTGTGGATAATTTTTAGGAAGTTGCTTTGTCAATTAGATAATAAATGTAAATAGTATCAAAAGCCACTTTAAAAGTTTCTAATCCATTCACTTATAATTAAACATATTATCCTATAGAATTTGATTCAGCCCACTTTTGTTTAGTTGAAACTTAGATACATACAATTCCATTTCAATTTTCAATTTCAAAATAGTAATTGGCTGCAGAAATTCAAACAGAAGATTAATTATCTGAGCTTTTAAATTAGTCAATATATTTGTTGTTGGATAATAGAAAATTATTAATGAAATAACTATCTAATCTATAAAATGAAAAGAAATTCACATAGTTATAATATTAGGAAAAATAATTCGATTTAAAAGACAAAGAAATAGAAAATTTAATTTTACAAGTATATTCTTATCCATCAATAGAGTTTACATGAACTTCATCAGGATATGTATATATTATGGTGTGAACTAGTGAATGCAATCAAGGAGAACCATCAAAAGTTATAAAATTAATTAGAATAAGAATTTTTATGTCAAATGATGTAAATATGGTAAAATTGTGTTCTTTTAAATAAATCTGAAGTTAAATAATTGGATTAGGTTTAATTAAATGGAAGAAATAATCATGAATAAGCAAAATATTACAGAAATCAAATTATTTCTTAAGAAATTAATTAAATTAAATATATAGAATTACTTTAGCCGTTAAACTCAAATCCATTTATATTCAAACATACTTGTGTTTAAAAAGGATTTATCCAGAAACCTCAAAGTTCCTTTATTCATTACGTTGTTTTAGTTCATGGATATTAAGGTACTTCATATGATATGAGATATTGGAAATCTATATTGACAATTCGTTTCAAAGATAAAATTAGATTGATTTGTCCAACATGCAATGATGGCACATCAAATAAACCAATTTAGGAATAAGCAAAATTACTTGCTATAGAAGTTTCGAATTTTATTAGTGATGAAAATGTAACTGAATTTCGATTGTCATTTATTGGACATTCACTTGGAGGACTTATCATAAGAGCAGCACTTCCTGAATTGATTGAATATAAAGAATTTATGCATACTTATGTGAGTCTTGGATCACCTCATTGTGGATATGCTTCATCTGAAAGTGTTTTAGTTGATACTGGATTGATGATGATTTAAAAATGGAATAAATGCAAGACACTTGAAGAATTAAGTTAAAAAGATCATAAAAATATTAAAAATACTTACATATATACTTTAAGTAAAGCAGAAGGATTAAATTGGTTCAATAATGTAGTTTTAATGTCTTCATTTTAAGATCATTATGTACCTTTCCATTCTGCCTTGATATAGAAAATTGAGAATTAAAATGATTAAAGAGTTTAGGCATATAATGAAATAGTTTCAAATATTTTATCAAAATGTGGTAAAATAGATAGATTTGACATTAATTTTTTAATAACTAAAAAGTAATAGTTATTGTTATTATTATAGAAAATTGGATAAATTTATAGGGAGAGCAGCCCATATTGAATTTATTGATAATTTAACATTGGTAAAGATGTTTATTTATTTGTATGATGAATATTTTCATTGAATTTAAATATAATACATAAATAGAAATTGTTCATAACAATATATAGCATCATTTATTATCTATTAAAAGTAAAAGAGTTGAGAAATTAAAATTATATATAAATATTTATAAGTCCATATATTAATATTTTCAAAAATCTATATTATAATTTATTAAGATCTAAAATAATTTTCTCTAACTATAGACAACAATATTAAAAATATTTAAATATGAGTTGCATATTCTAAAAATTTAATAATTTTGAATAATCTACTAAATAGATTTTTATTAATAAATATTCAAAATTAAGTGATAATGATTTAGATTAAATATTATAATCAAATCTAAGTACAGGTGATTTTTAACATTAAATATCTATTAAAGGATGTAATTCCTTAATATAAAAATCAATATGAGATGAGAACATTGAATTTATTCCCTCAAATAGTTTGGGTATAATCAAATGAAATTAATATTTAGGATGTTTAAATTTGATTTGAGATTTACATAAACAACTAAAATTGAATACTATTAATTAAGTGTATTTGTTAGTAAAACCCAAGAAAATTGATGGAATTCTATCATATTTATTTATAATCATGATTATTAAGATTATATAAATTATTTATAATTTTTATATTTTAAATTAATTTTTAAATATATAATATTATATTTTGTAAATTAGTCTGCATGTATTATTTAGCATTGAAGAATGTTTTAATTAAAAATACTTGATATTTATTATTATACATTAATGATTTAGATCTATTTAGACTCAAATCCTATAGAAAAAATAAGTAATGATGAAGATGGAAAGTAATAAATAAATAATAACTCCAAAACTGAAAATGGTAATGATCTTGTTTAAAATAATGATGCAACAAATGGAATTGTCAAAAATATTATCATTAAACCTATTTAGATATACTAATCAAATAGCAAAAGAACATCAAAGAGTTATTCTAATTATTCATAATCAGATAGTTCTTCATCATCTTCAAGCAATTCAAAAAGCTTATAATCTATAACATGTCCATCAAAAGAAAAATAATAGCATGATAAAAACAAGACTAAAATGTTAGATTTTGTACTTGATTCTCATCCATCAAAGAAAGATATTTAGATTAGATATTAAGTTGATGGAAAATAAAGAACTATTTCAAACAAATTAATTAATTACAAACTATCAAAAATAATTAATTAGAAATAAGAGAATTAAGAAGAGAAAAAAGAAGATACTATCAAAGATTAAACAGATTTTTAATAAAATTTAAAATAAGAATTAGAAATTGGTGTAAATAGATATTATTAAAAAAATTGTTTTAATCTATGTTTCAGATGTAAATAAGTTGGACATTTAGAAAATTAATGTACTGAAAAATAAAGAATTTAATGCATTTATTGTTTAAGTTAAAAACATCATGGTGATTGTTGCAATAATATTTCTTGTTTTCGATGTAATCGGAATGGTCATCGAAAATATGATTGTAAAGTATTTATTAATATATAATCATTAGATAAAATTGAAACTCACTTTTTGTCCATATTGTGGGAAGACTAGTCATAAGGCTGAAGATTGTGGAATAATAGTGCCAGTTTAAACTAAAGGAAATAATTAAATAATATGTTTAGTATGTAAATAATATGGACATGCGAATTGTAATATTGATTCATTTTAACTTTGAATTATTATCATTATAGATATAATAATATATTTATACTCTTATAAAATAAAATAAAAGAAACAAACATCTTATTTATGTTTAACTATATTTAATTTATATTAGAATTCTTTTTTAAATTATAAAAGAAAAATATATCATGATTAATCAAATGAATTAACTATATATTTAAAATCAATTGAATACCAACTTATATTTTTTATTAATTATTTTTATTTTTTTACAATTAGAAATGTCTATAAATATGGAAGATCTAAAAAAAGTTAATGTAGATACACTTACAGCAAAGGAGAAATAAAAATGTTATGAGGCTTTTGTAGCATTTGATAAAAATGTATCAGGATATATTGAAAAAGATGAATTAAGAGCAGTTCTTGAAGGTATTATATATTAATATAAGTCTTAGAAATGGGTTAGAAGCCAACAGAAGAGGAATTAATAAAAATGATTAATGAAGTAGATTTATCAGGAAGAGGAGCTATTAGCAAAGAAGACTTCTTAAAAATAATTGCTTATCATAAAATGATATTATAGACAAGTGATGAAGAAGATATAAGTATAATTATAAATAAACTTAATAGAACTTGCATTTATAGCATTAGGTGGAAATGAAGATAAATCTGGATCAGTGGATCGATAAAAACTTATTAATGTTATATAAAATGAGTTTAATCTTTCAATCGATTTAAATGTAATAAATATTAATATTTAATTAGAGACTGATAAAAGAATTGTCTCCAAACTAAAATGAATTGAAATATGAAGATTTTCGTAATTTACTGTAAAACTGAATTATCTAATAAATATAATATTCGCTTAAAAGATAATAATTTATAATATTCTTATTCATTTTAAATATTGTTTTAAACAATTCTGACATTAATAAATCATTAATTAATTTACATAATCTAAAACATTATTTATATTATAAAATAAATAATAGTCAATTAAACATATATTGATCTTCTTCTATAATAAAATCCCCAATATTAGGAGTAAATTATTTTAAATAATCATAAGTAAATTTAGAAGGCTTCCATATTTTAATCATTCTATCTTAACCACCACTTACAATAAGTGAACTATCATTTATGATATTGAGAGAATTTATTTATTAAACAGAAGCACTAATATCGCTAACAAGTTAAAATTTATTTTCACTAATTCTTGTTGCTTTAATTTATCCATCTTTACATCCAGTATACATCACTTTAAGTGTTTTATCAACTAATAATAATAATAAATCAATAATTATACTGGCCATAGTTAATATTGAATCTTTATGTATATCAGAATTTGCTTATCCTTATTAACCATTTATTTAATTCCACATTCTCATTCCTTTACCAAATGAACAACTCACTATCCAATTATCAAGTAAACCAACTCCTGTAACCTTATCATAATGTGGAGGTGTCATTTATGCAATCTAACCATATTTATTACTATTCATCATCATTTTTCTCACATTATGATTAAAAGTTCCCCAAATCAACTCTTATGTCTAATCAGATTATTATAAACACATAACATCACTTGACTTCTCAAATTCATGAATTTAACTAAATATATCATTATATTATAATACTTATTTGATCTTGCATCCCAAACATTCATAGCATAATTAATTCCTTTTCCACCTGCCACTAATAAACCATTATGTCTAGTCATTACTCTTATTTCTTCTATTGAAGATTTTAATACACTCTATAATTAAAATGAAGTCATATCATATAATGAAATTTAAGATCCATGAGATACTGCAATTGCATTCCTCTCTGGCCAATGACATATTGATTTAACATGTGTATTTGCATCTAATGATATTATATGAGATTATGCATCCATATCCCATATCTTAACAGATCTAAATGCACTTGAACATAATAAATTTTACATTGTATACACACACAATATAGGATTCTCATGACCAGGTATTGATTTAATTACACTATTAAATAACTATTATTTAATACTCATATCTTAATTCTTGTTCTTCTTATGCCTAACTAAATTAATCAGTATATCCTTCTCTATCTGATTTACATACTTTTGCAATCTTTATTGCAGAATTTTATATTTATGGTTTTTAAAAACTTAAATTTAAGGATAATTCCTTCTATTTGGTTCTTTCCAATTTATAAGCATCTCTTATTTATTAATAACTCTAACTTTATGGAATTTATATTTAATCACTTAAACCAATACATTTATCTTTCTACACTTTATTTATATGTTCTGTATAGAATTTCTTATAATATTCTAAATCTGATATCATATTTTTATTTTCATTTTATAAGAATTAATACTTTCTTTTTTAATCATTAAGTTATTTTCTGAGTTCCAATGCATCATTAGGTTATGAAGAAATTTATTATTTGACAATCTTTTTTTTAAGAGTAGGTGAATTGCAATTAATCTCTTAAAGTGGTTTTTATAATTATTATACTAATTCTTAAATTACTTATTAAAATTCATCATTTTATTAACTAAAATTCTGCATTTACAAATGATCTTTAATCCAATTATCAATTAAAAATTTAAATGTTCTAATACACCAATTTGGAAGTTCTCTAAATTCAGAATTAGTTAAAAAATTAGTATATATTTCTGTACAATTATTACAATTCTTTCTTAATTACTCTATTTTATGTAATTAATAATCTATTGTCTCATTTATATTTTCTCTTATTATTATTATATCACTCAATTCTAATTCTATTTAATTTAAACTATTTTTATTATTCTAATCAAATGATGTTTATTCTCTTTTTATTTATAACTAACAAATTTTCTATTCTATCTAACTAATTTCCTCTTATAATTATTCTAATTTTGTTATTTCCCTTTTTATTTAAATTTCTGCCTATCCTCCAGATATCAATTAAGAGAATAAAGATTCTATTTATTTTTCCATTTAATCATAAACTTAAACTTTTTAAGATTTCTTATATGATTAACTTGTTCCTTTTTCTATAACTTTCTCATTTCTCTACTTTAATATTTCATCTTCTTTTCTTCTAAGAAGTACTTCTTTTTTACAATTTTCATTTTTCAATTTACTTAAAGCAGCATCTTATTAAATTTTAAGTTTTTTAATTAAAATTAATTCTTTTTATTTCTCCTCTTTATCTTTAATATACTTTTCATTATCTGATTTCATTTTTTTAATCAATTCTACCTTCTATTTTTTCATTTTTTCTATATTTATTTTTAAATCTTTAACCTAATTTTCTTATTCTTCCAATTTCTTTTACATTTATCTCATATTTTATTCTTTTTATCTCATTTCTCCTATTTTTTATTCATATTCTTATAATTTAATTTTTAATTAATTTAATTATGTTGCATCTTATTTTTAATTTACTTATTTCATTAAAGAAGCCTTTTAAGATTCTAACATAGAAATCTATTATTAAAATTCTTTTTTCATATCTTCAGCTAATTGTCGTTTAAGTTCAAAATTTCTAATAGTCATAACCTATAAATTGCTTTCAAATTCTTCAATTTATTAATTTGTCTCTTTAATCATTGAATCATTGCAAATAATTTCTTCATCACATTCTGAATCTTGGATTGGAGATTCAAAATTATCTTTAGTATCTAATTTTTCAATCTTCCTTTAAAGAATCATTAACTCCTTTTATTTTTTACACAAAATGTATTAATCTCTGTGTGCATCCTATCCTAGTATTTAAACAATAAAAACTACCTATAAAAGTTCATCTATCTCTTTTTACATAGTTAAAATTTTATAATCTTTTTCCTTTGATTCTTATTTTAATTTATCAACTTCATCATATAAATCTTCAATTTCATCATCTTCATCATAATTAGTAAATGGTATATTAAACTTTTATAATATTCTAAATTAATATTTTAATTTACTTCTTAGCATCTTAAAATTATTTAAAAATAATATCTTTTTTCTTTTTTAAATTATATAATTCTATTTCTAAATCATTTATTTAAGCTTATAATTTTTACACTTCCAATTTATGCTGAGATCCAAGACGTTCCCATACAAGTAAAGCTTATTTCTATTTTTGAATTATTTCTACATGTTCCTCACAAGTATGTGGAATATTTGAAGAATACTATGATATTGACACTTTTTTTATTTAATCAAATTTAACTCCATTTACTTAAAGCAATTCTTAAAACTATTTATTTTATTCAATTAATGTTGCTATCTCCTATTTCAAACTTAAAATTTATATTGCATGAGGATCCTAATTTTTTATTATATACATATATATACTCTATTTTAAGTTGGTTTATTTTAAATTTCTCTTGCTCTTGATGCATATTTCAAAGTATTCAAAGTCTCTTCATAATTACTTTCTGCTGGAGACACACAAGCTATCATATAAGTATTTGAGTTACCACCCAAAGAATCTTACAATATTCTATTATTATTCAATTATATATTACCTTGTTAATTTACTCTCTCGATAAGGAATATGAGTTTAACTTTTTTTTTTTTAATCACTTAAAGTCTTTATTACATTACCCAATACCAATAAACTTTGATTTATATTGATTCCTTCTTCCATTGTTTTTCCTTAAGCCAATGTTTTCTTTAATCTTTCACTTCCTGCTAAATCAACAAAATGAAATTTAGCATTTAAAGTGCCATCCTCAGAATCATCTTTAGGATTTATTTTAAAGTAGATTGTGAAAATTGCATGTGATCTAGAACTTGTCATATTCATTTATGTTGCTGCTGTTGTACGATGGGCAGCTCCTCTATTTAATACTTAAAGCATTTCATTTGGATTATTTACTAATATTGTAGTTAAATTTAATATCGTTATTGTATGATCCTTTTCTTCTCTTATAGTAGGTTAATTAGATATTGAAGTCTCTAATAAGAGATCAATTATTTATTCATTATATAATTCCAAATATGAACATGAAATAAGGATTTCTTAGTCTATTTTTTCAATCTCTTCAAAAATTTATGTAATTACTCTTGGAATCATCCCCAAGTTATTTTTATCTTTATACATAATCTGCGATACTTGACAATTAATCAATTCCTGTAGTACCCATAGTATGTGTTTTCCCTGATCCAGTTTAACCATAAGCAAGGATTGTACTATTATAACCTTCAAAACATCTCTAAACTAAACTGCTAACACATCTATGATTAAAATTTAATTGTACTTTTTATATATTTAGTCTTGGCAAGCATTTTAGTCAAAAACATAATCAAATGTGAACAAACGAGCACTTTACAAAAGAGTTACTTATTTTTCGGATGTTTCCAAACAAACACCCTCTTTTTACTTCAATTCTTTTTCATTAAAAGGACGAACTCTAATAGCTACTTGTACATTAAGTTATGGAGGGATTTATTAATGTAATTCAACTTCCATTTTAAATTTAAATTATATAATTAATTAATATTAGGTTTTGAATTATTTGTTAATACTTTAAACAAAATTCTACTTATTTTTTATTATAAATTGCATAATTACTAATTTAAATAACAAGAACATATTCTTTTATATTATCTAAATTTAAAAACAGATTTTATATTTTCTTATGATTATTAATTTTTTATTTAATGAAAAATATAATAAGTGCATTAAAAGTTTTACCTTTTGAAAATAAGATATGTCAGCTTCCAATTGATGATTCTAAAATTAACAAGCCAAGAAAGGTATATAAAAATTTAATAGAACTCTTAGGTTATTGGTTATTGTTTCAGTGATGTAACACCAGAACAAAAGGAAAATCCAAGATTGATAGCACATTCAAAATCAGCATTTTCTTTAATCAATGTAGATTTGGATGTTAAAAATGAAGAGAATATTTAAATATTAGCTGGTAACTTAGTACCTTCTTTGGCAAGACCATTAGCTCATTGTTATTGTGGTTATCAATTTGGAAATTGGGCAGGATAACTTGGAGATGGAAGAGCTATTACTTTAGGAGATTTAAATGGATATGAATTATAATTAAAAGGATCTGGATTGACTCCTTATTCCAGATTTGCTGATGGAAAAGCTGTAATCAGATCATCCATTCGGGAATATTTATGTTCTGAATTTATGTTTCATCTAAATATTCCTACAACTAGAGCTGCTTCACTTGTAATTACAGATACAAAAGCAGAAAGGGATATATATTATGATGGACATCCTATATAAGAAAATTGTGCAGTTGTTTTAAGAATTGCAGAAACATTTTTAAGATTTGGATCTTTTGAAGTAGAAATTGATTTAAATCCTAAAAATACAATCATACCTCAACTTTGGAATTATTGCAAAAAATATTACTTTGCAGATAAAGAAAATCCATTTTAAGAAATTGTTAATAGAACAGCAAAATTAGTTGCATAATGGTAATGTTATGGATTTTGTCATGGTGTATTAAATACAGATAATATGAGTATTATTGGATTAACTATTGACTATGGTCCATTTGGATTTATAGATTATTTTAATAAAAATCATATTTGTAACAATAGTGATAAAGAAGGTAGATATAGTTATGCTAATTAACCTTAAGTGTGTTTATGGAATTTAAATAGATTAAGTGAAGCTTTGGAAAGTGTCATACCTAAAGATTAAAGTAAGTAAATTATTTAAGATTCATATTGGGTTTAATATAAAAAATGGTATTATCATTATATGCTAAGAAAGTTAGGATTAATTGATGAAAATTAGATGGAATTTACAAAATCTTAATGTATTTTAATAGATTCCTTTTTTGATATATTACATTAGAGTTGTACAAATTTTACAAAAGTATTTTAAATTTTACAATAAATCGAAATACCACATTAAAATTATGTAGATGAAGAAGTTGAATTAAATCAAGAAGATATTAAAATTATATAATAATTGGTTTAAATTTCAGCACCTAGAGAGGTTTATCTTCAGATGAGAAAACCTAAAATATCAAAATAATAAATTGATTAATTTATTTAATATGCTGCTTCATCTAGATAATTATTACATATGTTTGGAATTGATGAAAATTGGCTTTAACAATAAATATAATTGTATAAAGAATATGAACAAATACAAGTAATATCAGAATAAGAAAGATTGAAAATAATATCCTTATTATGGTCTGATTGGGTTATGTAATATAAATCTGAAACAAATTAAGCAAATCGTATCTAAATAATGGAATAGATGAATCCAAAATATACAATTACAAATACTGTACTCTAAACTATAATATAAGAAGTGGAAACCAATTAAAATTTTGGTTTATTATAAAAAATTTAATCAGTTATTGAAAATCCATATGTGAAACATACAGAAGTAGATGAAATTTTTAATTAAATTTGTAATAATGAAATTTGTGTTAGTTGCTCTTCATGATAAATAACTTGAATAAGTAGATTATGATTTATATATATAAATTTATTCATTAATAAAATATAAAATATTCATATATTACTAAATATAATTTTAATCAATATAATTAATATACGCTAAATGTTTTATCAATAAAATATATATCTTTGAAATAATAATGAAATATTATTATTCAATCATGATATAAATAATTTGTTAACTTTAATATGAGATAAATTAACAATTTTAAAATATATTGAAAGATTATATTATATATTTTTTATCATTTTGCAATAATATATATATGATTAAGTTAAGTTTTTATATTATAAATTTTGAATATTTATAAATATTATAGATGATTTTATATACGAGAGAAATTATTTAAAATTTTAAATGGATATCGATAAATACTTAGAAACTTTAAAAAATGCTCGTTGTTTGACTGAGAGAGATGTACGTTTGGTTTGTGAGCATGCAAAAGAGATTTTTATTGAAGAATCAAATGTACATTAAGTTAAAGCCCCAGTAATAATTTGTGGAGACATTCATGGACAATTCTTTGATTTGTTAGAGTTATTTAATAAGGGAGGATAGATTCCTAATGCCAACTATATATTTATTGGCGATTTTGTTGATCGCGGGTATTTTAGATTTTTTATTGTAGATACAATTCTGTAGAGACATTCGAATATTTACTTTGTTTGAAACTTAAATATCCAGATAATATTACATTATTAAGAGGAAATCATGAATCAAGATAAATTACTCAAGTTTATGGTTTCTATGATGAAATTGTGAGAAAATATGGGAATGCAAATCCTTGGCGATATTTTACAGATGTTTTTGATTATCTTCCATTGGGAGCTCTAGTAGATGGAAAAGTTTTATGTGTTCATGGAGGACTTTCTCCAGAATTAAGAACAATTGATTAAATCAGAACAATAGGTATAATGAAATTCTATAATAGATCGTAAAACTGAAATACCTCATGAAGGTCCATTTTGTGATTTAATGTGGTCAGATCCAGAAGAAGTAGATACATGGGCACTTAATACAAGAGGAGCAGGATGGATATTTGGTAAAAAAGTGACACATGATTTTAATCATATTAATGGTTTAGAATTAATTGCTCGTGCACATCAATTAGTTTAAGATGGGTATTAATATTGGTTTGAAGTAAAATAATAATTTATCATAGGAATAACTTGTAACAGTATGGTCAGCACCAAATTATTGTTACAGATGTGGTAATGCAGCATCTATGCTTTCTCTTGATGAAAATTTAAAAAGAGACTTTGTAATGTTTAAAGAAGTCCCAGAATCTGCTGCTAGTCAACCACCCAAAAATGTATTACCATATTTCTTATGAAATATATAATAACATTTAAAATACAACATTCACTTCAATTTTTCTAGATTTATTTTTATTTATTTATTTTAAGTATCTAAATTTAAAGTCTCTTTTTAATTACATATGAATTTAATATATGATTATAAGACTTCACTTAATAGTCTATTAATTTGTCATTCTATACCTTTGTAATTATATAATAAGATATAATTCTAAATTGATATTTTAATATAATGTTTATTCTATTAAATCTATATTATTTTTATTTATCCTTCATATTATTAATTATGCTACTGTTTTTTCCATTAGTTTCTTTTATGATTAATGCTAGCTAAACTATATTTAAAGACATCATATTTATAATTTAATTCAAATAAACAATTCAATTTTTTCATTAGTAGGAACTTAAAAATAACAAATGGATTATATCTTTTTATTTGTTAGTATTTAAATTAAATGCTATAAAAAGGTTTCCGTTTTATATTGCTTCTTAGTACTTTTCAATGTTTAATCAATTTAATTGAATTTTATATAAACTTAAGCTATCTTTGCATAATTTCACTTCAGCTTAAATATCTTAATCTTATTTTTATGTTATATTAAGAGAGAATTTAATTAAAGTGTGTTCAAGTACATCTGCAATATATAAAATGGTTTCCAAGAACTAGAACTAGTAAATCTATTGTTTAATAAATTCTTTATCAATCATATTTACTTTAACAACTACATCAATAACTTAAATATGTATTTTTGAATTCTAAGTGTTATTTTATTTGTTTATCATCCTAAAATCATTCAATTTTCATTATATATTAATTAAATGATATTACTAGTATTACTAATAGCATATACAGTAAATTCTTAACCTTACGATACTATTTGTGGAGCTAAGAAAGCAGCATATTACTAAGAAATAGTATCAGCAACAAATGTGATAGTTGGATTAGGAACTACACCTGCAGCAACAACAGATTACATTTAATTACAACCTAAATTGACTAATGATCCTAATACATTCCTTTTTGATAGTTTAGATACTTTCATGATCAAGTTGATATATTAAGAATATATTTTAGCTTGTGGTTCCGACCATCCATTAAACATACAAATCTAGCTGATAGTTCTGAACCTACAAAACCTGAACAAGCCATATTTAGAATTTCAATGGATACATCTGATGAATCTCTAATTACTAATTAAGGAGTTCGAGTAGGTATGTATTATACAGCAGATTACACATAAACTACATAATTTTTAATTAGATATGCCAAAGGTTCAACTCCAAGTGTTATGGTTAATTCACCATTTCCATATTTAGAAGAGAAATGGTGCTTTGGATCTGTAGGAATATCATATTCTAAAGGTAAGGTTGTTTATTATGCTTTTTAACCTGCTTCTCCTAATATTATTGTAAATCCTATGCCAATAACTGAAGCTGCTGGATTTCACTCTTCATTAACATCATTAGCTGTGATGTAACTTCTTTATTGGGGATCATCCTATCAATATCATTATGGTCAAGTTAGATCTATATCAATTTTGAAGGATTATATTGAATTAGATTATAAGCATAATTGGTTTAATTTGATGTTCTTAGATCCTAGCTATTCAGTTTCATTATTTGCTAGATATAGATTGGAAGAGATGACAGGTTAAGTAGTATATAATAAAATTTAAATGACATAATAAGGATTTTTAGGAACAGATAATACAGCTTAAGCCAGTGATCCTACTTGGGGAACAACTATTGGTTTATTATAGTTTGCATCAACTTAAACAGTAAAATTACCAGCAATAGTATTTGGAAACACTAATACTATATTTGGAATAGCTTTATGGTTTAGATCAACAGCTGTTATAGTAGGAGATGCAGACAATGTTGATTTAACTAAAGATATGCAAGTGTTTAAAAGGAATTATTAAGGATCAACAGAAGTCCTTACACTTTTATTTTATTAAGCAAATGCAGCTTAACTAGGTACTAAATTAAAGATTGGAACTACAATATTTTAACCAGCTCTAATTTTACACAATACTAATATTTGGCATCATATTACATGTACTGTTTTGTATCCAGGTTCATTAACAGAATAATCCCAAATCATTTATGATATAACTTTAGAAAAAGGTGTTTATTAAGCACATTAAACTACTAGTTTAAGTAATACTTATTAAGAAAGTGCCACTGATACTATTATATTAGGAAGTGCTTTGAATTCATTTTCAAGTGGAAATTTGTAATTATCGAATATTAATATTTTTAATAAATACACTATTTATGTAGATGAGGATGGAGCTGATACAAACTTTTTGAATTGTAATGGAGATTGTTAAGTTTCTTTGAATAGTTTCAGTAGTTAAATTTGTCTAATTTGCAAATCTCCTTTATTAATGAATGAAGGTAATTGTGTGGCTTCTTGTTCAGCTGGTGCTAATGCATTATCAAATGCTGCAGGAACAGTAGAACTTTGTAGAAGTTGTGATTTTAAATGTAGTTCATGTATTTCTAATGGGAATTGTAATGCATGTAACACTGGATATTATTTAATTATGCCAGCTGCTAATTCATGTGTGATTAGTACTAGTTGTGGAGGTAATTATGTTGGTAATCCTGCAACTTTGGTATGTACACTATGTGGTAATGGTAAGAGAGATGCAGGAGAGACTTGTGATGAAGGTAATTTGGTTGCCACTCCAATTGCAGTTTAAGGGCCTGGATGTAATAATTGTGCTGTCAATTCACCTACCTACAAGTGTTCAGGAGGAACTGCAACAACAAAAGACACTTGCTATTTAGCTTGTGGTGATCATATTTGGGATACAGGAGAAATATGTGATGATGGTAATAATGTTGATGGAGATGGATGTTCAGCTGATTGTGGTACTATAGAAGATTTATATTATTGTACACCAGCAGCAGCTCCTATAAATTGTTTTAAGAATTGTGGAAATGGATTATTAGAATCAAGTGCTCCTGATACAGAATAATGTGATATTGGTAGTGGTACAACAGGATGTACAAATTGTAAAGTTGATATTGGTTATGATTGTGATAATTCAAATCCTCCTCCAACACCTACACCTGCAAATCCTGTTAGTGTTTGCACAAAATTATGTGGAAATGGTATTATTAATGCTGGAGAGGATTGTGATGATTCTAATAACACATCATCAGATGGATGTTCAGATTGTGTTACTGATGTTGGTTGGGTCTGTTCAGGTACACCAAGTGTTTGTAGCAAAACATGTGGAAATGGAGTCAGAAATTAAGGAGAAGAATGTGATGATGGAAATGCTGTAAATAATGATGGATGCAGTAATTGTAAAATAGATACAGATTATACCTGTACAGGTGGTAGTGATACAACATCAGATAAATGTAAGGCTATTCCTGATATTTGTGGAGATGGAATATAGAAATCAACTGAGGAATGTGATGATGGAAATACTTTAAATGGAGATGGATGTTCAAAATAATGTAAAATAGAGATAGGATATAGTTGTTTAGGTAACATTTGCACATCTATATGTGGTGATGGTATCAAGATTTCAAATGAAAAATGTGATGATGGTAATGTATTAGGAGGAGATGGATGTAATGAAATGTGTATAATAGAGAATTTATATTAATGTTCAGGTGGATCATAAGCAGGAAAAGATTCATGTATTCTTAATTGTGGTGATGGTATTAGAAATGATAGTGAATAATGTGATGATAATAATGTTGATGATGGAGATGGATGTTCATAATATTGTAAAATAGAATCTGGTTATGGATGTATTAAATAAACATAGTCTCATGATTTATGTTTTAAATGTATTAGTAATTGTGCAATTTGTACATCATCTAATACATGTGATACTTGTTTAACAATGTTTTATTAATTAGGAACTTAATGTTATCCAGGTTGTCCATCTGGATATTATCCTAATAATAATGAGTGTATATAATGTGCATCCAATTGTTCATAATGTATAAATTAATAGACATGTGTAAGATGCAATTATGATCATTATTTATCTAATGGAAAGTGTTATTCTCATTGTCCAATAGGATTTTATGATTAACCAAATGCTATGTTAGGTAATCAATGTATTCCATGTAAATCACCATGTGCTAATTGTGATGCAAAAACATGTTATGCTTGCATAGATAAATATTATTTGGATGAAGAAACTTCAACATGCTTACCTTGTAATATGGGAGAACAATGTTTAAAATGTGACAACTAAGATGGAGATTGTCTCTTATGTTCTGATGGATACTATAGAGATGGAAATACTTGTCAACTCATACCATTATTATGTGGAGATGGTTTGCATCATCCATAAGAAAGATGTGATGATGGAAATACAAATCCTTTGGATGGATGCGATGAAGTTTGTAAAATTGAATTAAATTGGGACTGTATACTTTATGATCCATAAGGTCCTGATGTTTGCTTTTTAAAAGCCCCTCCATAACTCACAGTTGAATGGAGTAAAGTACATACCAATATCATCTATATACATTTTTCAAGGCCTATGAAAGATGGAATAGATTATGGTGCTCTTACTAATATCATAATACCTGAATTAGAATCTCTAAAGTTCAAGGAATTTGAAGAAGTTAATGATGAAGGTATCATCATTTAGCATGATAAAAGTAATGCATTCATTCCTTTTGAGTATACTGTTACTCCTTTCAGAAATTAAACCATTTAGATTACTTTCCATTATCAATTAACTATACAAGATTATATTGCCAATATTACCTTTATTAATGCTTCCTTAATATAGGATGTTTATAATTGGTCTTTAGTCAATAAAACTACTTAAGAGAGAAGACAATTATAAGAAATTAATCAGACTGAATCCTTCCAACTCTCAACATCTTTACCTTATCATATTTATTATACTAGTGGAGAAAAGGACATATCTAATGCTGTTGCATATATTCTATTGATTATTTGCATTTTAGGTCTCATTTCAGGATTTTACTATTATTATAGAATAGGAGAAGGTAGGATTAGAAAAACTATAGAATTTGTTTAAGTAATTAGTATGTTAAGATATGTAAATATAAGAATGGGATACAATTTAGAATAGATTTTTACAATTTTGGATTATTTTAATATGACATTTATACCAAACTTTTTCGATTTAGTTTAAAATGATTGTGATCAATTTGATGCTCCTCCTAAATTTCAATATTATTAATATAATACATAAATGCTTTCAGAAGGGGGAGGTAGATTCTTGACTGCTTTTGTAGGTTTGCTTTTCTTACTGGGGATTAATGAATTTTTTTATAGATTTGTACCAGATCCAGATATTGAATATTATGCTGAATAAGTTCATAAATATTTTAGATGTTAAGGATTAACTATATTTGTGGAAATATTTTTTATGGATCTTGTATTAAGTATTGTATTAAATTTATTCTATTCTGATGTTTCAAATGCTTATGGAATTATTAATTTATTAATTTCAATTTTATTCACAATCATAATTATGGTAGTTATTGTATTAATTATTATAAAATTGATACGTAATCCTCATATAATTAGAGTTAAATAGGTTTATGATTACTTTGGAGAATTTTTCGATGGATTATTGTTTACTACACCTTACACTAAATTTTTTGCACTTGTACCATATTTATAAAAGATTGTGATAGCTATTGCTTTGGTAGCTTTAACTATTTATCCTTAAATTGGTTTATTAGTATTTATAAGATTGGGATTTTATTCACTCTCTGCTAATATTATTCCTATTTATTATATTGAATTATTTATAAGAGAGGTTGCCTATGATGTAAGCATGACTTTAATAACTTTGACTATATTAGCATTTAATGATGATTCAAGTAGTAAATAATAAAAAATTGATACTGGATGGGGAATTTCATCAATCATTTTATTTACTATTGGATTACAAATATTCTTTGTTAAATATGCCATTTCCATAATAGACAGAATGATTCCACCTATAATGCCAGATCATGAAGAGATTGTTCAATAAGATATGGATTAAGGTAATAAAGATATACACATTTTACAATAAGCTGTTGAAATGGAGAAGATGGAGAATGATTTTTTTAATAATAAATGATAACAAGAATATAATTATTATTATTATTAAATTTTGTTGTTTTTAATATATCTCTTATTAAATCACACCAATAATTCTTTTTATGATACACCATATCTAACATATTTACGATAGGAATGAGTTGTATTTAATAATGCTCTGCATATTCCCTTATATTCTTATTTACATTCTAATGCATGTAAGAATTCAATATCTTATTGGGATACAAATGCTTAATCATTTGTATGTGAATATACTTTATTAGTACTAATATCATTAACAATTTCTAATGATTAAATCCATCTCTATCTAATCTCAGAATCTATAATATTATAAATTTATATAATACTTGTTTCTCCTATTTCACATTTATAAAAGTTTGCTATCAATTTTGTTAGATATTCAGGCATTTTAGCACCACAAGTATGACTATATAATTCTGCTAATTTCACAGCTAAATTAATTAATTTAATTAAATACCCATAGGTTCTTTATTTTATATACCCCATGCTAATAAATCCCAAATTTCATTTTGATAATTGCTTGGAGGTACATTAATATATTCATCATATTAAGTATAAGCATTATAATAAATGTATTTCATAAATTGGAAATCACTTAATGAAACTCTACCATTAATAAATACAGATATTTTTGGTGGTTTTTCTCTTAATCTATTTCTAGTAAACCATCTTCTTTTACGATTAAGCATTTTTTTCTTTAATTTGAGATTAATTAATTCTTTCATACCAATATCTTATGAACCATATTGATATTTTTAACGAATCATTTTTTTAAAGAAATTCTTATCAGTTTACATTTTATGTTTAAATTATATACCTGAATACATAATTTTAAGATATCTTCTCCATTTTTCAATATTTCTTAAATTCTTTTAATCATCTCTAGCTTTGGCTATATATTCATCAATTAATTTATCAACTGATTTAAAGGCAGATTTTTAAGATTTTCCTTTTTATTTTGAATTATCACCATCCTTTTTAAGTACTTCATTAGGAATTTATTCAATAACTTCTTATTCTTTTTAAGAATTTATTTATAAAGGTTAAAATGTTATTACATTTGCTTTATATTTTTCAACAGGTAAACCTAATTGTTTTAATTCTTTCTTCATTTCTATTTTTTAATTAATTAAAATTCATTACTTAATTACATTTACTAAATCTATTCAACTTCTGGAAATTCAATCAAATCATTTCTCATTAATCCATTTTCAATAGTACTCTTTTTAAAAAGTCCCTCTATTTCTGCAAGTGTTTATTCATATGTTTTTCTTTAACCAGCTCGTTATCTTAATTAATTTATCACTTCCTAAATTCTCTTTCTCTTTCTCTCATCAAATAATAATTTCTTTTCAATTTTAACATGATATTCATAATTATCAAATACTTCTCTTAGAATTTATTCACTCTCTGTGACTGGTTGTATTCTAATTAATTTAAAAATAATAAATACAATTTTTTATAGTCAAATGTACCATGTGCTACTTCTGTCTTAATTTAATTGAAGGCCTCTCTATATGTAATCTATTTATTAAATTCAAATATATCTTCTTATTGAATTAAGGATTCCAATAAGAAATTATCTGATCTATCTTCCTTATAAAAATCAAATAATTGTTTATCTGAAAGATATTTTACAAACTCATCTATATGTTTAATTTTTTTTTAATATGTTTTCATATTAGATCTTAATCTGAATTTTGTACCAATATGAATTTTTTGAACATATTTATACAAAAATCTTCTAATTTTCTCTCTAAAATGAGATATCATATATATTATTACTTTTAAAATGCCAAAATTATATCATCTATAACATTTTATGTAAATAGATTATAGGCTAATTAATATTGCCCTTCCTTTATATGAGCTTTAATTTGATTGATTTAATAATTAACTTTGGATAAAGGAACTTTAAAACTATTTGCCTCTTATAAGAGTGTCATCTTAAATATTAATTAAATATTTTACCACAGAATTACTTAAATGTTTTCCTCCTGATTAATCTATTAATACTCCTATTGCTTTTTGATACAAGAAACTTGAATATTCATTTTACTTATTTTATTTATGATTCTAAAAGATCTCTACTGTCAATTCAGGATATTGGAAACGATCAGCAAATAAACCAAAAAGTTCAGCTTGTCTTACAGGTAAATTTTCTGATTTTTCAAAATATAATTTTTCCAATTATTATTTATCTATGGCCTTTACTTCCATACCATTTGTATCTAATTTCTTTAATGCTTCTTCAAATAAGAATATAAAATTAGGGTTCCTGATTCCTTTAAATAAATCTATTAATTATGTAAATGAGTTCTCTTTTAAAGAAATACTATAATTAATATTAAATAATACTATTATGCATATCTAACTAAGTCATCTAATTTAACATTATTTTCAGCTAATTATTGAAATGCTTTTAAATTATTTAAGAAATTTTAAGCATCATTAGTATTATAAAATATTGTTGATTTGACTGCTACTGAAAATGCTATATTTAAATTTGGTAAATCGATAGTTGATTTACCCTTATTCTATTATGCATGTCTTTCAAAATATTGATTAAAAACTTTAATAACCATTAAATGACTTGTTTTTTCACTCTCTAATGATTATTCTTCAAAAAGTGTTTAGAAGTATGTTAAATCAAATTATGGAGTTAAATGATGAGTTGTAACAATATCTATTAGATATTCCAATTCTTTAGCCTATAATTAATAATAATATATACTTTTTCATTTGGAAATAAATCAAGATTAAAAATCATAAAGTAAATAGATTGAAATACTTCTGGTTTGAGTGTATGTACTTTATCACCAACTTTATTTATAATAACTTTAAGTTACTCATATTCTGATAGGTCAACATAATTAGAAGCTATTTAATTTATATATGCTGAATAGACACCAGAATTAAATTACTTTTCTGATTTAAATATATCTTTAACTTTATCCCATTTACTTTGACTTGCATAGACATCAATTAATCTTGAATTTCTTTCATGGATGTTTTGTATATTTTAAGCTTCATTCAATTAATCTATAAATATTTTTTCATTTAGTTTTTCAGTCTCTTACTTTTTCTTCAGAATTTAATTAAAACTTCTTTTACTTAAATATTTTGCTCCTATCTATTTATAATCTCTGCTTTTATTTCCAAATAATATTCCTGTCCTTTTTGGTGATTCTTATTATTATGATTATTGATCAGGTGATCTACGATCTCTATCTTATTTATAAGATCTAGGTTCATCAACTTTTTATTTATGGAATTATTATTATCTATCAAAATGTCTTTCTTATTTCTTTTATGGAGGACTTTATTCATGTTATTAATTTTCATTTGACTCTTTCTTTTGTTATTATTAGTGTTTCTATTCTGATTTTTAATGTTATTTTTTTGGTTTATCAGCACTCTTCCCAGAGAATAACACCTTTTTTTATGATTAATCAGAAGGTGGTGGGGGTGGTTGTGGAGTTTGGGTAGAAAATCTAAATAAGGATGTTTAAATATGAATAGCAGATCCAATAATATTCTTCAACCTTATCATTTTAGATTTAAAATAATATTAAAATAAATAAAATAAATGCAACAATTCACAGATCAAAACTAAAATTTTTATTATTAATTTAAGCAATTTAACCTCTAATAGCAAATAAACATATCAAACAAGATAAATCCATAAGTTGAAAGATGTATTCAAACTATGAAATGCAATGAAAAATTCAAAATCAAAACATTACCTTATATGATTGAATCAGTTCAATTATTACTTCAATCAAAACCATAAATATAATTACTACTATCAAATACAACACTTACCTTATCAAGATAGAATGTATTTTCACTCTTAAGCCTTATGTATTTTGAATTAACTATATAATAATCTGTATAGAACTTTAAATTTCCTTAATATTTCAATTTTTCTACTTATTATATGTAAGGAAGTCAATTAGAAAAGTTGAAATGTCTAATAAATTACTTTAATTAGTGTGTTGAATATCCAGAGTATTTCAACTTACCAGATATAGTTTATAAAAGAGTTTAATTGATTGATATTCCAAATTGGATTAATAGTCAAATACCACTTTCAGGTTTCAAATTTGAAAAATAAAAAAATGAAGATCATTTGAATTGTGGAATAGTTGATTTTAGTGATCGATTTTTTGGAGGTAAAGTAGCAGCTGGTAGAGGATGTGCTTAAGAAGAAGTCTTATTATTAATAAATCCAGAAGCCATTATAGCTACTTTATTTACTTCATAATTAGGAGATAAAGAAAGTTTAATCATTTAAGGAATACTTCAATTTAATGAATATAGAGGCTATGAAGATAGTTTTACTTGTATCCCTATAAAATATATAAATAAAGGACAAACTTTAATTGCTATTGATGCATTATATTTTGCTACAAAACCTTAAGGTTATTAATTTACTTAAGAAGCAATATTAAGAGAATTGAATAAATCTTATAGTGGATTTAAGGGTAGTTAATAACAAGTTATTTCTACTGGTAAATGGGGATGTGGTATTTATGGAGGAGACAAACAATTAAAAACTTTAATTTAATGGATTTCATTTAGTTAAGCTTGTCCAGATGGCAATATTATATTTAATGGATTAGATGACAAAGCATATCATGATTTAGGAAAACGATTAGAATTATGTAAAAAGAGGTATTAAACTGTTGGAAATATAGTAAAAGAAATATTAAATTCAAGTTAAAAAAATATATTAGATAAACTATGTTGATAAATTATAATTTTCATAATAATTTCTAATTATATTTAATTAATTAATATTTAAAAAATAGATCACTTAAATCAATTGATGTGGCTATAGTTTATGGTTTTAAACCAATAAAAATAATTAATGATAATAGATAAGATTTTTATAAGAAAATTTAGTGGATCATATAAATTTAGAATAATATTATTTAGATCATAATAAATTATAATTTTATTGAATTCTTTCCCAAAATTCTTCTGCTACTTATGTTAATTATATTTCATATTATATTAATCTTTTAGCTATTTTGTAATAATTATTTTATTTTTCCAACTAGTTTATATTTTATATACATTACTTTAAATTTATCTATTTCAATATATCCTAATAAAACTGTCAATATATCACAAATAAATTGCATATTTTCAATATCTTTAGTTGTAGAATCAATTTCAACTTATAATTTAGCTATTTTATCTTCTTTTTTCGTAGTAGAAAATATTTTCATTATTGAAGCTTTTCCTGCCAATATTTCTTATAATTCAAGTTGTAATTCTTTTTGCTTTTGTTCAAAAAATAGTTTTTATTATTCATATTTTTCTCTTTAGGTCATTGTCTCAAGAAATGCCCTTAATTATTTTGATTCTTTTCTAATTTCCTAAAACAATACTATGAATTCATCTTAATTTAGGACATTTAAGTAATTATTAAAGATTTATGCTGGATATTCATCAAGTTTAATAGATTATATTACTAATTTATCAGGACTCTCAGTAAATTCAAGAAGAATTTATTATTCATATTCTGGTAATAACACTTGTAAAAAGTGAATCAACTACTTTTGATAACTATCTCTTGACAATTAGATATTTCTAAATTAAAGATTGTAATACTTTGCAATTTATTTAAAGTTTTCCATCATAGGACTAACTTTTCTTAAAAACTAATGGAAATCATTAATTTTTTGTACTAGGTCTCGATTGATTTCTCTCTATTAATATATAATATATATATACCCCTGAAAGGTCTGTAAATGTATCCTAATATTTATTAATAATTTCTTCATATGTAAGTTTTGGTACTTATGCCAATGCCTCAACTTTTAATTATATAAATGTACTTTTTCTATATCACCATTGACTTTGATAAATGATTGAAATTCTTCAGAGTACCAGAAATACTTAAGTTGGGATATTGTTCTCATCCACTCTTATAATGAATGCATTCTATCATCAATAAATTTTTAATCCATATTTCCCTATAGTCAATATTAGATATAGATATCTACTAATGCTTTTCTTGGAGGTAATGGTGGAATGTAACAACCAGGCCATTTATGTACTAACATTTGACGAATAAGTCTAAAATCACTAAATCTTCGAACAACATCGAATTGACCATTCTTATCCATTCCTCTCACTGAATAAATTGTGTATTTATTGATTCCTGATTAAATTTTAGGATCATTAACTTCTACTTAAATCTTAGATACATTACGAATAATACCTCAAAATCATTTTAGTCCATTTATAATTAATAATATAATACTTTTAAAATTTGTAATTTGTGAATGAATAGGTAATTGTTTAACTTTACTTTCTATAAATTAATTCAACAATAGAAATAGAGATCATCTTTGAACTAATAAAATTTCCTCATTTGATTAGAAATCTATATAATAATTGTATATCTAATATTAAAATATATTTAGGAATTCCATAATGAATAAACTAGATTAATTAACATCATTTACTGATTATATTTAGATCATACTATTATTTACTAAGAATTTAAGAATATAATTTATATCTCCTTTATTTTAAGAGGATTATAGTATATAATATTTTCATTTATTTAATAGCTTTTTAGGGGAGATCTTCTCATACTCATCTATATTTTGTTTTGATAAAATATTAAAAAAATTTTTAATTAAGATTTTAAGAAATGGGTGTAAGAATTACATATCGTAGAAGAACCAGCTATAATACAAGATCTAATAAAATTAGAAAGGTCAAGACACCAGGTATTAAAATCCATCTATATTAGGTGGTAGAGTTGTTGTTTAATACCCAAATAAAAAGACAAGTGCTTCAACTTGTTCCGATTCTAATTTGAATGTTGTCTTAAATGGACTCAAACGCATCAGACCTACAAAACTTAAGTAACTTTCCAGAAGACAAAGAACAGTATCAAGACCATATGGAGGAGTATTAAGTGCTGGAGCCTTAAAAAATCGCATCATCAGAGCTTTCTTAGTAGAAGAAGTGAAAATAGTGAAACAAATCAAAAAGTGATTTTATCATACATTAATATTTAATTTATGGGATAGTATTGCTGTGTTTATGAATAAAATACATAAGTTCAATAAGAAAATCATTCTACTCAATTAATTATGGAGAAAATCATCCATAATATCACTATCAAATTAACTTAAGGGAAATTGATTGATGAAAATGTAGATGCTGTAGTTGCTATGGCTGATCCTCAATTTAATGTAACCAGCCATCTATCAAGGCAAATCCTTAAAATGGGTGGGAAATAAATGTATGAAAATCTACTCAGCTGTTAGAGAAAGAAATAGACTATAGATTTTGGAGATGTTATTTATACACATGCAGAAGAATTAGATTTCGATTTTATTTTCTTTGCACTCTTACCTCCATTCTATGAAATCGATTATGATCAATAAATAAGAAGATAGATGAGATCATTTTAATATAATGGAGATGATTCCATAGAGAGCAGTATTTAGGAATATACAGGCTAAAATGAAAAATAATATATATAGCATTCCATAAAGAAAACCCTTCTTTTAGTATTTAGCTTTATCTATGTAGTGTAATGATTTGGGATTAAGCTCTGTAAGCTTTCCTGTGATCTCATCTGAAGCTTAAATAAATTCAAAATGCTACACTGCTCTTGTTATGCTTTTGACTATTAAATAATTTATTGAAGAAAAACATAGTTAATTAAAGAACCTATAATTAATCAATATCACTATTGCTGTAATTGTACAAGATAAACCTATAGGATAAAGCATACATAAAGCCTTTTAAACACGTTTTGAATAGGTTGACTGATGGCCAATAAATTGTTGATTATTATGAAACACCTTAAATGGGGCCGTAAGAAGATAATTAAGTGGATTCATTTGAGAATGAAATAATATAATTTGGAAAGATGTACAAAAATAGAAAAGATGATAGAAGCAAATAATAGGATTCCATATGACAAATACTAATTATTTATTTTTATTAACGATTATGATAACCAAAATGATACAGGATAGACAAAAGAAAACATAAAACATAGATGAAAATGAATTGGATTCTTTCAATCAATATTTACAAAAAGACAATCAACCGATGATATAATGTTCCAAAATTAAAATAAATCTCGGAATGCCAGTAATCGCTGAATAATAAAATGAAACACTAGGCAACACTAATTAATCGATCATATCTTAAAGTAAAACTATGTCACCAGATAAAAAAACCATAGTAATAGAAGATATAAAATTGAACATTCGAATAGTTTTTAAATTTTACACTAGTTTTGGCAATCGTAACAATACTCGATTTCTTAAGTCTAATAAATTTATTAAAATGCTTTCTGATGCTCAGATTTCACCTAATATATTATCTAATAGAGATTGTGAGATTTTGTATGCATCTCATTCAAAGAATAATGAAAGACTTACACTCGAATAATTTTAGAATCTAATTCCTAAATTGGCAATTATGATATATCCATAACATAATGTACGTTAAGCCTTTTTAACATTATATAATGAATATTTGTCTATCCTGTCATAAAAAATATTGAATTTTACTGAATTCGGACAATAGATATAATTTGTATTATAACCTATTAATCATGAAATGAAGGAATTTATGATGCCAATCATATAATAATTAACAAATCTTCATAAATTTATCTTTGAAGATTAAAGTTCGAATTTAAGTAAAGTTTAATGGTAATATATGCAGTTTTTAACATTATGTGAAATATTACCAAATTATATAAATTAATCTTAAGCTTAGATGATATTTGATAATATTTAGATTAGATAACCTTTATTAAATTTATAAGAAAATGGAAATTATATATTTACTTTAAATAATTTTGTTGAAAGTTTAATAATTATCTCAAAAGCCATACCTAATTTAGATGAATTCACTTAATTTAGATTGTTATTAGATAAAATTGAAAATTCATAGGCCTTTAGTTAATATTTGTTAAAATTGAATAGAACTTAAAGTGATAAAGTAAGATTGTTTTACAATATTGAGAAAAGTAGATTGTATAAATTGGATAATTATAATTAATAAAGTTAAATTATGAATAGTAGTTAAAAAATTAATAATTAAACTCCTCTGAATAATTAAAATACTTATATTGGAAGTACAAATTCTAAGTCTAATGAAAGTAGAGCAAATATATCATTAATGAAATAATCTAAAGTTATTTTAGATATTGATTAATAAACTCTTGCATCTCTAAAAAAACTATTTGAATTTTATGCTTAAAGTGGAGAACCAACTAATATATAATCATTACAAAAAAGTAAATTTAACAAATTATTATTGCACACTGGAATAATGAATAATATTATATAATAAATTGAAGCTGATATGATATATTCAAAACTTTGTGGATCTCAATCTATAAAGACATAATAAAAAAATAATTAATTAACAAATGGAAAAATGACATTTGGTCAATTTTAATAAGGTTTAGGATTGATAGCAGATAAATGTGGTATAGAAGTTAATGATCTCATATAATAATATTTATTGCCATTAGAGAAATAAATTTCAGATGAGAATAAAGAATAAATATTATAAATATTGGTTGAACTCTTATAAGATGATCAGATTGTATTATTATTAAATTATTAAATTAGATTTAATTATATGAAATAATCTAACCTGTATTTAATTGGTATTTTTAAGAATATTCAAAATAATAATAAAATTAAATCTTAAGTCTCCCAGAATTTTTAAAATTTTGTTAAGATTTTGAACTCTCAAATATTTTAATTTCACAAACTTAATTAACTTAGGTATTTTATTCAGTTGCCTCACTTAATTAAGAAGGATAGGAATATTCTGATTTAGTATATCTAGATAAGTCTTAATTTGTGGAAACTATAAGCATCATTGCAATAATAATATATTAGACAATACCAAACTATATTTAAAGAGTATATAAATAAATTTAAATTTAGATCGTTTATATTTTAGAAAGAATATTTTAATCTCAAAATGCATCCAAGATTTATATTAAATAAAATAAGTATCTATATAAATATATTAGATTATAAGCCAAATTCTTTAGTATAATTGATGAAATTAAATATAGATTCTTATAAAAAGTAGAAAAATAAAATGAGAATGAAAATTATAATTTTGATGATCTTGTAAATGGTACAATATATAAATTGCAATGATATTTGTATAATTAAATCAGAATAATTCATTAATTAAGTCTTTTAATTCTAAAATAGTACTCTCTTATTGTTTTTCTTTGACAGGGAATTCAATATTGAAAGATTCTTCTTTTTATTGAGGTTCCTATACTTCATTATATATTTCCTTTAAATTAACCTTTCGATATTTTCCTGAAATTATCATTCTACTCACTTTTTGTCTTTCTCTCTGTTCCTATAATGAATGACCATATTATGAAAATGATTATTTAGGAAGATTAGTAGTACTCTAAAATGCAGATTTAGGAGGATTTTATAAATTTCGAGAACATTAACAACAAAATATATCTGTTTTTTGTGCTTGTGGACTCAAAACCAAAAATATTGGTGATTAACAACATTTACTACATGGAATCCATTCAGAATCTAAAATTTGATTATTATTATACCTGAAAAATAGATATAGAACTTTTCAGATAATTCATGTTAGCAAATTAACAAATTTATTTCTTATATATTAAGTTCTTTAAACTTATCTTAAACTATGTTAAGTACGGATAATCTCCTCCTGTCTCCAGGGGGGAGTGCTTTAAGTTTATTATTCATGATATTATGTAAAATTGTTCGATAATTGGCTAAATTAGGCAGGCGAGATTACTTTTCATAAAGTATATCTTCATAAATCTCTTACTTGGCTTTGTCTCCATCTCAATATTATTAGCTTACTAAGAAAAGAGCATATTAGGTTATCGCTGACTTTGAGATGTTGCTGCTCTGGGAACATGACGAATAGACTATTTAGCTATTTATTTATGATCACTTATGCTGTTGATGGTTTCTTTATAGGTTAAGTTTAAGATGTTTATGGACGCACTTAAAAGTTTGAATTATATCCTTAAACTGGATTAAAAGGATAATTTTAAAATACAATTCCCTTTTTCAATTTTCCAACAGAAAGTGAATTCTAATGTATAACTCTCAAACTATCATGTTGAGTACGATAATAATTATAATTCATATTAAATTTATTATCACATAAATTTTATTTTATTCTGATATAACATTTTTATTTTGAATTGATCAATTGAATAATTAAAATCTTATAGAAAAAGTAAGAAAACCTTGATTTATATTTTTTTAAGTATCAACTATAATTAAATTCTAATTTTATTAAAAAATTCATGCAAGAGGAAAAATTAAATGAAATTCAGGTGTCACAACATACAGCTGATAAATTGAAGAAGCAAGCATTAGAGTACAAAAAGCTTTAAGAAACATTTAATAAGAGATTTTCATCAGATGCCAATACTTAGTTTTATGTTTTGAGTTTAAAGTAATTTAAATGAAAAATTTAAGATGGCTTAATTAATGGAAGCAATACGTTTCCTACGATGAGATTGTGGCCAACAAAGCACCAAGTAAATACTTTGGTAGAATAACACTTGAAAGAATTAACGATGATTTAGAGGATGATGTGTAGAAATGCTTTAAGTACTATCCAATCAACAATCATCCATGGAATACATACATGAAATAAGGATTATAAGAAAATGTTGACTATGTAGTTATTGATAAAGATATTTGGGAATTTTTTACATCATACTATCCAGGAATAGCAATAATAAGAACATCTAATGGTAATGGAAAAGATAAACAAGTGGCTGTAAATTTATTAAGAGTATTTAATATATATATAATTATTAGTTTAAAGCAGTCTTACTTTATCCATCAATAATCAAATAAATATCCTTTGACAGAATGTATAGATAAACATTTGATAGTGAAATAATGCAAGTAGATAGAAATATGGAATTAAAAGATTATTAAGCATTGATATAAAGAACAGTACATACTTTTTCAGGAAGTTTTGCAAAAGATAATAATGTCAGAATTTGGAGATATGTCACAGATTAAAAAGATCCATATAAAGTTTTGTTTAATGAAATTTACAAATAAGTAAGTGAATTAGAAAGTTCAGATGATATGTGTTTTGATTTTAAAGGAGAGCTACTTACTCATTAATAATATCAAACAATTGAAGATATTGGTATTATTGATAACAATTTAATTATATTTGAAGTAAATTATGTTATTTATTTTATAAGTTCAAAGATGATTTTAAACCATGGTGTATAAGAAATTAAGCAGTTTAAGTAGAAGGAAAATGTGAATATTGTCATAATTTTAAAGTTCTATCTTTTCCTTGTATTTGTAGAAAAGTTGCTTATTGTAAAGAAGAATGCAAATAAAATGATTATAATTATCATAGTTCTAGATGTGAAAAACATGGTTCAGATGATGAATCAATAAAATCTTTAACTCTTACAACTACATCAATGAAGGGAATAGTAGGTTTAAGTAATTTAGGAAATACATGCTTTATGAATAGTGGAACTTAATGTATTTCTAATTCATACCCATTGGTTGAATATTTCTTAAAGAATTTATACTTTGATGAGATTAATATGGATAATCCTTTAGGTACATAAGGATAATTAGTAAAGAAGGTTGGATCACTTATTAAAAAGATGTGGTGTGGAGATAGATAAACAATAACTCCTACAAATTATAAAAAGGCTGTTGGTTAATTTTAACCAATGTTTAAAGGTTTCCATCAACATGATTCATCTGAATTAATAACATTTGTTTTAGATGGAATTCATGAGGATTTAAATAGAGTTAAAAAGAAACCATATGTTGAAACTAAAGATTATGATGGTCGATCTGATTTTGTTGTTGCTAAAGAAAGTTGGTTAAATCATTTAGCTAGAAATCAATCAATTATTGTTGATCTAATGCATGGTCAATATAAATCAACATTAAAGTGTCCAAATTGTCAATAATTTTCAATTACTTTTGATCCTTATTTAATGGTATAATTAGGTATTCCAAGTTAAAAAAAAAGAACTATTTCATTTAAATTTTATAAAGATTTATTTTAAAGTACTTTAATAACAATACCATTTGATAAATATAAAAACATTATTTTAAAAGAATATTTGAAAATTCTTGGTGAAGAACTTAAAGTAGATCATTAATATTTATTTGGTTATATTGCTAATATGTATACATCCTTTGATTTTTTGGATGAAAATAAAAGTATTGTAGATATAAGAAAGAGTGCAAAAAGATCATAACTTTGTTTTAGATAATTAACTGTTCAAGAAATATAAATGTAGAAGAAATTCCCTATTTAATTTTCAAATAAACACTTTGAATAATAATACAAAAAGTCATATTTTTAGTCTGGTGTAATTATAGTTGATGGATAAATGACATTAAAATAGGTCCATTTATAAATTTTTACTCATCTTAACTAATTGTTTTCTGAGCATGAATAATTAGATTATGAAAAATAAGTATTAAATTAAGTATTTATTTTAATATATATAATTTAGTATTATTCCTTGGCTTATAAAACAAATTAAAACTATTGGAATCCATGTGCTTTCTGTACTTCAAAGAATTGTAATGATTGTGAAGTTAAATTTGATGATGAAACAGTTGAAGAAGTAAAAAATAGAGCCTTAAAAGTTGATCATTAATGTAATTTTGAAATTATTATCCTTTGGAAATAAAGTCCATTTAAATAGATTAAATTACCAGATATATTTGATCATTATTTCAAAACTAATAAATTAGAAAGTATTATTTACATTCTAATATTTAAGTTTAGGATAATAATCAACGAAATTAGATGTCAAGTTCAATGAATTCTAATTCTTAATAAGGCATAGTTTCTCTATATGATTGTTTATAATACTCTTAGTAACCTGAATAACTTAATGCAGAAAATACATGGTATTGTTAAGTTTGTAAAGAACATGTTTAAGCATTTAAAAGCATGCAAATATATAAAGTTTAATATTTAGATATTTTTAGGCTCCTTAAATATTAATCTTTACATTAAAGAGATTTAAAGCTTCTAATAGATTATTTAAACAAAAACTTGAAACCTTGGTTGATTTTCCCATTAATAATCTTGATATGACAGATTATGTTATTAATTCAAGAACTCCTTTTGAATATCATAATGAAAATGAAACTAATAATGGAGAGAATAATAAGTAAAAGGTCATTTATGATTTATATGCTGTATCTAATCATTTTGGAGGATTAGGAGGTGGCCATTATACTGCATTGGCAAAGAATAAAGTAAAATTAATATAAAATTAATTAGTTCACTAATAAATGGTACAATTTTGATGATTCAATGGTTAGTGAGATTAATGAAACATCTATAGTTTCCAAATCTGCTTATGTGTTATGTTATTAATTGAGAACAGATGATTCAAATAATTGTTAAGAAAAAACAATGTAATCCATCATTTAAGAATGAGGAGTAGATTTAACAAGTATAATATAAAATTTTTTCACAACCAAATCTATGGATGCTATTTTGTCTATAAAATTTCTTTCTCTAATTAAATTAAATCTAATTATATAAAATATAAAATCAATATTATTTATATATATCTTAATTATAATTATAGTTTATTTCATACATCATATAAAACTATATTGCAAATTATATTTTATTCAATATAATTATAAATTATTTTTTAATTGTTTTATGCAATTAATAATGATTATTTAATTTGTATGAATAAAAAATAAAAAGATTAATAAGTAATATATGAGTATTAATCAATATTTTAGAATTAATTATAATGATTTTATAAAAATTAAAGAGAAATAGAGTAATAAATAAAATTCAGTAGTTTTATAGATTTTAATTCAAGGCAATCTGAATTCAATATTAAAATCGAAAAATATTAATTATTAATTGATTTTATGTAAAAATATAAATCAATAAAAACTTGGGAGAGATTAAATAAAATAAAAGCACCAGTGCCTAAATATGAGTATGATAACTTTAAGGAGATTGATGAAAAGTTTAAATAATTTGAAGAGTAATAAGGAGATCCAGAATTGAGTAATACAACAACAGCCTTTGGAACAATCCTTATTTAGACAGCAGTGTAAGGATTACATATGGCTAATGCATTTTAAAGCTAGGGATAACCTGTAAACAGGCTGAGTCAAAGGTTTTCATTCACATAATTTAATTAGCATCCTGAAGGCGTTTGATATCAATCCTAACCAATTAAATTAGCTAAAGACATCTTAAGATAGACAGTAATTTTTACTTAATAAGCAAGTGAATACATTAAGCTTTAAATGAATAGTACGATTGATACATTGTTAAAAAACTGGTCTGATAAGATAATTCTGAAAGAACAAAAGTATAAAGAGACTGACCAATAGATGAAAAAGGAGAAGATTAATAATTAAACAAAAAAGCACTTTAAATGGTTATAATTGAAAACTAAATATGAGCAATTAAAAAATAAATTAAGATAAATAGTAGTAGACAAATTAAATGATTATGAGAATCAGTAAATGGCTGTAAAATCTTAAAATAAACATTTAATGCTTAAAAATGTGTAAGTGATTACAACACGTCATATATTTGAAAATATGGAAAAGTATGGTCATTCAAATGAATTTCATTTTTTAAAGTCTTTGGGATAAGATAGATTAAAACATATAAAAGAAAGATAAAATAGATAGATGACTTAATAATTTGAGAACATAAATGATGAAGAATAAAAATAATCATAATATTAAGTGATTTGGAATAATTAATAAGAGAAAATATTTACAAAATAAAGAAGTTAAACAAAATAATTATTTACGTAATAGAATTATTCATAATATTTTTAGAAATGAGATAGCTTGTTCTAATTGGAATGATTTAGGATTCTTGCCTATTTTATAATAGATGACATTAAATGAGAAAAAAAAATAATAAAGAGAACATATTTTAAATAAATATACAGATGGAGAGTTTTTGACAGCATAAGAATTATAATTTTTAGCTAATACTAGTGAATTATTAAATGCTTGTTTGGATAAAGAATTCTTTTAGAGAGCAACTAATTAAGTAAATCCAGATTTATTATTTAATATGGAATTATCTTTAGCTGAATAAATATTAAAAGATTATGGAGAAATGAAATCAGCAACAATAAATGCTAGATTATAATATATTAGAATGAAAATTGAAAAAACTAAATAAAAATTAGCAAAAAGAGAAAAAAGATTATAAAAATAATCTATTGATGCATATAATATGGAATTAAATAGAAAATATATAAAAGTTTGTAAAACTGTTGTTAAACATATGGAAAGAACAGGAAAATTCGAAGAAAAAATTCCTAGTGAAATACCAGGAGCTACATAATTAAAAGATTATTTAATGGGCAGAATTACTGAAAGATAATTCATTACTAAATTATATGATTATGTTTTTGAAAAAGAAAGGAGAAGATAATATATTGATCTTAATGATGAAGATAATTTATTTTAAAATTATCCATCTAAATAATAAATAGCAAGTTCAAAATAAATTCAACCTTAGAGTCCAAGATTGAAAAATGAAAAAAATAAAAGACAAGAATATATAAAATAAATGGCTAGACCTAAAAGTACAATAGGTATTTAGTTCACTTAAAATATAAAAAGACATGTTTTTCATCCATCAACAAAATTATTAATTGATAAAAAACTAGAATGTGAAGATAATGAATTAGCTTACATTAATCCAATATATGCTTAATATAATAAATAAGAATAAGAAAAATTTAAATTAGGATTAAAGAGTCATCCTGCTTTGAGGTAAAGAAGAAATTTTTTGAAATTTTATTCTGGTGGACCTCCTAATCAACCTGAATTAGAACATTGGAAAAGTCCAAATTATTAACCTACATAAAGAGAAATAAGAGCAGCAATTATGATATAAAGAAAATTAAGATCATTATTTAGAGAAAAGAAATTAAGATAAAAATTAGAAGAAAGAAGAAAATAAATCTATTATTTATTTAAAGATAATTGTGAAAATATGATACATTAAATTGAATTAGGATAAGATTAGTAGGTTTCTTATTTTTATTTAAATAAATAACTTGAAAGATGTAAAACAATAGCTAAAGATTAAATCAATTTTAGTAGTATAAAAACTGAAGAAAATACTCGTAAAAATACAGAAAAGAAAAGCTTTCTATTAAGTACAGGAGCATCAACTCCTACTACTAAAGGAATTTCAACTTTAAGAATAGCTGCTCCTTCAAATAAAATTAAAGTAGATTATTTATTTGAAGCAGTCTAAAAAAATAGAATTATGATGATAAAATAATCTCATTTTGTTTATTCTGCAAATGATGTAAACTCATAAAATTATGATGGTATCACTCCTCTTCATGTTGCTGTTGTAAAGGGAAATTGGGATTTTGTAGAATGGTATATTATTTATAATTATAACTATGTAGGTTATTACAAAATGGTGCAGATCCATATATTATGGATTAATAAAGTATTACTCCTATTGATATGGCTAGACATTTAAAATAAACTAAAGTATTATATATATAAATTATAATTTTAGATAATTAGACTTTTTGAGTAATACCAAAAAATATGAGTTGATTTTGATTAATACAATTTTAAATCGTATATGCTTTAGCTGAATATTTTCTATTAATTTTAATTCTTTTAAAGTAGTTATTTCAAGTTCTATAATTTATTTTCAAAGTTTAAATTCTAGGTTTTGTATTCCATATTTCAAAAAATAACTATTTATTTGAGTGATTGATAATAAATTTTAATTATAATTAGTGATGATTTTTTTATAAATAGATATGATGACTGATTTTATAATTTTTATTTAATTAATAGAATTAGAAATAGTAATTAATAAATGTATATCTTTAAACTTATTTAAAATTATAATTTTATTGTGATAAATAACTTTAGTAATAAGAATGATGATACCAGATATNCAATTATGATATAAAGAAAATTAAGATCATTATTTAGAGAAAAGAAATTAAGATAAAAATTAGAAGAAAGAAGAAAATAAATCTATTATTTATTTAAAGATAATTGTGAAAATATGATACATTAAATTGAATTAGGATAAGATTAGTAGGTTTCTTATTTTTATTTAAATAAATAACTTGAAAGATGTAAAACAATAGCTAAAGATTAAATCAATTTTAGTAGTATAAAAACTGAAGAAAATACTCGTAAAAATACAGAAAAGAAAAGCTTTCTATTAAGTACAGGAGCATCAACTCCTACTACTAAAGGAATTTCAACTTTAAGAATAGCTGCTCCTTCAAATAAAATTAAAGTAGATTATTTATTTGAAGCAGTCTAAAAAAATAGAATTATGATGATAAAATAATCTCATTTTGTTTATTCTGCAAATGATGTAAACTCATAAAATTATGATGGTATCACTCCTCTTCATGTTGCTGTTGTAAAGGGAAATTGGGATTTTGTAGAATGGTATATTATTTATAATTATAACTATGTAGGTTATTACAAAATGGTGCAGATCCATATATTATGGATTAATAAAGTATTACTCCTATTGATATGGCTAGACATTTAAAATAAACTAAAGTATTATATATATAAATTATAATTTTAGATAATTAGACTTTTTGAGTAATACCAAAAAATATGAGTTGATTTTGATTAATACAATTTTAAATCGTATATGCTTTAGCTGAATATTTTCTATTAATTTTAATTCTTTTAAAGTAGTTATTTCAAGTTCTATAATTTATTTTCAAAGTTTAAATTCTAGGTTTTGTATTCCATATTTCAAAAAATAACTATTTATTTGAGTGATTGATAATAAATTTTAATTATAATTAGTGATGATTTTTTTATAAATAGATATGATGACTGATTTTATAATTTTTATTTAATTAATAGAATTAGAAATAGTAATTAATAAATGTATATCTTTAAACTTATTTAAAATTATAATTTTATTGTGATAAATAACTTTAGTAATAAGAATGATGATACCAGATATATCAAATATTTTTATTTCTGAATTTAGAAAATAATAATAAAATTTTAAGCATATCAACAATTAATTAATTAATTTTTGTATTTTTATAAATAGATTAAATAGTATTTGTGAATATAAATTTAATAATGAAAATATTTTCTCCTTATACAATGAGGATGCTTATTCCTCGATTTAGTCGTACATTCTTGCAGAAAGATATCATAAAAGATCCATTAGCTGCTACTTCTAAATCTACTGATATACCTAAAGTTTACAGAACAAAAACAGGGTAAATATCTATGGGATTGTATGAAGTATATATAATGTTCAAAAGCTTAGAAAATGCTTTAAGAAGCAAAAGAAAAATCTTTAGCTATTCCTTCCCCAGATGCAGATATTCCTTACAATTTTGAAGGTATAGACTAAATTCCAGAAACAAAGGATTCTTTTCTTTTTTAGCAAATTCTGAATGAGAATGAAATTAGGGAAAAAACTCTTCAAACTCATTTAATAAAAATGTATTAAGCATTTTTGATGTCTTTGGAAGTAGCTGATGAAACTTATTTAAATGAATATTGTGAAAAAGGATTTTGTGAAAAGACTTTAGAAGCATTGGAAAAATTAAAAATGAGAGGAGAGAGAGTTGTAGCTTTTGAAGATTTTTCAGTCACATCAGGACAACCATTTCCTTATTAAGGATTTTTTGTTGATTAAGTAATGGTTAGAGGTTTATCTACAAATAGGTAAGAAAATCTTCCTAAATCTTAATATCATTATTATAATGATTTAGATAAATTAGGTTGTGTTGTATTTACACCATTGCATTTACAAGATCCTAATAATTTTAAAACAAAAGAGTAAGGTGATAAATTATATGATGACTATAAAAAGGTATTAGTTCGATGTTTGTTAAGAATATAATCTCCAATGAGATTAAAGCTTATTAAACCAAATGGATAGGAGTTATTAGAAACAAATGATAATTATTCTTATAATCATCTTGTTTTATTTGAATCAGAATGTGAAATGCCTCCAAAAAAGAAACAAAGAAGGGATTCATATAGAAAAGTTTCTAAATTTTAATTAGAAACTTATATGGAATGGATGAGAAATTGTGTTCCTTAAGTATGGAAAATTGCTGATGTTGATAATTGGATGAAATGTAATCCTTTGATAAAAGAATCTCATAAAGACTTTTAAGACGAAGTTTTCTAAGGGTCAAAATATGATGAAAATGTAATCGACATTAGAAGAATTTGATCAATTTACAACCAAAATTAACATATAATTTATCATCTACTTCTCTCAAATAATCCTTTTCCTTTGCCTTTCTTGATTCTTTTTCTTTAGTGAGGTTTAGCTGTTACATTATCCTAATTAATATGAATTATAAAAATATACTTTAGTTTTTGATTTTGTAATTGCTACATAAAATCGTTTCAATCTCTCTTTCTCATATAATGTGTCAGTTAATTTATTTATCTTTTAAGTTAATTCAGAATTAGGAATAGATTATTATGCTTCACCTTATAATTTATCTTCAACTTAATCAAAACTCTTTTTTCTAGCTTCTTTCAAAAAGAATTTGTGTGTAGGTTACTCAAATTATACCATTGCTAAATCTTATTTAAGTTTCTCTGTTAACTAATAATTTGATTAATAAATATTTTTACTTTTTCTTTTTGTTAAATAGATGCTTTAAGTAAATTTTAATTTTGAGTTTTAATTTATTTAAGGATTTCTTATTCATCACCACTACTCTCATTTTAATCTTCATACACTACACCATCCTTAATTTTACTCTTAAGCATTCTAAAATTAAATTCATCTTTATTTTTTAAAGCAGCCTTCAATTATAATTTTTGTAATTATTCTTTTTTTCTTTAATAATTTATTGCTCTCTTTTTATAATCACCATGCTTTTCTAAAATACCAAGAAATTATCTAGCTGTCTATTTAATTCATAAGATTTGCAATTACAGGTTAAGCTCTTTCTCTATATTTTCTTTATGGTTTAGCATTTGTAAAATTAGACATTAATTAATTTTATAATGGAAATTAAGTGTGAATATAATTTATAGTAATTGTTTAACAAAGGCCATTTAGGTACAGGACTCAAAGTAATACTATTTTTTACAGACAATATAAATGATCAGGCTTTAAACATCATTAAATAGTGTTGCATGAATATACTTTAAACTTAACACAAATAAATTGTTTTTGATATATTTTACATACTTTATGGTCTTTTTATAAAAGAGAATTTTACAGGACCGTCATATCACTATTAAAATACTGATAGAAAGTTGCATATAGAAAGTTTATTAACCAAACAAATCATTCCTAAATGTTAAACCAATCAAATAAGTTAAGAATAATTTTAAGATCTTGGATTAATCGAATTATTACCACTTATTAATTAGATTAGTAGAGTTTCAGAATATGAAATCTATTACTCATAAGCTAATTAAGAATGTAAAATCTATAGACTATATAATAGATATCTTAAATAAGTTATAATGTTGTGGTGAACTATTTAAGAGAGTGATTTAACTTAAACATCTATTTCTAGTTTGCAAACACATTCTTGAATTATTGCATAATACTAATCCAATTTTTTAATTATGGTGGGCTAGACTTAATTTTATGCATAATTAATTTCTAGATAACCCTGTATAATAATTAAAGGATGAAAGTTTAAATTCATTTTAAGAGTTTCTTGATAATTATCCTTTATGTTGCAATGAATAAGCTAAATTATATACAGAATTGTCTTATATTTATAATTATTACTACAAATATTAAGAAGCAGATTTGTGTTTGTTAAAAGCATAAGTAACAAAATAATATAATTTATAGTAATTACTAAAAGTTAGATTTGAATTAACTGGTAAATTAGGTAAGAAAACTAAATTTCAAGAAGAAAAACTTCCTTAATTAGTTGCTTAAATAATAGATTAGGAAAGTGTAGAAAAAGAAAGTATTACTAAAATACATATTTTAATATAGTTAGAGAATTGCCAAAAGTACAAGAAGTTCTTTAATAATATGCTCCATAAGAAGTAAATTTAGAAGAGGAATCCATTTTATTTGATAAGCCAGTCGTTGATGGAGAAATCAAATTGGATTCATTGTCATTAGAAGAATAAATTATTTTATTAGGATTAATACATCATTATAGAAAGACTTTACCTAATGATGAAATACTTTAATAATAAGTTTAAGCTTACTTAAATTTGATGCTTGATAAATCTAATAGTTGGATTGTCTATTCATAGGGTTTAATGTTAAGATCTTTAAATGAATTTAATCATCTAAAGAGAATGGAAAGAGCCTTGATTCAAATGCAGACCCTTGTTGATTAATTTAATGAAATTTAACCAGACTCCGATTTAAAAGCATTGAATTTATTTTATTCAAATTATCCAGATTATTATACTTTAAGTGGAATCTTAGGTGAATAATGGATGAAAGTAGGAATGATGTCAAGTGGTTATGAGATATTTGCTAGATTAGAAATGTGGGAAGAATGTGTAGAATGTATTGTAGGTACTGGTGATACATAAAGAGCTCTTAAAGAAATAGAATAAATAACAGCAAAAGGATTTGGTACAGTTAAAATGAAATGTATTACAGGAGAAATTAAATAAGATCCTAAAATTTTAAAAGAAGCTTGGAAGGATTCTAAAAAAAGATTTGCTAGAGCATAAAGATCTTTGGGAGAATATTATTTCTTTAAAGAAAAAAACTATGAAAAATCTATTAAATCTTACAGAAAAGCTGTTAAGATTAATTCATATCATTAAAAATCATGGTATATTATGGGATGTGCTTATATGAGATTGAATAAATTGGAAGAGGCAATAAAATCATTAGGTGAAGCTGTTAGAATAAATGAAAATGATGGAGAAATTTGGGGTAATATTTCATCTTGTTTGGTTTCCTTGAAAAAATTCAGTGAAGCATAATCTGCTTTAGAATAAGGAGTTAAATATGCTAGTACAGATTGGAGATTATGGAGTAATTTAATGGGAGTTTCTTTAAGGAATAAGAAATTTGTTAGATTTTACTCATGTATCGAAAAACTTGTGTAATTAGATCATAGAGAATTAATAGATGAATAAATAATATAAAAGATTACATAAACATTTGCCTATTAAACTGATTAATTGAATTAAGATAATATAATTTAATCAAATATTAATAAAAAAAGAATTTTAAAATTGTATGAATATTTGGCTAAAGAAATTGGATAAAAATACTATATATGGGAAGGTCTAGCAAAATATACTGAATTACTTATAATTTATGATTAAAGAACAGCAGAATTAGAACAAAAATAAATAGTTGATTTGCAACCTTATTATAATGATATAGTTTAATATAGATTAAAAAGTTGTTAAATGCTTTAAATTCTTAATTGGGAAAGAGATATGTAATTTATATATATATATATATTAATTTTAGATAAATTTGTCAATCTTTAGTCATATAATTAACATCCTTAAACAAAGATATTTAATTAATAAAAGATGAAGAGACTATAAAAAATGTTACTCTATATATTTCATAATAAAAGAGTAGATTAGAAACAATTTTGGAAAAAAAAATAAATTTGTGAATATAATTTTTATGGATGTATATTAATAATTTATTAAACATCAATAATTTCATTAATCATTCTAATTTTAAAACATAATAACTTTATTTATATAGTTTAAGTATTTGCAGTTTTCTTCTTTGGAGATGAATATATTGATTTCCTATATTTTAATGTTATATAAAATACTAATTAATTAAAATTACTTAAAAGTTATTTCATTTTTTCACTAAATTAATAATAAAATTTAAGTATTTCTTTTTCTCCCATCCTTAAAATCAAACAATTTCTTTAATTTGTAGTCAACTCACAAATTTATAAAATTTCTTAATCTTACTAAATAATATTGTTTAATAATATTACTTCAAATGTAGTTGGGTATTATTTTAAAGCTTTTTTACATATTCTGCCAATCATTTTCCACATTTCTAATTCATTATATATTCCTATAGGTTATGTTTTAGTAGATTTAAAATTTATGGAGCCTCTTTAATTTAATAATAATTTAAGTTGAGTTTCATCTCTAATCACTAAAAATCTGATATAACTCATAAATTCCATTACTGTAGTTTCTAGGAAGATTTAATATTATATAATTACCATCAGTATCCATCATCAATCTAAATGTTTTAGGCCATTATAATGATTCTTTAATTGATTCTTCTTTTAATTATAAAAGTGGATCATTTTAATCTGTTTCAACAATAACAACAACTTCATTTGCATCATTCTCTTCAACTACAAAACCATAATTTAATAAAAATCTTGAATTGCATTTCCTTCCATAACTATCAAATATCATTTATCCTCTTTCTATTTTTTCATCTGTTTCTATAATAAATCCTTATTTCTCATCAGAATAACACCAAGATGTTAATTTTGGTCTTTTATGATTAAGCATATCTGCTAATGGTACAAAAGCATCTGTTTTAACACCATTTATGTTTATACCAAATATTCTGCTACTAGCTGTCATTCTTGCCCAACAAAATTCATGAAATTAAAATTATGTGAATTCAGGGACAACATTACATATATCATTGTAATCTTTTTTAAGATCAGATAATTTATCTTTTATTTATTCTAATTTATATTAAATAATAAAAAGTACTTAAAAATTAAGAACCTTTGAGCCATTCTAAATCATTATTATTAAAGAATATGGGAAATGATGGATAGGATGATGGTAATATATCTATGTATGGTTTCCAAAAAGAATTGGGTCTGAATTTCTCTTATAGTAAGAAAGTGGATAGAAATGAATGTTTTGGTGAAAGTAAATCTAGTCTGAATTATATCATTTTTTTAGCCAAAGATGTTTCTTTAGCCATTTCCAAAGTTATCATATGAGATTTAGGAATAAAGAGAATTAACTCTTTAGCATTTATAGTTTATTTTGCATTAACACCGCGATAATCTTCTGAATAACATTCAATTTTAATTTTTGGAAATATGGCTTTTCCTATTTTCAACCATTCTAATAGTCTCTTCTAACGTTCTAATTCTTCTTAATCTAATAAAGTCTTGATGTGATATCAGTTTTACTTTGAGAGATTATGAATAATATTAATTGAGTAATAATTCACTTTCTGGAGTGTGATTATTTATACTCTACAAACATTCAATTGCTTCCTAAATAACAATAAGTTTGGACATATACTTGAAGATAACCCATCTCATATAACACTTATGCCTTATTAGTGGTAGCTTTAACATAACTTGGATTCAATTGCAATGCTTTATTACAATCTTATAAAGCCAATTCTAGTTCATCTGTCTATAAATAAGCTTAAGAACGATTATTGTAGAATATAGGGTTCTCTTCCAACTCTAAAAATTATTTATAAAATCTTAATACATAAAGCTTTAGAGTATAAGATAATTGCTTTACTATATTATCTGTTAAGGAAAGCAGTATTTCCTTCTTCCTTAATTAATAGATCATAAAAAATACTTTGAGTTGATTTGAATTTAACTCTAATCTTCTACTTTTCGGAGGCATATAAAATAAATTAAAATTTCTATATTATTAAATTCTCAAAGTTTATAATCAATTTAATTCCTAATTAATTCTATTCCTTTTATTTTATAGATAATTATAAATGAAATAATATTATTATTAATGTATTTCTAATATTTTAAGTATGTATTTATATCATATATAACTTTTATGATATCAAATTTATTATATATTATTGTACAAAATAATATTAAAGCATTTAAGAAAATTATAATTATAAGTAGATAATGAATAATAAATGATAAATAGATAAGTAGATAAACAATCCTTAATTCTAAAGAAATAATTTTATAAATTTATTTTTTTATTTAATACATTAATATGGCATCGAATAAAAAGGATCAAATAAAAGTAGAAGGAATTCATGGAAGATATGGACGATTTAGAGATAATAGAAATCAAAATGATAAAGATAAGGTAGATTTTGATTATTAATTTTAGCATTAAGTACCATTTTTAGTAAGAACACATTGGAAATATGGATAAATTACTTTAGAAGACTTTAATAAAAATTAAACTTAAGAAATATTACTTTATCTATTGTAATAATTATTAACTTATATTTGATTAGCTTAAGTTCAAAATTAAGAGATATTGTGGATCAATTAAAATATTAATTAGATGGAGTTTATAGAAGGGATATAATATTTAGAGTGAGTAATGTCTATCTGGATTAACATGGAGTGTAAAAGAAAAAGGATTTAGGATAAGTACATTCTGTAAAGTCTGGAAAAGATGATGATTCAGATCTAAAAGAACATGGTTTTAAGATAGGAGATATTTTAATGGTTGAGATTGAAACAAAGAGTTAAAATAAGCAGCCCATTTCATAAATAGCTAAAGAATGATAAATTTTATATAATAAATTAATTTAACAGAGTACAACTATGGAAGTCAATTAAAATAGAAAATACTTTAGAGTTGGAAGTAGAAAAGTCCAATAGGAATGCAATTATGAAATTGTAACAAGAACTGGTTCTTAAGAAGAGGATATAATTGACTTAGGTACATAACTTCAAAAGAAAATGTGCTTAAATGAAGATGAGTCTCATTTTATTGAAGAAATTCTATATACTGACCCTTGTGAACCTGAAATGAACTTTGATGAAAAAATCTTAATTCATCAAGAAGTCACTTTTAACCCTCAATAGTATTTAAACAATGAGAATTCGATTATAGGATGATATATTTAATTAAAATGAATGATTTTATTTAACGAATAGAGAGAGAAATCATTAAATTTAATGACATCTAATCTGTTCTAATGAGGTTGGTATAGTCTAAATTCATGATCTAAATAAAATCTCTCTTTGAATCAATCTTTTAAACTGAACGATCACATATTATGACTGTATTAAACAAATAGCAAAAAGACAAAATAGTTGATTCTTATGTACTTAATTTAAATATACTCAAATAAAATCTGAAAGTCATTACAAATGTAGTTATAGATGAGATTTATTCAGATTTTAAAAGTTAAGTTACTGATCTAAAATAATCTTCTGTAGGAGTAACTAACAATAATAATACACAATTAATTACTATATTTGAATAATCAGATGAAAAAGATTAAAAATAATTGAGTCAGAGATGTTATACTGAAACCAATATCAAAAAATAATTCTAGCATATGCCATTAAGTAAATTAACACTAAAATGTTTATTGAAAAAGTGATTAATTTTTCATAATAATATATAAAATGAATGAAACTTTTGAATAATGTCTATCCGTGCAATCAGGCAAAAACAAACGTTAAAGAAGTCCATTATAAGTCAAATTTGTTACTTAACGTAGTTTCTAAGCAAACAAATAATCACCTTCAGAAAATGAATAGTAACGATTACTATTGGACTATTCAAGATAAGGATTAACAATTTTTAATGTAACTTATAGTTCATCATAAAAGGATGGAATGATATGGAATGGTTTATTATATCTAATGTTAAATGAAAATAAACTCAAAGAATTTGATACAAATATATTTAAAAAGACTCCATAATTATAGAATTTATCATTAGAAGATAATTAATTATAATAATTTGGACCTATTGATTATAATGATGTTCCTAAACTATCAACACTTAATATTGCAAGAAACTTATTAAAATTTATAGATCCTTCATTATGCAAATTGCGTTTAAAGAAATTATATATTTAATAAAATTACTTTACTAATATAACTAAACAAATTCTAGACTTAAATGAGACTTTAGAAGTATTAGGTTTAGGTTGGGGTATATTTTGTTAATCTTCATTTGATTTTCTGTTAGAAGATTAGAAATTGAAAGTGTTTTTTACATTGATAGAAGCTATATCTGATGAATTAACATTTGAATAATACATAATGAACTATAAATCTATCAGCAATGCAGTTATTGTTTCATAAGGAGACATCTTAAATGATAGCATAAGTACAAAAAACCTTACCTCTCAATAGATTCTCAAAACGAGTAACTACTCCTCATCCAAATAAAGGAGTAGCTGAATTACCATTCACTTGATATTGAGACTTAATTGAATTACATGAATGATTATAAATAAGTATCTTTTTGGAAAATACATTTAGAATCTCATGCATATAGCAGTCATTTATGATGAAATTGGGATTTTAGATTATCTATTAAATTATCATTTGGAATTGGCTAATTAAATAGATCTTAAAGGACATACACCATTAAGTTTAGCAATTGAAAAGAAATATTATCGTTTGGTTACTCTAATACTAAAATTCAATATTAATGTGAATTTAGGAGGTGGATTATAATCCTCAAATTTACATATTGTAGCATAATAATGTCAAGTGGAATTACTATAAGATTTAATAAATTTAGGAGCAAATCCTGCACAATATGATATATTTAAGGATACTCCATTACATATAGTTAGTTCATTTAGTGATCATAAAAGAGTAAAATAGTTTTATTAAGTTATATTGTAATAGCCATTTGATGTTAATCATTATAATTTAAAAGGATAAACTTGTTTAGAGATTTTAATAGAAAAAAATAATTTTATTACATTGTAATTCTGTAGTGAATGGAATACTATATAGATGAGATAATTAAGTGATCAAAATTTATTTAATTTTTGCAGTATAAATCCTCATACAAAGTTATCTTTATTGGATAAATCAATATTAACTAAAAGTTTTATGATTCAATAATTTTTAATTGATTTTTAACTTGTTCCTATTACTTATTAAACATTAATGCTTTGTTTTTTACCAAAAATTCGTAATGTTTTCTTATATAAAATATTAAAGAAATAATAATTCATATAAATTAGAAATTAACTTATTTTTTAAGAAGGTAATTTATATGAAGAAACTGATTCTATTCCTAATGTTTCTCCTCCAGTAGAAGCAGTTGAGAAACTCTATTTTAGTGATGATAATAATTCATTTGATGATGATTAAATGAGTAATATTAGTGATAATGCACCTGGCTAAGTATCAGAAAATTTAAAGTAATTAAATAGTTGGACTCCTAAATTTTAAAGTATTAGAAATGGAAATGTTAATTTTAAAAAATCATTTTATGATATCTTATCAAATTTAAATGAATGTATACCTGATGATGAAATATCATTAATTCATATGAATAAGGATATTATAAATAATGGAAGTAAATTAGTTACTAAAAAGAATATGGATTAAATATATAAATCAAGATTAGAATAGAAATTAAATAGAGGGAATAAATAGAATTTGAAATAGCATAATTATTCTCCAAATAATATTCGAATGATAGAGAATAGAAATTCAATATTTAAGTATGATAACTATCACTAAAAAAGATAGTTGGCCATTTTATAAAAGCAAATGCGTTAAATAATCGTCAGTCTCCAAAATCATTTGAGAGAATCCAATCAATAAAATGAAGAAGTAATAGGTTAATATTGTAGAACTCAATTTATAATCTTAGATTAATTCTTGAATTCTAAAATAGGAAAAGAATTAATCACAATTGATAAACCTCTATAAACAGAAATAAGAACCTTAAGGACATTAATTGAATAAGATAGATTCAAACCAAAAACTGCCAATCAAGTACTTGATTTGTTTGATTTATTGAAATGATTATTATATCAATAAAAATTAAAAAAATGAAAAGGTAAATTAATTCAGCTCTTAAATCTCGTCAATCCCCTTAATCAATTACTAGATTAAAGAGTGCTGTTTAATTTAAATTTTAAAGTGAAACTCCTTAATGTAGAACATCTATTGCTCAAATGGAAAGATTATAAACTGGAACAACTATGCATACATAATATAAAACCAATTTTTCAACTAGAGAAGATGAAGTAATTAAGACTTAAGTTTCAGAAAGTAATTTAAGTAAAGTAACTAATCTCAGGATCAGAGTTGATCCTAAAAGTGAAACAGATGTAAAGATGTAAAATTATTTTTACAATAATTAACCTATTAAAGTTCATAGCAATATGAATATGTAATCATATATATTATTTATTTATAGTATTTCTAAGAGTTCACAGAAATTAGTTGTTACTTCAGATAATTTATAAACTACGGAAGTTAAAAGAAAAATGAAATATGATCCTGCTATTAGATAATAAGTTTTTATACTTAAAATTAAAGCCATTAAGAATCCTTTACTTTAAAAGTTCCTTAGATTCTTATTGAGTAAAGAAAAATAATTTATTGATCTTATTAAATTCAAATAAAACTAATAAACTATAGATTTAGTACAAGATTTTATTGAAATGGCTATTGGAACTTAAATTAGTTTGGTTGTGGTAGAAGTTTTATTGTTTTGTTCTTAAGCTTTAGAGAATTGTGGTTTAATTGAATTATCAATTCATTTATATAATTAAACAAGGTTATTATGTAATCATTCAAAATAACAATATGATATTCAAAAAATGAAGGCTTTTATTGGTTTATCAAATTGTGCTGTTACATATGAATCATATGAAATTGCAATTAAATTCTTAAAGAAATGTATACAATATGCTTGGTTAAATAACAATTTAGAATTTGAGAATTTGGTTTATTAAAAAATGGGTATTTGTTATTTTTATATGGGAAATATAGAAAAAGTATTCACAATAATTAATTAATATAGGCATCATTTTATCATGAAAGGAGTATTACTTATGATTTTGAAATAGAAGATTCTCCATTAAGAAAATTAAGTTGTGATACTCTAAAAATATATTTAAATAAACATTTTTAAAGAAATTATGCTGAAACTGTTAATAATGCTTTATTGAGTAAAATGAACTTTTAGATACCAATAGATATTAAATAATGTTAAGAAAATTTAATGAATTTAACTGATCTATCTTAATCACCTAGACTACATTTAAGTACTGAAGGATCAAGAAAAATGTCTATTTCTGGTGAAAATTCAGAATTATCTTGTTTAAAAATAAATGGAATGAGATTACTTAAAGATATTTTATCATAATAAGAATTTGATTTTTAAGTATATACACCTAAGCATTCATGTAATATTCAATTATATTATAGTTAGGACTGAAAGTAAATGTTTTGAATATTTAAATAATAAGAAAATTCATCCTAAAGATATTTATCATGATGCAAAATATAAAACTAATCCATTTGTTATTGATGATCTTGGAATTATTAAAAGTAAAAAAACAAGTCAAGCTGAAAATATGAGTAAATACAAACTTCCATTAGATTAATAGATAGAAATTAGATTATAATAAAAGTTTTAAATAAATTTATAAGAAAAAATTCAACATTATGTTGGAAGTAGTCATTAAAAAGCAGAATAGAAAAATAAAATATTGGTATTATTATTAAATTATTTAGTTAACTCATAAAAATTAAGAAAATAGTAAAAGGAATAAATAAATGGATGAAATAAAGAAATTTAATGCCATTGCTTTTCTATACTAAAATTTAATAAGTAAATTAATTGGTTGATTAATATTATAATCTCACAAGGACTTTAAAAAATAATGAGTTCATTCCTTATGATAATTCAAATCTGCAATAATTAATATTAAAAGCCATCATTTATAGAAATGATTTCTCTTCTTTTCTTTGCATATTCATAAGCTTAATCAAAAGACCATTATTTATTTCTCATTAAAAACATTAGTACAATTGTTGCTGATCTGCTCTTTCCTTATGCACAATGAACTAACACCTTTTAAACTATAGAATTTTATATATTTACCTTATTTTCTTATTTATTTAATGCTTCATTAATAAAAATGTAAGCTTCATCAAAATGATCAGATATTGGTTCTTCTTCTAAGTCCAAAACAGGAACCTAAAAGTATTTAATGAAATCTTTATTTTCTTATTAGATTTCACTGAAATAATTAGGAATTTCTTTGGCACAATTAACAACATGAGTAATTCCTAAAAGATTCAAGGCTTTTAGATTATTGGCATGATTGCTATTACCTAAGTAAAGTTAATTCTCAATAATCTCATTTGGTAAGCTGAATTCAAAATTCTAATAACAAAAAGGAAAACGAGAAACTAAATTTTCTTATGATTCACATATAATATATATTTCTCTAACTAATTCCTAACATAAAAGAAGATGAAAAAATTTCAAATTTTCCACCATATTATCATGAATAATTAGCTTATCTAAGTTTTTGTATTCTAGTAGAATATCAAAGAAATTATCAGACTCTAAACTTAGAGATAAGCCATCTGACTATGTCACTAATTATGTCAAATGTGTAGTGACGTAATTGGATTATTTAAATGGAAGAATAAAATTATAGGCTCTTCTTTTCTTTTCTAACAGTTTATTTTGTGCAAGTCTAATATAAGATAAAAATATTTACGTAATTTCAAGAGCTTATTCTAATTTAGTTGCATCTTTCAGTTTATTTTAATCAACTTTTATTGCTTTGTATTATTTGTTACTAAAAATATGAGTTAGGTTTACTTGTCTGGAAGAGAAAAATCATATAAAAGATAATTATTTTATTATTGGACATTATAGAAATATGAAATCGAGCACAATGTTATTTCAATCTTCTTATGCATTTCAATTAAATTAATTTATGGCATTTTCAATACTTGATACCAATTTTATATAATCTGTTAATAACAAACATTTTTAATTACTTACAACTTAATTGACACACTTTATTATTATTTTTTGGAATTAAGAATGAAATCTCTTTATTTAGTTTTTCTCACTCAAGTAAACAATTAGCAATAAGTATTATTATTTCAAAATACTCCATAAAAATCATTCTCACTTCCTTCAACATAAATTACAAAAGAGGATTTCTTAAGTGCATCAATAGCTGGACCTAAAATAATCTTGGATTATTTGAAAAATATTGAATTATAGAAATTTTCATTTTGTAAGAAAGAATATTTAGATATGGTTGATTTTGATAATTACAAATATAAAGAAAAATATGTATGGAGTTAAAGTTCTTAATAGGAGAAAGTATAAATTCAATTAATTTTTTAGGAATTATTAAGACATAAGAGAAATGTTTAGGCTCCACTTTGGACTTAATTTTTTAATAATTGTCCTTTATGGAATGATGATAATGAAGAAAACTTTTATTATATAATAGCGTTATAATAAAATGATCTTGATTACATTAATTCGCAACAAGGTTTGATCATAAAGTAAATATATTTTATTTAACATTAATAGATAAGTTAATATATAAGAATTAGAATAAAATTTATAATTAAATGGGGAGAATCAAAAGTTTAAAGATTTATAAAATGCCTTAATAAAAAATGAATATTTAAGAATTGATGGTAGAATTGTACTTCATTTTAATTTCAAAACTAAATAGCATTAATTTTATGATGGATCAGGTTTTTTCTTGGATACAGTCTCTATTTATAATGGAATATTTAGAAGACGATATGATAATTGGAATTAATATAATGTTGCTTAAGGACATTATCCAAGTGAAGAAATAATTATAAGAGCTGATGCAATTATTATGCCTGGAAATAGAATATCTGTTTATGATCATTATAAATGGATAGAAGATGTTAAATTGATATTAAAAAAGGCTTATGAAACCAATCCAAAAGTTAAGATTCTTGGAATTTGTTTTGGCTTTTAAATACTTACTGTAGCATTAGGAGGGATTGTAGAAAGAATGAAATATTCATTTGTTTTTGGAAACACCCATTTAGATCATAAGATTAATGTTATGAAATAATTTAAATTATTTTAAGGAATAGAATTAAAAGAGAGAACTATTATAAATTAAGCTCATGGTGATGAGATAACAAAACATCCAGATTTCTTGTATTTAATCTCTTCTAGTGATTCTTGCAAAGTAAATTTAGTATATATATATTATTAGAATGAAATCATGATTTCTAAAGATGAAAGAATTTTGGTATTTTAGGGACATCCAGAATATTCAAGTGCAGGAATGAGTATGTTATCTCTTGCATCTAGATTACCATCAGATAAATCTACATTAGATTAAGTGATTAAGGAAGTTAAAAGATAGTATCCTTAAGAATAGGATAGTTTTCATTTAAATTTATGTTTAAAATTTCTTAAAAGTGAAAAATGAATATAAATAATTGAATATATGACTTTGATTATGAAAATGTAAATTTTAATATATATTTTATAAAATGAATTAATTAACATTAGTATGTTTAAGTGACACTCATTCTAAATTTGTGGATGTACAAAATGGTGATGTACTTATTCATTGTGGTGACTTTACTAATTGGGGACATGAACAAGAAATTAAAGATTTTATATCATGGTTAAAAGCATAACCACATAAACATAAAATTGTTGTACCTGGCAATCACGATATAACTTTAGATATAGAAAAATATCCATAATTGAAACAGAAATTACATAGATACAGCAATTTTAATCCAGAATAATTGTTATAGGATCTTAAAGATTGTTGTCATTTGCTTATAAACTCATCAGTTACAATAGAAGGTTTTAAATTTTGGGGTAGTCCATACTCATAAGAATATTGTGATTGGGCATTTTAAATAGAAGGAAGTAGTTAATAATTTTGGGATAAAATAGAAGAAGGATCTGATGTTATTATTACTCATGGGCCTCCATATTTTTATGGAGACAAAACCAGTAATGGATCAAGAGTTGGAGATAAATATTTAATAGAAAAAGTGAAGAAAATTAGACCAAAACTTCATGTTTTTGGTGGTATTCATGAATCCTATGGAGGATATGAAGAAGATGGAGGTTATAGAGATGATGCTATTAAGTTTGTTAATTGTTCAATTATGGATGAAAAATTCAAAATTTAGAATAAACCATATGTTTATCATCTTACAAGGATTAATGAAATTTGATAAAAAATATCTATAAATATAAATTTATTTATAAATAAATCACCTTTTCAAAAATAAACCCTAGTAAGTAGATATGATTGTATTAACAAGTCTATCATTATAACTACCATTCATTTTTATTGACATCATAGATTTTCTACAAGATATCATAATTTCATATTCTTCATTATAATATTCTACCTATGCTAATACTGATATTTCATTTTCAGATTAACTAACTATCTCAAATTCTGATAGAAGATTAGGAATAGAACTTTAAAATCCAGTTACAAAAGGTTTGCTTTAATAGAAATAAGTTGTTGGTAATTGTTAACAAGAATTGAAGGTCAAAAATTTATTGATTGTACAAGGTATACCAAATTATATAATTTTATCCATGTAAATGAGTTAAGCTTCCAAAATTGAAAATGGTATTTCTTTGATTTCAATTTAAATTTAAATTATTTAACTTTCATCAGGATTCATTACTTTATTTATATCATTTAAAATTTTAATCTACAATTAGTCTGTGCTTTATAATTTAAGACTTAAATCATTTAATTTTATTGATGATTTATTTTAAATGGTAAGTGTTATAAATAATACTTGTATTTTTAATTAAGTGCTTGTATTGATTTAAATATTATCATCTTAATGTATTATAGATTTTTATGTAAAACAGGCTTATCTAAATCTTGTATTAAAAATACTAGGATTAATAGCAAATATAGTTGGATCATAATCTATAATAGGAGGCATTATTATTTTTGATTATCTATAAGGACTTTTTTAAATATCAGATTGTTTTGATGATTAAATATTTCCTGCTTATAATTCATTGATATTTCTTCTAGAATTAGATTTGGTACTGATTCCCCATGTTTGACTTGTGACACTATTTTTTTTATCATTCATTTAAAGTAGTTGATTTTTTAATTATGTTATTTATTACTTTTATGAGATCATTATTTATTCATATTAAACTAAATTAGATTTTTGTTTGTATAATTTAAATTCTTCAACATTTTATGGTATTTCTTGTTCTATTTTATCTCCTTTTATTGATTTTTAAGATAAATTATTTAATTTTGTCATTAATAATCTATTTTCAGTAAGTAAAACTTCTTTTTCATGTTTAATTTTATTATATAGGTCTTCTTACTCATTTAATTGTTTAAATAAATATTCATTTTCTGCTTTCAACTTAAAACAATCAACTTCCTTATAAGAGAGACCAAATTCAATTTTATATTCTGCTAACTTTAATATAATTTTAAATATTTACATGTTTTTCAAATGATGCAAGAATAAAAGGATTTTTAGAATCATGGGTTTTTTTGTATTCTTCTAATAAATATAAAAGCTTTTTTTCTATATTCTTCCAATCAGTTTCTAATTTTTAAATTAATAATTGTTTATCTTATAGTTATTATTACAAAAGAGTATTTTGATTTTAAGTTAGAATAATTTATTTTTATAATTCTTACATTTTTTATTAATGCATATTGTTTAATTATTATAATTATTGATTTTCAATCTATAGTCTTTAAAGTTAAGTCCATTCTTCATGACATTCTTATTTTTTACTTTCTTAAAGTTTCTATTCTTTTTCTAAAAATATATTTGCAATTCTTGCTTATTTATTTTTGTTAAGTATATGTTTTTTGACTATAGTTTAAAATAATTCAGCAAATGATGAATATTATGTTTAATGATATTCTTCAGGTAAATGAGATTCCAAATATCTACAGATTTCTTTAGTTGTAGAACGAAGATGAATACTCATAACTCTCTTTAATTATTATACCATTGAAAGAGGAGGAAATGTAGAAGGCAGATTTGAGTGAACTTAATGAAGATCAAAATATTGGATTTCTGGAAAATGAACTCCAATTTTATATAATCTCTCATAAGCAACACGATATAAACTAAGTCTATGATGTTATTTATCTAATGGAAACCATCTACCCCAAATTCTAATACATTCTAATGTAACTCTGAAGAATTAATCTCCTAATGCCTGCAATTCTTTGTTACCTTAACTACTTTTGTACTCTACATACCTTAATGAGGTTTCTATTTGTCTAAAAAGAACAATTTCCCTCTGTCATTATCTTATGATTCTTTTTTGAATAATGCAATCTATTCCATTTTAGGGAGAACGATTTTTTACATCAGATGTATATAATCTTCATTAAATGTTTCAGCTAATTCCTTATTGAACTATAAATAAATTTATGGTAATATTCTTACTTTGAGTGCCAAGAGTCTTAAAATTGGAGATTCATCTTGATCAATAAGAAAAGCAGCTAAACTTTATTGAACTATTTTTATATGCATTCTATTTTAATACTAATACATACTTGTCACCATATAATACTCTTAATTTTATATCTCTTACATGAGAATAAGTTTCAAACGAACTTAAATAAGATCGCAATGTATTTTGTAATTCCATTTAATTAAAAAATGAGACTAGACAAATTTGTTATACATAATAAGAATAAAAGAAAATAGTTATTATTCAATAAAAACAGAGTTTGCTAATTCCGTTTATTAATTACAATCTGTTAATTTGTTTTATAACTTTTATCATAAATGTTTTCATTATATTGATCTAATATTAAAAGGTTATTAATATATAAATAGTTATTTAAATTTACAACTAGATAACTAATTAATAATTGTCAATTTTTTATTTTACTTATAATGTATAATGTATAAAATTTTATATTATACAGACATATAATAAACTTTTAATTTCAATATTTATTTGTTAGATAATATTTGAATATTAATTTTTCTTATTTTCTAATAAATTTTTGAATTTTTATATAAAGAACTTGTTATTTTTATTTTTTTTAAATAATTAGCCACTTTAATATTAATTTTTGAATTTATTGAACAATTAACAATTAACAATGTCAAATCATCCCTAATCCTAATAACCATAACAATAAGCACAACCTCCATAACCATAAGCAAGAACTGTTGCTCCAACATATCCAAATACTGTCTTACCACAAGCATATCCAAATGCTTTCTTACAACCAACATATTATCCAGCTTCTCCCGTTAGACAATCTTATGTAGCTCCTGTATAATATGCTCCTATGCCTTAAATGTCTGTTGCTCCAATTGCCTAAGTCCCAGTTTAACAATACGCTGTTGCACCTGTAGCTCCTGTTGCTTAAGTAAATTTTGAATTTATTTTTAGCATCAATCAATCAAAGGAGAATCAAGAATTGAATATGTACCTTATTAAAAAGCTGTCATTGAATATGAAGAATAAGAAATCGTCTCCTATGTTCCAAGAGAAACAAAAGTAACTGATTACTATGCTGTTGAATATCAAACAGAATATATCCCATAAGTTTTCCAAGAGAAATATACCGGTAATTTTAATATATATATATAAACTAGAGTATGTACCTGTTGATAGATATTAAGAAAGAGTTGAGTACTAAGCAGTAGAAAGATAAGTTGTTCATTAATAACCTACACAATATGTGTAATAAGCTGTATCTGTAGTTTAACAACCATATGTTTAACAATCTGTTCAATATGTCTAACAACCAGTTTAATATGTTTAATAACCAGTTTAATATGTTTAATAACCTATGATTGCATCAAGAATGGTTCCATAATTTGCATAACCTCTTTAATAATATCCTCCTTAATAATATCATCCTGCTCCTGTAACTAGACCTTAATAACCATCATAATAACCACATCAATCCCATTAATCATCCCATTAACCATAATAAGTGGCATCTCAATAACCAAGATCATAACCAAGCCAATAATAATAATCATAATAACAATGATATATCATTATTAAATATTAAAATACATTTTAAATTGATGGATTAGTTACTTAATTCTTATTCTTAAATAAAAAATACAGTAAATAATTATTTCAATTTTTTAAGCAATAAGTAAATAATCTTAGTGGCTTAGAATCTTTACAAGGTTTAGAATGCTGAGACAAACGATCCCATTAGAATTATGTCTTCTGATATCCAAACTACATTTCCACAGCCAAAAATATATTCAATGCTATAGTTGATTTCTTCATGCTTAGAAATCGATCATTAATTAAACTAAGTTCTGCCAAATACCTATTTCTTAATCAAATATTTTACATTGATCTTTGTTTTATCAATTCCAAATATCTTTTATTACATCCTAATAATTCTCCTATCAATTACAACCATATTAATGTATTATCACTAATAACATTAAAGTTTAATTTATATAATATTTCCTTTTCCATTTCAATAACCTCTCTAACTCTTAAATCTGTGCCTCGAAGCAATGCTCCCAATGGAGGTGGATATATTTCTTCATACTTTGTAGCTATAAATAAACAGGTTATTGCAATGAGCTCCAATTTCTCTGCCTCAGGATTTATATGATTAATTGATTAATCTATCAAATCAACTGCTTAGAATAATGTTTCTGATTTCAAATTATATATTTTGGCCTACTTTATTACAAACCTAATCTGTTTCTAACTATTATATATACTGTAGTATTTCGCATCTTTTCATTGATTTTCATTTAATCAATCGAAAGTTAAAATCCTTAGTTCTCTTATTCACGTTAATGAAGGAACTCATATATTTCTTATTGATATTGCATGACCTGTTAAGGACATTCTATTTTTAACAAACCATCTTTTGTCCAAACAGCCTCATTTATTACATTTTCTTTCCCTCCTATTTCATCAACTATCCCATTTCTTTTATCTTTTGCATCCTTTAATGCCTTATCAACTTAATTATCAAGATGTCTTCCAAAAACTCTTCCAATCTGATTTTAATGCATGTATTTAAATATTATGTCAATTTTGTAATTTTTTTTTTATTTTGGCTTTTTAAAAGCAATTATTATTAATTTAAATTCATCAATCATATATTAACTCTTCATTAATTCATTAAATAAATAAATAAATTGTTTAATGGTTTATCTCCTACTTTTATATCAAATAAAAATGGAATATCCTTCCCTTGATTGACTAAGAAATTAACAATATGTCATTTTTCAACTGCAAATAAAATAAAATATTACTACATCATTTTCTTCCTATAATTGTTAAAATGCATAATTATATAAAGGAAAATTTAACATAAACAGTTTTAAACATTTTAATACAATCAAAAAGTAATTTTAGATGTTTTAAAATTAGTATTCTAGTTATCACAAAAATAAAATATTTAAGTATTTATGTTTAATTAATATAAAATGCAGAAACATAAGAATCTCTAACTTCTCATGCTTTAGACATCTCTAAAAATTGAGAATGAATAATTAATAAGAGAATCTTTTATATAAATAATAAAACTCGAATAATTAGTAAAATTGAAGGATTGCAAAATAAAAACTTGAATTTAGAAGTTATCTCAACTTAGCTATAAAGTTGATTATTAAATATAATCCATAGGATTATTGAGATTATCTCAAAATATTGTAATAATTTAAAGAGCATTAGTCTAGCTAAGTAATTGTTATTAATTCCTTGCTTAAACTCATTTATAGGATAAAATAGTATATTTAGATCAGACAGGTAACAAACATCTCATTGACATAATGTCTCTGAAGGTGTCCTAAGAGTGTCATCACAAATTAATTTTTTTATTTTTATTAATTAAATTTATTAATATATTTATTGCCTCAAAAATACACAAATTTAATTAATAATTGACATGATATCGTTCATAAAAAATAACAAAGCTGTTAATTTAAATGACTAATTATATTAATTTGCTATTGAAGACAATAATAAAAATAAGGTAGTTTAGTTTTAATCAATTCATATAAAATCATCATAATGTTCTGCATACCAACCTTGCCAACCTTTCAATTCTCCTGATATTTCCTTTTTATTCTCTCTCTTTTATAATATTCTTGATGATGATGTATTATTATTTTTAATTTCTTATCTACTAATTGAATATTAAGTATTTGATCTAGCTATACGAGCTGGTTCTGTCTTCTTTTTAATTACAATTCGTTTTTCAACATGACTTGTAATTGGTGTTGATAATTAAGTTGGAATCATTTAATCAATTGATAATTTATGAAATATTTTAGGATGTCCATAATTTAGATTCTCAAAAGGATCAATTTTCTTTTTTATTTTTTTTATGTTAAACCAATTTGATTCCAATGATGGAGATCGGCTTTTAGATTCAACAGTTTTTTTATTTTTAGAACTATTCAATTAAATTGTTGGACTAATGTTTGTTATTTATCTAGCAAGATTTCTAGGGGATCTGTATTTGAATTTAGGTATATGATCCAAATTGATTACAGCACTATATTTGATACTGATCTTCGTTAGAGGTTATTTTTTGGGTGATTGTATGAGATATTTATTATTATAATTCATTTAATAATTAATGTCTGATCACGATACACATATTCACTAAAACATTACAATTTAATAAAAGAATGAAAGAATAAAGTAGTCAATTACAACCTCTATGAAATTGTCCTTGATGAATATTTACTAAGTTTGCAGCAAATTTTGTATTAAAGATTACAAAAAAAAGGACCTTTCTGATAGAGAAAAAATCTGTTTATCAAGATGTTTTGAAAGAAAAAACGAGACTCTTCAAACAACAATGGAATTTTTAGGAAAGTTAGAATAATCATCTGATTGATTTTGCAAATATTTTATGCATTAATAAATACCCTTATTAATTTTTAATTAATCATCTAACAAGTACTATTTAAATAATATATTCATTTTATAAACCTATTTTTCTATTTTTTTACTTTAAAGTAATTAATCATTATTAAATATATAGATAATAAAAGAAACTTTGATAAATGTAATATTTTTATATGTTGTATATATAAAATTAACCTATTAATTTATTTTCAATTTTTAATAAAAAAACACTCTAATTAATAAAATGGATCTAAATGTGAATGATAAAGGGTAAATTTTTGTTTAATTTTAAAATCAGCCATTTATTATCTCACTTAATATTAATTTATTCTAATAATTGATTTCTATATTCATATTTTTTAATTAAATACTTAGTTATAAATATATTATTATTTGAATCATTATTATAAATAGTTTCAATATTTTATGCATTTCAAAAAGCTTTATAATAATCTTTCGATTTAATATTTTTATTTAACCTAATATTTGCAAAACAATTACTTTAATATAATAGATTTTGTTTAATCTAATTTATTTAAAAAAGGGTTGGATTCTTAATTAATTTTTTTATTTTATAAAAATAATTATATTTTTGAATTAAATAAAAGGAAATTATGTAAATGTAAATTGATATTATCAAAAAGGTATAGATATCTCTTATTTTTTAATAGATATTCCTATAGAATTATCATTTGCTATTTTTTTTAGTAATTTCTTATTTTGTAGTAATTCATATCCCACCATTCTTTCACTCGGACTTGTTTTTTTTTTAGGAGATTAACTTAAATAACCTTTAACCATTTATTTTTTTAGTTCTTCTTGATTTAATATATACATTTATCTAATATTCTATAAAAAATAATCAGATATATATTACATTTCTTCTTTCTTCATCTTGTTTTTTCAAAGCCTTTTATTCCTAAAGTTATTATTCAAAAAGTATTTTTTTTTCATTTACTTCTTGAGTATATCTTCTTTTTTTCTCTAGAATTTATTATTAGAGATCATATGAAATTTATATTTATTGTTCTTTTTTATTTGTCTTATTTTAAAAATCAAAAAAAGTATTATGTTCACTATTCTTTTTAGTCCAGTAATCATCTTATAAATAATGATCCTTTTTATTTTTCACAACAAATTGACTATAATTGTTCATAAATTAATTAATTTTGTCCTCTTAATCCTCTTAGTCTTTTTAGTATTTCTCTTTTCTATCATTTTCAAATTGTTCTTTTATTAATTACTATTCTTATAATTATTTTTCATTCTCTTTGCCTTATGTGATTTCATCTTATGCCTATTTTTCAAATACACTTTACTTTCTTTCTTAAATTTTCATTCTATTTTAATATCTATTGGAATTTATCCTTTTATTCAAGTCTCTTTCGTTTCTGTTATTAATCTTCTATTTTCAATTGTTCTTTAACCTTGGTAAGCATTTCTTCTTCTTATTATCTTGTATTTAAATTCTACTCTTTTCTATTTTATATATAAAGCTTACTTCTTTCTTTTATCAATCTAAACTTATTAATCTCTAATAAACTTCTCTTGTAATAATTATTACTTTTTATTTTCCTTTATTAATTCCTATTATCTTTCAAATTCCATTAATTATTATTAATTTTTAACTTAATATTATTTGTCTTCCTGTTTTTCTTTATATTTACGTTATTCTTTTTCTGCTACTTATCTATCTAATTCTTCTTTTATCTTTTATTAATTAAAATACATAAGTTTCTTTTATTCTTCTAATTCTTTTTTAAATTATAAGGTATCATATTTTATAATGGCAGCCCATTCATCTACAGAACCATCAACTTAATATATTGATTTTCTTCTTTCATCCAATAAATCATTTGGTAAAGTGTTAATCAACTATATTTTTGAATTGTTATCTGTTTTATTTTACATTTTATAAAAATTGTTTTATTCATCATTTTTATCAGGTAATGTTACCAAACACTAAGGATTAGTCAAAATTTTTAATTATTCTTCTTTTTATTTTCCTATTACAATAAATTGTCAATCATACTAGATATACGCTAATGTAATTTCTGAATCATTAATTGTTTTTCATTTTCAGGTCTTAAAATTGCTTCTTTAATTTCTTCTTTAAGTGCTCTTACAGTTCCTTCGCTTGCTTTATAAAATGTAAAAAAATCTTCCACATAAGTATTTATTAACTAATATTTTTTGTTAAGTAAGTTACATTGATATTTATTTAGTTTTTTTTCCCATAATCTTAAATTAATTTATCAATTATGAGAGATTTAATTGAATCATCTTTTTAGATTTATCTTCCAATATGTAAAGTTTTATTAATCTTTTTGGGGTACATAAATAAAATATATATAATTTTTAATTTATATGAATATTACAACTTATACTAAGTATAAACACAATCTATACATTAAAATATGTTTCTAAAAAGTGAATAAATATATATACTTTAAGGATAAACAAAATCTTTAATTATAATACTGAAATTATTAAGATAGAATATAAGTTTATATATAGGATGAAATTGTTACTATATATTTATATTATTGGAAATTACTTTAATATTAGATAGTATTTACTTATTAATATTAATATACAAAATAATACTAAAGAGAAAGTTAAGAAAATGGTTTATTCTCTTTAATTAATTTTATAAATAAGGTTAAAATTTTCAGTGTTTATATAGGAGTTTTATTATTTATATTAAATTAATATGGATAACAATGCAACAACAGTTATAAATCGAAATTCTGAAATAAAATTCTAAATAATAGAATGGATAGACATAAATTAAGATGCTTAAAATTTACTGAAATTTAAGAAAGAATTGGCTAAAAAAATACTGAGTAAACCAAAGAAACCTTAACTATTTTGATTTAAAATAGAATGATGATATTGATCATAGTATTATTATTATAATTTATTCTTTTTTTTAATACTTATAAGAGCAAAGAGTATTACATCTTTTTTTAAGAATTTTTACTATTGTTTAAATGAATGAGATTTAATTATCTTTAGTTATAATAACTAAAAATAAGTTAATATAAATAATTGAGAGTTAATCATTTTGAATTGAAAATGTTATAAAATTTGAAAAATGGAGGAGGAATTATATTACATTAGAAAATTTAAACAATAATTAATCATATTAATTTATATTTTATAATATTAATTAATATACATGAAATTAAAGTCATCAACTAAAAACAAATTAAAAATCAAAGTTATTTAGTTTTATTGATTTGAGATTTCATACAAGCAATAATAAATAGTAATGCATGTAAGGTCAAAAATATTAGTGTAAGTGATTGAAGATGGTAGCATTACAAACTTTAGATATAGGCAATCTAAATAATATATTAAATTTACCAAAAACGCAATCAAAAATAACATTCTAATTAGACCTTCCATTGTAGTGATGACATTAAATGTCTTATTTCCAATAAGGGTTATTATGGATAATATGATGCTGCAAGTACAATATAATGTGAAATATATAGCAGTTTGCTTTAACAATGTACATTCATCATTGTTAGTATTAAGTGAGTAATAATAAAATAGACTTCCAAACATTACATTAAATGATATCATAAACGAGATATATATGTATTTGTCATCATTTTTATTAAATTGTCCAACTTATTTACAATCCTCATCTCTTCTTTCCATTTTTATGAGTATTTAATATTATAATATAAATAATTAAATTATATCATTAAAACAACAACTCCAATCAATAACTTATTGTATAGATAATTTATATATCTATATTTAATCTAATTTCAACTCTTTATTATTCAAATAATCCATATAAAATGCATATTTATATTAATCAATCCATCTATATTCTACTTTTTTCCATTATTAATGAAACTGATATTTCTATCTGTTTTTCTTAACTCTTTCCATCTATTCAAAATATATCTATATCTTAATAGAATTTATTAAATACTTATTATTGCATCTTAAATTTCTTCGATTATTCAAAATCTATTATGTGAATAATACTATATTTCATTTCCAAGCAAGATAATTAAATATATGATTTTGTATATAGATGAATGATCTATTATTGATAATTGTGAAATTGAATTCTATATTTGATTTATAGAACAATTATTAAATAATTATAGAACACTTACTAAAATTATTATCAAAGGAGATTTCTAATTTGATTAATTTTATATAATTCTTCTAAATTAATTCTTAATAATTCCATCACAATAAAATTATTAAAATTTTCATTACTTCCTCCTTAATACATTGCTTTATTAATACTGATTCCTAATTAATTAAGCTTTCTTACTATTCAGAGATTGTTATTTCATCTAAAATATTTTAAACAAATTAATTTGATAACAATAATATTATTCAATTTCATATAATAAATTAATAAACTATTGATTTTTCAAGTGTATATCCTTGATTGAATTGAGTTTGTCCACTCTTTAACAAATAGACTCTTATATATTTCATTATAATATTATATATTATAATAATTTAATATTTTTATATTAATAGTTACTTGTTATTGTCATATATCAAACGTGAATAAACTAAATAATTAATCTGAATAATTAAAATGTTTAGATATTGTAGTGAAAGATGATAACTATATTTTATAATATTATACTAAAGATTAAATGAGAAATGTTAAAAAAATATACTTTATTTATTATACTAATTTTTTAATAAATAACCTATATCTAATATGATACTTTAACATATTAGCATTTACTTATTTAGACAATAGTATTTTTGTTAATATTTTAAAGTCTTTAAATATATATTATTAGTGATTTAATTTATTCAAATGAACAACATCTTGAATTCTTGATTAAATATATCTGGAATAAGTGATTATACAATATTGAATAATTTTAAGTTATAATAATCTTTTATAATCTAATTTAGATTAATTATATACTAATCAATTTAAAAGTTTCAAGACTTCCTCTTTAAATGAATCTATGAAATCTTTTTCATCTGGAAAACAGTATGAATTCTAAAGCATTTTTTATTTAGTAAATCTTGTTCTACACATTGGACAAGAATCTCTAAGTTTTACACTAAACCATCCATCTATACAATTTTAACAATAACTATGACCACATGGCAATAGTTTATCAATTTTTTTTTCAAAACAAATTTGACAAACTTCATCATCATTATTTTTCATGTACAAATATGCTAAATCTTAAATTAATTGTTTTAGTTTATAGAATGTTTCTTGATCTATCAATTTTTATCTTTCATCTATTTTGAGTATGATTGCAAGATCAGTTTTGGCTGTGAATGAGAGTAATTGCTCTTAAAATGTTTATTTATTTTAAATCAATTCAGCTCCGATTTATTTATTTAATTCTTGTTGTAAAGGCATTGATCTTAAAATACAATAGGATATTGTTCTTACTTGATAACTTTATTAAAATATTCAATATCCTTAATAAGAACATGAATTGGTTATTTAGTTTGTTGCTATCCCATATTAATATTATATTTATTTATATGATATCTGATCAGAATCTTCCTCCAAGGTATTATGAGGTAGCGGTTAATTTATCAGTCAAGTGTTCTAATATTCTTTCAACGATTTCTTATTGTCTCTATCTCTCAGTGGATTGAGTTTCATAAGTTTATTCTTATAAAGCACACCATTCATTTTCTGCATCAAGAGTCTCTTAAGCTGATTCTACTTCCAACTTTAATATAATAATATAAAAATACAGTATGGACTTCAAAGAAATGAGTAGCTGTATCAATATTAGTTTTGAATGTTTGAATAGCTTATTCTAATTAATTCTTTCTATCAACCAATCTATTGTGTTCATTGCTCAAATGTGTAGAAAATTCAACCCATCTTTAAGCTTATCTATTTTCAGTATCCTAAAATAATAATCAAAAATATAAATTTACTTCCAAAACTGATCTAGCTTCTACTAATTATTATCTAAGTTGAGAAAGTAATTATAAAATTCTTTGAATGGCTTTTTAATCAACCTTAGAAGCAAGTTCTGTAAGAGCTGTAACAATTGGTTAAAATAAGGCTCCATGACTTTCATTTTCAATCAATCTCTTTTGAACAGCTTCAAATTTTGGTTTAAGTTCAGCAAATGTGGCACCTAATGAAAGATGTTGAACTAATTTAGTGGCTTCATCAACAGCAGCAATAGCATCATCATGTTCACCATTCTTTCTAACCCATGTTTCATGAGCTTTGTTTCTATTTGCTTCTTCTTAAGCAAATGTTCTTTCATTACTTTCAATATCCTATTGATATTAATAATATGCTTACTTGAATTGTTTATCTGACATCAGTTTCAGCTTCAGCCAATGCTTTCTCATTATCTTCTCTCATTTAAGCATTTGCACTAACTTATGCTGTATGATAAGCAATTGAATTTTCAAGATCAGTTACTATTCTTGTGCATGCAGATCTGTCAACTCTAATAACATTGTCATGTTTATTTTAATCATCAACTAATCCAGCAAGTAATTGGTTCAATAACATTAAGATTTCCTCTGCATTTCCTTTTGCTTACAAGTACATTTGAACTGTTGACAAAATAGAGTTTCCGAAGTTATCGGCATCAATTTCTGCCAAGATTGTTTTTGTATCCTTTTGGACTGCCAATACTGTTGAAGCAATCAATGCTAAAGCAATGAATTTCATCATTTTTAATTATTATATTAAGCATATTCATAAAACGGATTTTAATATATATTCATTACATTAATAAAACTTAATTTATTTGTTAATATTATCATAAAATATAATTTATATCATTTCTATTTACTTTGTTTAATAAATGTTTTTGTTATCATAAATAAATTTCAATATATATTATTTAATATACTCCATTATAAGAATAAGAATATATTTATATATCATTCTATTTCCATTTATTAATCAATATCTTCTTCATCATCTTCTTCATCACTACTCAATATTTATTCTAATGGTTTTTCTTTGATGCATTCTTATTAGAGTCTCTTAAATTCTTTAACAAAATCATCTCTTTATTCACACCATATTTAAACTGTCAAACTACCTTATATATTTATTCCTGTTTATTGAGCATTCAATTATTAAATGACTGTAGATCCAATTTATCCATCATCTTCATCCTCTTAACCTTCAGCTTTTAAACATAATAATGCTGATTATCCACTTGTTCCAATCATCATAACATTCTCATACTTTATAAAATGACCATTTATTTATACTCCTTTATTTTTACTTTTAAACTAATACCAGCTTGATTTAATTAGATTTATGATTCATTAATAAAATGTTTTTGTTCTTAAGAAGATGATATCTCAACTTTACCTTTCATTATAAATAATTATTATTTTATTTGCATAAATATTTCATTCTCATTTCTTTATTAAGGATATATAAATCGAGTTGTAAAAGGTCGATGCCATATATGCCCCAAATAAAGGAGCAAACAAAAATACCCAAAAGTTAGCTAGCTTTGTTGTATCATTCAACCAAAATGCTTCAAATAATTCTAATCCAACCCCCATAGCTGGATTAAGACAACCTTACAATTGTATTCACAATTTACCTCCAGTATGGGAAGACAATTATCTAGAGAAAAAGAGGGCCAAGGCAATCCAAGCTATTCCTGCAATGTCATTATTCGTTTATCTTGTCTATTCATGAACTTATATATGAATAAATAGAACAAACATAAATGTCCCTAAAGCCTTTTAAGATTATTAAAAATTAATCATACTTCTCCACATAAATCTGCTAACATCCATTCTATATTTGTACTCTTTATGCTTGGAGATGTTACTACACCTAAAATTAGATAAGCTATCCAAGCACCTCCTACAGCTCCTAATAATTATGCAGTCCAATATATTCTTAATGTCCATGAACTAATTGTATCATCACAGTAAAAACTGAAAGACACTGCTGGATTAACATGTCCTCCTGTGAATTTACAAGTCAAAAATATGGCAGCATATAAATAAGCTGAAATCAAAACATCTGATCCATTTGATGCCACTATTCCATATGCAAATAATCCTGTTCCAATAGTTTCAAAAATAAATATGATTGTTAGATCCCCAAAAGTTTTTGGTGCTGGTCTTTTAATAGGAGCAGTAATTTATTCTTCTACATCTAATTAGATAAGATGAGTTTAAGCTTATTAGGTCACATGCTCATTATTTTATTATTCCTTTGGTGAATCCATTTTTTATTAATATTTTTGATTTATTTAATATAAGAATTAAATGGAATTCAAAATAATCTAGAATAAAATCTAAATTATTTTATTTGTAACATACTTTATAATTTTATATATATATCTATTAAAAATATCAAGCAAAAACTGAATCATTGTAAATATTTCCAAGGCAGAATTTTGATGTTATTAAGAAAATCATAATTAAAATAAAAGTATTAATTTTGTCATCAATAAATTGAGACAGTTAATTAAATTAAAAATATTGAAAAAATTTAATTAAGTAATTCAAAGAATAAAGTATATAATAGATTAATTAACAACAGATTTAAAATTTATGCAATTAAATATAATTTATACCGATTATTAATTATATTAAAATTATAAAGTAAGAATATTTTTTGACATTCTAGAAAATTAAAACAATATTCCAAATGACATATTTTTATATTTAAGGATATAGATTATTAATATGTTATTTCATGAAATTAAATTTTAATAGGAGAATATCAATATTTTATCTATTTCAATTATATAATTCTATTATAACAAATAAGAAATTAGCTTTATGAATAAACAATACAATAATAATAGTCATAATTAAATTATAATAATATTATATTAATATTTAATTCATCTTTTGCTGTGTACACTTTAAGACTGAAGTTCCATAAATTTCTTTTAAGATTTACTTAGCAAATTTTAAGTTTCCTAAAAGTATTATAAACTAATTTATACTTATAAACGACTTTGCAACATCTACTCATCTTATAAAAGCTTTTCTCTAGATTTCTTTAACTTCTCTTCGATCATTTTTTCATAAGAAACTCTTTCTTTATAAAATTGTTGTGATTTCATTTCATCCAACTTTTTGGCTTCCTCCTTCTTTTCTTTCCTTCTCTTTTCTTCTTAATAAAGAGTCTCTCGAATCTTTTAATTCTCTTAAAGTATACAATTTCTTGTTCTTGATAAAGTCAACTTGATGGCACTCTTGTACTCCTTAACTTAAGATTACTTCATGGAATCGCTAATTACACTCACCACGCATACCCAATCTTCTATTTAGCAGCATGTTTTAAAATAAATTCTTCTTCATGTTTTTTTATCTATTATATTTGATGTTTTCTTTTTCTCATATCATCTTCCTTCAATTAACGTGCTTCTTCAGCTAGATCTCGTAACTGTTTCTTAACTGATTATCCATTTTCAATCTTTTCTGCAGCCATCTCATATAATTTAGCCTGTCTACTTCAAGTTACATAATACCAGATGTAAGTTTTTCTGTTGGGTCTATTTCAATAAAGTAACTCTAGCCATTTGTTTTTCATATGCCAATTTTTCTTGTCTCTTTTTTTCTGTTGCTTAAGGTAATGGAATCAATGGTTAATCATCATCGTTTTAGCTTCTTTGCATTCAAAGAAAATATATTATTAAAATTAATTTTTTTATTGTAACACTCAAATTATAAATATTTTTAATGCTTAAATTCTAATACACATTTTATATTCCAAATTTTAATTGATTATAAACTAGTATAAAGAGTAAATATAAGGTAAAATTAATATAATATATGTTTCAAATATTTAGTATACAAAACTAATAAAAGTTAATTTTTTCATGTTATAGTGTCATATATAATATCAATAATCATATCTTTGAGTTAAATAAAGATGAGAAAATAAACAAAAATAATTACAAAATTATGATCACCTACAATATTCTTGCAATTTTATTATAATCGATTTAATTAGTCGCATTGATTTTTTCATTTACATCTCTATATAAATACAAAATATGATATTATAAATAAGATATTAAGTTATTAATGATTGATTGAAGATTATTTTCTATTAAATTTTTTCCTAATCTTTTTATTTTTATAAATCAAATCATTTTTTAATTTTTTTACCTTTTTTTATATCTCAAAAACTAAAATAAAAATATCTTGTTTTATCAGAATATTCCAATCTTTTAAAGTATTCTTATCCCATTCATTATTGGTCCAACATTATTAAAATTTTAGTTAATTTAGATTGTAATCAGTTTATATATATCATATTTATTATAAAGATTTTCTAATTTATTCTGTTTCTAGCATTTTCTTAACTCAATTTATATTATGATAGTTATCACAATAACAATTTTAATGTCTTTTTGTATTTTTCCAATACTTTAATAGCTTTATATAGAAAAACTAAAAGAGAATTATGGTTTTCTGAAAATTAGAATTCTCTTGAAAGTAAAGCTGAATTATTTGACATAACTAAATTTTATTAGTAAATTTAACATATTATCAATTTTAGTATGTATAATCTAGGATAGTAAATGATAAAACAAATAGGAATTTTAGAATAATTTGATATAAATTTATTTACAATTTACATGTATTTAAGGTATAAATTGAATTAGTGATTAATTAATAATAATTTAATGAGCTCTGAATAAAGAGTTAAATTATTGCATTAGCAATTTGAAGTATACAAAGAAATGAATGAGTAAGTATCTAATCCTACTGAATCTCTCTAATATTATAGATAGCTGAGTACAATAGATAAATAAAAATATATTGAAATATTTTATGGTCGCAATTGGAAATATCGATAGAACCTATTTGATATAGTAAAAAATAATTAACATGTTTTCAAACATCATCATCTTGAAGAATCAACAAGAGAAGAATAGAGATATCATTCATTCCAGGCTATGAGACATTTTCATTAAAAACTTGGAGTGACTTATGATATTTTTTTATCTGATCCAAATATAGTAACAATAACATCAGTTGCTATGTACAGCTTTGATCCAGCAGTATGTGTGAAATTTGGAGTTCATTTTTCACTCTACACCAAAACAATTCTGAATCTAGGAACAGATAAACATAAATAATATTTTGAAAATGCATAAACACTTACAGATATTGGTAGTTTTAGTCTTACAGAATTGGGACATGGATCTAATGTAAGATAAATCTAGACTACAGCAGTATATGACAAAGAAACATAAACTTTTATTATTAATACTCCAACAGATTTAGCCACCAAATTTTGGATTGGAGCCACAGCTAATTTAGCTAATATGACTGTAGTATTTGCTTAACTCTATATTGATGGAAAATAATATGGTGTTCATGCATTTCTTGTAGAAATTAGAGATAAAACAAATCACAATGTAAAAAGTGGAATTACTATTGGAGATTGTGGACCTAAAAATGGATTGAATGGGATAGATAATGGATTCTTAATCTTCAAAAATGTTAGAGTTCCTGTTGCTAATATGTTAGATAAATTTGCCACTGTTACACCCTCAGGAGAATTTAAAACTTCTATTGAGGATCCAGACAAAAGATTTGCAGTTCAATTAGCATCTTTATCAGGAGGTAGAATCATTTTAACTTATTATGGAGCTATTACATCTTTAAATGCACTTACTATTGGAATAAGATATGCTGCAATAAGGAAATAGTTTGGATTACCTGGAGAGAAGGAATAAAGTATTCTTGAATATCCTCTTACCTAATTAAGATTAATTGTTCCTTTGGCATCTACATTAGTTTATATTATAGCTGCAAAGGCTATTAATAATCTTTGGGATACTACTTAAAATAATGTTTTTAATCCTAATAAAATGGCTGAAATCCATGCTTTATCAAGTGTTTTGAAGGGAAAATTTGCTACTTTTGCTAATAAAGTTATTTTGGAATGTAGACAAATTTTAGGTGGTCATGGTTATCATTCATTCAATAGATTAGGAGTAATGTTATAAGATTAAGATATAAATAATACATGGGAAGGAGATTCTAATGTATTAATATAATAAACTTTGAAATTTTGTATGGATTAAAAAAATAAGTTTGTTAATGATTAAAAACCAATTTAATATAATTCTCTCAAATTCCTTGAGACTTTTAAAGTTAAATCAATTAAATTTTAAAAAGATGAAGATTATTTATGTCCAAAAAATATTCAATATCTATTAGAATATAAATTAGACAAATAATTAAATGACTTTATGTAAGATTTGACTAATAACTTAAATAATAATGATATGTTGAAATCTTGGAATCTTTCATTTGCATTCAAAGGATAATAAATATCAAATTCATATGCTGATCTCTATTGCTTTTAATAATGGTAAGAACTTAATGTAAAGAATGATTCTGTTTTAGAAACAGCATTTCAAATTTGGTGTTTGACTTTATTGGAAAATGAAATTGAACTCTATAAAAATAATGGTATTCATTTATTTTAAATATTAGAATTTAACATTTCAGATGCTACTGTTAAAAGATTATTATTAAAATTCAGTAATCAGCTTAAAGATGAAGCCATAGGAATTATTGATGCCTTAGCTCCACCTGATGAAATCTTAGGTTCCATTTTTGGATCTAGTGATGGAGACATTTATAACAAATTTCTGTAAAAAATTTACAGTGGAAAGAATACCTTTTAAAAAGTACCTTGGTGGGAATAAATACATAACAAATGATAATTATTGTCAAATATATATTGATAATAATAAAAAATTTAATTATATCAAAAACTCTTGTTTTTTTAAGTATTTTTAATTAATCTATACAAGTAATTTTGAATTTCTTTTGATTTTTTATATTTTATTATCAAACTTTAATTCATAATCATAATTTTTGCAATAATTAGTAGATTTTATGATTATTATTAAAAAATATTATAATTAAAATAATTAATTCATTGTTGTTAATAAAATCACTTGAAATTATTATTAATAATTATTATTGAAATAAAATATTAACAACCTTTATTTAGAATAGATTAATCAATTATTAAAAAAAGATAATTTAAATATTGATATATATATATTAAGATTTATGCATTATTGTATTGATATTTTAACTCATTAACCAATTAAGGCAGATGCAGTCTTTGAGACACTTAATTATTAAATATTATTATTACTATTTCCAGTTTGATGGTAACTTTTAGGTTCTTCTGTAATATCTACTAAGTCTATGAATTCTGCTTTCAACCAAAATTAATCTGAATTTGCTTGTCACATCACCTCTATTCTTTTCTAAATGCTTTCTGATTTAAACAGCCTTCTTAATCAAGGCATATAAGTCTTCAGGAATTTTAGGAGCACATCCTAATAATATTGAATAAAAAATACCTCTCTTTTTAAGGATTCTCAAAATCTTTTATCCAGTTAAAAATCTGGTTTAAGGAATACCTTATTGATCTCTTAAATAAACACCAATTTATGAAGCATTAAGACCTGAACGAAATATTAAGAATTAATTAAAACCTTTCTTTGCTAAATTAACAATTTGATCAAGGATGGATTTTGAGGATAATGTCAACCATTTTGGTGCTTTTCTCTTATATGGAAGGGCTGAGCCAGAAATACCCTTTCCCTTTCCCTTAGCTTACATACGACCCATGAATTAATTTAAGATTTAATTTTATTTAAATTTTGTTTAGTCATTTCTTTGGTTTCTTGCTTTCTTTTTGTTTATCATATGATCCAAATATAAGTTTTTTCTTTCCTTTAATCCAATCTAAATTATTTTAATATCATTCTCTATTCTCAATTATAATAGTTCACGAAGTTAATTATTTTTTGCAATCAATAAAGTAATCCTATTCTATCTTCATAAACTTTTAGAGGATATTTATCGATATTTAGATTACTCGATTACTTTGATTAACCTAAATTAACTTAAATAAATTACTTGAATATTTCTTTTATGATTGATAGCAAATATAGATTTCTAATTCTCAGTAATTACTTATATTTATTTCTATGTTTCACTTAAATGTTTAAAATTGAAATGTATATTAAGGGGCTAAACTTTCAAATAAGTCTGCTTATTGATTTCCAATATTTATTAATCTATTAATAATTTACTATATTCATAGCCAATCAATTCAGTTCAGGTATGATTATCTCAAGTGAATTGACCAATAAATTGGAATTTTTGAATAGAATCTTTTAGCATAAACTAAAATTTATTGTGATCTATAGGATTAATTGCTTATTTAATTTTAGAAATATAAAAATATTAATATTATAAATTAGCATAAGTTGATTCAAATTATGTATAATGTTTTAATCACTGTTTTAATGAAAAAAATGGCTCACTGCTTATCCCAAGAAAAACAATCATGTAAACTATTATAGCCAAATAAGCTATTCCACTAAAGAAATTTGATTTAGGGTCAAAGTTTTTAATCCACAAATATACAGGTATGCTGATACATGAAAAACCAAAGCAGATTGTTTGTACACTATAAGATAATGAAAAAATAAATGATTTAATTTGAGGAACTTCTAGATCTCTAATAAAAAATCTACTAATGATACAAATGGATATCTCAAATACAAATATTCCAGCAGCTATCATATAGATTTCCTTAATTTATTTTTTATTATCTTCATCTGTTGCTGTCTATATATTGTCTTCTAATAGTTCTTTATTCAATGTGTAATTATGTGAATAGATTGAAGTTATGGACATGGAAATGAGGAAAATTAACAATGAGTTTAAAGATTACAACAATGGCTAATAATAATACTTCATTTTTTCTTATCTGATGATAATTCCCCAAGTTGTAATCTAATAAAAAAATATTAGAGATCTCAATAATAATTATATCCAATAACATTGCTGAACTTTGGAGTATCCCTTTTTAGTTTCTCTTTTCAGATAGAACACTTCAAAAAAAGGGTAAGAAATGCAACAAATTTAGTTGAAACAATAAGTTATCCATTCTGATGCACCACTTGTAAGATCTGCATCAAATAAACTAATTTAATATAAGGATATATGTACTTTTCATCCATGGATATGTATTCCTGACTTGCATCAGGTACTTCATAGTAAATCAATAAAAATATTAGTGTATTTAAAAATATTTTACCAACAAATGATATTATGAGTCTATATTGAATGTCATAGTAATGTTCAAAGTACGAAAATTTATAAAATCCATAAAATAATCCTAATACTACTGTTGAATAGCAAGCAATTGTTGGAAAGAATAGTCCTCCTTATTCTGAAGCCATTAAATTATGAAATTCATTGTAAAACCATCGATTAACCTTTGGTAAGCTGTCCCCCAATCTTACAATTATATTAAATAATCCAAGGGTATTTATTATTAAATTACAATATATGAATAAATTGTAGATTTTTGTTGAATCTTATTTGATTATATGGGCATAAATAGGGTTACCTTCTTTTTTGCATATTTTAATAACCAAATAACATGGTATTAAAATTAAAAATGAGAGCAACCAATATATGATCACTGAAATAATCATTTTTAAAGGATTATCAAATGATATATCAATAAAAAGTTAGTTCATATTAGGAATCAACATAGTATTAGCCATATAAATTACTGCCAATATGGAAGATCCAAATTGAAAGAAATTCTCTTTTCTATACTGCACAACTTCCATTGTTTTGTCATCATAAGTCATCGATGTATAAGAACCTAGAGTATCTACATCTTCATCTGATTAAAGTTGGGTTTTTGATTTCATTTTATTATTTTATAACTATTCATATTATATCATGCTTGACATATTTCAATTTAAAGCAAATTTATTTTGCCCAACTGTATCTAGAAAATACATCATTTCTTCCAATTCATCTGATTTCTTAAATTGAATTAGTAATTTTTTCTTTGAATCCATAACTAATCCAGGAATTATAAATTAAATCTCTAATTCTAAAGGACTTCTAGTTGTCATTTTCATTCCATCAAGTGGGTATTTGTTTTCTGGCCTTGAAAATCTAGTTGGTTTACCATCAAAAGTCAAAAAGTAATGATCAACTGTAATAATTATTCCAGTTTCTATCCAAGTCTTTCCGATAGTACCAACATCTCTTTAAGCTGAAAATTATTTAAGAATTAAAGGATGAGATAATTCAGCATATTTATCAATAACCTAATAATATTTTTTAATTTTTACTTAGAAACTTTGAAAATATTTAACTAATTCTTATTATTATTCTGTCTGAATAAATTCTAGTTCCTATTTTGTTAGTACAAAATCATGTGAATATAATGTCTATACTTCTTATTAAACCTTAACTCCATTCAATGCTGCAATAATTGAATCATTTTAAGGAATCTTACCATACACATTCATGATCTGATTTTAAAATTCAATTAATGTATGTGTAACTAAATCTAATCTTTATACTTCTAATAATTTTATTTCATTCCAACTATTTAATAACCATGTTCCAAATTCTCTTTAATAAATTACTACTCTTGAAGCAGCCTAAAAATATTAATTAATTGTAATTTACCTATTTATACTTTAATTCAGCTCTCAAAAAGTCTTTTTATGGTTTCTTTCCTTTGATTGTCATATTTTAGTACATTTTATCATATTTATTAAAATATTTAGTAACTTCTTTATCTAAATCTGCCAATGTTTTTTTGAAACGATTATATGAATTTATTAAGTCTATTTTTATTTACAATATATTGATACCTCTATTTTAATTTGTAAAATTGCTCATTTCTTATTCTAATCTTTCTCGTGTCTAATTTTGTATCCATACAATAAATATCTTAATCTAATCTGTCTATCTTTCCATAGCAGAATCAATTGTTCTTACTGCTTTAGAAAACTCAGGATAATTACATTACATAATCTTACCATCTAAAGTATATATTCAAATATTACCAAAATCCTTAAATAACTTACTCAATTAAGCATTTTAAGAGTATTTTAATTGTTATTCTTCTTATTCAACTCTTTATTTCATAAATGAAACTAAAAATTTCATAGATTCATCAGATGAAGCCACTACTTTCTATAATCTTGCCCAAACAGAATCAACTAATTATCTATGTTAGAAAATTTATGATGATCTATGAAGTTCAAAACTTTTTGTTTATTCAAATGCTTCGGTCTTTCTTTCCAATGCAGCCTGATGTACTATTCTCTTAGTTTCTGCTTTATTTATCATAATAGGTTATAATGGGCTGCTAATCTAAGATACGTTCTTTTTAATCTCTTCTGGTTTCACAACTTCTTATATAGCACCAACAGGTTGATTTTAATCTTATTCATCCTCTTCTTCAATTTAAAAATTTTGTTTTTTCTCATTATTCTACCTTGAGGCCACTTAATCAAGTAGCTCTTAGTCTCTATTTTCAGGCACTTCATTTTAAACAATGCCTTCTTGCGACTAGTCGAATTAATCAGACATTAGTAAATTCAAATTAATTAAGTTTATTTATATTCAACTTAAAAATTTCATCGTCATTTATATAATTAAAGTTATTAACTATATTTAGATATATGAGTATTAAGGAATCCATAGAATAATGCTTATTAAATAAAAATTGATAATATAATAATAATTTTATAATTTTTATTGTTGCTCAATAATCTAATAGATAGACTTTAAAATTCTTGGTTGCATATTCCCAAATTATGAGGAATCTTCCATCTTTTGTCATAGTACCATAATTCCATGGATGCGAACAATCTATTGGTGAACAAGCAACTTAATATTGAAGTTTATTTTCTTTAATAATATAAACATATTGACTGTGTTTTAACACTAAAACCTAATTCTTTTAATTATAAATTATAGGGAAAAAGCATTCAACCTCTGGATCTTAATTATTTAAGACCAATCTCAAATCACTTCTTTCAACAAACTTAGAGTCTTGCATTTTAAGAAAATGTGTTTAACCATTCTTCTTTTATTAAAACAAAATTGTTTCATCTCCAAAATAACTAATTCTATAACAAACATCGTTTATTGATTTATTAACAACATATTTAAATTCCCAAAGTTAAGAATTATTTTTCTCCCAAATAATAATTTATTTATCACTACTAGATGAAATAAATTGATTGCCTTTAGAATTTAAACTTATGCTATATACTGGTTTTGTATGTTTATCCAATCTATAATTTTCTAGGGTAGTATATTAATCAATATTAAATGAAATTATTTTAATTGATCCATCAAAACAACCTGCAATAAATTAATTTTCATTTTGATTCAAAACTAAACATAAAGAATAACTTGCATCTATTTTAATATTTTATACTGGCTACCATTTATTTTAACTAATTTCTTTCCACAATTTTATAGTCTCATCCTTACTTCCAGATATAAGTAAATTTTCTTATTGAGAAAAAGTTAAACAAACTACTTATTCCATATGTCCTTACAAGTTGGTATTAGTTTCTAATAATTCTCCTCCATAAAATTTCCAAAGTTTGATATTCTTATCAGCTGCTGTAGCTAATAATGATTCATCACTATTAAAAGCCAAGGCATTACATAGTTAATCTTCTTTTTTTTCAAAACTTACTTAAAAAGTAATACTTTTCATTTTTTTATATTAAAAATGTTCATAATTATTAGCATTTTTTATAATTTTATATGCCATACCTTAGAAATTAGAAAATTCCTTTATTGTCTATTATACATTCTGAATACCTGAAGATATCTTTCCAATACTATTCTCATTTATTGAGTTTATTTCATAAATATCAAATGCTAAACTTTATTATATCAATTCTTCTTCATCTATTTCTAAATTATCAATTTCATCTAAAAATTTATACTTTAGCTTTAATTTCTTATAATAATTTAAATAATCTATCCATAAGGTGCATGAGTTAGTTAGTTTTTAAATCTGCTAATGTAAGTCACTAGTAAAAGTACGTAATTTCTCAATAAAATTTTCAATATCTTATATAAATTGTTCCGCAACTTTTTCTGTTTGATTATAGCATAATTACTTTACTAGTTGAATTCTCTCTTAGGCTTTAGTTATATAAACCAAATTAGGAGGATTATTAAAGAATTCTATGCATTTTGAACATAGTAATCTCTCAGACCCTCTCTTTTAATTATCTTTTATAATATATTCAATCTTTGTGTTTTAGTGCTTATTAAAACAACATAATTTATCAATTTCTTCTTCCATATGAACTTTTTACTGCTATAACCCTTACATTTTAATTTTTATATTAATTTAATAACAAATCAATAATCAATAAAAGGAAATAATCTACTAAACCATTATAATTCAATAATCCTATAGATAATTAAATCAAATATAAAATAGTATAATCTCATAAATTATGAACAATTTATTGAAGAATTAAAATTTTTACAATATATAGGTAAATTTAATAGCTCAAAAAACCTGATCTCTCTGTCAATTCTTTATGTTATTATTATTCTTTTGAATATATCTGAACTTATAGATCGATCTACAAAATTATATTTTGAAGGACTAAGCTAAATATTTTTCATTTATCAAATATAAAAAAGAAGAATCATTATATTCTAACATGACAAAAAATTGCTACATTTCAAATCAGAGCAGATAGACAGATAGAAATATCTCTTTTAAAGGAACCAGAAGTTAATCTTATTGATGAAATGTAGATTGATAAATTACCTGGGGTTGATAATTTGTAGTTCTTAAAACATCCCTAATAAATCTAAATCCAAGTTTACTTGATTGTAATTCAACTAAATCTTTCTTTAATTGTAAGAATTGATTAGTTTTTTTGATCATAAATTCATATATATTTAATTTAAATAAAATTAAATAATGTGCAAAATTAAATATCTAATAATAAATTATTAATTTGGATATACTTTTTATATTTAAATATTCAGCTTAATTCAAGACTATCTAATTACTTTTAGTATGCTTCTGCTTCATTAATCTTTTCATTATTTTTTAATAGTTTCTCTATACATATTTATAATTTTAGAACCTCTTTCTTGATAAAATTATTCTTAAAATGAATCATTTTATATTATTCCATAATCCAAACATGCTACTGCTTCTTAGATTAAACCTTAATCCTTTAGATTCTTTACTTATAATATTTAAATAATCTTTACCCATCTATAAATAATAATTCATATTATGCTTATTTTCTTATTTATCTAAACCCATCAATTAAATAAATTCATTAAGTTTATCTTATTTAAATAATGCTTAGGCTATTCTTATTATAAAATAATAACTTTTTTCTTTTTAGCAATAAATTTCTTAATTGTTTTCCTAGCATAAAATTTGCAATTGATCACAGCATTCAATTACTTCTTCATATCTTTATAAAATTTTTAGGCTTTTAACTATTTAAATTTAATTAATACTTTTTTATTTATAGTAAACCTCATAAGCATGTTCAATCTGAAATTTATTAACAAAAGAATCAACCCTTGAAAGGATCTAACTTCCACTTGATTATTCAGTAGCTTTATACAATTCTAAAGAATCATCTAAGATGTGAGCTAAAGATTAATAAAAAACAGATTACTTTAGTTTGTCAAAGAATTAATTTATGAAAATTTGATAGAAGAAATTTAACTATCACAAAAATCTATAATTTCTTGATGATTATTCAAAGAGGCTAATTCCTCAACTAAGTAATTTTTATTATTTTTACTTATTTTTTCATTTTTTTCAAAACAAAGAAACTCTTAATTAATTTACATCTTGAAATGTTATGAATTTTATTAATAGTAATTAATAATAATAAAACTTCATTGGTACATATAAATAATTAATAATGGCTTTTCATGTTGATAGAAATACTTAAAATTAATAAGTATATGAAAAAGCATTAGAAATTGTATATTCGAAAATAGGAAAGTGAGATAAAGAAATAGACTCATTTGTTTAATATAGGTATTATGAAATGAATATGTTGTATAGTACAAATAAACTTATTAAAATAAGATTTAAAAAAATTAAAAAATATTTATTGACGAATGGTTAAAATGAATGTCTTGAATGATTGCCTCCGTTCTATTGTGAATGCTGAAAGGTTGTAGTTGTTGTCCTAACATATTTAAGATAAGGAAGAAAACAAGTGTTGATTAGACCTACATCAAAATTGGTTGTGAAGTTCTTATAAGTTATGCAAAGACATGGGTACATTGGCGAATTCGAAATTGTTGATGATCATAGAAGTGGCAAGATTGTTGTTGAATTATTGGGTAATAAATGACACAAAATGTTAGGACGCATCAATAAATGTGGTGTAATCTCACCCAGATATGATGTTACATTAGGAGAATTCGAAAGATGGGCTAATAACATTCTCCCTGCCAGATAATTTGGATGTGTTGTACTTACCACTAATGTTGGAATTTTAACACATGAAGAAGCTAGATAAAGACACATTGGAGGCAAAATCCTTGGTTTCTTCTATTGATATCATTAATAAACATAGTACAATAATATTTATATTTATATATGTCAATTACTCAATCTCTAACTGGTTAAAGGTCGAAGGAGTTTTGGTGAAAATACAAAACTAAAAATCTAGAAATAGAAATAAAAAATAAAAATAGGTAAATTAATATAACAGAATAAAATATCAGATTAGCAGGAAAAGCTATCTAAAGCATAAAATTAATGTAGCAAATTAAATAAAGAAAAGCAATAATTATATGGTTTGTTAAATTAAGTATTAAAAAACTTGATGAATTAGAAAATTCATAAGAGATTTAATCATTAGCAAAAATATTTGATTCTTTATCATTTTTGTATGCATCAAAAGTAGATAGCATATGTTTGTCGTTTTTTTTATTTAATTGTAAATGCTTGGTAAATTTTAAGAGAATAGATTAGTCATAATAGACTAAAAATGGATTATCTTAAAAATTCAAAAAGCTCAACAAAGTTTTCATTTATTAAATAAACTTAGAATGAGAAAAAGTCATTTTTTGAACAACAAGCGAAATATTTTCAATAAAACTTATTAAAAAGTTATATCAAATGAAACAGGTATATATGACCTAAATCTAAATTTGGATGTGATGATAAAAACANTAAAATGAATGTCTTGAATGATTGCCTCCGTTCTATTGTGAATGCTGAAAGGTTGTAGTTGTTGTCCTAACATATTTAAGATAAGGAAGAAAACAAGTGTTGATTAGACCTACATCAAAATTGGTTGTGAAGTTCTTATAAGTTATGCAAAGACATGGGTACATTGGCGAATTCGAAATTGTTGATGATCATAGAAGTGGCAAGATTGTTGTTGAATTATTGGGTAATAAATGACACAAAATGTTAGGACGCATCAATAAATGTGGTGTAATCTCACCCAGATATGATGTTACATTAGGAGAATTCGAAAGATGGGCTAATAACATTCTCCCTGCCAGATAATTTGGATGTGTTGTACTTACCACTAATGTTGGAATTTTAACACATGAAGAAGCTAGATAAAGACACATTGGAGGCAAAATCCTTGGTTTCTTCTATTGATATCATTAATAAACATAGTACAATAATATTTATATTTATATATGTCAATTACTCAATCTCTAACTGGTTAAAGGTCGAAGGAGTTTTGGTGAAAATACAAAACTAAAAATCTAGAAATAGAAATAAAAAATAAAAATAGGTAAATTAATATAACAGAATAAAATATCAGATTAGCAGGAAAAGCTATCTAAAGCATAAAATTAATGTAATAGCAAATTAAATAAAGAAAAGCAATAATTATATGGTTTGTTAAATTAAGTATTAAAAAACTTGATGAATTAGAAAATTCATAAGAGATTTAATCATTAGCAAAAATATTTGATTCTTTATCATTTTTGTATGCATCAAAAGTAGATAGCATATGTTTGTCGTTTTTTTTATTTAATTGTAAATGCTTGGTAAATTTTAAGAGAATAGATTAGTCATAATAGACTAAAAATGGATTATCTTAAAAATTCAAAAAGCTCAACAAAGTTTTCATTTATTAAATAAACTTAGAATGAGAAAAAGTCATTTTTTGAACAACAAGCGAAATATTTTCAATAAAACTTATTAAAAAGTTATATCAAATGAAACAGGTATATATGACCTAAATCTAAATTTGGATGTGATGATAAAAACATAATTAATTTATATCTATACTAACACAAAATAACAATCAAATAATTTGAGTTGTATTGAACCCAAGTCAGTTGAAAATATTAACATTAAAGATTTACAACAATAAGGATAGGATTGGAATTAATAAAATAATAAAAGCAATTATAAAGATCAATAATATCAATCTTAAATAGCTTAATCTTGAATTCTTAAGGAACATAAGAATCTGTGAATCAATTAGTTAGTTTTGCATAGATCTATATATTAGACTAGAAATATCAATCTAATTATAAGATGTATTATGAGAAACTTAAAGAATCAAACGAAGCAACTTTTAGAATAATAATAATTTTAATATGTGTGTTTTTATCATTATTTTCCTTTTCTATTTTGAACTGGAGCTTGATTGCTGACAGCATGTTCTTCAATAAGAGATTCACCAACATATTCGTTGACTCTCTTTTTCAAGTATTCATTAACAGTAGCAATCTTTTCTCTATAAATTAGAAGTGATTCTTCCAATAACTAGTTTTCTTCATGTCTTTTGGCTTTTTCTGAGTTGTATAATTTCTTTTTGTAATTGTATTCCTCTAAAGTGAATATAGATTGTAAATTACCTTAAGTTAAACTTAATATTCTCATGCTTTAATCTTATAGTTCTTTCTTTTTGGTTAAGATATCTGAGGCTAATTCTTTGTCATTTTATAAGGAATTCAAGAATTTGGCTTTAGCATCATACTCTTATTTTAAAGATTCTTATTCAGCCAATAAATTAGTTTTGAAATCGGCAAAATCATTAGCTGATTGAATTTCCTATTCTTCAAGACTTTTGATTGTATCTCTTAATTTTTCAATTAATTATTGAATAATTCCTACAATATCCTTTTCTACTAATGAGGCTATTTATTGGCCGTTTCCATGCTATCCTTAATAAATTATCTTTTATATTTTGTACTTGTTTATGCAAAAGAAACTTCTTCTTCACCTAATTTCACAAAATCTTAGACTGCTTATTCTTCAAATAGATTAGCATACTTGCTCAATTTCTCTGCATAATCTCCAATATGGTTCTTTTCTATTAACGTGCTTTATTTGCTTTGTGCATCACTTCTAACCCAATCAAGAACAGAAAGTGCATTCTTATATTCTCTTAATGTATCAATGAATAAGGCATTGGCTTCACATCTTTATTCAGCTAAATTTTCAAGCTTAACTTCATTTGCCTTGTATCGCTTGTTATTCCAATTCAAGTAATCTGTTGTTTATTGGATTTTAAGACTTTAAGTTGAAAGATAAACAATTACTCGACAGCTTCTAAGTCTTATTGAGCTGCAGCTGCACTCTTGGAATTTACATTAACAATTCCTGAGAACTCATTGATGTCTTTCAAAATGGCTTGTTCAAATCGTTAAAATGTAAGATCAGCTTTGTCTTGAGCTTCAACATTAGCCCCTTGAAGATCTTCTAATAAAGTAAGCACTGATTGAATGGCATCCTAAGAACTCATCACATTTGTTTTAGAACTAAGCAAATTCAAAAAATCTGTATTGATTTTCTTAGGGCTACAGAAAACACTCTGACTTAAAAGCAGAATGACTAATACTCCTGAAATACTTTTCATTCTTTTTGTTCAATAATAAAAATATTTATTTAAATACCGTTTTTATACATTAATATAATCTAACATTTGTTTCATTATGAACAGAATAGACTATCAATCTACATATACTATAGGAGTTCATTTATATATCATTAAAAATTTAATAAAAAAAGATAATATAAGCTATTAAAACAAGATGAACTATTGAATTTTATGTTTTAGTGTTTAAGATTATAAGTATTTGATTATAAATAATTTAATAAATTAAATAGAATGTAAAATAACACCCATATTCAAAATAAGTTGTTGATTTTGTCAAAATATTATAATCAAAAAGAAGTTTGTTCTATTTATTTGTTAAGAAAATGATTATCAATTCTTTAATTTCATTAATTATCAAATATAATCTATTTCAATAAAAAGTAAATGGTATATGTTTATAAATTCAATATTCAATATGTAGAATCACTAAGAATAATAAAATAATAATTTTATATAATATTTTTAATTAATACACGTAAGATGGTAATTATCTCAGCAGCTATATGTGATAAGAATGGAATCTTGTATATAGGTAGATAATTTTAAGGAATTACAACAAATGAATTAAGGGAAGTAAGAATACTTGTATTTATATTTAGTAAGTTCGTAATTTTCCTAAATTGATTTCACCAACTTAATAACATACATTTATTGATCATGAGAATCAAAGATATATATATACTCCAATTGATAACATTTATATAGTTTTGATTACATCAAAAAATAGCAATATAATTGAGGATTTAGAAGTATTAAGAATATTGAAGAATGTCCTCTCTGACATTTGTTAATAAAGTATAATTTATACTTAAATATAGTTAGTGAAGAGTCAATTAAAAAGAATAGTTTTGAAATACTTTTAGCTATTGATGATATAATATCAGCAGGATTGAGAGAAAGCACAACAACAAGTTAAGTATAAACAGCTTTAGAGATGGAAAGTTCAGAAGAAAAGATTCATTTAATGTTAACTAAAGCAAGAGTAATAGAAATTAAATTATAATATATTAGGAAAATGAAGCAAAAGAATAAGCTAAAAAACATTAAATGGAAATGGAAAGAAAAAGATAAGAAGAATTAGCATAGAAAAAGAATTAAAAATAATCTAAAGCTATTGATAATGCATTCAAATTACCATAAAATGAAGGTATTTAAATAGTATTGAATTTAGAAAAGGTAAATCCTGTACCAAAACCTGAAGAAATAAATGAAAATTTAAGTACATAATCATAAGTGATGCAAAAATCTAATGTGAAATCAGCTCCAAAAAAAGGCATGTAATTAACAAAGAAGAAAGAAGCCACTTCATTTGAATGAATTTAATATTAATAATGCAAATACCTATAATGATTTGTAATTTCAAATATCTGGCAATGGTTAATTACATCCTGCCCATTAATTCATTACTTTCTTACCATCCTTTATATCAAACCATAAATCTCCTATTATTCCTATGTCTCTCAAAAATCTACCACTTGATGAATGGTAATCTTAATAAGTATCTGTATCATCAGTATCCTAAAAATTATATATATAAATCTTATACTTCACTATCAGGATAATTAAGAGGAGGTGGATGAGTTATTCTCCAATGATCTTCATCTGGATATCTTTAATATAAAAATTCAACCCCTATATAAAATTAGAGGGTTAATTTTACAGAAATATACAAATGGCATTGTAGCAATTAAAGCCCATGGCCACATTGGACCTCTCTTTCTAAAATGTTATGTTCTAAAGCTTTCTGTCTAAAAATCACAATCTTCAGATTCATAATCAAATTCATGGTTCACATCTGCATCTTAATCTTATTGAGCTGCAGTTAAATGATGTATTGGTTAACCAACTTATTTATTTTCTGGCTTTAATAGTAAACTTGAATCATATAGATGATTTTAAGATAATGCTTAAGAAGGATTAAAAGGTTCCAATCTTCCTTCGAATGGCCATACATATGTTTTTGGATCAGGACAATTTATATGTTTAGTTGGATTTAAGTAATCAGGATTATGTTTTGGATCATCTCTCCAGTCATATGGTTTACTGTGAGTCTCATTATAATTCACACCTGGATAATACATATATCCAGGACCCTCTATAAATTAATTTGTAAAAATTACATTCAAAATAAGTATACAAATTTTTGTGGTCTAAAAATTTAGTAATGGTATTATATTCAACTTTAGGTCTATTACCCAAATGTTTTGTTCCATGATTATTATGACCATGTCCATGATCTTCATGTTAGTGTCCATGATCATGATCATGATGAGCAAATGGATTAGGTACTCTTGTTGTATTAGCAAACGTTTAAATAGTAACCTATCTGAGTTGTTGTTACAACCCTCTAGAAAGAATCATTTAATTATATTTATTTCTATATCTTAAATATTGCAAAATATATTTGAACCAACATCAAATTAATCATTTATATCTAAAGTTCTACAGCTTTTATTATTAATGAAGAGTTATGATTAATATGATTTATGATATCCTTTTAATATTTTATCATTTTAAATTATAATTAAATTTCAAAAAGATTAAATTTATTAAAATTATATATAAATTCATTTACTTAAAGAACAACTATGATTTTACGTGTTAATAATTTCATATTTAATTGGAATAAAGATTTTAAGGGTATCTACTTTTATATTATCACTCTCACAATAATTTTAATAACAAATAGATATAATAATTCTAAATTGATTGCTATTTTTTATCCATCTCCACATATTTATTTCATGATAATTCCAATATCACAAAATCCATCATAAAAATAGTTTTAATAAAACAATCCCTTATAACTACATATGATTTAGATATTTGATATTGTTAGTGTTAATAATATTTTTCATAGAATTTGTTGTTTAAACATTTTAGAACTTCATTTATTAAGATGGTTTTATCTTTTATTAGTAGAATAATAAAATTTTCTTTGATTCCTGTTTTCTCTTGCTTGTGTAAAAGAAGTTAAAATTATTCATTTCTCCTAATATTTATTACAGTTTCCACGTTTTTATAGGCTTATAATAATAAATAAAATAGTCATCTGTAGAATTTGATCAAAAGATCATTCTAATCTATTTTCTATATTAAAAGTTTATTGCACCTTAATTTTTTTGAATATTCTTTCTTTTTTAATTATAAATCTAAATTTTTGGTAACCTCAAATTTCAATTAAAAAATGGGCATGTAATATTTATAAATTAATTAATTACATTACAGAATTAAACAATTTGTATATTTTCCTTATTTATTTTATTGATTATCATAATAATAAATATTCTTAAGTTGACAAGATTCTTTATAAATAATAATTTTGATATAATAATTTAATCAATTCATAAATTTATAATTATAATTTTCTATCAATGTAAAAATACATTAAAGAATGCTAAGCATTTATAATTACAGCTGGAGCAGGTATGGGAGTTGATTCTGGTCTACCTGATTTTAGAGGAAACAAGGGTTTTTGGAAAATTTACAGACCTTTTGAAAACAAATATGGATTTACAGATTGTGCTAATCCATAATTCATGAATTATAATCCAAACTTATTTTGGGGATTTTATGGTCATCGATTAAATATGTATCGAAATGCTATTCCTCATTAAGGATTTTAGATACTCAAAAAAATATTTTTAAATAGAGATTACTTTATTGTAACAAGTAATGTAGATGGGCAATTTTAGAAAGCTGGATTTGATATTAATCATATTTATGAAATGCATGGATCAATTCATAAATTCTAATGTACACCTTGTGATAAATTATATGATGCTAATTAGTTTCAAGATTTATCAATTGATTTAGAGAAATTTATAGCTGCAGATCCTTTGCCTTAATGTGAATGCAAGCATTTATTAAGACCTAATATTTTGATGTTTGGTGATTGGGATTGGATTTCAACTATATATGATTAGTAGGAAAAACGATTTTTTGAATTTGTTGAGAAATATAAAAATAATAAGGTATGTGTAATTGAAATTGGAGCAGGTACTTCAATTCCAAGTATTAGAAATTTAGGTGATAGAATTCTTGATAATNATATTTATTACAGTTTCCACGTTTTTATAGGCTTATAATAATAAATAAAATAGTCATCTGTAGAATTTGATCAAAAGATCATTCTAATCTATTTTCTATATTAAAAGTTTATTGCACCTTAATTTTTTTGAATATTCTTTCTTTTTTAATTATAAATCTAAATTTTTGGTAACCTCAAATTTCAATTAAAAAATGGGCATGTAATATTTATAAATTAATTAATTACATTACAGAATTAAACAATTTGTATATTTTCCTTATTTATTTTATTGATTATCATAATAATAAATATTCTTAAGTTGACAAGATTCTTTATAAATAATAATTTTGATATAATAATTTAATCAATTCATAAATTTATAATTATAATTTTCTATCAATGTAAAAATACATTAAAGAATGCTAAGCATTTATAATTACAGCTGGAGCAGGTATGGGAGTTGATTCTGGTCTACCTGATTTTAGAGGAAACAAGGGTTTTTGGAAAATTTACAGACCTTTTGAAAACAAATATGGATTTACAGATTGTGCTAATCCATAATTCATGAATTATAATCCAAACTTATTTTGGGGATTTTATGGTCATCGATTAAATATGTATCGAAATGCTATTCCTCATTAAGGATTTTAGATACTCAAAAAAATATTTTTAAATAGAGATTACTTTATTGTAACAAGTAATGTAGATGGGCAATTTTAGAAAGCTGGATTTGATATTAATCATATTTATGAAATGCATGGATCAATTCATAAATTCTAATGTACACCTTGTGATAAATTATATGATGCTAATTAGTTTCAAGATTTATCAATTGATTTAGAGAAATTTATAGCTGCAGATCCTTTGCCTTAATGTGAATGCAAGCATTTATTAAGACCTAATATTTTGATGTTTGGTGATTGGGATTGGATTTCAACTATATATGATTAGTAGGAAAAACGATTTTTTGAATTTGTTGAGAAATATAAAAATAATAAGGTATGTGTAATTGAAATTGGAGCAGGTACTTCAATTCCAAGTATTAGAAATTTAGGTGATAGAATTCTTGATAATATCAAATAATCAATTATGATTAGAATAAATCCTACAGAAGCTGATATTCCAAATGATGATAGATATTTTAGTATTTAAAAAGGGGGTTTGGAAGGCATTAAAGAATTGGGAGCATGAATTTATTTTGTTTTTTATATATAAATTTTTAATATTTAAATGGCTTATTTCGGAAATAATCCATAGCGTGGAGAATTACAAGAGCTTTATGCTGATTTAAATGACTTGAATTTTGAAAAGAAGAAAGAAGTAATGATTAACAACAATAGTGTAGGCTGTTAAGAAGGTGATTGCTTATATGACAGTGGGCAAAGACGTATCAGATCTATTTCAATCTGTTATAAAGTGTTTAGAATTTAATGACATAGAGATGAAAAAATTAGTAATGATATATTATTATTATTCTTTAGATTTATTTATATATTGTTAACTATTCTAGATAAAAGCCAGACGATGCTATAATGGTGATACAAAATTTTAGAAAAGATGTCAGAAAATCAGAGAATCCTTTGGTAAGAGCACTAGCCATAAGGACTTTTGGGTGCTTACGAGTACCAAAACTTAATGAATATTTAATAGAGCCTCTTAAAGATTGTATATAAGATGATGATCCTTATGTTCGTAAAACTGCAGTTTTGTGTGTTCCAAAAGTAGATAGTAATTTGATTACTTTAGGTATATGAAGTGTCTCCTGAAATATGTCCTCCTCTATTGGAATTACTTTAGAAATTATTAGAGAAGGAATCAAATGCTTTAGTTTTAGCTAATTTGATTTAATCAATGAGAGAAATTGAGGTTGTTAGTGGCAAATAAATTATCATTTTGAATTAGAAGATTATTTAAAAGTTGTTATTAGCTGTTGATGAATGTATAGAATGGGGATAAATATTTATTTTGGATTATTTAGCCACTTATAATCCATAAGATTCAAAATAAGCTGAAATAATTATTGAAAGAACACTACCAAGATTGAGTCATATAAATCCAACTGTTACATTCTGTGCTGTTAAGGTTATACTCAAATATTTGGATTTCTTAGATAATGGAGATCTAGTTAAAAATCTATGTAAGAAAGTGGCACCTTCATTAATTTCTTTGTTATCTTGGAATCAACCAGAAGTATAATACACAATTCTAAGAAACATCTCTTTGATTTTGTAGAAGTTTCCAATCTTATTTGAAAATGATGTTAAAGTGTTTTTCTGTTCTTTTAATGAACCTTACTATATCAAATATGAAAAATTAGATATTATGGTTAGAATTTGTGATTCCAAAAACTTTGGACAAGTTCTTAATGAACTTCTCATATATTTAAATGAAGCTGATCCTCATTTTGTTAGAAAGACTATTAAATCTATTGGAAAAATTGCTATCACTTATGACAAAGCATTAGATAAGTAAAATAATACTCTAAAATTATAGAGCAGTCTCTATTTTAGTAGAATTTGCTAAAAATATTCAATAACCAACAGAACCAGTCTAAGAATTACTTATATAAATGCAGCTTATTTATAAAAAAAACAAATAAATGTATAAACATGAAGAGAGTCTAAAAATCATATATTCTATTATTGATTATGCAAATGAACCAGAATCAAAAGTAATAATGTTGTTTATTGATAATATAGAGTGCATGTGCATGGATAGTAGGAGAATTTGGTGAATTTATACCTAAATCAGTAGAAAAAATGAAAGAATATATTGATAATTTTTAAATGGAAGACAGATTAGTTTAACTTTAATTACTTACATCTGCTGTCTAATTATATCTCAAATATCCATCATAATGTTCTATTCTAATATAATAATTGATCACTTCAGCCAAAGATTCATTTAATCCTGATGTTAGAGATAGAACCTATATATATTGGAGATTATTATCAACAGATCCTGAAATTGTTAAGAACTTAGTTTGCTTTAATAGTGGAACCTTCTCCAATTTTTCAAAGGATCTACGCTTATGGGAAACATAAGATTTAGTTTTGGCTTTGGAGAATATGGGTAACATCAGCAATCTATTTCATAAATTACCACATTAATTATATAAAAATATCAAAATTAAAGTCAAGTATATATTTATTTATTTAAATTTTAAAGCAATTAATAGGAAGTTAAAATTTATAAAGGAGATGAAAAACCAGAAAGTTAAGTTAAAGAATAATAAGATGAAAATTAGCAAAATATCTAAAAGGAGTAATAATAACAATAAGATATTGATCTTTTAAATTTTGATGATCCTCCTGTTAATAATAATAATAATAATAATAAAAGTAATAAGACAGATGTATTTGAGCTTATTTGAATATCTATTAATATAAATTGCCATTTATAAAGACTCATAGATTAATTCAATATTCTCTTTTGATATTAATCAATAATAAATATTAAAAACAGATCAATTCTCTTCATCTTATGGCATTAAATTATCTACATTATATTTCTATTTCAGTTCTATTTGTATAGCATTTGCTTAATTTGTGAGTTTATCTACTTCTTGTTGAATCAAGTCAGCTTCCTCATATTGCTCTTCCTTTAATTAATAGAAACGATTACTTGAGCATGATCTGCGACCTAATCTTCTAATTACTTAATTTATAATTAAAGATCCTAATATATCTATTTTTGATTTTCTATATAACTTTAAATTTGTTCTTCACTCATTTCAATTACATTTTCTATTTATTATTATTAAATTTATTCTTTTTCATTTGAATCAACAACTTATTCAATTACTTCATTTTCTATTTGATTATATTATTCTTAATGTTATTCTTCTTCTTAATGCTCTTATTATTCTTCATTTTCATTAATATTATTGATAACTTCTTCTTAATGATTTTATATCTAATCTAAATTATCAGTTGAAACCTTTCTTTTTGCATAAATTAAATCCTAATATTTATTAAATAATTGTTCTAACTCTTTTTTAATCTATAATTAATTAAATTTATAATAATACATCTAATATTAATGAAGATAATCCATAATAATCTATTTACGAAATCTCTTGTAATTTTAATTCTAAAACAAAATATCTGCAAATCTCTGTATTTTATTATAGTTATTAATATTGATGTTATCTAGACACTAAGGTATCTTCTATCTCATCAATTTCTTTTAGAATTTAAGTTTCTATATTTTGATTCTCTGAAATTTTTTCTTCATATAAAGAAATCTATCTTTAAGCTTCTTTTATTTATTCATTAATTTATGCAGCACCCTTAAAATTTTTATTCTACACTAGTAATGCTTTATCATCTATCATTTTTGGTAATTTTTTTTAAAGTTCACTTTTTTTATTTAGAATTTCATGTAATTGAGATTGACCCATATTCCTCTTGTAATTTAATTCATCAATTTACCTTTAAACATATGCTAATTCTTTTAATGCTTCTAAACTTGCTTTTTTAGCCTCTTAATATTTAAATGTTACATCCAATTCTTATTAACATTATTCAGGTACTGAATTAGCTTTTCGAATAAGTTCGTTTCTTTTCTCTTTAATCTTTTCCAATTATTCTGATAAATATTCAAGTTTATTCTTATATTCATGTTATTTTCTTAGACTATCTCCTTCAAGGGCTTCAATCTAGGCTCTTTCAGTTGCTAAACTATTAAGTTCATCATTTAGCTTTGTTCTCTTATTTTATACTTTACCTAGTTACAAATTGAATTTTTATTGAACTTATTAAATTTTTTCTTTAGTTGAAAGTAAATCAATATTCACCTTTTATAATTCATTTTTTTTTTGATTTAATAATAATTACAATTCTGCAATCTCAGATTCTAAAGTTGATTTTTTATTAACTAATTGATCTTACTCTATTCTATATTCCTTTGTTTGATTATCCATTATTTAATTTAAATGTTGTTCTTCTTCATCCAAATGTTTACTATCAATCTCAGTATGAATTTATTATATTTTTACTCTCTCATTTTCTTCTTCTATGTGTTATTGTAATTTCTTAATTTAGGCTTACCCTTCAAACCTATATTAATCACTATACTTTATATGTAATCGTTCAATTTCTTCCAATTTTTATTCAGTTTCTTAATAAAAAGGATATTCTTCACCTCTTATATTTTCTTTCTCATCCTACAATTTAGAATACTATTATTCTTCTTATTTAATTTAATTATCTATTTAAGTAATTTTATCTTAAATTTATCTTAAGGATTATTCTATTTCCTCAGCTCTCTCAAATTATTCCTATTACACACAAACTTATTACTCAATAGATAATTGAGTAAGTCGACTATTACATTCTTATAATTTTTATTAATAAGAAACTATATGTTTTTCAATTTCTTATTGAGATATGTAAATTTGAGCTTTCTTGGAATTGACTTCATTTAGGAAGTATTCCAATTCTTCCATAATCATTTGATGTTATTTTACATAAGAATTATCAAGTTAAGGATTAATAGTATTGGAATTTATTTAGCTTTTATTATTGATAGAACTCTTTGATGGTGAAGTAGGATGTGTTGTTGATGAAAATAAATATTATTATTATTATTACTATTACTATTACTATTACTATTACTATTACTATTACTATTACTATTACTATTACTATTACTATTATTATTATTATTATTATTATTATTATTATTATTAGTATTATTGTAATTATTATTAGTATTATTATTATTATAATTATAATTATGAATATTATTATTATTCAATCTCCTTTTCATTATATTCATTTTATTTCTATAATACTTTTTTTTAATCCTCATAAATACTTTGCTCTTTTGGCTATTTAGGAGAGTAATTTTATTAATATGATTACTCCTACATGTATTCCTATTATCTATTGATTTCTTGCACTTAATTTTATTTAACTTAAATTCCATAAATAATCTGACTTTCCACCTATTCTTATAATGATTCATCTGTAGGAAGTGTTTGCTCAGGCTATTTTTTTTTTAAAAACCCAAAGCCAGTTGGTTTCTTTTTGACCTCTTCTACATTTATTTTAACTTCCAATTTTTGCTCAACATTGGATTCTTCTTATGGAGTAGGTATTTCCACCTAATTAAATTATTGCTTGTAAGCATCACTCTCTGGGGATAAAATATCGGAATTAGATTAAGATTAAGTTAACTATGTCTAGTATGATTAAGGTTAGGACTATTATTATTGTATTTCTTATGTTTAAGGAGGTGGTGCCTTTACCTTAAGACTTCCTTTGAACATTGATCCTTTTGGAGCTGGTTGTTAAGGAGGAGCAATTGGAGACTACTATGGAGCTTACTATTATTATTAGATGGGAGGTGGGGGAGGTGCTGTTGATTATTGGGTCTGCTCTTTCTTTTTAAACATTGAGAACATTTAATTTATTAATAATGGAATTTGAAAGAATCACTGTGACAAAAAGGGGAATTGAGGTGTAATAATAACTAAAACAAATACTTGGAGTAAAGGAAAGTAAACAATTTGGTACAATAAGAAAGAAGGGTAGAGTAAAAATAGTATGAAAATTTGATAGAATATAGTGAGAATCTTTTGAGAAAATAAAAAGAGAAAGAAATCCATACATCTAGTTTTTTAGAGCCTATATTAGATAAATAGGAATAGATGAATGTGTTTCTTACAAATAGATTCACTAACAGATAGAAATTTATTAAAAAAGAGATGGAGAAGTTTAGTTAGAAAAAGACAAAGTTTGGTGGTAGTTTCTAGAGTGAATCTCATCGTTCGTTTAAGTGTTTAGATTTCAGATAAATGCAATATCTGAAAAGTAAATATACTGAGGGGTTCTTTTTAACGAAATAAAACCAATAGTTTAAAATGCGTAATAATTTTGTATTTGGTAAGTCTCGAAGCCTTAGGGGTAGGAGATACAATAAAGAGAAGATAAATAGTTAGAATTTAAATAGGCGAAATTTGAAAGAATGATAAGGAAACATGAATAATTCAATTTATAGACATAAAGTATTCCAACTTATGAAAAAGGAATTAAAAGAGAACCAAATTTTATGAGTGAGTTAGTGAAATAGATGGAAAAAAGAGAAATATCTTCTAGAGTAGAAAGTATTAAGGAAATAAACTAAAAATTTGGAAATAGTGTGGATTTACTAGAATATAATTGTTTTAGTAAAGAAAGATTTTAAGAAACTATAAGTAATGTGCATTTTAATAAATATGAGAAATTATGGAAGACACTAAGAGTTGGAAAGTGATTGAAAATATATATTAAAATTTAAAAAAAATCTTTTTAAATTATGGGCAAGAGAATTAGAAGTGAGTTATATGTGTTTATCATTGTTAGCATAAAGAAAGGGTAAGTCAAACAGTGTCTTTAAAGCACATTAAAACTAAAGAGTTGGAAGTCCTTAATATAGACACCTCGATTATGCTGAAAGACATGGTTATGTTAGAGGTGTGATCACTGAAATTATTCATGACCCAGGAAGAGGTGCTCCACTTGCAAAAGTTGAATTTAATGATCCTTACAAGTATAAAAAATAAACTAAACTCTTTATTGCACCAGAAGGATCATACACAGGATAATATATTTACTGCGGTACAAAGGGTATTTTAAATTATTTCTAACATATACTGTAGCTTAATTAGCCACTGGTAATGTATTGCCTATTGGATAAATTCCAGAGGGTACAGTAGTTTGTAATTTGGAAGAACATCCTGGAGATAAAGGTGCTTTAGGAAGAGCAACAGGATGTTATGCTACTATTATAGGTCATTCTGATGATGGAACCTAAACTAGAGTTAGATTGCCTTCTGGTATCAATTCTTTAATTTTTATTTTATTAAAATTAATTTTAGAATAAAAAGATTTCAATACAAGAAAAACTTTAAGTTCACTTTGCAGAGCTACTGTTGGTTTGATATCTGGTGGAGGAAGAACTGAAAAACCTATTCTTAAAGCAGGAAGACAATTCCATAAATATAGAAGACTTAGAAAAGTATGGCCTAGAGTTAGAGGTGTTGCTATGAATCCAGTTGATCATCCTCATGTATTTTTTATTATTTACTCTTTTTTAGGGTGGTGGTAATTAATAACATATTGGTCATCCATCTACTTTGTCTAGATATGCTCCTCCAGGTTAAAAAGTAGGTCTAGTAGCTGCCAGAAGATCAGGACTTCTTAGAGGTGGTGCTTAACTCAAATAAATGGACGAAGACTTGGCTGCTTAATAAGCTAAAAAATGAAATCTATTTATAATTTTTAGTACAATAAAGTAATCAATTAAATTATGAATTTTCTTTTTTCAAATGATGATGATGATGGAAACTTTGATTCCTTTATTACACAGAATTTGAAACCAGAGCCTCCTAAAGAGAAACAATCAAGCAAAAAATTATAAACTGCTTTCAAACCTATAGAAGTCAAAAGCTAATTTCAATTCATTTCCACTCCAAAACTAAAACCTAATAAAGATCAAGCCAAAACATCCCTTTGGAATATTATGTTACAACATTTGAACTATACTAATCAAATAAACAATTTCAATCAAGAAAGATCAAAATTACCTTATCCCTTGAACTCATTTTTTCTGTCTAAAATTTAGGAATATAGAAATCAAAAAATTGAAGCAATCATATGTGAAATTCATGATGTTGAGGAATTTGGAGATACCACTGAAATTACACTAAAAGATCAAAGTGGTTCATGTAAAGCTTCAATATTATCTGATCTATTCACAGATGATCTAGATGATCTAAATCCTACAATTTATAGTCCAGTTAAGAAAATATAAAAAAAGGAGGATATCTTGGTTTACTTAGAAAATGTAACAGTCTTCTCTCCAAACGAATTTTAGATTACTATTATAATTAATAGAGCCAACTTAAAATTAGCTATTTTTTGATTATTTTATTTATTAACTGAATGGATTCTCTTTTTGAAACCAACCTTCCCTTTAGTACTATCCCTATTCAACAATATAGCATAAATCAATTGACACATTACTCTAGAAATTAATCTCTTCAAAAATCTGATTTCTCACCTCAATAAATACTTTTGGATTTAGGAGAGATGTGCAATGTTAGGTATCTCATAATTGAAAATCTTAAATATGGGTGCGAAATCTCAGTGTTAGTAAGTGAATTCAAAAATGGCCCTTTTATAACTGTCCATAATAAAGAATTCATTCCTTAACATAAATAAAGAAGAATTAAATTATCAGCATTACCATGCAAATATATAAGAATCATAATTCACAAAGGAGTACACATCTAAACAAATTAAATCAAACTGATTGGCTCTACAAATGAAAGATTGGCAGAAGAGGGATACTTTAATGACTTTAAATTATTAGTAACAAATCCATCTAGAATAATGTATTGAATTATAAAATTTTGCTTATTTATTGTATTCTATTATATTTCTTTATTATATTCATATTCTAATTCACTATTTTAAACTATTATTGTGTAGTTTTCTAAATCTCTATCAGTTTATATAATTATATTTAAGTTTTGTATCTGTTTTTAATTACAATTTATTTATCTTATATAAAATTATTTGAAATTACTTAAATCATGATCAAGAAAGTAAATAATACATTAAACATCAAATAGAACATTCTTATATTAATCTTAATTAAGAAAAGAATAAATATTTTAATATGATTCAACGTAGATTATTTAGAATAATTTCTCTTATAAAATGTAATATCCATATTTTCATTTTAAATAATATAGATTTCTTTTTTAGATTTTATTATTAGTTCCTTCATATATTATTAATAGCATTTAATTATTTATTTTTATTTTTAATTAATCTCAATAATCGCATCACACAAATTGTACTATAAATATGTATTTAAGAATATTATAATATATTTTCACTTTTTATTTTATTGGATATATATGTAAATCAAAAATTATTCAATGCGTTTGATTTATTTTTAAAATTCTCGCAAAAATAATAATATTAAACATAATAATATAGAACAAGTTAATGAAATATTTATTTATATTTCTAATTTTTTTTCCTTAAATAATTTTATGATCAATTAAAAGATTGGAAATTAGCAAAATATCAAAATTTAAGATTGTTAAAAAGCAGATATAAATCCTGATTAATAAACAACTAAAAATTTAGTTACAAATGGTTTTAAACTTTATGATAACCTTTAACCTTAAATGATGTATTTATTAATTGTTTTATATAAGAAAGAAAATTTGTTTAATGCAAGCTTATTGCAGAATGATAATATAAAAAAAAAAATATAAATGTATGAAAGCATGGGCAATTAAAAGAGGAAAAGTTTATGAAGAACTCATTTAAACTGAAGTGTCTTATTTGGCTGATTTAAAAATTGTTCTTGAAAAAGTAGTTAAAAATGTTAAAGAAATGAAGCTATTATCAGATATTGAAATATAAAAAGCCTTTAGTAATATAAGTTAAATATATGATTTAAACAAAGCCTTTTTAAGAGAATTATAAAGTAATAATCATATATATTATCAGAAAAGCTAGATATATATAATAATAATGTATGTGTAGGTCATATATTTTTAAAGTATATTCCTTTTTTTAAGATGTATTTTCAATATTTGTAGGAATTTAAAATCGATTAAATTTCAATTTTAAGAAGTTAATACTAAGAATTTGATAATTTCTTAAACAATTTAGAAGAAGCTTGTGTATTTAAAGGTGGTGATCTTAATTCATTTTTGATAAAACCTGTATAAAGATTACCTAGATATTCTTTATTAATAACAAGTGTAGTAAAATACACTTGGAAGGATCACCCTGATTATTAAGATTTATAGAAAACTCTGAATTAGTTTGCTTCTGTAACTTAATAAATTGATTTGCTTATAGGAAAGTATGTTAATTAATAATATTATATATTTTAGCATACTTAGAAATTAAGCCCTTTTTGAATTGTAATATAAGTTTTTTAATTTGATTAATGTACAAATAGTGGAATCTACTAGGTAATTTATATTGACAGAATCTTTATATATGATTAATTAAGGTCAAGAAGAATAAATTAATTTATATTTATGTACTGATTTAATAGTATTGACAAAAATGAGTGAAGAAAATTAAAAATATATAAAAGAAGGATTGATCACTTATTCATTTTTAGATTTATAATCTTATTATAAAAATGAATAAGTTCCTTCTTTAAATTTTACTTTAGTTGCAGGTGAATAATAAATGATGTTTATTTGTTAAGATTAAGAATAAAAAATAAAATTATTATAAGAATTTGATTCATTATTTGCTAACCTAAAAAATAATGCATCCCAAAGAAGTGTTCAATGTAAAAAGAAAACATAAATATATTCTCCAATTAAAGTTTAAATAGTATCTATAACAAGAGGATAAGAACTTTTGAAATCCTACGCTTAATACAATATAATAGTAAATTATGAATTTTGATGATTAGGTAATCAATTAATCATAAAGTTATGCAATCTAAACAAGACATAAGGTTTTATTGAAATTGTAGAAAAAGCTTGAAATTGAATTTCAATAAGAATCAAAATCTGAGGCAGGATCTAATATTTTATTCTAAAATTGGATAAAGAATAGATTAAATAAAGAATAAAATGATGGAAGAAAGGTTATAGTTCAGGAGTTTTTAGAAACTTTGTTAAACTCTCATTTAGTAAAAACAAGGCCTGAATACTTTCTACGTAAACTTAAATTACCATAGGATTTTTACATTAAACATGATATGTTTTAGAGTAATAACAATTCTCTAGCATAAAGTAAAATAGAATGAACTGAAAACCAGTATTATCAAAGTGTTCTATTATAATTTTGTTTTTTATTTTTTATAATGGTTTCCAAATATATTATTTAAAAAAATAACATAATCTTTTATCATATGTATATAATTATAAATAAATATATAAAATTGGTTACAAATCACAATCAATGATTGCTATTATTTTTCATGAATGACAATTAAAGTTCCAAATTGCTTTATGCAATGGATCTCTAATATTCGGATGACATATATTCACATTATTATTTGTGAAATTTTGTTGTATGATAACAATTCTGTTACTGGAAATATTGAGTAGCAAAGAGATGAAACTAATAGAATGATTAAATATAATTACTCTAATTTCAAATGATTAATCAGACAGATTTGATTCATTTAAAAGAAAATGTTCATAGTAAAGTTCATCTTATGATAACATAAAAAGAGTCATGGCACATCTTTTTTATGTTTATGAAAATTTATTCTTTTCAATTTGAGTATAAATATATGCAAGCTCTTCATAATCTTAAGTATATTATGCATATTTGCAAAGTCCTTCTAGGTATTGATCACATAGAGTTCCTTTAAAACATTTAACAATCTTTAATAAATATAATATATATACATCTAAATATTTTTTGAGGTAATCTATATTTTGAGTATCAAATTACCAAATTTCATAAAAGTAATTGGCAGCTTTTTCTAAAATATTTGATCTTAATGAAGAATATTTAATTTAATTTCTATTATTTTACTTTTTCATTACTAATATATTAAACATGTTTTATACTTTTGTTAATTAGTTAGAGTTACTAATCTAGTATTTAAATGGTTTATTCCATTATTTTAAAATACTCTTCTTGTGATTCTGTCTTTAGACTTTTGCATTTTGACTCTAACAATTTAAGAATTTCATTATTTTTTTTGACTTGCATTTCTTGTGAGTGAATTTGATTGAGACACTGATTTTTATTTAGAGAGGAATCTAAGAATGAAGTTTATCGAAGTAGTGTCTCTTTACAAGTAATGAGCTTCGATAACATATTCTTCAAACTTAGTATTTAAACAAACTTAACCATTATTATATGATTGTAATTCAATTAATTTAAAAAAATTAAATATATGAATTTATTTCTATGTAAAATTTTTACCTTTAAATATATTAATAGTCAATAGTTAATTCTTCATATCCTTTATAATATGATGCATTTATTAATTATTTCTGATTAACAAAAAATATTAATTATTCTATAAATAATAATTCCTCATTGGATTATAAAATATTTAATTATTCTAATTGTATGTTTTGCTTATGTGGTCCAAGAGGAACAGATTAAAATGAAAAGAGCTAAGATACTGTAAATTAATAGATAGCAACCAGTCTATAAGCAAATATGAAAAGAAAATCAATGAAACCATTTTTGAATCTAGATTACACTGCAAATGTAGAAAGTAGTATAAATTAATGTATTGTAATAAATAATTGTAGAATTTGCATAAAGATGTGATTAATCAAGGGAATACAAAGAATATACAGATTTTATAAATGGTTATTATCAAGGAAACAATCAAAAATCATAAATCTAATTACCAAATGACACTGAACTTTCAGCCATCAAATATGAAGTATATATTTATTCAATTTAGGAAACAAAGACAAGTAATGAACAAATGAGACTTATACATCTTGGCGATGGCTTATTAGCTAAAATAATAAGCATTAATCAAGCTACTACGTCATCATGTAAAGATTCGTTTTCTCCATTTATAATGAAAGTATTGAATGAAACAAAGAGATTCTATGATGTATAATACTAGTATTAAACCTAGATTAATCCTATTTAAGAAGTGTAGTTTGTTAAACAGTTAGTTCCACATTTTATAACAGAATAAACTTATTAAAGAGTAAAGAATGATAAATTACTGATTGCACATGATCCAACAGGAAGTTTTTTAATCAAACATACTCTTTCAAATTAAGAAGTTTATTACATTTAAGAATCAAAAACATATAGAAATATATTAAATTATGCATTGGACATATTAAAATCTTAAGATAAAGTGAATTATATATTTAAATCAGATATTACAGATAAATTGGACACTGTTATTTTAAGTAAATATATATTTATAATTTAAAAGATTTATTACATATTTAAGACACACCTATTTCTTTTGTTATTTAAGAATATTTAACATTGGCACATGATATGATCATAATTTTATCACCAAAAATTGATTATCATGAAATGGTATCATAGTTGCGTTAAGGCATAAAACAAAGGTATTTAATATTATTAAAACTTAAGTGCTTAATCCAGATTATATTGTAGTATAGAAATTTAAAATGTTTACAATGGTGGTTAATTTATGGCAAGAATTATTTATTATGGAGAAGTATCATAAATTACTTAAAATCAATAATTAAGTTATCTTTATGAATGCATATCAAAAAACATGAAAAAGATTTATAAATATAAAAAACTAATTAAAGATCTTAAAAATTAGGTTGGAATTATGAAATTAGTTGATTTATTTGCTCTTTATGGTTTACTTAATAATTAATCTGAAGAAAACTTTACTAGATTTTATTAGCAAATGAAATTAAGTTATTTTTAGAATTTCTAATCTTCTGTATATAAATTTTAAAAAGCTGAAAGCAATTAATCATAGACAGAATCAGAAAATGAAGATCCTGTACCTTTGGTTTAATATGGAAGCTCTATTATTTTTTCAGAAATAAAACTATATAGTAAGAGTCTATCTACTCATGCTGCTAAGTCTGAATATGTTCATTTTCATTCTTAAAACAATAACTAAAACAATAATACTAAAAATAAAGCATAAGATAAAATAGAGTTGACAGAATCTTGTATTTATAAATGATTATAACTTTTTGTTTATATTATAATTATTTTTTATATTATTTAATCTTTATAAGAATTAAGAAATTCATATTTATTTATATTTACACAATAATGGATTAAACTGGTTTGAGAGCAGTAATCTTAGGTGCTTCTGGAGCTGTTGGTAGAGTAAATAAATAATAATATCATAAAAGGAATTAGTAACAGAATTAACCAACTCTCCAAAATGGACTGAAGTAGCTGTTATTGTTCGTAGAAAATTAGATTAATGGGATACACTACCAAGTAATTACCATTATGTATATTACAAAAAGATAAACACAAATTAAGAATAACATAAGTTGATAACTTAGATATTCTAGAAAAGACAGATGAATGGAAGAAATATGCAAATTATAATACATTCTTTTGTGTCCTTGGATCTAGAGTAAAAGAAGGAGATGCTCAATTTACTAAGGTAGATCTCACTTATCCAATCTATGGAGGTAATATTGCCAGAGCTAATGGTATTTATATTAGTTTAAATAAATAGCCATTCCTCATTATTCCTTATTAACATCAATAGGGGCTGATAAAGGATCTATGTTTTTATATACTAGAATCAAAGGACTTGTTGAAGAAGCTTTGACAAAATAATCATTTCCATATTTAACTATTCATAGAGCAGGTGCTATATTAAATAGAGTAAATGATGAAAGAATTGGTGAAACTATTCTAAAATATATTCCATTTATTGATAAAATTGAATGTAAAGATTTAGCCAAAGCTTTGAGAGTGGATGCTGAAAAAGCATATGTTGATTTATAAAATCCAAATTAGAAGGATTTTACTGTTAGATTAAATACAAACAAAATGCTTTTAGATTTTTCTAAATAATGAGAAGATATATTAATGAATTTGTATATATTTTTATGAAAATAAAAATATAATGTTATCCTTTTTTGGTTTTAAGTATTCTATCATTTTTTGAGTGAAAAAAGTCTCCCAATTAAACCTGTATTATTATTAAAGTAATACATTCCTGCCATAACTAATAATAAGACAAACATCTAAAATAGAAATTATATAATATACTTGCATCCAAAATTCAGATGAGAAGAGAGTTTTCTTTAAAAATGATGATTATTATTTTGGTTTAATTGGTTCAGGATTTTATTTTAAATATTCTTCTCTTTCTTTTTCTTATTTTTCTTTTTTCTTTTTAAAATAATCTTTCATTGCATATTCAAAAACCTCTATAAATATTAATCAATACTTCAAAATTAAATTTACCTTAACCAAATAGTTCAGTAACTTATTCTCTACATAAGCGAATTAATCTTCTTATATATTTCTTATCATTTAAATTGATTTGATATTTTTAAGCTAATTCTTTGATTTATTCATCATTATCATAGTCAATAAAATCTAAATTCATAAAGAATGACATAGTTTAGACAGTTTCTAATAATCTTTATAGTTCTGATTTAGCTATCTTGACTTAATCATATTTTTTTTATTCCTAAATTTATTAATTGAAATTGATACTGCATAAAATTCAATTATTCTATAATATTTATTCACCATTTCTTTAACAATTTCATATTCTTAATGTTCTTATATTAATTAAGGCATGCATATTCTATATAAGAATTATTTTTGTGTTTCACTTTATTATTGAATCATATCTTCTGGATCTATAACATCACTTACTCCTTCTTCATATGGAACTTTTCCATCTTCAATCATTTCTTATTCAATTTCATCAATTTCTTTGGCTCTTTAAAATAAAGGCTCAATTAAATCAATAACCCATTATTTCTTCTTTTTTAATGCTTCCATAATTTTATGAGCATGTTCAACATAAATTTCTTTAGCATTCTCTAAACCCATTAATTTAAGAATTCCTGGACCTTATTTAAAGATATTTTCAACATTAGATAAACTAATAGCTTTTTCAATTAATTCCTTTGCTTTAATCATATCTTTATAATTTGACCATTTATCATAAAGAATGGCTTAAGAATACCTAAATAGATATTAAGAATTCTCTTTTTGGATTTAGCCAGCATCATCTAAAATCTTCCTTGCTAAATCAAAATGAGACATTTTCATGTAACAGACTGACATATTCAAATATAGACCATACATAATAGAATTGCACATTTCTTTATCAGCTTCATCCTTAATTTATTAATAGATTTATTACTTCGATATGTTCAACACCTCTATATTTAACATTTTCATCTGTATATATGGTCATTAATGATTTATATTATTTTTTGAATTCTTTTTATTCTTTCCTATACTATTTAGCAGAATTTTTCATTTCATCTAGTTCTTTTTTTTCTTTATCAGTTAAATTTGTTATATCTTGTGTTATTTGTTGTTCTTCTTCACTTTCTTCTTCAGATGGTTCAATTACTTCTAAATATCTAAAACAACCAAGTGCTCTCTCATAATATCTAATAGCTTCTTCATACTCTTATTTTTATAATAATTTGTTGCCTTTATAAATAATTATATAAATTACCCTTTTCTCTAAACTTATCATAAACAAAAAATCTTTAAGCAACTTCACATTATCTTAACTTTTTTGTATTTTCATCATCATGAAATAAAGTACTTTTTAAATAAATAGGATAAGAATCGAATATTTTTCTTCTGTCTTTGATTGGACCTATATGGACAATTGTTATGAACTCTTACCTTTTTTAACTTCTTTAGAATCGAAAGCAATCATCCATAATCCTCTTGTATCTAGAAGATAATTAAGTGGACTAATGTAATAAGTGTCAAATTATTCTTCAAGATGAGCTAGTGGTGGATTTCTTTTTTTTTCACTTTACATAAAAGGACATCCACCTTTAGATTACTTTTCTTTCTTTTCTTTCTTCTTTTCAACACTACCATCAATTATTTTGATTTCAGGTTGTTATTATATTTATTAGAATGGACATTTTGTTTTATCTGTATATTTATCATGACCTATTGGTAATTTCATTGAATCAGAAAAAGGACAGGAACCAATTTCTATATCTTTTTTCTAAGAACCTTGATTACCTTACATTGAATTCAAATATTTTAATTATTATGTATTTATAAGAGGGAGTTCTTGAATTAAATAAAAATATTTATTCATTGATCCATGTCGATCATTTTCAAAACTGTTCTAACATGTTCATTGTCATCATTATTTTATTTTTCATCTACTACTGAATTTGATTTCTTTCTCATTAAATCTTTCAAATCTTTTAATTCATCTGAATCTAAAAATCAATTACAATTAATTTTTACCTGTTCTTTCTTAAATTGAAATTAAAGTAGTTTAATAATGTTATCCTTTTACATTCTATTTACTTTCATCAGAATCCTAATCATATTAAAAACTATTTTGTAAATTGTGTCCCAACCAATGTTAATCACTACTATTACATAGTTTTTAATAACTAAGTGTACTACTACCATTTTTTTACGAAGTTAATAAACTTTGATCTCTCACTTTAAAAGTATTTTAAACTATTCTATTTCTAGGAACTATCTTAAATACTCTAAATTATGATAATTGATCTATTTATCTATTAAATTTAATTTATTATATACCTTTTTTCTTAATTATTATGATAAAATGAACAATCAGTTTTTGAACAGTTTTAATTAATACATTATTTTGTTCTAAACAACATTGGATGATATTCTAATTCTTTCCATCCATGACATTTTCCACAATTAAATCCATCTTAACATCCATTATAATATTCTAAAATATATTCAGCTGTATTCCAACTTGGACATGGAATTGGATGATATTAATAAATTTAAGGTTTCCTTCTAAAGTCTTACCAATTATGAGCATAAACACAAAGTGCTTTATCATGTTATGTGAGATTGAAAGGACACCAAACTGTTTTGTAATAGAACATAAAGAAATCATCGTCATATTCAAGGTTATGGATTAATTCTATAACAATATCTGTTTCAGAATGTGCGAAAGAGCAAAATTTTCCATAATCACATTAAGAAATATTATGAGGATAGTAGGAACAGAATTTTGTCTTATAATTATCGGCTCTATATAGTTACTCTACTCTATTGTGAGCTTTATTGCAATTATCTGCATATGGACATTGTTGAGTATTTTCAATATATGTACATAATTCAGCTGAATACTATACATTAACTCTAATTTTTTACTATAATTAATACCTCTTTCTATCCTTAATATTATGATAAAATGGACAATGTTTATGACTATGATTGCCAGGTATTTTGCAAGGTTGAATTTTAAAGAAATTTAGATCTAAATGTTCTACTTAATAACAAGACTGTATTGGTTATGAAAAATTCAAATTATAATGGGTCACATCAGTTGTATCTACTATATTTATATTTATTTACCTGTGTCACTTAATTTTGCATTTCTTTCTGATTTTTAAGTACTGTTCATACTTAACATTCCTTTTGGTACTTGCGGCATTTGTAGCTACTAAGAACGACAATTTCGGTTATTGTTTTACTTATCCCCATTATTGTATCTCTTTAAAGCTTTTCGTAATTAGTCTTATGGAGTATGCATTAATTATTTATTAACTTTTTAATGACGAATTCTTGTATTTATATTAAATCATGAGATGAAACATTTTTCAACGATGATTCAATAAAATTATTAACAATTATTATTTCTCAGAACGTCATAGTGCATATTATAACATCTGAAACTAAAAATAATATTATTATATTCCTATATTTCTAAATATATTATTTTTAATAGAAGAATAGAATTCAATTGGTAATAATGTAAATGGTCTAAAGATGAAAGGAAACAATTAAAAATTTCATTAAAAGACTTAATTCTGACATACTTTTCTATATATTTTCTACATAGATTATTTAAATTAATATTGACCATCAATCTGTATTCTATAAATAATCTTATTATTATGTAAATATACTTTATAGAAATCATAATATTGTAAAATAAATGTGTATAAGTTTATAAAACTAAAAAAAAACTATTCAAAATCATTAAAATCTCTCATATGAATATTTTTATATAGCAGTTAACAATTGAGTATATAATTTCATTAATTTCAAATTCAAATTTATTAAAACATGAAGAAATCCTTTAGAGAAGAAGCAATGCCTTTAATTTTTTACTCTTAGGAAACATAAAGTAAATTTTACTATACTACAAAAAGCTTACCAAGTAAATCCTGAAGCAATAGAGATTATTAAAAATATTCCAGCTCCAATAGGAATTGTAGGTGTAGCTGGTATGTATAGAACAGGGAAATCTTATCTGTTGAATAGAATGTTGCTAAATAGATCTGATGGTTTTGGAGTAGGTCCAACTGTATTGCCATGTACAAAAGGACTATGGATGTGGGGTAAACCACTTCTTGGATAAACAAGTGATGGAGAAAGCTGTTCAATATTGGTTGTTGATAGTGAAGGACTTGGTGCTCCTGATGAAGATTCAACTCACGATATCAGAATATTTTCATTAACTATTCTTTTAACTTCTTGCTTTATTTATAATTCTGTTGGCAGTATTGATGAAAATGCCCTCCAAAACTTGAGTTTAGTAGTTAATCTTACAAAAAATATTCAACTCAAAAGGTAATATGATATTTATAAGATTTTAGTGGTTAATCAACTACAGATCTAGAAGATCTATCCTAATACTTTCCTTAATTTTATTGGGTTGTTAGAGATTTCACTCTTTAATTAGTTGATCGAAATAATGAACAAATAACTTCTAAAGATTATTTAGAAAATGCATTAACATTATAAAAAGGTACTTCAGATGGAATTGATTAAAAAAATAAAATTAGAAAATTACTTTGTACTTTTTTCAAAGATAGAGATTGTATAACTCTTGTAAGACCTTTAACAAAAGAAAGTAGTCTCTAAAATTTAGAGAATTTAGAATTTGATAAATTGAGACCTGAATTCTTTGAATAGGTTATTAATTTAAGAAAAAAGATATTAAATAGAATAAGACCAAAAACAATGAATGGCAAAACTCTTTCTGGTTAAATGTATTGTGATCTTGTTAAATCATTTGTTACAGCTATTAATAATGGAGCTGTTCCAGCTATAGAATCAGCATGGACTTATATTTGTAAAAATGAATGTCAAAAAGCAGTAGCTGAAGCATTTGATACTTATGAATAAATCTTAAAAGAAAATCTTCATAATAGATTTCCTATTTCTAATGAAGACTTAAAAACTTTTAATAGAAGTCTAAAAGAATAAGCTTTTGCATTATTCAAGAAAAAATGTGTAGGAGATTATGATGAATTTAAAAATGAATTATCAAAACGTATTAAAAATAGATTTGCTGCAGTTAAATAAGAAAATGATAGGGAAGGTTCAAGAATGTGTTCATAATTTATTTAACAAGAATTCTAACCAATAGATAGAAAACTGAAATTAGGTGAGTATCGATCATTTGGTGAATATGAAAAAGATATCAAGATGTTTTATAATTTCTTTATTGAAAATGGTCCAAGAGTTGGAACTAGAAATTAAATTATATTAGAATTCTTATAGAGAGCTTTAATTGAAGGATCCAATTTGTTTATTAGATAATATTCTTAAGAAACTGAAATGATGAAGAATGTAGCTTAAGAAACTTAAAAGAAATTAGAATAAGAATTAAAAGAAGCAAGATAAGATGGTTTAAAAGATAAAAATAATCTTTTAATGAAATTAGCTTAAATTGAAAGTGAGAAGACTGAAATTGAATTAAGAGAATAAGTTGCTAGAGATAATTTGGAAGAACTTAAAATATAAAAGGATTAAGTAGAAAGAGATTTAAAACTAGAGTCTGAGAATGAGAAAAATGAATTAATGAGATAAATTTAAGAATTAAAAGGTTAAGTTTTGAAAGCTGAAGAATTTAATAAGGATTTAGAAAGAAATACACTTTTTGGAAATTCTGAATTTGAAAAAGAGAGAGCTTTATTAGAATAAAAGATTACATTTTTTGAAAAATTAGTAAATGAAATGAATACTAAAGAAATAGATTATTAAAATGAAATAAAAAATTTAAGAAAAGAATATTCTTTATAATCAAAAGATTAGTAAAGTAAAGCTGATTAATCAGTTCGTTAATTATAATAGAAATTAAATGATATGCAAGAGAAATTAAATGAAATGGAAAATGAACTAATTGAAAAAGAAACTAATTTTGAAAATGATTTTAAGAAATTTGAACATAAAGAAAGAAGTCTAACAAAATAAAATTTAGAATTAAATGAATAAATTTAAACTTTGACAAGAGAATTAAGAGAATATAGAAGAAATGAAGAATAAGTTCAATTAATGTTAAAGAATGATGCAAATAATTAAGTTAATGAGATGATTGAAAAAGTATAAAATTTAGAAGATTTAATTAAATCTAAAGATGATTAATTAAAATAGACTAGAAGTTAAAGTGAAAAAGATAAGGCTTTGATGTAATAAAAGATGGAATTCATGGAAGTTCAATTAGATGAATATAAAAAGTAAATAGAAGAAAATAAGAAATCTCATGAAGCTATTATGAAAGCATTTGAAAATTCAAGTAATGAATCTACATATAAAATTGATGCAGCTAAAATGAATGAATTAAGAGAATAACATAAAAGAGAATTAAAGAATATTGAAAATGAATATGAAAATACAAAAAAGAGATTGTAACAATAGATTGATTAATTAAATGAAAAGAATAATGAATTAGAATTAAAGGTTAAATTTGAAACTGGAGATTTGATAAAGGAATTAGAAAATTTAAAAGAATAATTATAAACTACTGAGGAATAAAGAAACAAATTGTTAGAATAGAATAAAACATTAGATGGATAAAAATTATAAATATTGAAAGAATAGGAACTCAGATATTAAAAGAAAATTAAATAATTAGAATAAGCTATTGATGAATCTGATGCAAAAATTGCAAAAGAAGTTAATTTAGCTTAAGCTAAAGCTGAGGAATCATTAACTTAATTAAAGAATTTCTATGAAATTGAAAGAGAGAGACTTGAAAGAAGAATTTGTGAAGAAAAAGAAAAAAGTGATAAAAAGTTTTAAGCAACTTAAGAGGAATTTTATCATAAACTTAGAGAGACTGAATAAAATTATGAAGAAGAAATTGAAAATTTAAAAGATGACTTAAGAGATTAAGTTTAATAATATACAAACACAATATAATAATATGATCATGAAATTGCTTTGAAATAATAAACAATTGAAATTTTTGAAAAACATATTAAAGAAACTAAAGAATAATTAATTTCTCTTTAAAATAATAACAATGCTACATTAGAATAATAAATGAATTCTTTTACAACTGAAAGAAAGAGCTTAATATAAAAGATTGATGTTTTATCTAGTTAATTGAATAATTTGTAGAAGGAACATATGGCATTATAATAGAAAAAAGATTTATTAGAGAATGAAAAAGCAAGAAAAGAATAATAATTTGAATAATCAAGAAAAGAATGGTAAGAAGAGAAGAAAGAATAACTTGAAAGATTAGAAGAAACTAAATTAAGATTATAAAAAATGAATGATGAATTTTTGGAAAAGAAAATTGAATATGGCAGAGAAACAGCATTAATTTAATAATAAAATGAGTTTTTGCAAAAGAAAATTGAAGATTTATAAAGATAAATAGATACATAATAATCAAGATTTGATGAAAAGCTTAAATAATAAAAAAATGAATATTTAGTTGAATTAGAATAAAAATTAGAAAGAGCATAAGAAGAGAAAACTACTATAGAAACTAAATATGAAAAGAATAAGAAATAATTAAAAGAAGTTGAATATTAATATAATAAATAAGCTTCAACATTGGAAAGAGAAAAAGCAATTTTGACTGAGAAATTGGGACATCTTGAAGCAAGAAAAAATGAATTAGAATCAAAATTAAAGGATGAAACTGCAACAATAGCTATGTAATAAGCATAATTGAGAGAATAAATTGCTTAGGAAAAGAAATAGTTATAATAAGAATTAGAAAAATATAAATAATTAAATTTATAATTAGAATAAGATAAAAGTGAAATTTATACTAGTTATGAAAGAGATAAAGCTTTATGGGAAGGAAAATTCTAATTTTTAGAATAATAAAAAGAATAAGCTAAATAAGATTTAGTAGATGCCTTAAAGAAATTTGAGATGACATTAATGCATTTATAAAGAGCTAGATCAAATGAAAAAGATGAGTAAGAAAATAATTTAAATGAATTATTACTAAGTGTAGAAAGAAAATATCAAGCTTAAATTGAGGAAGCAAATTAAACTCATTAAAGAATAGTTTAAGATTATGAAGACAAAATAAGAAGATTATAAAAAGAAGTTAAAACTCATAAAGATAAAATATTGATTGATCAACATGGAAAAATTGGTAATTAATTATTATCTGAAAAAAAGTTTGCAGAGATGTTAGACAATGAAAAAAGATTATAATAAGAAATAGAAAATATTAAATAAGATAGAGATTAAAAGATTTTGGATTATTAGAGAATGTTGGAATAAGAAAGAGAAAGTCTAAAAGCTAAAATTACAGAATTGGAAACTAAATACAAAGAAGTAGAGAGTAAAAGATCTACATTAATCTTTGAATTTGAAAAAGAAAGAGCAAAGTGGAATTTAGATAGAGATCATTTAAATAATCTTAAAAATGAATTAACAGATTAATTAGATAGATTAAGAAAGAAAGAAGAATTATTATTGAGAGATAATGAAAAGTTAAAGAATGAATAGAGAGCAACAAGAAGAAGTGTAGCTGCTCATAATATGACTAGTAATAATATTATGACAGGTAACAAATATAGAAATCCAATCAATAATGTTTCGAGTATTTTTTATATTAATAATTATAGCTATTGGCCTCTAAAAATTAAGTCCAACACATTCAAATAATACTTCAACTTCATCAGCTAATATATCAGTACTCAAGAAAACTAATTTAGCTGATATAACTAATTTTGAAAAAGTTGTTCCTTAAACATAGCAATCATTTTAAAATAATAAATATTACTTTTATGGTAATTAATAAGGATAAAATGATGATTCTATCATCGGTCAAAGCGATTATTAGAAATGAATAATTAATAAAGTTATTTAAAATTAATTTATTATTATTATGATATTGTTTAACATTAATCATTCAAAAGATACTTAATATTTCTTGTAAATTCATTATAATAGCTTCTACAAATAACAAATATAGAATAATTTATTTTAAATGAATAATTAAAGAATTTGATTACTCTTATTATGAAATATGCATTTATATTTTCTATTAAAGCATCAAATAAATATGCAAAAGATTTAAACATTATTTATTTTATCATTTTCAAATGCAAAACAGACTTACAAAAGAGCTTTAAGACTTGACCACAGGTAATCCTCTTGCAGGAGTCCAAATTACACCTGATCCTAATAATAGATTATTGTATAGATTCAATATATAAATCATAGATGGACTGCTATTGTTGCAGGACCAGAAGGCACAGCTTATTAAGGAGGAAAGTTTAAACTCTCTATCACCTTTCCAGAGAATTACCCTTTTAAGGCTCCCTTCTTTTAATTTTAGAGTAAAATATTCCATCCAAATATTAATGAAAAGGGAGAATTTTGTGAAGATATGATAGAAACAAAGGTATTTTGATTCATTCAGGATTAGGAATAATGGCAACCAACAAAAACTGTTAAGTAAGTTTTGGAAAAGATCTTAAATATCCTCGGACAAGTCAATACTGATTAATCACTTAATAATTAAGCAATGGAGATGTATAAAAGTGACAAGAATAAATTTGAAGAGTTTGTAAGAGCTGAAACAAAGAAGCATGCTTCTTGAATTATCATTAGTATTATTCATTGTAAAACATTAATCTAAGACACTCATTTAATTTATTTATTTATACCAATTATTATTCATATAAAATATATATAAGTAAGTTATATTAATTTCTAGAAAAAAAGTTCTTTTTTAATTGTAAAATAAAATTATTTTTTGAATTACTTAATCTCGGAAATGATTAGAATATAAATTAAGAATGGAAAATATTCTTTTAAGAATTTCATCAATACATATAGCTTTAATAAGGCCATTCATCCAATTCATAAGTCTTAAAAAAAGGATACATATCATCTCAACGTCCTGCTATATTTAAGCTCTTAAAAATTTTTGTGAGATTGCTTCTGCCCTTTTTGCGGAACATTATTTTAGTATATAATTTATATGGAACCTACTCTACATAACCAAAGCATCAATTTAAAATGTAATAATTACTTCTTATGAATAGCAACTTTTACTAAGACTTTACTTCAAAACGAGTTAAAGAAAGAAGCATAGGTGAAGCATACTTTAGAGTACAATAGTGGAGATATTTTTTCAGAAATGGAATTTAAGAAAATGGAATTTTAAAAAAGGTTACTTTAAAAGAGGCAGCTGATTTAGTGTAAGTACCTAAAAAGACTTTAGAAGATTACATACAAATTTTTAATAAAGCTAAGTTACTTATCAATATTGAAGAGATTTCTGAAAGAAAGATGGGATATTTAAGATCATATATGAAAAAAAATAAATCAAAAATTAGAAAAGCTATGATTCATGAAAAACAAAAAATATTATAAGAAAAACTCTAAAAGTAGAATTAAGAAGAAGTTTATGAAAATACTTAATAAAATAAAAATGAGGATGAATTAACATTTACTTACCCAAATATCTAAAATAATCTACCTGATAATGGCGATTAAGTAAAATAAGGCTACTATTAAGATGATGATTGGGAATACAGTAATTAATTTTTCAATAAAATATGTCTAAATCACCACTTTGATTGATTATATGTATATATTTATAATACGTTAATGGTAATATTATAACCTTTAAATTCCTATTGATTTCATTATAATTTCTTATTTATTTATAAATCTTAATGTTCTAAAGTTTGAGCATTTAAATTTAAGAGATATAATACTCAAAAATTGACACATGAATTTTATTATTAAAATAATTCTAAAAATAGTGAATTATAATTTTTATATTCAAAATGAATTATATATAAATCTCTTTTCATTCATTAATATTTTGTCTCTTAAGTATTAATTAATATCTTAGTTTAAGTTCTCAAAACGTAATTTTTTTATTCAATTATTAACTAATAAATAGAAATTTTTAATAGATTAATTGAAAAGGCATATAATTTCAAATCCCAAAATAAATTAAAATTAAATATATTTTTTGCATACATCTTTTCTAATTCTATTATTAAAATGGTTTATTATGCAATTACTCTTTTAAATAATTTCTTATTTAAATAGTTTCATGAATGATTAATCTGTTTTCAATTTTTATTTAGATTAGTAATGAATAGATTCTCTTATTCAAAAAGATAAATTATAATATAAATATTTATTAATGACAACCAGATAGTTACAAAACCCATTAAAAGAGTCTTATTAATAATCTAAGCCTCAAATCAATTTAGATATTACAAGCTTAATACTATTATATAATAGCTTAAATTAAGAATAAGTAATTTTTCAGAATAAGTGAGAGTATAAATCTTACTAGTTTAATTGATATGACTCAAGACAAATATGTTTAAAATGATATGATTACATTATGGTAATGTTCGATAACTCAAATAAATACTGCAATCTTAAAACCTGTTAATCAAGAATAAAGATAAACATCAAAAATCACTTAGATTCCAAGTATGATCTATTCATAATTGAGCAAATCGATTACATATAATTTAACTTAGTGTTCTTTCTAATTATTAGTAAAAAAATAAAATGAAAGATAAAAAAACACAATAGAAAAATAAAATTAGCAATCAAACAATAAATTTCCAATTTAACATAGATATTAGATAGATGATAATAAAAAATCCCTTCATACAATTCCAAAAAGATATAGAAGCATATCAAGCCAATATTCTCCTACAAATCTTTAACATTATTTAAATCAAAAAGAATCAAATTTGAGTGTTAATAAAAAATGGTTATAAGTTTCACCTCACAAATAATCACATAGTACATAATTAAGAGTATAAGCTTAATTGAATGCTTAATAAGTTAAATAAAATTTTATCGATAGATGTAGAACTACAACAGGATCTTTAGCAAATAAACATATACTCCTGAGTTCAAAATTTTTGAATTTTTAAGCATTAGAATATTGATGATTTTGATTTACATATATTTTAACATCATTATTATATCAACAACAACAAGAATATATATAAAATCAACCTTTAACAATAATCTGTAGATGTGATTAAATATTTTTTCAAATTTTATAAATCTTATTTTATAATGTTACAATACAATTTATTTTAGTCTTTATGGATAAACTAATTATAGCATTATTAAGTAATATAAGAAATAAATAAAATTGTTATATTAAAAGTATAAATAAATAAAAAATTAGAGATTTACTTTATTGATCTAAAATAATACGAATATCATTTTTATAAAATAGATTTTTTTCACTTATAAATCACAACAACTTAAATAAAGTATGTAGTTTTAATATATATCATCTAAAAAAGCTTAAAAAACCAAAATTTTTATTAAATCATTTAAATGCAAGTCAGCCATCTCTATAAATTTTATGAGTAAATTAATAATCCTTTTGCTTGTAAATAAATTAAACCTAATTATAAACATTAATTATTGTATAAATACAATCTATAAATCTTAGTTGAATGGCTATAATTTCAGACCAGAAGATTTACCATATCTATAGATAATTATTTTTTCACCTTTCAGAATTTTTCTTTAAAAATCCCTTAGTTTCAAATTTTAGATTAAAATATTAAATCTAAATATTACTGAAAATATAAATATGAATGGAGATTTTATTGAAATATGAATATATGAATTAATTCTACATTTTGAATCATATTAAGAATACCAGTCTTCTTAAATAATCTTAATTAGGTTCAATAACCTTACCTTTGATTAACAAAATATTAATAATTAGACATGTAAAAAAGACAAGGAATAATGTTATGAATATAGTATCTTCTATATATATATCCAACAACCTAATTAGTTAATTAATCTTGAATTATAAAAGATTAAAATGAAATTTATATAGTAAACTATATTTTCAAATGGTGATAGAATGATTTTATTAATAATAAAACCTAAATTATCTCCATAGCATTCTTATTATTTTATATATATATGTTTATTACAATATATAATAAAACAAATATAGGATTATAAAATAATACCAGGAAATTATAGTTATAAAATAAACTAAGTTTGAACATTTACTTTTGAAAGCATAAAAATTTATATCTTTTATTTTTAAAATATACATTATGGCAGACGTCTAATCATAAAGAGCCTTTTAAAAGCAAGAAGGAATCTTTTAAAATTCTAAAAAACTTTTAGCTAAGAAAACCTCTAAAGGAGTAAGATATTGGAAAGAAGTTGGACTTGGATTCAAAGTACCAAAGGAGGCTATTGAAGGAAATTATATTGATAAGAAATGCCCATTTACAGGAAATGTTAGTGTCAGAGGAGCAATCTTAAAGTATATTTATAAAAATAGTGTAATTCCAGAGGTATAGTGATCTCAACCAAAATGACCAGAACAATTATTATTAGAAGAGATTATTTACACTATGTTGCCAAATATAATAGATATGAAAAGAGACATAGAAACGTTCCAGTCCACATTTCACCTGCATTTGGTCCAGTTAAAGAAGGCGATATTGTTGTATGTGGATAATGCAGGTATTTTGATTATCAATTTTAGACCATTATCTAAGACAGTTAGATTTAATGTTTTGAAAGTTATCCCAAATGAAATCATTGGTAATGTTAGAAAACAATTTGTTTTATTTTGATTCAATAACATCATATTCAAGTACATTATATAAAGTTCATAATTTTTGATATAAATTATTTTATCCAATGTATAATTTTATAATACATGTACTCAATTAACATGACATTGTTAATATAAATTGAAAGAATCTAAAAATTTTAAAGATGAATATCTTTTGATTTCAATGATTAAATTATTATTTGAAGACATAGTTGAGTAATAAAACAAAATATATTCATTTTAATTGATCAAAATATTTGTAAATAATTATTACATATGTAAAGAAATCTTAATAGAATTTCTAAGCCTTATATAATAGCTTAAGAGAAGAGTATAATATTTTTATTAAAGTTTAAGCTATGATCAAGAGTTTTATTTAAGTAAAATTATGGTTATTCAATCTTATTTATGCCTTGAATATTTAGTTTTCTCTATAGTTAGAATATATTATGGAGAGTTGATATAAGGTTAAATTTAATATTAGTTTTTCACTTTGAATCTATTTGATCTTCTTTATAATAAGCCATCTTAAAGTATTTTTTATTTTAATTTCTTTTGAGATTAAAGGAAAAACAATTTATAAAATTAATATTATTACTCTATTTATAATATTTATTCATATAAAAATTCTATGTCATTGTTTAGGGATATGAATTCTTATCAAACTTGATTGAATATTCATGAACTGTAGGATTATTTTAATTATTTAAAATTTAGAATTATTAATAAAATATGAATAATAATGAAGAAGAGACAAATAAACTATTATAAGAAATTAGAAATGAAGTTATAGATTTTACTGCTACAAATTTCTTAGGTTAAGTTGTTGAGAAATATTAAAATTATGAAAAAATATGTTTTTAAGAGAATAAGGGAAATAGCATAGAATTTGTGAAGTGTACAATAATTAATATTGTAAGGTATGATGAATTTTCAAAAGAGATAATTAAAAGAAGAAAAGAAAATGGAATTTAAAATAGATTACTTAAAAAATGAAATTGCTGAGTGTCTTATTATTAATGAAAGAAATGAATGTTAATAATTAGCTATTAATAATATAATGTAGATATAGCAAGATTTTTTAAAGAGCATAGAATTATCATTGAAGAAATGAGTGTTATTATTTTTAATTAAAATTTATTTCTGGTATGAGTGCAAGTCCTGTTCATCAATAATTATAAAAAACATTAGATGTTGTTCAAAGAGGATTTGAAGAAATAGTCTAGAATATTCCAAAACAATATAATGAGCAATGTATGAATTAAAATGCCAAAAACATGGAGAAATATGCATAATGTATTATTAATTGATAATTGTTAAAAGGTATGTATAAAAAAAGCAAAATTGTTGATAAATAAATGAAAGCCTTTGATTTTAAGATGTTGTTTATGGGAATTACATTTGATTAATGTATCTAGACAAATTCATAAGATTAATGTATTAAAAATGCAAAATCATCTGTTGAAGGATTTATCAGTGATTTTTAGAAGAATGTTAAATGAAAAATTAATCTATTCATATTACACATTATTTCCTGTAAACATTCTTTTGATTTCATTTTTTTAAGTCCTTTATTAATATAAAAATGTTTAATAAAAAATTATTAGTAATCAAATCAGAATGTTATTCACAACATTAAATAGAATAATTAGCTTAGAAAGGTATTCAAACTACTAATTTGAATCTATTGCAATTTACATATAAATAATTTGAAATAGATTAAGACATTAATTATGATTGTAATACTAAATTTATAATAATTGAAAGATGTTCTATTTCATAGCATTAATGGAGTTTAATCTTATATTCAATGTCAAACTAAATGTTAAACAAAAAATTATTTAGTGGTTGGCAATAAAACTAAAGAAAAGATAGAAAAAGAACTAGGTTGTGATTCAATCTAGGTTTTTAATAATTAGAATGAACTGACAATGTATTTGTTATCATAAAATTAACAGTTTAATTTGTTATACATTATTGGTAATTTGTCAGAAATAGGAAAAGAACTTTAAAGTATAAATTATCTATAATTAGATAAACATTAAATTACAATCATTGAAGGTTATTAAACCTTATCAAATAATGTGTAGGAAAAGTAAAATTTGGATTTTAGAGAATTTGATTACATAGTATATTATAGCAATTCAAATTATAATCAATTTAAACAAATGTAAATGGAATTAAAGGAAAATGTCCTTCATATTTTTATAGGATAAAAATGCAGTTAAGGCCATAATGAGAAGAATTTAAAAATATTACCGGTTCCAACATTTGAATGTTTATTAGAATGTTTATGAAAATATAAATATAAATATTATTTATTAGTAATTTTATTACAAATCTATATACATGTACAACACTATAGATTTATATGGGTAGACTATTTTTGTCGATAAATAGAGCAGATGATCCAGTAAAATAACTACGACCCTTTACGATAAGTTTTTCAGAAGACAACAGTCCTCCTAAAAAATTCAATCTAACAAATTAACCTGCATTATAATATATAAAATAGAATAGAAAAAAATTATAATTCTCTTTATATCAAATAACTCAAAGAGATTATTATAATCCAAGTTATTTATAAACTCGTTCTCCACTAAATTATTAACTGTAGAATATATAAAATACTACAAAGTCAATTCAATAAAAGAAAACATAATTTGGTAAATCATTTTGTTAGAAATACAAAACTTTATCTATTAATGATTCAAATTAATAAGAAATATATAAAAGAATAGATTTTAAATAAAAGATATTAGAAAGAATGTCATAAATTAGAAATAGAAGTATAACTTGTAAATTACCAGAGTCTAATCAATTTCATATAATTTAAACGTAAATTTGCGTTTAATCACCAGAATTTCAAATTAAAAATGAAGAAATCTTAACTCAACGGCCACCTTAATCAAGAGTTAATTCTTCATTTCAAAAATGCAAGAAAATATGTTTAGTCAAACCTGCAATTTATACTTTAGGATTAAATGTTGAAAAGTGTAAAATCATTGATAGAATGAAAACAATCTCATCCTCACCTTAAGAAAGACCTTATAAAGTAAAAACATTCAAAATCAACAATGTTTAAGATAAATAATAAAGGCAAAATATTGATAAACATAATATCTAATAATTGAACTTCAAAAAAAAATCTTCAATTACCTTGAATAAATGGGAATATTCTGATTTTGAAAATGACTGATCTTAGTAATGATTTTTATTTTGTTTACAGGATTACTCAAATATAATAGATTTGTATTAAAAATTTATATAATGTATTCTTAAAGATTTCCTTCACTTGAACAAGGGACTCCAAAAATATTATCTAAAACAACATTTAAGTTTGACATTAGATCGTATAAGACTTCAGAAGATTTGGGAATGAAATAATAAGGATAAAGTGTTTAAACTAAAAGACAAAAAACTTAGCCTAGTTTGAAATAGATGCCTGTTTTTAAGAAATTAGTATAGAAAAAGTTATTTAATTCATTGGTAAATCCAAATTAACAATTTGAAATACCTTGTAATTGGGAATAAAAGTATCAGGATAAAGTAAAACAATTAATTATGTAATTTGAGGAAAAAGAATGCTCAGAATTATAAGAAAAAAATCAAGAGCAATAAAAGACAATTGAGTAACTTGAAAGGAAATTCTTATCTCTAAAATTAGCTTATGAAAGTTTACAAGAAGAAAATTAAGATGACGATGTTTTAAATATTAAAAAGTAAATGAATTTATTAGAATCTGAATTAAAAGATCAATTGCATAGAACTGAATAATAATTATGGAAAACCTAAGAATAAAATTTCTCAATTTAAGACAAATTTAAATAATTTGAATTGAAAGCGAAGTTTTTAAAATAATAAACAGTAAAAGAGATTTAACATTAGATTCATCTTCACCAAGAGTTGCTTTGTAAATATTGTGGAAAATTAGTAAATGATGCAGTTACTATAATTCCATGTGCTCATACTTATTGTGGTACTTGTAATAAAGGATATTAAACAAAATGTTTCTTATGTGGAGATGAAGTAATTATTGTTGATTATAATTTTATTAAGGGTAAAATTGAAGCTACTTATTATAATCAGTTTATGAGTGAAATAGTTAAAATGTATGATACTTTCTAAACAATTGTTCAAATATTTTTAGGATGAATAAATTATTAAATTTATCTATACTTTCTAAGTATTCTAATAATAAATCTATATATTATGAGTACAGATGCCCATGTGGCGCAATTGGTAGCGCGACAGCCTTCTAAGCTGTAGGCTGCAGGTTCAATCCCTGCCATGGGTGTTCTTTTTTACTTTTTATATTTAAACTCAATTTCCAAATATATATTGAAATTTATAATATATGTTTGAATATATAAAATTTTATTATTAAATCCAAAAAATGAAGAGATAATTAAAATTAAGAAAAATTAAACTATTGCAATATGCAGAAGCATTATTAAAAATGATGGTATGATAAAATTCAGAAAACCAAAATCAGACCATTTTTTTATTTTAATAAAAGATTACTTGATAATTACAATTTAATATTCTGATATTAAGACATTTTATTCCTAATTATTTAGGTTGAATAGGAAAATGGAAAATAATTACAGATTTTTAGTACTTATTGTGATATCTAGTTGGTAAGAAATGAATATTCTATAAAAAAATAATCTTTGTATGAAAGAATTTAATTATACATACAAAAAATTAAGAAATATTATAAAAATTAAAGAAATGATTAAATTTATATATTGTGGCTTCTTTATGGGGATTTGAAAATTATTCATAAATAAAATCTTTTTTCACTTTCAAATGGGAGCATACAAATATTTACAAGAACTTTGGAAAAAGAAACAATCAGATGTGTTGAGCTTTATCATGAGAATTAGAACATGGGAATATAGATAATTACCTGTAATTCATAGAGCCACCAGACCAAGTAGGCCAGATAAAGCTAGAAGATTAGGTTACAAAGCCAAATAAGGTAATTAATTATGAATAATTATTTAGGCTATGTCATTTATAGAGTGAGAGTACGAAGAGGTGGAAGGAAATTACTTATTAGAAAGGGACTTGTTAAAGGAAAGCCTAAGAGTCAAGGAGTTAATTAATTAAAGCCAACAAGAAATCTTAGATCTGTAGCAGAAGAAAGAGTTGGAAGAAAAATTGGAGCCTTGAGAGTTTTAAATTCCTATTGGGTTGCTTAAGATGGCACATATAAATACTATGAAATAATTACTGTTGATCCATTTCATCCAGCTATCAGAGGTGATTCAAGAATAAATTGGATTACTAAGCCTGTTCACAAACATAGAGAATTAAGAGGTTTTATATATGATTAATAATATAAGGATTAACATCAGCTGGTAGAAAGAGTAGAGGTCTTAGAGTTAAAGGACATCGTAATAATTAAACAAGACCTTCAAGAAGAGCTAATTATGCAAGAAGAAATAGAATTTCCCTTAGAAGATTTAGATGATTTTGTTATTTTTTCTGTACAATTAATCAGTCATTTAATATAAAATATTTTTGAATTCTTCTTATCTAATTTGTAAATTTGATAGAGTAGAGTAACAATTTTATTTAGTAATTTAATAGTAATTGTTATATAATTAGATTGCTATTTTATTATATTTAATTATATAGTAATTTAATTATATTTAATATTAATCTTTAAATATGTAGATGTCTGATAGTGAATTCTTTGCTGATCTTAAATATAGACTTGATTATTTAAAAAAGCAAGAACTTATGGGTGTTGATATTCATGACAGAAATTTAGAATCAAGTAATTGTGAATCAGAAATTGACCCTGAATTAGATTCTATATTAACTAAACAAGGTTTGGTCAAAAAAAAATAATAGATTCAGAATCATAATTAATTAAGTATGAAACTTAAAATGCTAAAAAATAATAAAATTAACTTTAAAGAACTTAAAATATAAGATTTTGAAATTCTTTCTACATTAGGTAATTATTATTATATGATTATAAATTAGGGACTGGAACATTTGGTAGAGTTAGATAAGCTAAGATAAAAGGTGATCCTGAAAATTAAGTTTATGCACTTAAAATTTTAAAAAAAACAGAAGTAGTTAGACTCAATTAAGTTGAACATATAAAATCAGAAAAAGATATTTTAACATTTATAGAACATCCATTCATTGTAAAAATGAAAACATCCTTTCAAGATTAGTTTTATATCTATATGTTATTTGAATATATTTAAGGAGGGGAATTATTTAGTAGATTAAGAAAGGAAGGTCGATTTGCCAATGATGTTTGTTTGTTTTATGCAACTGAAATATTGACTGCAATTATATATATGCATAAAATGTAAATAGTGTATAGAGATCTTAAACCAGAAAACTTATTAATAGCTAAGGATGGACATGTTAAAATTACAGATTTTGGTTTTGCTAAGAAGATAGGAAATGGTAAAACATATACTTTATGTGGTACTCCTGAATATTTGGCTCCAGAAATTATTAAAGGTTCTAAGGTTGGTTATGGAAAATCAGTTGATTTATGGGCTTATGGTATATTACTATTTGAAATGTTATCAGGGTATTATAATATATCATGAATAGATATCCTCCATTCTATGATAATGAACCTATTGGTATATATAAGAAGATCTTATCTGGACTTATAGAGTTTCCTAAATTTTTTGATAATAAAGTTAAAGATCTGATTAGAAAACTCTTGAATCCAGAAATCTAAAATAGATTAGGATTTAATGATGTATATATATATATTGATATATAATTAGAATGGAGAGTCAATTAAGAAACATAAATGGTATAGAGGTGTTGATTGGACACGTGTAGAAAATAGATAAATCCCTCCTCCTTGGGTCCCTTACTTAAGATCAGAGGATGATGTTTTTTGGTTTGAGAAGTACCCTGATTCTACTGATGTTCCAAAATAATTACCTCGTGAACTTTAACATATGTTTGATGATTTTTGATTTTAATTAATAAATTGCTCATTTGCAAATTTTATTATCATATTTCAAAATCTCTGACATTTACTTTCTGTTTCATCACTTAATAACTATCTTAATAATGGATTACTTAATGATTATGAAATGATTAAGAATTATATGTGTGGAATAAATAATTAAATAAATTAAAAAAAGATTTAAAATGGTATTGACTTTAACTTATGTTTATTTAGGGAGCTCATAAATCATTGAGAATGAAGAAGAGATTGATTAAAGCTAATAAGCAAAATAGACCTCTTCCAAATTGGTTTAGATATAGAACTGATAACACAATCAGGTATCAAATCAAAATAATACATTACTAGGTATAATTCAAAACGTAGACATTGGAGAAGAACTAAGCTTAACATCAATTGATTTGTTTACAAATATAATACCGTACATTTATTAATAAATTTTAACTATTTTGCTACATTTATTAAGAGTAGTCATATTTGCGAATTCATTTTCATTTTTAGAGACTATTCTTTTTTTTTAAACATTAAGATAGTCTTTCTTAATATTATTAGAAATTATAATATTTTACCTTTGTTAAAATAATACTTCATCAACATTATAAACATTAAATTATTGTCTATGTTTAAATTATAAATTAAAAAAAAATATTTTATTAAAGACCTTTTTACTTTAATTTTCTTATGCTGATATTTATAATTGCTATACAAGTATTTATTAACTTAATTAAATTATTTAATACTATTATTATTAAGATTTAATTTTATTTAGAATCGAAACAAAATGATAATAAACCGACATTGAATACTAATAGTTTAATATACAAAAAGAATATTCAATTTGAAATGAATGAAATTATTATTAAAGTTAAAATATTTGATACTAAAGAAAAAGGATATGTTGAGAAGTATAAGGTAAATGATGTTCTTAGATATAATTAATAAAATTTGATATTAAGTACTTAAATTTTTAGATAATTAGAAGTTTATTAATAAGTTTAATGTGGATGTAAAGATTATGAATACTAAATTTCTTNCCTCCTCCTTGGGTCCCTTACTTAAGATCAGAGGATGATGTTTTTTGGTTTGAGAAGTACCCTGATTCTACTGATGTTCCAAAATAATTACCTCGTGAACTTTAACATATGTTTGATGATTTTTGATTTTAATTAATAAATTGCTCATTTGCAAATTTTATTATCATATTTCAAAATCTCTGACATTTACTTTCTGTTTCATCACTTAATAACTATCTTAATAATGGATTACTTAATGATTATGAAATGATTAAGAATTATATGTGTGGAATAAATAATTAAATAAATTAAAAAAAGATTTAAAATGGTATTGACTTTAACTTATGTTTATTTAGGGAGCTCATAAATCATTGAGAATGAAGAAGAGATTGATTAAAGCTAATAAGCAAAATAGACCTCTTCCAAATTGGTTTAGATATAGAACTGATAACACAATCAGGTATCAAATCAAAATAATACATTACTAGGTATAATTCAAAACGTAGACATTGGAGAAGAACTAAGCTTAACATCAATTGATTTGTTTACAAATATAATACCGTACATTTATTAATAAATTTTAACTATTTTGCTACATTTATTAAGAGTAGTCATATTTGCGAATTCATTTTCATTTTTAGAGACTATTCTTTTTTTTTAAACATTAAGATAGTCTTTCTTAATATTATTAGAAATTATAATATTTTACCTTTGTTAAAATAATACTTCATCAACATTATAAACATTAAATTATTGTCTATGTTTAAATTATAAATTAAAAAAAAATATTTTATTAAAGACCTTTTTACTTTAATTTTCTTATGCTGATATTTATAATTGCTATACAAGTATTTATTAACTTAATTAAATTATTTAATACTATTATTATTAAGATTTAATTTTATTTAGAATCGAAACAAAATGATAATAAACCGACATTGAATACTAATAGTTTAATATACAAAAAGAATATTCAATTTGAAATGAATGAAATTATTATTAAAGTTAAAATATTTGATACTAAAGAAAAAGGATATGTTGAGAAGTATAAGGTAAATGATGTTCTTAGATATAATTAATAAAATTTGATATTAAGTACTTAAATTTTTAGATAATTAGAAGTTTATTAATAAGTTTAATGTGGATGTAAAGATTATGAATACTAAATTTCTTGATTTAAAATAAATCTGTGAATATATCAATAATAATTTAATGAGAAAGAATTAAAAATCAAAAGAATATAGTATTATATCAAAATAAACTAGTTAATGAATTTTATATTTTAAGTGGTTAAATTGATAAATCTGGATATGTACTAAGATCTACAATAATGGAAACTATATAAAAAGAATTTGAATTTATATTTAATTTTGGATGATCATAATATTAGCTATTTATTTTAATGATGAAAAATCACTATTTACTGTACATATTATAATTAAGATAGAACTGTATATCATTATCAAAAAGAAATCAAAAATTATTTTTGTTGTCAGAAATAAAGAATTTAATAAATGAGAGAAATCAATTAATTGAATAGGATTTAGTAAATATTGTGTTTTTTTAAAGAAAATATAATTTATCTTTTTTTATAATATATATATTATAATTCAGTTAATAAAATTTTAAATACAATGGGAAACGCAACTACAAAATTAAATAGAAAATTTGATGGATGGCTTAAAAAAGCTTACAGTTATATTTTCAAAGAAGAAGAGTTGAGTGAAATTTCTGATGAAGCATTATCTGATAATGAATAAAATCAAAGTACTTCAGATTCATAATAAAATAATGAGCCTGAAAATAAATAAGATTAAGAACTAGATCAAGAAATAGATGAAAATGTAAGTACTCATTCCTATTAAATGGAATCTATTATTTATACTTCGATTACAAAAGAAGAACTCTTATAAGATAAACGCAAGGCTTCAATTTTACTTCTATCTGAATTCGACCCTAAAAGAGTATGTCTAAATAAGGAAAACAACAAAGAATGATAAAACATATATTGTTTTAATTTTTAAATTTTGTTTAATAAAATATATGTAAATAGGATTTCATAATTTGCCTTGTAATACTTTATGAAGTATTCCATTTTCCCATTATGCATAAAAATCTTCTTTCTTAGGTCTTTTTAAGTAACCATCTCCATGTACTTCATCTTTCTCAAACATACCTAGTAACACTGAATTATCAGTTAAATGCCAATATCCTTACCCTTGTTTCCTATTATAATTAATTAAAACACTTACTCTCCTTTTGAAAAAGTTCCTTAATATTATTCCCACCATCCCTTTATATTAACATCTCTTAAATCATTATAATTAATATTCATTTCAATCTTTGGATTCTCATTTTTTAAGATTCCATATCCTTCATATTTCCCATTAACAAAATCTCCTTCATATTGAATAGTTCCATTCTTAAAATATAAAGTGCCTCTTCCATGCATTTATCCAGTAAAAAGTTATCCTTCGTACTTTAATATTGTATTAGCATCATCATAATAGATTTTATGATCTTTTCTATTTTATGATAATTTCTGATTAAAATATTGTAAGTGATTATTAGTAGATTGTTCCAAAAAGCTTCTGCAAGATTCAAGTTTGCTTATTCCATTAAATTATTTTTCTGGTTTGTCTACTTTTTAATCTCCTTAATTTTATTATTAATTAGACTAAATCTGATTTTATAATTATTCAGTTTGATTTTAGAACTCATCAGATCTAAATGAGATTAAGTCATTTTTTAATCCTGAATTAGATTTTATTAAACCATTATTCCAAATCCCAATAATTATATTATTTGATTTATTCTAGAATTCCCCAAAACCATTTATTTAATCATTTCTAAATTCTCCACAAAATATTTCTCCATTTGTTAATATTAATCTACCTACTCCAGATTTCCTTAAAATTAAAGATTTTAATACTTTCCAAATTAATAACAACCTTCATATTTTTTAAAATATTCCATAATATCTTAGCATACTTCAAAGTTATAACTTTTCTCCAACTAAATTGAATTCTAATGGTACTCAACTCCCCAACCATGAAAATATCCTTTCGAAAATTCCCCTTCATAAATTAAATCTCCTGATTTAGAAAAGAGATGACCTATTTAAGATAAATATCTACCTTTTCCTTCATATAGATTATTTACAATCTAACCATGATATTTTTATCCATTTTTATCTAATTTAGTTTATGCATTTTTAATATTTTATAATTCTTATCTAGTTTTCATAATATAATCTGAAATTTCAATTTTAGCTTATTATAAAGCTTTACTTAATTTAGCTTCATCATATTTATTTAAGGTACTATCTTCAAATAAATTAATTGAATCAAGTAGATTTAATTTAGGAATCTCTTTTACAAAGTTAATTTTAGTTTAAAGATAAACTATCTATGAAGAAGGCGATTTCAATTTTTTTAATAATTATTCAAAATTGGGTCTTCTAACTGAATCTGTATCAAGCATTTCAATTATGATATCAATAAAATTTCCACAGAATTGACTTTTTAACTTCAACATTGATTAAATTCTTTATTATAGAAGTGTTTCATCTACCTTATATTCCTTATAAATATCATTGCTTTTTTGTTCTACAAAATAAAATCCTTTATACTTGTTATCAATTCTAAAATAATCATACCAAGATTAAAAACTTGAACTCTATCAGTGTCACAAATATAACCAAAGAATTCTTCAGGAGCAGGGAAACCATCCAATTAAAAATTAACAATATTCTATGATTTAAATCTTATCAAATTATAATATGAGGATTCTGATTCAAAAAATGGCCGAAGTTTCCAAATGTTTCCATCATTTGTAAATATATTATCCAAACTTAGATATTATTTTTTCACTCCTAAAATGTGCTAAGCTTATGTTATAGACACTAATAGTTCAGTTATCTATTAATTTGATAAAGTTTTGTCATTTTTTTGTTTATATTCTTTTAGGGAATATTTAGGATGTTCAATTAATATGCACAAAGTAAAATATTTAGTAAACCATTTTTCACATGTTTATACAATTATATCTTCAATTTTAGCCATTCCGGTAAAATTTTAGTTTTATATTTCCCTAGCAACCTCTAACTCATTTTAAAATGAATTTTAGGTTGATTTAAATTCTTTATAATCAAATTTTTGGTTTTTATCATTCTCATAAATCTAAAAATTTCCTTTATCCATGATCATTTTCATATTAGACAAAAAAGGAATGTTTTCATTTATATTGCTTTATTAAACACCCATTCAATTAAATATTAATTATAACAGTAAATGCAAGAATCTACTCTTGGTAATTATGCTATAGGAAATACATTAGGTGAAGGTACTTTTGGAAAGGTTAAAATGGGAACCCATTTATAAACTGGAGAAAAGGTACTTTAATTTTAATTACTATTAGGTAGCTATTAAAATTTTAGAAAAAGCAAAGTTTGAAGATGAAAGTGATGTATATAGAATAGCAAAAGAAATAGAAATCTTAAAGAAATTGAGACATCCTCATATTATTCAAATTTATGAAATAATTGATACAGATAAGGAAATTTATTTAATAATGGAATATGCGAGTGGAGGAGAATTATTTGAATATATTGTAAAAAATCATAGAGTTTCAGAAAAGATAGCATGCAGATTCTTGCTTTAAATTTTATCTGGAGTTGAATATATGCATAAAATTGGAATTGTTCATAGAGATTTAAAACCAGAGAATTTGCTTTTTGATAATAATCAAAATATTAAAATAGTTGATTTTGGTTTATCTAATACTTATAAACCAAATGAATTATTAAAAACTGCATGTGGAAGTCCATGTTATGCTGCACCTGAAATGATTTAAGGTATGAAATATTCTGGATATTTAATTGATATATGGAGTTGTGGTATAGTTTTATATGCTATGCTTTGTGGATATTTGCCATTTGAAGATTAGAATACTAATTAATTATATAAAAAGATAGTTGCTGGAGATCTTGTATTTCCTAAATGGTTATCAATAGAAGCTAAAGATCTATTAAAAAATATATTAAATACAGATCCAAAAAAGAGATTTACAATACCATAAATAAAAGGACATAAATGGGCTAAAATAATTAAAATAGAAGAACATTTTGGAAATATAGGCAGTGATAATATTTAAGTTGATGAAATCATAGTTGAATAATTAAAAAATCTGTATTCTATTGATCCCTAACTTTGTCGAAAACTTGTTAAAAAAAATAGACACAATAATATTACAACACTTTATTATCTTTAAATACAAAAAAATAAGAAGAATAGAACTTATAATTATTTTAAAAAAGATTTTGAAGATTCAATCACTTCATCATATATTCTTAATTCATCAAATCTAGATTCTTTAAATACAAGCAACAACAACACTTCTAGATAAAAGTAAAATACAAGTAATGGTCACTCTCCATAACATAGAATTATGACTTAAATCAATAATAGATAATAATAATCACCTTCACCTTAACCAATGAAATAAATAACCAAACCAGATTCACCAAAATAATTTAACATTCTATTAAAAAGAGATATAATAAAACGACCACAAATTAGACCCATCATTCCTCCTATGCTAAAACCTATATATTAGGCTGTTAACAATTCTATATCTAGTGTTGGCACCAATGGAAATACACCTATATAAACAAATAGAAAAACTGAAGATTCTTTTTCATTAGATAAAGCTAAACCAAAAGTTCTAATTAAATAATTAAATGTTAGGTTATTAATAGAGAACGTGCAATTAGTGCCATATCTGAATATACTCAACCAAGTCCAGTTAAAATTCCATAACCAAAAATTCATAAAGGAGCCTTCAATTTTCAATGTACAACTCATAGAGAACCTTCAATCTTTGCTGCTGAGTTATTAAAGATGATAACTTAAATGTAAATAAGAATACTCTAGGTACATTTATCATTTATTTGCTCAACAGTAAAATGATCCATATGAGATGTTATGTTCAGCCAACTTATCTCTTAAATTTGAAATTTAAATTAGACAGATTCAAAATTGTGATGGTCTTTATTTATTAAAGGCTCACTATATTAGTGGAGAATGGGAAGAATATTAGAAAACTTTAAATAAACTTATTTAATTGTTAAATTTTTGAATTTTAAATGATTATATTATAGTTAAATTAATTTTTAAAAGAACTAAATCTTAGTCATTATTTCCAAGAATGGTTCAGAATTTTCATTTTCTGCGTAGAGATCAATTGTTACTAATATGATTTTATAAATATATTAATTTATTTGAATCAATTATTATTAAATTTAAGAATGATTATAATATATTTAAGAAATTCCATTTATCAATTTATTTTCTTTAAATCACTTGATTAAACCTCAATTAATTATATATCACAATCTATATGATAGCTATTTTTGGTACATATTTTATAAAAAATAAAAATATGCTGTAATTTAATTAAAATCAACTTATTGGACCTAAACCTACTTTCATGCAGCCTTTGGATTCTTATAAGAATCTAGATGTTGATGATACTTAATGTACAGATGACTTTTAAATTAAAATTTTATCTTAAACTAACAATTCTTTTATAGAAACTCCTCAAATAAAAAAAGAAGGCCTTAGTAATAAAAAAGATAGCTAGAAAAAAGTTAAATTTAATCTTAACATTGTTCATTGTTAATTTAATTAGAGAGAACCTGTTGTAGCTATAAGAAGGCTAGTTTAGAAATTAATGAATTAGAAACCACAACTCTCTTGGGTAAACCCTCAAGTCTTTAAAAACTAATGATCCATGAATTTTATTTGTATACTTAGTCTTATTATCTTATATCTATTTACAAATAATTTTTTATATAAGCATTATTACTTAATTTCAGACAATTTTTTTATTTTAATTAGATTTAAGAAGAAACCGAATAATCTAAAAATATATAATAATAATAATTTTTAGAATTTCAGAAGTCTGAGCATTCTTAAAATCTAAGAATTAATATTTCAAATCATATTCTTTATAAAATTTATAATCTAAGTCTATTATTTGAATCAAGATATTAAAATACAAGAAACTTTATAACAAAGAGTTTAGCCATTATGATTAAGAAATAAATCATTAAGTCGAAATTAGAATTAATTCATTTATGCTCGTAATTTCATAATTACGAGTATTACTCCTTATTTAATAAATAAAAAATTTAAGAAACTTCTATTTTATATATAAATAAAGTATAGATATATTCTAAATTATTTAACTTGAGGATAATATAAAAACTGGATTTATTGATTTTTGAACTAACTATACTGCAAAAATTATTCTTAATATTTCTCATATCTCTATTTGAAATTCAAATCTCAGATTTTATTGTTATTCAGAATATGATTTTGAAATTTAAATATCTAATTAGTTTTTAAAGTTTTAATGTTAATAATAGATATCAAACTAAATATCATAAAAAATAAATATTCATTCAGTTCAATTTGACATTTCAAAAATTTGTTCAACTTTTAGATCTAAATAGCTTTTGAGAATTCATTTATTAAACAATTCACATTTTTTATATAGATTTTTTATTATCATTTTTATATAAGCCATATTGTTTTAAGATTAAAAAAATAAATTTCACTAAATTTACTTGTTTAATATTCAGATTTTATGTATGAATATTTAGATGAAATGAATTCTTCATATTACACTTTAATTGCTAATTTTATGATTTATATAATCCTTTGACAAGTATTTATCAATCAAAACTATATTTTTTTACTAATTTCTAAAATTTATTCTTATTTTTAATAACATTTATGAATATTATTAAGTATTACCGAAAGGCCATACTAAGACCTACTTACAATTTTTTCTGGAGTAAAAAAGAATAAAACTAATAGAAGACAGGGAAAAATGATGAAAAGAATTAAAATTAAACTGGTGGTATATTATATTCTTAATAAATAGAATGGAAAGGAAAAGAGGAATATTTAGCTGATCTAAGAAAAAAGAGAGATGAATATGAAAAAATGAAAATAAAAAATGAAAAAGAAGTTCATACATAAACTATAAGATAAGCAAGAGAACATGAAGTTAATTATGGAAAAGTAGATTTTGCAAAAGTTTTTATTGATAACATCAATATTTAATATTCTAATGAATTTAAACATCCAGAAGAAATGTTTAATTTTTTAGGAACACTTAAAGTTTAATTAACAGAACAAAATTTAATGTCATGTGTAAATGCCTTTATTTAGTTTGCAGATAAAATTACAGAAGATGATTTAATAAGATATGAATTTTAGGAATTTTAAGCTATTTTAACTAAACAAATAAGAATAATAAGCAATGTTGAAAATTTAATAAAAATTACTAAATTACTTGATATATTATGTCTCCCTTCAGAACATGAAATTTGGGGTTAATTAGAAATATCAATTTTGAATAGAATGTCCAAATTAACTCTCAAATAGCTTTTAGAAATATTATCTCATTTAAGCAATTAAAAAGAGGGTTCAGATTAATTTTGGGATTAATGTGAGAATTAAATTTATGGTGAAATAAATAAATTATCAGATTTAAATTTATAATACTAATCTGTAATATCAACTATGATGTGTTATTGGAGAGTTTAAAGAGGGTAAAAATAATATTTAATTTTTAGAACTAAATAATTTATTAGAAATCTAGTAGGAATTATGCTCTAAAATTCATAGGATTAGTAAATCTATCAATAATTACCTATAAATACAATAATTTAAGGAATACTTGTTATGGGATAACTATGTGAAAAATAAGATATTGCTGATATTGTAAAAAGTTAATAATTCAAAAATTATTTTGATGGAGTAGAATAATATCTTTTGAAATAATTTGATTCTTTGAATTTTGAATAAATCTGTTTGATAAGTCAAGGATTTGGTTTTGAATTTGGTAGTGATCTACTTATTTAGAAATTGGAAGGTAAGATTTTGGAAAATTTTGATAAATATGAATTATAGGAATTAAAATTTATTATAAAAAGCTTTTTACTTTCATATAGAGGATCAAAGTATTATTCCATATTATAATAAATAGAAAATTATTTAAGATGATGATGAATAAGATTTCATCTTTAAAACATGAATTCACATCTATAGAATTAGCAGAGATAGTAAAATCCTATTATATTACTGAAAATGATAACTAAGAGTTTTATGCTGACATTGAAAGAAAAAGTATTAATGATATTTAATCAGTTTTATAGAGATTAAAGGAAGTCAGAGAAATAAGTCCTTAAGAAATTTATGAGATTGCTTATAGTTATTTAATTACAAGAATTGGATCAAGAGAATTTTATAAATTATTAGAAATTGTATTTGATAAAATATAAAATATAGGTTATAACTTTTAGATTTGATGATTTAAGATAGAATGCCATTTTGATGAGTAAATTACATGATTTATACTTAAAAAGTGCACTTTGTGATACAAAACTAATAGAAAGAATGGCATCTGTTTTGTGAAAGTATATTATTTGTGTTTAGAATAATCTAATTTATTTACACATATTAAAACTACATTTTCATTTAATATTTCTTGTTTTCTTAACATCTGATCTTTATCTTTTGCATTAAATTCTTTGTTCAATTCTGTATTAACTAGGAGGAGGTATTGTAAATGCAGTTTTATCAGGTTTACTGCATTCAAAAATCATCTCTCTTAATTTATCGATTGCATCTTCCAAATTTTTTGATTATTCCCTAGTAAATTAACTTGTTAATATAATTTCTCCTTCTTTATTGACATAATTAGGATATAGTCTGAGGAATTTTTTTTTCTAGTCTTCACTAAGCCAATCAGCAGTTTATAAATTGAATCTTATTTCAGCTTTTGAATTAGTTTTATTAACATGTTATCCTCCAGGTCCAGAGCTTTTACTGAATTTACATTCTAATTTCTCTTTTGGTATAAATACACTTCTATAAGAGGAAAATTTAGTGATCAATATTTAATGAAATTTAATCATTTAATATATGTTATAAAAAATATATTGTTATATATATTATTATTTTTTATAATCAATTTACTATTTATAAGCTCATTGTTGAAATTTATTTAATCTTTTTATTAAAATTTAATAAAATCATTATGAGCATAAATTAATCAAATGAAAGATAAAAACTACCTCCAATTAAATTAGATTCAGGGGATGTGTATGATGGAGAATGGAAGAACGGGAAGAAGGATGGTTTTGGTAAGTATGAGACAATTGATAAATCCATTTATGAAGGGGAATGGGTGGATGATAAAATTGAGGGAAAAGTATAAAATGCATTATTTTAGGGGAAAATACTTCATGCAGATGGAAATTGTTATGATGGAGAATGGAAAAATGATTTCGCTTATGGAAAAGGTACTTATATTCGCCCTAATGGGACAAAATATGAAGGAGAAGTAAATTTTGTTTTAGAGTGTTAAGTGGGAAAATAATAAGGAAAATGGAATGGGGCTTGACAGTTTGGAGGATGGAACTTAATATGAAGGTTAATATTTTTAAGGAAAAAGACATGGCAAAGGGATTCTGAATTTTGAAGATGGATCAAGATATGAAGGTAAATTTTTAGATTTAATTATAAGGAGAATTTTAATTTGGTTAAATTAATGGTTTTGGTACTTACATTTGGCCTGATAAAAGATTTTATAAAGGGTAATGGAATAACAATATGATGCATGGGAAAGGATATTTCATTTAGATAGACGGAAAAACATATAATGGTGTAATCAATTAGTTTTTAGTATAGGAATACAAGGACGATTAAAAGCATGGTAAAGGAGTTTACAGATGGCCTGATGGAAGTATATTTAATGGCACTTGGGTTTAAGGTAATGAAATATTAAATTGAAAAAGGAAAATAAAATGGAGTTGGAATTTTTTAGTCAAAAAATAAAGAAGTAATAGTGGGATTATGGGATTAAGGAAATTTAGTTTCGTTGTTTGAATAATCTGAAATAGATTAATTAATTAAAGATTAGATAATTAATAGAGAAGATATAGAAAAATTATAATGATCATTATAAGAAATATATCATTTTGGATTTCACAAATTTTTCAGAATAAATTTATTTTTCATCACTTTATGTAAATATAAATAAGGTTATAATTGATTATAATATTCTCATTTATTAATAATTATATTTATGAAAGTGAAATAAAAAAAATAAGTTCAATTTGCAAAAGGAACTATGAATTCTTAAGAGAAGGCATAATCCATTGAATAGAATAATGTTGATTACAATTTAATAAATGAGAATGAATTTGAAAAGAATTCAAATTTTTCAGATTATGAATTCTTATCTGCTTGTAGAGAGATATTAATTTGTTAAAATTGTGCCAACGATCTAATAACTTAATATAAAGAGTTATATAAATCTTTTTTGAGTAGATAAGAAAAATTCCTATTTTTATAAAGTGATTTAAAGTAATATAGAATCTAATGTGAGATTCATACTTCAAATTTATTTGGATAAAAAAGAAATGATATATTGAATAATAATAAATAGAAATATTCACTTAATCTATTTGGACAAAATAGATTGAGTTTTATGGATTTCCCAAAATTTTTATTCAAAACAGGTGAATTCCAAATAATAATACGTGCTGATGTTTTTAAGGCTTAAGTAAATTACTTTCTTAAATAAATGCAAGTAAATGAGACAATTAATAATGAAAAAGATATTATTATGCACATTAATGATATAGTAGATCCTGAGGACAATATAAATTTCAATGAATTTATTCGATAAAGAGATAATTAAATAATAATTAATTATGATGTATTTTCTTATTTCAGTATGCATAGTATATTCTTTTCGATAAAATTTTAAAATTTGGTACAACAGTTTTAGATATTTAAATTTAAGATAATATTAGATTGAAAATATTAAGAGCTATTAGTTCTTTGATTTTAGAATAAGTTTTAAATGGTAGGGATCAATTTATTTAGAAATATCATTTAAAAATAAATTTCATAAGAATTGTAAAATTAATCCAAAATATTATAGCTAAAATAATTAATTATATAAAAGATTGAAAATAGAATTCAATCAATAGAATATGAAAAATAATAATAAATATTTATTGCATATATTGAATAAGAAGAAAAATAAATTGAAGCTAAAAAGGAAAAATAAAGAAAAAAAAGATAATAACGAAAATTAAAAAAGAAAGTTAATTAATAATTGGAATAGTTGGAAGAAGATGATATAGATGATGAAGAAACTAAAACATTTGGTTCTGAATTAAATGTCAAAACTTAAAAAGATGAATCTTAACATTCTGATAAAGAAATATTGACAGAATTGCTTATTCTTAAAAGAAATATTAATGAAATCAATCAAAAAAGAAAATAATTAAGAGAAACAATTAGAAAAGAGTGGGAAAACTACTATAAATAGTTTAAATCATTAAAACAATGAAATATTTTATTTTTTATTTCCTTTATTCATTCTTAAATGTTCATGGAGTTGAATTTAGTTTCTTTTTAGAATCAGAAGAATAATTATGCTTTGTTGATATCTTAGCACCAAACACTTTATTAATAGCAAAAATAAGATCATAATCAGACTAATATAATTTTTACATGACTCTTTAATTTGAAAATGATCAAATAGAAAGAATTTATGAAAGCGAAGGAAAAATATAGCTTATATATGATTATACAACCATGTAAGGAGGGAAGTATTAATTTTGTTTTGAAGATAAACTTGGATTATATAATGAAATTTATTTTGAATATTTAATTGGAATTGAAGCTAATGACATGCATGAAATAGCTTAAAAATCAGATTTAGCTCTTATATAAGAAACACTCAATAATATTTAAGCTAAATTATAGTTTATGAAATAATAATTGATTATTTTTTCTTAAGTTAAATTAGAGAACATTTTTAGCTTAGAGAGCTTATATTATTATATTGTGAAATCTGACTTTATTGGTTTTGGTATAATTTTCATATTGATTATTATGGAGGTATATATTTTGAAAAGGAAGATATTAAGGAAAAAAATATAATGATAACATTTAATGCAATATTATAATTCATTATAATGTATTCAATTTTTCTAAGATTTCTATTAATTCTATTTATTTCAAGTCCTTTATAATAGATAATAGATACTTCACTTATTATTTCAAGTAAATTCTATGCTACAAACAAAGCATTAGCACTTGTCTTATCTGTTCTATATTTTTCAATTACCCATTAAAATTTAAAATTATACTTTAAATGAATTCTTTCTCTTATGTCTTTCAATAAACTAATTTAATTTTATAACATTGATGAATCTAATTTAAATGCTAATTCTGTATTATTTAAAAGTTATTAATAAAAGTTTTCTAATCTTGATTCATCATAATATTCATTTTTATTTAATTCATAAAGTGCTTATATTTTTACAACTGGAGATTGTAATCTTTCTAATTTACATTCTGCTACTATTCCTTTCACTCCTTCATGTGATCCAAGACTTTCAAGCTTTTCTATTTAATTTAAGATTTATGTTTAAATTTCTTCTATTAATTCTTTTTTAGCATAAATAAAATCAAATAGAAAGTAATTTTTTGTTTATTTTTAATTGAACATTACATATAATTCTAATAATCCATAATTAGGATCTATAACTTTTATTTTTCTATTTGGACATATCAAAAAATCAATTGTATTTTTTTCTGGTGGTTTCCACTTTACAATATTTTCATTTGTACCAGACACATAAGGAAATGAATTTTTTGTAAATATAAGTCCATCATTTCCATGAGGTAATAAGGGTATATAATTGTAACAAATATACCTTGCTCTATCTGGATAAAAAAAATCCTTCAAAATGCATCTAATTTTTGGAAAATGTTTTAAAGGTTAAAAATCTATGTTTTATAATGGACCCATCTTTTTTAGATTTTTCCTTAATTCTAAATATTCTTATGCACATCTCAATCTATCAAAATATTAAAATTTTGATGTATAATTTGTATTATGAATTAGTGTATCAAATATTAAATAGTTTAATGCCTAAGTATTATTAGGATAATTTTCAACTATAAGCTCTCCATCAAACATTTCAATTATTTTCAATTCCTATGGATTTATTAATTATGAAGGAACTCTAATTTTCACAAGATGTAATTGATATGGACTATTTGAAACATTTAAACCTCCTAAATTTCTACCTGTAAAATAACAATGTCCATTATTTAAGATAATTAACAAATATCTCACACCATCTGTTTTTTCACAAACCAACCAATCAGTAAGCTCTCTCTTAATTTAAGCTAATTTTGCCTTTGATAATGATTTAGGATGTGCTCCAATAAATTCAGGTCCTGTAACATTTGTACCGCGCAACTAAAAATTAAAATGGAAATACTTATTAATTTAGGTTTTTTAAAGCATTTTAAAGCCAATAAAATTCCTCTTCAAAATCACTCTAATCCTCTTATTGTAACAATTAGTTTATAAAAATTCCTGGGTTTTCATAATATCCTTCCATATAAAAACTATGAAATAAAAAATTTTATTAAACTTAATTCTAAATTAATCATACCATGAATTATTTTCATTTACAAAAATAAATGCGTCATTTTTCAATATTTTTAATCTTCTATTAATTATTGATGGTTATTATATTAATAATACAAAAACTTAAATATGAGCAGCATCCAAAGTACCCCACTTAAAAAGAAAAAATCTATTCTATAAAAAATAAAAACGTTCTTTAACGATATTCCTGATCAATAGATTGCAATTATTAATGAAGCATCTTAAAGAAAGCCACCCCAAATAAAAAAAGTAAGACCTATATAGATATGTAGTGTTAATCCCTAATAGAGTCTAGCTCAAAAAATGAATAAAAAGATATGAAACATAAATACTCTGAAGAATTAATAGATGAGATACTTGATGTTAACCAAGTTGAATTGGCAGAATGAATCTGAAGAATATTAATTCACTTATATATTTAAATTAAATACATACAAAATGATGAGGATCTTTCACATTTCTTGTTAAAACAAATAAAAAGCAAACGATTTTTCTACAAAGAATTTAGTTTATATTGATAGCAACCAAAATTAAAGTTTCATAGAGAGACTATAGAAGCAGAAAATCATTTAATAATGAAATATATCATAAAATGTTAACCTTTTAAATGTGGGAATTCTTGTGTTTATTATTTATTTTAGTCAATAAAAATTAATAGACATAAATAATACAGCAATATATTAATAAATATTTATAAGGAAGATATTATTATTGTTAAATGAATTAAAGATATTTAAATTATATAATATATATACAATCTAATTTTAGTCTAATAATGATTTTAAATCTTCCTGATAATTATGAAATCAAGATAAATATAAAGTATCTTATATCAATTATGGCTTAGAATAAAATTCATAAGAGAGTAGCAATCTTTGAAGCTGAAGGAGGTTCAGATAAAACTTGGAATGGACATAGAAAGCATACAATGCCAATTTTTTAAGCCTTTAAGGAATTAGAATGGACTGCTGAAGTCATCTTTTTTAGAGATGAATGGAAAGAAGCAATCATAAAATATGTGATTGAGAATTGTGATGCTTATATTCCAAGAATCAATACAGGAAATCTTCCAAATGGTGAAGCTGTCTTCAATCAAGCTTTAAGAGAAATGTGTGCTGCTGGAGTAGTTGGTACACCACATCCAGACACTCTTATGAAATATGATTCTAAATTGAGTCTTGTAGACTTAAATAAAACTCCACTTTCTCCAGCTGATACAGTAGCTTATTTCAAATGGGATGAGTTAGTTAAGAATTTCCCACTTTCTTTGACAAATGGAGAAAGAGTTCTTAAATAAAATAGAGGATCTACAGGAGAAGGAATTTGGAGAGTTTAAGTTGCTGAAGGAGTTTGAGTTGTTAAGGGATAAGCTTTAGCATTAGATACAGATGTTGAAACTATTTTAGATTGGACTTGTGATTTTATTCTTGATACTGATGAAAATGGAAAAGATAAATATTGGATTAGTGAAGTTAATGTTTCATACATTGGATTTACAAATTAATTAGATATTGGTATCTAATAAGAGATGGCACAAGGACTTATTAGAAAGGTCTACAAAAAGAAAGGAAGTTAATGAGTTATAAATAAATATAAAACATAAATTGTTAATTCTAACTTTCGGCTTTCGAAACAAATCTCTTGATCCAAAAAAATCTTTTCTGCATAGAAACTTAAAATAATCTTAAATTATTTACCATATTAATTTATAGATACTTCTAGAAAATTGTTTTTATATTATGTAATAATATTAAAATAATATAAATTTAAGCACGTGCATTTGCTAAAATATCTAATAATAGGGGTATATAAATTTGTGGTATATTTGATAATATCTTAAATATAAAAATATCTTTTTTGTATATGGCCTAAGTTAGAAAACTACACAGAAGAGTAGCAATCTTTGAAGCTGAAGGAGGTTCAGATAAAACTTGGAATGGACATAGAAAGGACACAATGCCAATTGTTTAAGCCTTTAAGGAATTAGGATGGACTGCTGAAGTCATCTTTTTTAGAGATGAATGGAAAGAAGCAATCACAAAATATGTGATTGAGAATTGTGATGCTTATATTCCAAGAATCAATACAGGAAATCTTCCAAATGGTGAAGCTGTCTTCAATCAAGCTTTAAGAGAAATGTGTGCTGCTGGAGTAGTTGGTACACCACATCCAGACACTCTTATGAAATATGATTCTAAATTGAGTCTTGTAGACTTAAATAAAACTCCACTTTCTCCAGCTGATACAGTAGCTTATTTCAAATGGGATGAGTTAGTTAAGAATTTCCCAACTTCTTTGACAAATGGAGAAAGAGTACTTAAATAAAATAGAGGATCTACAGGAGAAGGAATTTGGAGAGTTTAAGTTGCTGAAGGAGTTTAAGTTGTTAAGGGATAAGCTTTAGCATTAGATACTAAAATCAAATGTACTGAAGCAGTAGATAATCATGTTGAGCATCACACACTTGAAAGTTTCTTCAAATTATGTGAAAAATATTACAAAGTAGAAGAAAATTTCCTTATTGATATGAGATTCTTACCAAGAATCAAGGAAGGTGAAGTCAGAATCTTTTTAATGGGTACTAAACCATTGTTTGTTATCCATAAGAAACCAGCTGACAAATAAGATGCTTTTTCAGCAACACTTTTCTCTGGAGCTACTTATAAGTATGAATCTCCAGAAGCTTGGCCAGAATTAATCAAATTCTTTTCTTCTTGTCTTTAACATTTAACTGATAATCTTGGAGATGTTGAAACTATTTTAGATTGGACTTGTGATTTTATTCTTGATACTGATGAAAATGGAAAAGATAAATATTGGATTAGTGAAGTTAATGTTTCATGCATTGGATTTACAAATTAATTAGATATTGGTATCTAATAAGAGATGGCAAGAGAACTCATCAGAAAAGTCTTAAAAAAAAGATTTGGAATCAATGCCATTAGAGATTGATTAGTATTATACAAAATTATTAATGTCTAAATTTATTATCTTATTCTTATTGTTAAATATCATAAAATTATGATAATAAAGCAAACTTTTTTATAATTATTTTCAACTATATTGAAAATGCTCATTTGTACATTTAAATATAACTTAATATAAATTTTATATTCGTTTTTATTAACTAGAGACTCTTATTTTTCAATTAAAGAAAAATCTTAATAAAGATAATTTCAATTTATTATCTTCATTTATCAAATTTAACAATTTTTTTCATTCTCTGTAATACAATTATTCTTAAATATACAGGTTTTTATCCTTTAGTGCTTTATATTTTTAAGACTTTTGCTTTTCCTCTCTGATGATATATTTTTTTTCTTTTCTCAATTTTATATATATATTAATAAGTTAAACCTTTAAGCCTTTAACCCATTAAGTCTTTTTGGCTTGCTAAATCTTTAGTTAAGGCCAAATTATTAGCATTTGTTCTTTTAATTTTCATTCTCTATTTGTTTTTTTAGTTATTTTTATCCAGAAAAGTCAAAATTAACTTGATAACTATTTCCTTTTGAAATCATTTATGAGGTTGTTAAAAATTGAATAAATTGAGTAAATAGAAATTAGTTAAATAATAATTTTACTAGAAATTTTATTGCTAAATAAATTTCACAAAAACAAGAATATTTGAATTTAGGTTTATATTTAAACTATTGTTATAAATGAATATTATTTGATTTAAGTAAATTATATATTGAAAGTCATTCATAACTTCAAATAAAATTGCTATATTAAAATACTCTAATAAATATTGATAATTAATTTATGAATATTTCTGATATTTAAGCATTAGCATCATTAATATAGACAGAAGAGGAAGAAAGCTCTTTTTCAAATATAAATAATAATCCAAATAAGGGAAGTATTTTTGCTCCTAGTGATATTGGATCTAATGGTTAAAAAAAAGAAGTCGCTAAACCTTATGCTTAAATATAAGTAAAGCTTGGTCAAAAAGATCAAGAGTAAAAAGTGGAATAGCAATAGGAGAAACCAAAAAAAAAAGTTGCAGATAAAAATGATATATGGGATATTGATGAAGTATATAGATTATGATTTCTTAGATTTAAGTACAAAATAGACCAAAAATGGATAATAGATAAAGACCAGATGTCGATGTATTGTATAAGCAAATAGTTGGAACTGAAGATGTTTTTGGAGGATGGAGTGGAATTGATCCAAGTTCAACTAAGTGTTAAGGATTATTAGTAAAGATTAAATTACCTGATACTAAATTATCAGAAATAAATTTAGAAGTAATGAAGTAACAGATCATAATGTCAAGTACTTAATATTATTTGGATTTTATCCTACCATATCCAGTAAATGAGAAAATGGGAAAGGCAAAATTTGTATCAGACAAATAAGTATTGGAAATAGAATTACCAATTATTCGTGAAGAATTATATTGAATAATATTCACAATTTTTTGAATGTTCCATTCTTTTCTAAAACACAAAGCGGAGTGATTTCAAGATAGGCTAATTTTTAATCCATTAATCGCTAAATTTTATGAAATCTAAATACCAACAATTTAGTTTATTCTACTGTTAAGGGTTTACCCTCTTAAGAAAGAACAAATTTTTCATTTAATACTATTTGCTAATTTATTAATTGAGTATTGAGTCCTAATTTTCTCAAATATGGTTCTAAGGAGTGTCCAAATCCTTTTAAAGTATCTATACCCTCTTTTAAGACAATTGTTTGATCAGCAATGTGACCAGCTCTAGCAAACTCAGGAATTTTATATGTATCACAGTACTCTTAGATTTCTTGGAGAGTCTTATTAGTTAAAAGTAGTCCTGTTTCGCCTTTAAGAAACTGCAAATATAAAATTTTAATTACTGGAGAGAGAAGGTATGAATTTTTTGTAGCACTTTGTTCTTCATTTCTGCCCAAGCCAACTTGCATAACTTTGTTTTTGCCAATAAAGAGTTTTGAATCAGCCTTCCATGCTTATTGAATCTCTTTTAATGGATTAGTGGACAGATTTTTGTATTGAAATATTATTGCTCTTTAATATTTTTTAAGGGATTATTTAAGTTTCTTAACAAGTAATTCTTTCTTTTCAGGAGTTTTCTTTTTAGTTTTAGTTAACACTTAATTCCTCTTTCGCTTAGTTATTGGCATTTTAATGAATTAATTTAATTATGGTGAAGAAAAATGAAAACCTTTAATAGGATGATTGTCATGAAAGATTTCAATAAATTAAACCAGAGTTTAATTTTTAAATAATAAGAAGTTGAGGAAGTAAAAAGAAGTTAATAAAACAATATGGACATATGTAAATTAATTAGTTGAAAAATTGAAAAATCAAAGTGTTAAAGTGAATAAACAAAGTAAACTCTAGAAGAATCAAAAAAATTATAAACTCAAATCAAATAATATAAAAATAGCAAATAGTATTATCAAAACAAAAATTTTAATTTAAAAGATGGGAAGATTAATAAAAATTATAAAAAGAATTGAATAAGAAGAAAGACAAAGCAAAGTCAAATAACAAAATTTTATAAGGAATTTTAATCAATTCTATAAATTAAATTTGATTAGACTTATATAGATACTATAAATGGAACTTAAATTTAGATAAGTTAAGACCTGATTATTCTAATGTTCCTGAATTTTTATAATTAGCAGCTTATTTTCAAAGAGATATTTGTTTTGAAAAACAAAATTTAAAATTTTCTGATATAGTTGATATATAAGCCAAAAGACAACCAAAAGAAGCTGTTTTAATATTCACTTTTTTTCTAAGGAATTTTTGAACCATTAAAAGGATGTTCTTTTATTTGAACCACCTAAACTAGTAATTAACTTTAGCAAAAACAGTGGTTACTTTATGTTAAACAATATTTATTAATGTTTATGCCTCTTCAGTTTTTACTAAACGGAGATGAGAAAGCTAAAAATGATTTGTGTTATTATTGATTTAGCAAGACACAATGAACCCAGCACAATATTTATAGATAAAATGGATTTAATTATGGGTTAAAGAGGATCTGCTAGTAAATAAACAGAAGGGAGAAGAATGAATACTTAATTATTGCTATGTTAAGGCATTAGAAAAGAATATAACTTATTATAATTAGTTAGATATATATACCATAACCTGTAGAACAGTGAAATAGAAAAAATAATAGAATTAGATATCATATGATGATGTAAGACAAGGGCCAGTTACTTAAATAGATCTTGAAAAGGCAGGTAAAGAACTAGGTAAAACCTTCACCAAAGGGATTGGAGAATCAATATTTAAAATGGGAAAAAGAGAGTGGATCGTGTTGATAATAATTAATTAAATTAGTCATGATTTTCTTTTGTATACTATGGCTTAAAATTCTGTAGGTCGTTAATATTATGCTTTTCTTTAGGAAAATTGGCCAAAAAAGGGATTTTAAAAGGTGATTTCAAATAGTGATGGCAACATAGGGGGAGATTTAGGATGCATCTGATCTTGAGACATCTTACGATTGGCTTTTATGTGAAATAATTTCTTTATTTCTGTGTTATTAGGCTCTGTAATATGCCTATTGGAATCATTTTCCACCATACTCAAATTCTTCCTATAATCAATACGATTTGATTAAATGCGTATTCTCCTTTTGACAGGTGAAGTAGACACTGGTTTTGAGATCTCATTCATATTGTTTATAATTCGTTGCATTAATAATTATCTCTTGACAGGGCTTAATAGCTACTGTTCTCCAAACATAATAAAATATATTAATCATATAAATTGTACAAAAATACAACAAAGCTGTAGAAATCTAACTTAAATTCTCAAAAAATCATTAAATTTCATTCTTTTATATTTCTTTTTGTATCTTTTTAAACTAATAGAAGAGAGCGATGAAAAAAATATAGACTTTTAATACTTATAATAATAAATTTAGTATATTAAACTTTGAGTTTACCCTTCTTAGTTTTCTACTATTGTATAAGAAGTTTTATTTGGATAATTTTTTAAATTCTTTTTTTTATAGTTATCTTTTTAAAACAATAAGTTTGTTCATAAAAATTGAATTAAAAAAACAATCAAGATAAATAGTAAATGATTCATCATTTTTAAGGTATTTGAAGTGTATTAAATAAAATTAAATAAGGCAGATTTAATTAAAAATTTAGCCTACTTAATAACTTTATTCTTTAGTTTATTTAAAACTAAAAAGAGAAAACCTAAGGAAAATTCAAATGGAAATTTTCAATATTGATATAATTTAGTATAATTATTAAAAGATTAGCTAAATAATCTAAAACTTATAAATTAAGGTTAATCTATTAATAATTCAAATAGAAATAATCAAATAAGTTTAGAATTACTTAAACTATGTAGTAATTTTGAAGATAATAATGGTTTTTTTGATTTTAAGTTTGAATTAGTTTGGATATTTTTGTTTATAAATATAAATTATTGAGTTTTAGTAATAAATCAAAAGTATTATTGGATTTAGTTTAGTTTAGTATTAAGAAAAGTGTGCTCAAATAATAATTTAATTGAATTTAAATAAATGAACTAGAATGAGGAATTCTTAGAAAATGAATTACATTCATTTACCTTCACCAAAAAAAGCTCAAGTTAGAAAAAGGAGAGAATTCTGTAGCAAACTCCTATAGTTTAAACATAACCATAGATTGTTTAGAGTTAAGTGAAAGTTGTAAAAAAGAAAAAGAATAATGTTAAAGATTTGAATTCAATATAAGAAGCCAATTTCAAGTATATTTGGAATTTCTTGAAGTCAAAATAAGAGTCTGAATTAATAGGGGTAATTGATATAGCAAAGGCTGCTTAGAGTGTGATGAAGAAACCAATTGAAGAGGAGTTGATATTGGTATTGATTATGGTAATAGGTAGGAAATGTTGAACATTTATAATGATAGTCTATATTAGGATGAGAATAAAATATTAAATTAAGGGATTGGTGAAGAAGAGTTGCGTTAAATTTTTATTGAATGTAAATTGAAGATGTGAAGTTTTATATAATAATATTTAAATGTTGTAAAACTATGTCTCGAACACAACACGATACTAGTACATATAACAGTTGGGATAGGGATAAATGAGTTAAGTCGTGTTAGTAAAAGACATAATGAAAAATCAATTGTGTGCTATGAAGATTGTATTAACAACATTTAGGTGTAGATCTTGAAAGAACTATTGGAAGAGCCATAATTTGCATTGAGCATGAAGAGGGAGATTCTAATTCATATGAATTTAAATCACAAGAATGTCGTTAAATTGTATGAGACCTTTGAAGATGACAACTTTCTTTATTTGGTGTTAGAGTATTGTAACTAAGGGACTTTGAGTTCACAGAAAGCAATGTTTTTAGAGAATAATATCTTTGATTGTTTTCATCAAATGCTGGATGGAATAGATTACCTTCACAATAATAATATCATTCATAGAGACATATAAGTATATATATAAAGATAAAAAAGCCTGATAATATCTTAATTGATAATGGTGTATATAAAATTTGTGATTTTGGTAATGCGATATAACTGAATTTTGATAAGCTTTATATTTCAGAAAAGCAGGGCTCGATTGATTATGCTGCTCCAGAAATATTGTAGAATTAAGATTATGATCATAAAGTAGATATATGGTCATTGGGTGTAGTGATATATGTAAGAAGAGAATTATAGTCAATAGGAATTATTACATTAACATAAACCATAATAAGAAGTTTAAGTGAATGAAAGATTGAATGAAGATTTGTAGATATTATTGTATGCAATGTTAACTAAACCTTTTTAACAAAGACCTAGTTGTAAATAAGTGTATTTGTGTAAATGGTTTAAGAAGATGATGAAATAATTGAAATTGTTTAATAAGTATGAACATGAGTAATTGAAAACTAAACATCTTAATAAGTAAATTCAAATAAAGACTTTATAAAATTGGTAACTTATGATATATATAATACTTAGTTGTTTTGATTTAAAATAAGCAGCAGTGTCACATAGCAACAGTCTTACTTAAAGTGATTCTACTACTGCTCCAATGATTCCAAATTCTATTTAAAATTCGACTGATTCACTTCATGATTCTATTCCTATTGTTGAATTCCCAGCCAATCCATAAATGTGATTAATAATAATATTAATAATATATAAAATAGTAAATATTTCAATACATATTATAAGTTTTAGTTCTATACATACTTACATAACCCATTTCTTCAGTATTAAATATACGTTTGCTCTATCTAATATTCAAAATTTGAGATGTTTAAATGGTTTTCTGTTCTACAATGATTTTAGGGGCTAATTTTAATAATTGATCAGCTAAAGTATTTTTAAGTTTTGACTAAGACTTTTTTGGATATTTCAAAATAATTTAAGCAGTAATATCATTTTATATGAGTGATTTAGAAATTGGATTAATTTAGTGTGGTTTAATAGTAAATATATTAATAACTTATTTATTTTCATTACAAATATCAATTTTTTATGATTAAGTGCTTCTTTACATGAATGAGTTTTGATGAATACTATTTTAAATAACATCAATTTATATAATTTTAGATTTTTCAATTTAAAGAATAGGGAATTATTTAAATGGAACAAGATATTAATTAGTTTGTATTTGATATTGAGAGAAGAGTGAATGAATAGATTTTTCTGATTCTTGAATTATACATTTAGATTCATTTATTATCTACAAGTTGTTCTGGAAATGGTAGTATCTAATAATAATATAATATCTATAAATACTAAATTACATCCAATAACTCTATCTTAATCTAAATCAACTAGAATCTTATCTAGACAATCATATTATGTTAAAACTCTTTCCTTAAGATTCAAATGTACTCCAATAATATAAGGCACAGAAATATAAAGAGTATCAAGTATTTCTGCTGGTAGATATGGTATATAAATGCATCTCCATTAAAGAGGATAAATAAATTATAGAAATGCTTCAGTAATAGTTGCTAATTCCCAAACCTAAGTAGTGAATAAGATAATTTATTTTTCAAGTATTATTGATTACACCACTTTAATTATGTTTTTAATTGATAATTTTGAAAATAAAACATTAAAACTTATATCTTTATTGTATAGATTATTTTTATGATTTGGATTGTTAATAATTAGATCTGTTATTACTTCTTATCTACTTTTCATAATTTGTTTAGGTACAAAATATAATCCATTTAAATTTGTTATACCGACAGATAAATAGAATTCAAATAATTATTGATTAGATAATTTCTATGATCCCATTTACCATCTACGATCTCTATATCTCTATAAAAATAATATAATAATAATTAATACTGTCACTCTGTCAAAAATGGCATAATGCTCTCATATATGATTTCTATCTAATCAAATTAGATTGTTCAGAAACTATCACATAAGCATAAGGTTAATAAAAGTCGTTTTTTAAACTCTCAAATACTACAAGTGAAGTGCAGTTTCTTAATTATCCACTTAAATCTGTTATTACAAATTAATGCAAATAATTCTTACTATTAATGTCATCTAATTTCTTTTATTATTCCAACTTAACATCAAATACACTCGTAAAGCACATCTATTATGCCATTCAAACCAAAATTTACTATGCTCACATTTCTAAGATAATCTGGAAGAGATGATCCATTAATATTAAAGTATTCTATGATTTCAGTCTCTTTATATTCTTATGTCAAATATCCAATAATCAAAAACTCAGAAAAAAGAGTCATACTTCTTGTATTCGTTATAATTAATTAATTAATTAATGGATTCTATTAATGAGAGATGCACTAATTCAAGTACATTTCACTCTGTATTTAAGTCAAAAGTAATGAAGAAATTGAAAAACTATGCACTCCTGAATATAATAATTTTATAGACAAGGCTATCTACTTATTGAATAATGGATAAACATTTTAAAAGCTTTTTGTTTGTCAAAATATTCATTAAGCTACTGAAATTGATTTTTATATTCCAGAACTTATTTCATTAATGATTGTAAATCTCTATTCTCATTAATTTTAGAATAAAGTTAAGAGTGAAGAGTCATAAGTAATTAAGGAATTAATCAAAGCATTAAGTATTATCATTACATTACTCAAAGTACTTATGAGAATTTATTATAGGAAAATGTATTAAGCAAAATCAAAGAATAATTTTTGAAATAGCTTTAGGAGTTATGTTTTAATTATTATAATACTCCATTTTGTGATTAAATATGCGAGCTAATGCAAACTCTATCTAAATTTATGGAATTTGATTTCGAACCCTATCTACTTATTTTAAATGAGGATAGTGTAAGGTATGAAGGATTGAAAATTATTTAAATGCTCTACTCTTTTATGACTAACGCTTAACAAACATAATCATTAAAGCATGTAAAATAATGTATCAGTAGAAAAAATGAACGTATGTGCAGAATAATAGATCAAGTCATACTCAAACATGATAAATTATTAATGATATTAATTAGAGATTAAGATTGGTTAAAAAATACAATATCATTAATTTCTGACTTTGATAAATAAGTTAGATTAAATGGATGTAAATTATTTCTAACTTCTTGGATAAAAATGGAAGAATAAGGTTATGATAATCATTACAAATTTTAAGATACTCTTCAAGATATCATTCAATTTATAGATGATGATTCCAAAATTATAATTTTGTTAGCTTAATGTATTTCAACAATTAAAACAGAATCTATTTAATAGGCATTTATGGATTACATAAGACCCTAACCTATTCAAATTGAATTAGTTAAGGATTATTATCAATATATCAATTAATTTGACTCTAAGATTAGATAACAATATGATGATTTTCTAATAAATCAGGTATCTAATCTAATTGATTCCAGTAAAGAATTTAGTTTTCTTAAACATCTTTCAGATTTATACACACAAGTCAATGAATAAACACATCAATAACTTCTAGGTCTTGTATTTGGCAATTTTGAATTGAATTAAATTTTTTTCATTCCTTATCTACTTGATATCATAAACAAAGGGAATAGAATAAAAAATAGACAATTAAATGTTTAGTTACAAAGAACCTTTGACTTTTTAAAAAAGTCTATTTTTCATTATGAATAAAAAGGTCTTTGGTATGAAGTTGAAGAGACTCTAAATATTTTAGAATGTCTAGCTAATAACTTAAACCTTAAATCTGAATTTAATTATTTATGTTTCTCTTATTTATAAATGGGGTCTTAACATATAAGGAAAAAAATATCTACTTATTTGATAGATTAAATAACAGAAAATTATGATAAAATTGTTCCATAATATCTATAATATCTTAATCACACTAATTATACATATAGAGTATTATTGATTGAGTTTTGTATATAAATTTGTAGAAAGAGAAGCAGAAACTTTTTTAAATAATGCAACTTAATATAAGTATTGTAATTATAAAATGATCCAGTTTATATTGTGAGATTAAAATTTGTATAATTAATTTATGAAATGAGATTGTTATTTTGGAATGATGAAAAGGATTTAGTAATTAAATTATAATAAATATTTCAATAATTTCTAACTGATAAGAAAATCATTGTTTAATAAGTAAATATTAATATATATTAATTAATTAGTTGGCCAAAGAAATTAATCAAAAACTTTAATAAATTCATTTTCATCATCCTGAAACAATTATTAAATAAGATCATGCTAATAATTTAAAAGAAAATATGGAAAACTTTTAAACTAAACATTAAATAAGACTCAAAACTCCTATCAAAAATAATCCTACAGCTAGACTTCATACTCCAACAAATAAAGTATCTTCATAAACTCCAACTTTAAAAAAATAATAAATATTATTTTCTAAACCTTAAACTAAAAGTACTTGCGTTCAATTACCTAAGGTGCCTCCAAAATAAAATATCTCTAAGACTTAGTCATTTTAAAAAAATTCTAAAGATTATTGATTACAATTGTTAATTGTTTTCTTTAATTCATGATTTTCTTAGATTGCTTTTAAAATTTTTTATTAGAATTTTATATAATTCATTTATATTCTATCATATTATTATTTTTTCAATAGAAAATAGGTTCTGTTTTATTCATAATATGTAATGATTAACTTTATTAATATAATAGTTTGCTATTATTCAATTTATATTAAGGCTAAATTAATGCAATTTATTATTAAATATTTTTTAAAAGAATATTAAATAACAACTAATGGGGGACTACGTTAAAGCACTCTTTGAAACTTAAGTAATTGGAGCCTTTCGTGTTGCATTGACTATGCCTTTAGAACATGTACTTGATAGAATTAAAACATACAAATAATCAAAACAGGGTATCACTTATATTCAAGTAAATTTTATACTGAATTGTAGAGTTACACTGATATCAAAGGAGCTAGAGGAATGATAGGTTTGTATGATGGATTTTCTCCAAGTTTTTTGAGGAATATGGTCAAACAGTACTATAGATGGCCTATGATCATTTTTATACCTTCAATACTGAATGAACACATTCACAATTAATCCATTAATAAAATTATAACAGGAGCTTCTATTGGGTTATTTGAAAGCTGTATAATCACTCCTTTTGAAAGACTTAAAACATTAAAAATGACATCAATGTCTACTGGCTTTGGTTATTACAAATACATAACATTTGAATCAATATATGTTGGTTTCAGAATTCAAACAACAAGGCAAGTAGTATCATGGACTAACTATTTATATTGGGATCACAAAGTTCGTTATGCATTAAAAGCAGAACCTGGTTAACCACTTTCTTTAGTTAATTCTTTAATTGCTGCTTCTCTTAGTAGTATTCTAAATATCATGGCTGGTATATAATTATTTATATTATTAGTTCATCCTTTTGATACAATCAAAACACTAGTTCAGATGGAGGGAAATTAAAATTTTAAAAATCTCTCTCTCTATGAAGGATTTAAGATTGTATACAAAAATTATGGTATATCAGGACTATATGCAGGATGGTAAGCAAGAATAATAGCTTATTTCTGTTAAGCTCTTCTTACAACACCTACTATAGACTACTTAGAAAGAAACTATGGAATTTCAAAAAATAAGAAATAATAATGAATATGTTATATATTACCTTTATTTTCAATCTCAAAGTATTAACAATTCATTTTTAAGAAATATATAAATTAATATTCTGCTTATAAATTAAGTGATTTAAATAAAACTTATTGTTATAATTACAAAAATGAATCATTTATTAGAGATTTACTGTTACAATAATCTAATTTCATTTTCTAAACCTTGAATTTTTTATAATTAATCTTCTGATGATTGTTAATAATTTTGACTCATTTAATCTATTCTGTCTTATTGATTCAAAGTTTCTTCTTTAGTACTTTTTATATAAATTAGGCTTTCTTCATATTTTGTTTTATAATAGAGATTCTCTTCCAATAATTTTTCATTTTTCTTTTCCATTTCTTTTAATCTTTGCAATGTGATTTCTAATGATTCAGTCAAATCCAAATAAGCCTAATCATTATTAATTTAATTAATAAAATCTCTTTATTAATCAACTAACTTTTTAAGATCATTAATCATAGTATTATTTTAGTTTTTCTCTTGATTTAATTCATCAATACGTTGATTAATCAAATTTAATTGATTTTCAGTCTAACTTAATTATTGATACAACTTTTAATTTTATTCTTGTAATTTTTAATTTTTTTCTTATAAATCTTCATTTGGATTTGAATTAATGATTTATTAATTCTATATTTCATTTTATTAAATATCATCTTATTATTGAAATTAGATCATAGCAATAGAAATATTAGGTAATTGTTAGCTAAATTCTTATGAATCTTCAATGGTTTCTACTTATCTATTTACTTGTACTTCTTGATTAATTGAAGAATCAGTCATATATACAATCTTTAGGGAATTTTTAATATATTTATTAATATTATAATTATATACATTTAATATTTATAAAACTATCTCCCTCTTAGATAAATTCTTAGCATATAGATTCTTTAAGGGACATTATAATTCTTAATCTAGAAAATGATTAAGTTTATATCTATACTTATAGTATTGATTTTTATTATAATTTATTCTATGAAATTTATGAAAGACTTAAATAGAATTTAATATGCAAATGATATATTTCTAATTGCATGATAACATAAAATTAGATTATTATTTTATAGTTGAAAATTTATAATGATAAGATTAAATTATTTATAATTTAGATGTGATAAACTTCGAGTAAATTTGAATCATGCTTATACGTCTAATCTATTTGAATAACCAAATATTATGTTGCTATTTTCTTCTTTTTAGAGGCGAATTTGAGATTGACTTTTTTCAGGTTATTTGAAAAATATGATTGATCGGATTTCTTTTTCTTTTTCTTTTTACATAAAGAACTAAGATTCAGTCTTCTTTTCATTTAAGATTTGAGATTATTTTTCTAATTTGATTTTTTTACTTAGAGTCATTTATTTAGTTCTTTTGAGATTTTACTATAAGAAATGTATAAATCTATTTATACATATTTAAGTGGAACACTATATCCTTTTTCTTAGATTTCATCTTCAATCTTATGTAATTACTTGCTGAGTTCTTATTAAATGACTTTAACCAATTCACTGTCAAATTTCTTGGATATTCTGCCTTAAGATAATTTACCGAAGGATTTCTATTCTCTTACAGCTTTAGCAGATTATGTAAAAACAGGTGGTGGCTAGATAAAGGAATACTATAAAATAGGGGGTAGATCCTTCTTTTTTTATCTTGCTATATGACTTTACAATTATTTAGGAACTATAACTTTAGGTTCTTATTTTTCATATGGTTATAATGAAGGAGCAGATAAATGTAATGATTCCATATTTTATTTTGGTTACACAATTCTACTTAAACTATGATTACATTTCTAACACTCAGTTTGAGATGCAACATGTGTTAAAGTTTTTTCTGGTTAATAATCCAATTCAAACATAGGTTTTGGATGATCAAACTTAGGAATTCTTGTACTAACTATCTATTATCTCAATCCAAACACTAAATATATAAAATTATCATGCATAAATACTCTCTAATTTCGTAGGTTCATAAATAAAGAGCTCTCCTAATCTTTATTTGGTGTCAGTTTTAGAAGAGATAAATTCAGCTCTTTCAAAGTTTGACAGAGATCCGACTGAGATAAGTCTTTTTGTACCAGTGCTCCTAGAGTCCATTATCAATGATTTAATTTTATTATTAAAATAAATATGATAAGTATTCTATGAATAAAACTATATTATTCATAATATATATATCATTTATTTGAAATTTGAATGTATTTGCAGATTGTATAACTAACTATTATCTAATTAATATATTTTCTTCTTTTATTAATTGAAGTCCATATAAATTTTAATTTTTAGTAAAATATCATTATCAGTTTTTACAATTTATTACCAATTTAAATCTCTTCTATATATGAATGCATACATTATAGATTTATTTAAAGTTTCATAATTTAGACTATCACTAGTTTGAAAGTACAAGTAAATGCCCATATCATAAAAGATGCTATTAATAAAATACTCTTCTTTTATTCCATCAATAAAAATAAAAAAACTTTGATTCAGTAATTCTCCTATTTCAATTAAGATTTCTAATTCTTTAATTTACAGCATAATTTAGATGATTTTACCTTATAATAATATATTAATCAAAATTTGTAAGAAAATCAAAGATAGTATATTAAAAATTAAAGGATTGTACCAACCTTATATTAAGAAAATTCACAAAAAGTAATATGGAAAACAAAATACTTTCAAATATAAGAATAAAATCATCTATTAAAAATATGAGTAAATCCAATGATCATTTACAAAGTATAATGTTCATAATTTCTAAATAAATCTCTCTTATTATATTATTTCCATATTTTTCAACTCAAATATGAGTAATCTAGATGATATTTCCATTCTTTATGGCAAATAAGATCTTATTCAGTTTATTTTTGATTAATATTATAATATCAACTATTTATTAAGTATTAAGTCTGCATAAATAGATTCACAATTATTAGCCATTTAGAAATGTTAATATTTCTAGTAAATTAAAGTAATAATAATAGGAATGATTGTGTTTTTTTGCTTGTCTTTATAAAATTTATAATGGAATAATAATGGGCATCTTGCTATAAAAAATAGAAGTTGTTTTCAAAATTTTCTTTAATTATTGTAAATGGCAGGATTCGATTACCAAAACATAATTAATATATAATTTATTAATCATAAAAATTCATTTTCAAAAGGGACGAATTGATTTGATGTTTTAAGTTGTTAATTTTGCAAGTATTCTAAATCTTTTAGATAGCTTTATTCGATTAAACAAGTATCTATCTTTTATTATTCAGTTATAAATTGACTTAATAGCATAGATTAATTTATTATGTTATGATCTAATTTTTGATCATTCTAAATATTCTCAATTTCTTTTCTGAATTGTAACTATTACTTTTTAATCATTTCTTATTTTTATATATTTTCATTCAATTATTTTCTCATAACATCTAAATCATTAATTTGTTTTTCTAGACATTCTAGATATGCTTATTTTGCAGCTAGTGGGACATCTTCAAATAAAAGATTCTCAAACAAAAACAATTTACTACTCTTAATTGAAGATTTCTTATTTATTATAAAACTTCCTTTATTTTTCATCTTAATTTATAAAATTTTATATATATATATATATAATATATATCAATCATTTTAATTATTATTATTTCTTCTTTTTTAGTTCATGTCTATCAATTTTACTAACACCATCTACAAATTGAACTTTATACAAAACATTTGCATTTTAATACATTCCTTCTTTTAATGAAATCAGTAAGAATTGAGATTATTTAAAATTTTATGATAACATTTAACCAATATTTTCTGTATGTGATAAATCTAATGCACTATCAACTTCATCTAAAATATAAAATGGGGCAGGTTTATATTTTAATAGAGCAAGTATAAATGATAATGCCAATAAAGATCTTTAACCTCCACTTAATTCTGATAGATTTTTCTATTGATGACTAAATGATACATTCATTTCTATACCATCTTCTATTGATAATCCATCCAATCTACCTAATTTAGCTTAAGCATTATGTAATAATGAACTAAATATAGATGAAAAATCTTTATTAACTTCTAAAAAACATTTTTCAATAGTCTTAATTTTTTTATCATCTAATTCTCCCATATTTTATATAAGCATTGATTTATCATTTTCTAATATTAATTTTTTATCTTTTAAAGATTAAAATTCTTTTTCAACTTATTCAGTCATAGCTTCAACTTTAAAATTAACTTATTTTCCTAATTTACCTTAATCATGTTCCAATCTTTAAAATTATTATTTAGTTTTTTCATATTCTAATGTTTCTAATACTCTAAATTTGTCTGATAATCTATCTTAAGATAATTCATTTTTATCTTATCTAATAAAATCATATTGATCTTCTAATTATTTTAATTATTATTTAAGATCATGTTATTCTCTTTCTAATTTCTTTAATTCATTTTAATGTCCATTTAATTATTCAACTGTAGAATTCAAATACTTTTATCTTTCTTATAATTATTCTAACAATCTAGTCATTTAATTATTATGAATTGCATTTTTACTTTCATACAAATTCTTTTCCTCTGTTATTTTTAAGTACTAATCTTTATTTAAATTTAATTCATTTATTAATTAATCTAATGTAATAGTAGTTTTATCTAAATTATTAGTTTCTTCTTTGATTTTCTTAATACATTTATTAATTTCTTATTCATAATTTTAACTTTCTACTTGATTTTCAATTAATTCTTTCTTTTATTAATCTATTTATTATTTTAATTTATTAATTTCTTTTTTTGTTCTATCTATTTATGCTTATATTAATTCTTTTGTATTTTTACCTTATTATATTAATTATAACTCTTTTTTCAATTCTACTAATTTATCTTCACCTTCTTTAATTTATTTTTTAAATCTTTCTTATTCAATTTATAAATCTTGAATTTCATTTAAATACTTATTCTATTCAGTTTAGAAATTAAATTGATTACTCTTTCTTTATTTGATCATTAATTATTCTAATTAATATTTATCTTATGTAATTGCTCTATTTAATTATTCTTTGAATTCAATATCTTATTTAATCTTCTCAATTTATAATTCAATTTTATCAATTTATCCTTAAATTTCTTTATATTCTTGATTCCATCTATTGAATAATTTAAATTTAGGTAATAATTATGCTTTCTCATTAGTATAACCACCAGTCAAAGTACCAGATGGATCAACAATATCACCATCTCTAGTAACAACTTTACATTTTTAAACATTTGAAGGATGATAAGCAATCTTTCTTGCAATATCCATAGATGAAGCAATAATGAAATTACCAAACACAAATTTCATAGAATTAATAACTTTATCTGAAAATGAAATTAAATCTATGGCTGGTTTAGCAAACCCATCATTTTCTTTTGCAATCTAAGCTGCAGCCTAAACAAATTCTTTTTTGGCTTCACTCTATTAAATTTCTTTATTAGGTATAATATAGGAATGAGTTTGTAACACATTATTCTTTAATAAGTATGTAGATGTAGTAGAATCATCAACAACTATATTCTACAATTTTGCTCCTGCACCAAATTCCAATGCTTTCATATATTATTCATCCTTCACTTCAAACAAACTAAACAATTTACCATATACTCTATTTTAATCCCAATCTTTCATCCTTGATAAATTCAATTAAAATATAAAAGGTTATGATTATGATATTTATTTCTTAATTTCTAATAATTATTAATCTAAATCTCCTCTATTTGATTTAAAATCTAATAATTATTATTCTAAGGTTGATGACTTTTGAATTTCTATTTCACTTTATTCTATTCTTTTTTTTAATAGATCTATTTTAGTATCTAAATTAGTTGCTTCTTTTTACATTTATTCATAAATAGTCTTTGAACTTAACATATGATTATCTATTCTCTATAATCTTTCAGTTACTTATTCTAAATCTTTTCTATTGGAATCTATATGAGAGATGGTATCATTAATTTACCTTTAAATCATCTATTTACCATTTTATGCTATATTACCATCTTCAGATTAATTTTATTATCCTATTTATTCATCTAATAAATCTTTCTTTTCTTTCAATTCATCTGATACTTATTTTAATTATCTATCAGCTATTTCTATTTTCTAATCTGTTCTTTCTTTATCAGTTTAATATGTTCTTAATGCATGTTCTAATTTAATTTTTTCACTTTCAATAGTTTCTTTTTATCTTCTAGTATTTTATACTTATTTTTCTAATGTATTAACTAATTTTTATTTTTCCTTGTATTTTTCTGTAATTTACTCATATTTATTATTTCTATTCTATTCTTACAAACTTTGTATTTTTTCTTAGATAGTAGATATTTCAGCATTTTCATATCTCATCTTCTCTTCTTGATTAGTAATTTATTCATTAACAATTTGTAAATCATTTTTCTTCAATCTCAAAGTCTTAGCTTTTTAATAGTAATCATAACTAAAAAGATCCTTTTTCAAAACTAATATTTATGCCTCTTATGCTCTCCATAATTAAAATATATTCTTTTCATCAGTTAATTTTTACATCTATGGTTAAATTTCAGTTTCAATAATTTCATTTACTTATTTTAATTTCTCTTCTTTCTTTTGTATTAATTTCTAAGCTTCTCTTTTTTTCTCATTATACAATGATGTTCCTGCTGTTTCTTCTAACATACTAATTAGTTCTTATGGTTTAAGATTAATAATCTTTGTTATTCTACCTTATGCCACTAAAAAATGAGGATTATCTATATTCAATTGAACTGATCTGAACATATTTTTAAAGTTCTTTTAAGTTTCAGATTTGCCATTAATAAAATATTTAGATTTATCAGCTGTAATCTATCTAGTTACTGTTAATTTATCACAATCCTAATATCCTAAAGGACTTTACTCTTTATTTCGATTATCAAACACAATTGTTACTTCTGCTTTAGTAATACCTGCAGCACCATTTTTATATATCAACTCTTGTAATTTCTTAATACGAAGCTAATAACTTATAGAATATTAATACTGTATCGTATTCTTTACTCAATCCCAAACAAAAGAGAATTGCATCTAGAATATTAGATTTACCTGATCCATTCAATCCAGTTATAGCATTGAATTCTGGATCTAGATTTGTTATTACTGTTCTTTATGCATAAGACTTGAAACCTTCGATAATGATTTCTTTGATCCACATAATATTTTAATTTAAATTTTTGCCCGGTTTTATTATATATATATCATTTAATTGTAATAATTTGGGTTGGTAATGTTTTCTTCTAACTTATTGACTCTATAATAATTGGTAATCCTCTTAATTCTACCAATTTATTATAAACATTTAATAAGAAAGTTGCATTATATGAGTTACTAGTTTCAGGTATCTTCATGCCTTTGCTCAAACACTCAAATGAATAATTCACATAATCAAAGAAGATTATCAATTTATCATTTGGCAACTTTTAAAGCAATTCCTATATAAATTGTTCTCATATTTACCCCTTAAACATTTTGAACAGTGAATTTACTAAGAGTTTAATGAAATTTTGATAGAGCAAGTAACTTAATATCTTCATTCTACACTTTCTAAACTGATTTTAACAATGTTGCAACAACATTTCCAACTAAATCTCCTGGAAGTTTAAGCTATTTCAACTCTTCTGCTGCCTCCATATCAAAATCTTTCTATGTTTTCTTTGTTTTCTCCTACTCCATATAATGATATATAATTTTATTTATTAATAAACCATCAAATTATGATTGTATTGATTTTTATTTATAATTTATATATATAACTGTATATACTTTATAATTAGAATCATCTTCATTTAAATATATTATATTTTATTATATTTCTTTGATTATAATTCTTTCTCAAAATTTGCTAATTATTTTAGTGTAAAATTATACATTATTAATAATCAATATGCAAGACTAAAATTACTGTGAAATTTGTTATGAACACACTGAATTGTCTGTATTGGAATGCAATTGCAAAGTGTGTTTATATTGTATTAAACATTATACAAAGGTAATTGAATTTAAATTATAAAGTTAGATAAAAATAGAAGAATATTGGACATCTGATGGTACACATTTAAATATTGATTGTCCAGGAGGGTGTAAGTAAACTCTTTATTTTGATTCAATCTAATAATTAGCAATAAAAAATTCTTTCATTTAAGATATTCATGACCAATTATTTAAAAGCTATTGTAAAAAATCTATGGATGTATAATAATGTCCAAATTAAAATTGTGAATTCTATTATTTAAAACCTTGTAAGATAAATTGTGTTGATATTTGTGAAATCTGCTAAACTCGATTAGAAAATTATGAATAGATTTCATATAAAACATTATTGAATGAAATTACTGAATTTATAACTACATATTAATGTCCTAGATGTGAAGTTAAAATTACTAAAAATGGTGGTTGTTCACATATGACATGTTAAGTTTGTAAATTTGAATTTTGTTGGGATTGTAAATAAAATTGCAAAGACCATGATTGGAGTATTTGTATATATAATAATATATTTACACTAATCATCAAATACTAACTTCTTTATACCTTATTGATTTCTATAGGTCTCGATGTCTATTTATTATAAATATTTGGATATGTATTTTCAATAACATACTTGTACATTATTATAATTAATAATTTAGATTTATACTTAATAATTCAATCCTATTATTATCTGGATTAATATTGATTTAATTGAAGAAATTGAATGATAAATATGAGAAAATCACATATCATAGAGTAATAGTTGGATCAATAACTTTGGTTATACTTATTTTTATATCCTACTTTATTTTAGAACAATCTCTAATGGATTTCATATTCTATATAATTAAAGAAACAATATTTGCAATCCTCATTACTATTATTACTACTATTATGAATTAGTTTTATAAATAGAAATTTAGTTGAATTGAGTTTATATATATATATATATTTTTTATATTCATAACTATTAAATTCTACTATTAGTAGTATTCATAATTGATTATAATTTATCTTTGAATGTGTCAATCAATTCTCTTGAAGTATCTGTTATCCAATAATAAACTTTATTTATGATTTATTATTAAACAATATCTTCTGAACTCATTAGACTTTCTATTTTTATTGCTACATCATAATTCAATTCATTCAAACTAATTTCATATGCAACAACTTCATCCAATATCTTAGCCACTTTTATAATTACATTATTTAATACATATCCATTAAGCTCCTTCTATAAATACTTATTTTTTCATATTACTGTAATTATCATCTGCATTCATTTATTAATTCATTTCTTATATCCTTTATTATAATTCTATAATCTATAATTCCTTTTATTTGATCAAATTAAAACAATCTTGTAATTAAGAAATATCCACTTTATCCTTACCAGTTCCATTTTTTTATTTCTTCAATCTTTCTATTTACTTCTATTGTTACATTCCATCAACAGTAGTTCTACTATCTAATTGTCTTCTTAATTATTCAATTTCTAATTGAGAATTCTACTTTAATTTATTTATTTTTTCATTATAACAATTATGAAATTAATTACTTAATTACAATAAGACTTCCTCCTTATTATCATAATCTTACATCAATTCTATACACTTAGTAGGAACCCAATTTCTAATATTGACATATTTGTATACATTTCATTTATCTTAGATTTCCTAGTATCAAATTTAACACTCCCTTTAACATATGATTAATTTTCATCAAAACCTATATTATTATATTCTTTTGTTTTTCTTAATAATTCAAGTAATTTTTTAACATCAATTCTTAACTATTCATTCTCCAATCTTATTAATTTTAGACTCTCTTTGTCTGCTTAAATTGAATCTATTTATGATTCTATTAATTCCAATTTCTATTTAATTAACGAATTTTCAACTTTCACTTACTCTAATTCATCTTATAATTATGAATTTTCATCACTAATTTAATTCAATTACTATTAAGCAGTTATTAATTTAGTGTTTTTTTGAAACAATTCATCTTGTAAAGCTTAAATTTACACTTAATAATTCTTAGCAGCATATGGGCTATTTATTGTAATTTATTATTATGGAGGTTATTATAAAATATCTGAATCATCATGTTTTGATTCCATACGTTGTCTATTTATTAGATATTATTATAATACTTTATGTTTTTCCACATAGTTTATAAAGTTTCTATTTCATTATCTGATTCTGTTTTCATTTTATAATAAAATATAATTTAAATTATATTAACATTTTATAAAATTAGAATAAAATACTTTTGTACCAAAAAGTATAAATTAAATATTTTATTAAAAGAGCATCATTATATCTCCTTTAATATCAAATATTGAAACATCATTCAATGAATCAAGATTAAAATGATCAAAGTGATGTGGAATAAATTATAATTATTAATACAAGAAAATGCACAAATTATTTGGTATTACCTATGATTATCTAACTATAAGTCCAAATTAAGCAAGAACAGTAACTCATCCTTGTATTTCTCTCTATTATAAATTATAGCCACTTATATAAAGGAAGGTACAGGAAAATAAGCAATTAGAAAAATATATGGTAATGCAGGTGGTGGAGTACCATATGATTAATTTGAATAATAGACATTAGCATAATTGAAAATTAAATTAAATGGATTGGCTACGTACTAATATATATTAAAATTCATAGTCATTATCCTGACACATTGTTATATCGATTCTTGTATTCATTTCGTTTTAGTTTGGATGATACTTACAATGGAATTAAGAATCATGAAGAATGGTTGAACAATCCCTCTACATTCTAATTGAATAGTGGATCTTAAGCAATTTTGGTAATTTTATGACATTGAATTCTAGGACAAAGGTATTATTTATATGGGTGGAAGAGATAAAAAACTTAGACCTTCAATCATTTTCTAAGTGGGATTAATAGATTAAAAGAATATCAAAGGTGATGAGTTCTTAGCAGCATTAAACACCGTTTTTATGATTACATAGCAATATTGTTTTTCATAAGGATTTATTGAAAATTGGATTATATTAGTAGACACAGCCGATTTAGGTTTATTAAGTTTGCCAATTGAAATTTTGAAGAAGATTATTTCGACTGCTTCATCTCATTATGTTGGAGATTTAGAGAAATTATATATGTTGAATCCATCTATGGGTCTTAATATGTCATGGGGCTTGGTTTCAAGTAAATGAATTAATTAATAATATTAGGATTTATTGATGATAGATCAAACAAGAAAATTTAATTTCTTTAAAAAAAGGATTTCTCTAAATTGTAAGAGTACTTTGATCCAAGTTAATTAGAAGTATAATATGGAGGGACAATGCCTAAAATTAAGTAATATTGGCCTCCATAACCCACAATTTAAATAGAAAAACCTTAATTATAGTAATCAAATCAAATTGTAAATTATGAACCAAGTGTAAGATCTCAAAGATCTAATCGATCAGAACCATATAATCAATAAAAGTATTAAACATACTAAGCTCCATTTAAGAAACCCTAACTTGAATAGCAAAATCTAAATCTATAAGAATCCTTAAAACATGAATATTTTGATTCAAATATTAATCTACCAGTAATGTAACCTACATCATATGCATCTAATAAAGCAATATAATTAAGATAAACTGAAGAAAGACCATCTTAATTAACATAAAATTTTGGATATGATTATAGTTCATAGAAACAATAAAGGTTAGAAGTCTAAAATACTAATTTATCAACATCCCGAGAGATTTAACATATATCCTTCTAAGATTTACATTTTACTTAGTAGTCACAAAATAATCAATAAACAAATCAGACAAAATTAAGTTACAGATTGAATGGAGAGGAGAAGTAATTCCCAAAATTCCCAGTAATTGAAGAAGAATCTTATGAAAAGAAAACTTAATTTTTGCAATAATCTAGTTAATCCAAAAGCTTTATTGAAGAACCTTTAGATTCTACTCAATTTAGATAATCACAATCTTTAAGAAAATCCTATTAATAATATAATTTAAGTCAATAAGATTTTCAACCTCCCTATCCCAATGCTTTACCTTCAAGACCTTTAGTCTTAGGGCCATCTGAAAATTTGGAAGATAAATTTTAATAGAATTAAAATAAGTAAATCCCTTAATCAACCTATCAAAAACCTAAATCTCAAGAAATTAAACATTACTAAATACCATCACAATAATCAGAATTATAACCATCTATATAAACTGATTTTTTAAGAAAAACAGCAAATTTCTAAGCAAGAGATGGTAAATATACAGCTTGTGATATATTTTGATGTATTCAATAATTTTATAAATTTTATATAATCGTTTCATAAAATTATAATAAAAATAAACATAGAGCAATAAATCATTAGAATTTGCCCTTTAAATTAAAGTCACTATACTAATTTAAATTTAGGATTGCCAAATTCAATTGCTAAAAAGAAAATCATCTTGTTTTTTTATCTTTATATCCATAATCATATACATCATTATAATAATCTAGTATTCTTATCTATAAATTTAAATTGTTTAGATTTCTAATAGAATACCTTTTAAGTTGATTTAATTGATATTGAATGTCTTATGATTTAGCTTATAACATACTTCAAATTATTTATCCTTTATAAATTCTAGGTTGCTCTATTCTATCATGTATATTATCTTTCATGATTCAAATATTTATAGTGAGGTTTTCATATTCCAATTATTTCATTTCTGATTTTAGATCAGATAGAGAAATGTATTTTGCATTCTTAATAAAATCTTTTTCTCCAAATTATCTTTGATGATCCCATTTATTTGTGATAATTATAATTAACAAAAAGTAAATTTTATATTTTCCATATATTTTAATACTTTTCTTTATTTATTGATCATTTAGACAGATATCTAGATGAATCAAAGATCATATGATTAATTAATTTAGTACTTTGTTATTTTTTACGAATTCTTCCACCAAAAATATATCAATTAGGAAATAAATAGTTATATCTATACTGTTAAAAGGGACATTAATATTACAGTGTTAGAGCACTTGAGAATTTCAATGATCTCTTTTTTTTCATTTGAGAGGTCTTAGAAATTAAAATGTCACTATCATAATGTCATGATTAAAAAGCAATAAAAAGCAGGATATTCATATTAATTATTGAGTTGTCCTTAAAATATGATATCATTTTGAGTATTCCATTTATGTTAATGATGTAAACTTTGATTATGTTTTAAAGAAAATAAAAGAGGAGCATAAATAGAAAGGGATAAGGGACCTTTGAACTTCAAATTTTGTAAAGCATGATATATTATTTTCATATTATAATATGCAGAATAAATGATCAGAAGTATTTTTAGTTTCATGTACTTATCAAGTAATGTAGATAAGAAATTATTAACATCATAATTAATAATTTAATTATTGAATTATAATATTCTTTTAAATACTTATATACTATGTAAAATCAATCATATAAATGTTATCATTATAAATAATTAAATTCTATATAATATATTTATTAGACATAAATATGTTATTAGAATTAATTTAGAAATTCTGTTATTTCAGAGATGATTATAATAAATAATATATATAAATATGATTATATACATCTCTTTATATTAAATTATATAAAGTTTCTTATTCATCTAGAATTTATGACATCTATATATGATTGTAATTATTTTAATATATAATTCATTAATAAAATGTTATTTATAATACTTTTAGTGAATCAAGTTCTCACTTTATAAATAGGAAAAGTAACTTTCGATGTTTTGTTTCCTCATGACAAAAGATTGGCTTTTGTGTAATTTGACTAAAAATTTGAATAAATTCCATAGGTAGGTATATCTCTTATTGCAATACACGTTAATAACGAGGTTCCTAGAAATATAGGGATTGAACCTAAACTATTATAAATCACATAACAAGGTATAGAATTTATACTATAAAGGATTTCAATTGTAGATAACTAATCATAAATCTAAAATTGATCATCTCGAATATTAATGGTTAGCAGTGATTGATGATAGATTGAAAGTGAATTGTGAAACAATATAAAAGACTACAACAGTCAATTTTGGAAGGTATATATGAAATATAAATTTGTAAAAAGAGAATTTTGGGTAATCCCAACTATTTAAATATTTTTGGCAGGATTTCAAAAAGAATCATAAAAAGGAGACTTAAAGTTTTAATTGTCAATAAGCAATTAATAGGTTAATAGTTTTGAGATTGCTTTGAATAATTAATCTGAACATGTTTTAAAAGACATATATATTTGGTATTAAAATAAAATTATTATATTTAGTTATATAGCTGGACCATAAAATATTGTAAAATCAAAATCTTTAATAAATATCAATTAAAAGACTGATGAATTTGTAGATTTAGAAGGAACTCCAGAAAATTTAATTTATGGAGTAAGTAAGATTTCAAATTTTTATGGAGCCTTAATGATATAATTAGGATAGTTTGAATATGAGTAAGAAAAGCCTGGTGTAGGAATAAGTAAATGAATGTATATTAGTTTTTATTAGGTTAGATAGATATGACTTTGGGATTAATATAAAATGATGGTATGTTGTGTCCATTAGGATATTATGAGTGTAATTTTAATGGAGTATCAATTGATCTATGTGATAGTACGAATGGTTCTTAATCTTGGAAAAGAATAAAATCTATAAAAAGTAGAAAAGGATGGAATGGTAAATTCAAGATTGATGGAAAGACTTTAAAGACTCAAGATGCTAATTGCATTTAAGATATTCAATTATATTTAGAAGCATGAGGATAGTTTTATATAAGAATGTATTGAAAACATTATTTTATTTAAATAATTAAAATTAATTAATGATTATTCCTATTAGATGTTTTACTTGTGGAAAGGTAATTTGATGTTAATGGAAATAAATTAGGTAGTTGGTCATTTGTGGAATGATTATGTTTAATTATTATAAGATGGTGTATCAACAGGAGAGGCATTAGATAGATTAGGTTTAGAGAGATATTGTTGCAGAAGAATGATATTAACACATGTAGATTTAATAGATAAATTGCTTAATTATAATAGTATTTGTATTAAATAATTATTTAGTTTACAAAACACTGTGAGGCTCTGAATTTTATAAATAAAATTTTAGTTCATTATTTATATATATTATATATATATTCCTTTAATTATTTATCTAATTTTGATATCATAATTTAGTTTCATAAATATACACCTTTAATAATAGAGTTGGTATATTTGCTACCTTTTGTAATCTTTATTTATGAACAATTTATAGTGAAGATTGTTTAAGTAATTCCTCAAATGCCCTTTCAGACTCTAGATGCAAGTCTATGCTGGTAATATATTTTAAACTTTCACCAAAATGAGAATCACTTAATGTTAGCATAAAATATATGATTCCTTCTGGATTAAGTAATGATTTAGCTATTTGAAGAGCCTCTTATTATTGATGAAGTATAGGGAAAGATGAAGAAAAGACAATGGCATCAAATTTTCCATGAATTTCAGGTTTCATTTAGTAGAAATCCAATTCAAGTATTTTCACTTAAGGTTTGTCTTTAAATAATTGGACTGCTTTGCTTAAGTAAGTATGATCTATATCAATTGCAGTAATCTCACACTCATGAGGAAACTAATTAATAACTTTATGTAGAGGAACACCAGTGCCAACTCCAACATCCAATATTCTTTTCTATTTTCCAGTAATTCTTTCACTAAGCTTTTCATATGTTAGTGAAGTAATTGGATGAGAAATGAATGTGTCATACAGAGTAGTATTTGAGAAGTCTAATACCTCTTTTACTGTTTAAAACACTGCTTAAAATGATTATCTGGCAAATGAATAAATCATATTATATAAATAATGCATTTCAAAAATAAATTACTGCAATTTATAAACTATAGTAATAATAGACATTTATTAGTATATAAATTATCAATAAAAACTTGTTTTAACTTTAATATATTATACATAATTTTATGAAAAAATTCCTTATATTGATTGCATCACTTAGTTATGCTTTCACTTATACTACAACTTGTATAGGAATAAGTTAAGCTCTATGTACAACTGCTGCAGGGTATTGCTTTTGGACAGGTACTGCTTGTTAAATGGCAGAATGTCACAAAGCTACTGATGTAAGGGCTTGTAGATCATCTACTCCTGCTGGATTTCTATTGAGTTAAACTAAATGTAGAGAGATACCAAATAACGATCCGAATTTCCTGAATTAATGTATGGAACATGATTAAACTGCTATGATGTATGCTTATGTTAGATTTCCTTAAGATATTACTTAATTACATTCAACAAAAACAACAAGTGGTTATTTAGTTACAACAATAATGACTGCAAAATATACTTCATAATATAAATATGAAATATTAACAGTAAACATTTTGACAGCCTCTACAACTGAATTATTGAATATTATGAATGCCTATGTCTAGATGTAGTATGATTTAGTTGATCCAGAGATTCACCCTTAATATTTAGAGAAAGCTATCTATGAATCTATGTAAGCAATTAGAGATGATGTCACTTTGACTCTTACTGGTACTACAAATAAAAGATAGGATTATTACACTGTCTTATGGAGAATGACAGATGCATACTTTCTAAAATTAAGATCATATCAACCTTTCTACATATCAAATAAATACTTAATCAATTTTGGATTTTCACATTTCAATCGCATGTCTATTACATTGTCATCATAATTTTAATCTACTAAAGTTTCTTGGACTTCTTATAATGATAATGGATACTTAGAATTGCTTGTAATTCCTGCTGAATAATTTGGAATTCTTAATTCATTCTCAGATGTTATAATAATTAGACCCTCAAATTTAGATGGCAGTGATGCAACATTAAGTTATACTATATAATGGTCTTTTAGTTTTCTAGGTACGTAACCATCAAGCACTAGTAACATATATACATTTGATAAGATTGAGATGAATACTTTCATATCTTAAGGAACAGCAAATTGTAATACATCGTCAAAATTATGCTCTAAAACTTTTACAAATCAATCAACTACAAAAGCCTATTTAATTGGTGATCCTGCAGTTGCATCATAAACAAATACAGGCAGATATTATACAAGATGTAGATTAGGACGTTTTAATTGGGTTGGATCTACAAATATTTGTAATCCTTGAAAATTAAATATAAATTTCTATCTAATTTATCATTATAATTAATTTTGCATATTCTTATAGATTTTGCTATATTTTAGATATGTCAAAATAATAAATAATTATATTTCTATAATAAATATTAAGAATCTATTAAAAATAATATTCGTTTAATATTTTTTCCTTTATCATTTAAATATAAAAATATTAATTTTTATATAAATTTGTTTGAAACATGGTAATTTATTAAAATATCTATATTAATTTGATTTAAAGGATGATGAACTTGTTATAAGTTCTATTTGATTTTTAATTATTTATTGAATAAATTTTAAATTTTGATTATATTGTCTAGATATTAATAAGATTTCTTCTAGAATTATATATATTATCTTTTGTTTATTTGTATGTTTAAGAAATTTCTAAAATATTTAAATTTTTACTTGATATTTCGTTTAAACGAATTATAAAACAATTAATTATACTCTTACCTTGAATTCAACATAACAATATTAAATATAATTAATTAAATGATATGTCTTTCTGAAAGGCAATTATAGAAAATCACAATTCATTCAAATAGACCATTCATTTAACTTCCATTAATATCGAAATCAAATGAAACACTTGTAATCATTCTTTAAATTAAGACTTAAGCGATTAAATAATAAAGCTATGTTATCTGAAAGAAATAAAAATTAAACAACAAACTAATCATCTGAAAAAGATGTATATTGTCTTAAATTACCTAAAATACATCAAAAGACTCCAGAAAAAATAGACACTCATTATAAATTAACACATTCTTAAGTATAATCATAAAAAATGTAAATTATTTACTTATTTTGAGACTCTAAAATGATCAATCATTTGATAATTTAAAAAAATATAATAAATAAATAAAAGATATTTAATAAAGACATAATCGATTTCTTAACAAAATAGAAGAGTTATATATGATTACCAAATAGCCATAATGAAAACTGTTTTCTTTCTAATTTTGATTAATTAATTGAAAACTTATAAACTGTTAAATTTATTTCATTTAATCAACCTTTTTATTACTCATCAATATGAGTATCAAACTAGTGGATTCAAATAATATAATATTTTTTTTAAAGATTTATTATAATTTGTCTTGCTGATAATTAGAATTTCTAATTTTGTATGATAANAAGAATCTATTAAAAATAATATTCGTTTAATATTTTTTCCTTTATCATTTAAATATAAAAATATTAATTTTTATATAAATTTGTTTGAAACATGGTAATTTATTAAAATATCTATATTAATTTGATTTAAAGGATGATGAACTTGTTATAAGTTCTATTTGATTTTTAATTATTTATTGAATAAATTTTAAATTTTGATTATATTGTCTAGATATTAATAAGATTTCTTCTAGAATTATATATATTATCTTTTGTTTATTTGTATGTTTAAGAAATTTCTAAAATATTTAAATTTTTACTTGATATTTCGTTTAAACGAATTATAAAACAATTAATTATACTCTTACCTTGAATTCAACATAACAATATTAAATATAATTAATTAAATGATATGTCTTTCTGAAAGGCAATTATAGAAAATCACAATTCATTCAAATAGACCATTCATTTAACTTCCATTAATATCGAAATCAAATGAAACACTTGTAATCATTCTTTAAATTAAGACTTAAGCGATTAAATAATAAAGCTATGTTATCTGAAAGAAATAAAAATTAAACAACAAACTAATCATCTGAAAAAGATGTATATTGTCTTAAATTACCTAAAATACATCAAAAGACTCCAGAAAAAATAGACACTCATTATAAATTAACACATTCTTAAGTATAATCATAAAAAATGTAAATTATTTACTTATTTTGAGACTCTAAAATGATCAATCATTTGATAATTTAAAAAAATATAATAAATAAATAAAAGATATTTAATAAAGACATAATCGATTTCTTAACAAAATAGAAGAGTTATATATGATTACCAAATAGCCATAATGAAAACTGTTTTCTTTCTAATTTTGATTAATTAATTGAAAACTTATAAACTGTTAAATTTATTTCATTTAATCAACCTTTTTATTACTCATCAATATGAGTATCAAACTAGTGGATTCAAATAATATAATATTTTTTTTAAAGATTTATTATAATTTGTCTTGCTGATAATTAGAATTTCTAATTTTGTATGATATACATAATTAAATAAGTATTTTTTAATTGTATTAAAAATAATTAATCTATAATTATAATACAATAATTTAAGATATTAAATTATTTATTATTTTGTCAATATATAAATTATAATATATCATAGATATTCCCTCTTGTTTTAGTATTAGTGTAATATTTATTAATTGTAATATTAAATTTAATAAATGAATAAATACACTCTTACTTTTAGATGTGAAAAATTGGAATAAAAGTATTAGGATTCTCGATATCTATATACACTTTCTACATGTAAATCTTTGAATGTAATCAGTTTTTTGCTGTGCTTATTTCGAAGTATTACTTTTATTATTCAGAATCATTTGGTTGGATTTTTTGTATTTCTAGTCCTAACAATTATTGTCATATTAGCTCAATTCTTCATATTTACTAATAAAAGGAGATGGGTAGATTATTATTTGTTAATAATAAATCATTTTATGATGTTACAACAATAATATGTAGAGGAAGGATTTGAAAAATAGGAGGCGTTTGTATTTGGATAGAATTAAATGTTATTACATATCATGATAATTCTTGTTTCTGAATTTAAATTTGGTTCAATTTAGATTTTAGGAAATATTATAATAAAGATAGTGCTGTCTAAATATTATTAGCCATCATTACCCTATTAAAGTATAATTTATTCTATTGTATTTGGATTAATGTTTCTCTATTCCATGTTTAAAATAAATTAATAATATAGATTATCATTCTTATTCACAACATAAGATAGTTAATAAGGTATTTAATAGTAGATAATTAAATTTTAGAATAATTAATACCTTTATTAACCGATAGTCCTTTTGTATTATGTACATATAATAAAGATAATTTGTAATTTTAATAAAAATTCAGTAATCTCTTACTTCATTAAGAATTTAAATAATTCTAGACTACTCATGATGCTCTGAATTTTGTCCTAAGAAATTATTCTGTATTTGGATAGTCTTTAGAGACATTTTTGTTGGCTAGACAAAAAAAGTAAGATGAATTGATAGTTAATAAAATTTTAGAAGTAAAATCAAACAATAATAATAATGATTTATCAAAATTATTTATTCGCTATTCAGAATGTTACATAACAGAATTAATTTATATTTTGATAATTGATAAGAAGAGATTAGAGATTCAAAAATTAAATTAAAAACTAGTTTATTATGAATAAGGATTAAATAAATTTTTAATCCAATTTAGAAATTTCTTAAAACAATAAATTTTAATCTTAGATAAATCATTAAATAATAATTAAAATTCAATATATTAAGCTATTATTAAATTAATATACATATTTTCAAAGTTCAAGAATAAAAAATCATGTAAAATTACAAATCAATCATTTTTATAATGTTTTAAAAAATATGCAAAATTATATTCATAAGCCTATGATAAAAAAAGAATCAAGATTGAATTTTGTTAAGAAATAAAAGAAATTTACACTATAGAGAATTCTTTAGAGGAATTTATGATTAACTTCTTTAATTATCTCTTTAAAATTAAAACAGATATAATATAAATATATCTTTGTACATCATTTGTTTAATAAAATGAATATATTGATATCATTATAAAAGTAGATGTTATGTCAGAATTATATATTTTATTGTAAAAGAGTACTCATTTTAGAAGAATTCTAAAGACAATAAGTCCTCATGATTATGTAATCTTAAATGATGACAGTAATTTTATATAAGATTTTTAGGTTTGATAGTTCGTCTGTATAAAAATATGAATGAAATTAATCAATTAAGTTCATTTTTAATTAAACCAGAGTAACTTAAAAAAACAACATGATTATTGATATTCTTATTTTCAATTACTTTTATATTATAAAATTAATTATGGTATCGATATGGAAAATCACATAAATTGAAATAAATATTTAATTAAAATGAAAATCAATGATCCTTTATTGGAGTAGAGAGATATCTAAATCCATAAAGATGATTGGCTTTATACAAGAATTTCCAAAATGATTAGATTGATTAACAATAAAAGAGAATAACTCTAAAATAATTCATTGTAAGAATATTGTGTTAAAATAACTGATTCAAATTATATCCTAAAACATTACAATAAGTAAATACATTGATATAATTTTTAGTATTGATTCAACAAATGTTTACAAAAAAATGAAACAAATTTTAGTAAAGAATTTTTTTATTGTTAGATAACAAACTCAATTTTTATTTTTATCCAATAAGTTATTGCATCTATATTATAATTAGCAAATATTTTGATGTTAGATTTATTTACTGATTCTCTAAAAGAAGAAAATTATTATTATGTTCTTTATTTGATTTTACTACTCATATTTTCATTTACTAAGTATTTTTATTAGTTAATAATGCATAGAACATATTTAATTTCAATTCAAACACATTAAATAACCTAATTTTTAGGAAAGTTAGATGTATTATGTAATTATGAATTATACAAAAAATTACTTGCAACCCATCAATATTAAAAAGATTAAAATATCCCAAATATAAATGTAAGTATCTCTAATAATTGTATTTAGACATTGATAACAAATGATTTAGAATAGATTAAATAATTACATTTTTCTTTAAAAGAAGGAACTTTAGCTAGTTGCATGCTTATAGGATGCATATCATTCTTATATTATAAAGATGTACATGCAGGCAATGTAATATTAATAGTAATTGTATGTGCTTAAGTGTTTAATTTTATTGTAACTTTTATAATGATGCAAGCATAAGAACGTTTATTTTATAGGAAAGATTAAAGAATTAATTTGACAACAGATGTATTACATGGCATTAAATAAATAAAATATCTTTCATGGGAATAAATATTTAGTAATAAAATAATATTTAAGAGGAAAATGGAATTTTAGATGCTTATAGTAGTTAAAATATTTGATGGTCTTTTAGTTTTATTTTGGAATAATATAAATTATATATTACTTTACTTTTATATCTAAAATAGTAAGATTAATTTAATAGATTTAAATGTTTTCACATTGATTGCTATATTCAACTCAATGATGTATGAAATCTATAAAATATTTTAGTTACCCTTTAGGTATTTTACCATTTTGTATCAATTTCTTACTAAGTGCTATTGTATCAATAAAAAGAGTTAATACTTATTTTAACTAAATGGATGTAGTAGATATAAAGGGGAATTAAATATTTGGAAATAATGAAATTATATTAAAAATTGAAGAAGGAATCTATAAATTAAGTGATAACTTTAGTTTAAGAATTAATAATTTATAAATAAAAAAACAAACTCTTAATTTTATAGTTGGTCCAATTGGATCAGGTAAGAGTACTCTTTTTAATGTAATATTAAATGAATTGTAAGATATAAAAGAGAAATCAAAATAGATAGGAGGAACTATTTCATTTTGTTCATAAAATAGTTGGATTCAAAATTAAACAATTAGATAAAATATATGTTTTGGTTAAGAATATAATTAATAATAATTTACAAAAGTTGTTGAATTATGTTAATTAAATGAAGATATATAGAAATTTGAGAATTTTGATTAGTATTTAGTAGGTCCTGATGGAAATAATTTAAGTGGTGGTTAAAAATAAAGAATAGCATTAGCAAGAGCTATATATTAAAATTCAGATATCTATTTATTTGATGATGTATTTTCATCTCTTGATATACCTGTTGCAGATTCTATATTTTAGAATCTTATTATAAATTATTTAAGTAATAAAACAGTACTATTTATAACATCTAATTAACATTTTATAAATAAAATTCCTAAAAATGCCAATATAATTTTAATGGATTAAGGATCAATTATTGAATAAAATACTAATGATTAATCTATAATTAGAAAAATGAGTAAAAAATCTGATGATTTAAATAATGATGAAGAATAAGTAGGAAATAAAGATGAAAATAATGATTAAGGTTAAGATTTAGAAGAAAGAGAGACAGGAGAAGTGGATACTAAAGTATGGTTATATTATTTCTCATCAATGGCATGGCCATTAATTATATTATATTTGATATTCAATTTCTCTTTATAAGGTGCTTTGTCATATATTGATTTTTGGTTGAAGAATGAACACTTTGATAATAATTTCTCTTCTAAATTCACATAACTCTTATTATTAGCATTAGGTGTTACACTATTTAGAGCAACATTTTATGTATTGGTATCACTAAAATCTTCATGGACTATTTTTAAATAATTGAATGATTCAATAATGAGAGCAAAAATGGTATTTTTTGATAAAACTAATGCTGGAAGAATTATTAATAGATTATCAGGTGATATGGAAACTATTGATGGTTTATTGCCATGGAGTTTTGATATATTTTTAGAAGCTTTAGCTAGAGGAAGTGGATTTGTTATTGGACTAATTATTTTATTTCCTTACATTAGTATAGGATTAATTGGAGTTTTCTATGCTTATTATTATATTGCAAATACATATATTAAAACTAATAGGGAATTAAAAAGATTAAAATAAGTTAATCATGCTGAATTATTAGGATGGATCAATGAAACATAAAAGGGATTAAAAATTATTAGAGCATAATAAAAATAAACTTATTTCTTTGATTATTATTTAGATAAATTGCATACATGGAATGCATGTGAATAAAGTAGTTTAAGAGCTAAATTTTGGTACTTTGTAAGATTGAACTTAAATTGTAATTTATTATTATTATTATCTACTTTTGTTATTTTATTAAGTACTGAAAATTATGGTAGTAAAGCTTTAGCATTGACTTATTCCATTTTAATTATTGATAATTTTAATGACTTATTTAATTTTTATTTATAAACTGAACAGATGATTATATCTGTCGAAAGAGTTAGATAATATTCTAAAATACCTTAAGAAGATATATATAAGAAAAACACATTAATTAAAGTTATTAATTTTGATGATTCATGTGATCTAACAGTTAAACCTATTATAGATTTAGATATTGAAATTGAATTTAAAGAAATATGTCTTTCATATGATTAAATTAATTATTAACTAAAATCTCTTAACTTAAAAATTAAGAAAAATGAAAAAATAGCAATAGTAGGTAGAACTGGATCAGGCAAAACATCAATTATGAATGTTCTTTTTTAACTTTATTAATAATAAACAGGAAATTTATTTATTAAGGGACAAGATGTATTTATCAATATTTAAATAGGCTCAATATTTATCATTATAAGAATTACGTTCTTAATTATCTATAGTACCTTAATTTGGATTTCTTTTTGAAGGTTCTTTATATGAGAATTTGGATCCTGGATAAACTATAGATAAATAATAAATAGATCAATTATTGACTTAGTTCAATTAACTAAAACCTGATATAACTATTGAATAAGGTGGTAATAATTTATCAAATGGAGAAAAATAATTGATAAATTATTTAAGAATAGTCTTATAAAATAAGTCTATAATATGTTTGGATGAAGCTACTTCAAATATTGATCCTCAAACTGACAAAGTATTATTGTTATGATGATTAGCTACTCCATGAATATCTGTTTAAATTTACTGAGAATAAAACCCTTATTGTTATAACACATAGATTAGATCACTTAGACAAATATGATAGAGTAATATATTTGGATAAAGGAAAGATTTAGAAGATATAATGAATTGTAATATAAAAATAACATATTTATGTAATTATTTCAATTTATATCAAAAAATAATTAAATAAAAATATAAAATTCAAATCTTAATTTTTAAGTATAATTCAATAAAATTGTAAACTAAAAGATAAGATGATGATTTTAATCTCTAAAATATTTAAAGGTTGATTATTATGCTGTTAATGTTAGAGTTAATTTTAAATATCTTAAAAAAACAATAATGCAAACTTAATAAAATAGGCTAATAAAAGAAGAAGTAAAATATTAATATATAATTGAAAATGCTGTTAGAAGATATTATTAGTATATTTAAAAGTGTAAAGTAGCTATTTAAGATAATATATTAAATTAGAAATCAGAAATTTTATATAAAACAAAAGATTAAATGGTAAATCATGATTACTTCAATAATTATAATATAGATTGATCTAAATGAATAAGTTCAAGTCTTTTTAAGATTCTATTAATAATATTATTGTTGTTTAATAATTAATTTTTATAGATAATATAAATTGCATTAATGATTTAATAAATAAAGTATATGTAATTAGAAACAGAGTTGACCGAATATGATGTCTCACCAAATTCATCATAAAATTCTCCTAAAAAAGAATATAAATAGAAACCATCTAATATTGGAGGGAAATGCAAAGCCATACTTATGGTTGTATTTTATCTTGGTACATTGTTCACATTTAATGGGGAAATTATTTTTTTTATTGGGATTTATATGTTGATGCTCATAAATAATAGAAAACATTTATTTGATTTAGTTTTAACAATTTTAGCTATGACTTTAAGTATTGCTAATCTATTTGTTGAGTATAATTTATTAGGAATTTCTTAAATAATTATGAGTTTTGATATTTTAACATTTTCTTTTTCATAAAGAATGATAAGAGAAATTAAATTGGTTTGGTCTGAAATAAAAAATTTGGCAATTACTATGTTTTTTGTTTTATGTTTATGTGCTTATTCAACTACTGCTTATTATGATGATTCTGAAGATGATGAGATTGAAATATTTTATGGGACATTTGGTAGGTCAGTGCTTACATTTGTATAGGCTCTAAGTTTGGATGATTGGGCTTAAATAGGAAGAGAATCAGATGATTTATTTGGATATTTTATATTGTGTATATATATTCTACTTATGACATATTTCTATTTAAATATAATGATGGGTATATTGATAGAAACACTATAATTTGAGAAAAAAGGTAATCATTTAGATGATCCATTTAATTATGAAATTAATTAATAATAAATATTATCTGAATTAGTTAAAGAATAGAATTTATTTGATAAATGTATAATTGGTAATTATTATGAATATATTGTATTCATAATAAGTTTTGGAGCAATATTTATATCAATACTTGAACATTTTGATCATGGTGATAGTACAATAGAATTGGTAATAGAATTAATAGATGATGGATTATATACAATACATTTTATAATATTAATGTTAAAGAAAGGTCCAATTTATGATTTAGAAAGAAAAAATAAAACTGTAATGTTTTTACATTTCATAGCTGGGTAAATATTTAATAATTTATTTATATTTAGTCCTTTATCTTTAATTTGTTCATTTATATTTCTTGAAATTGGTTGTCTATTGAATTTACTAAAAATTGCCACTACTCCATCTGTAAAAGGAATCTTTGTAGGAACTATAGCCATGGTGCCTTTATTGATGCCATAATTTGCAGAATTATTTGGAATTATAATGTTTATTGCTAGCATTTTAACTTCTAATTATTATGCATATACAGGATTAAAATAATAGGAGTATTTTTCATCTTTTTGGGGTTCTTTTTATACTCTTGTTTAAATCATGACTTTAGATGGTATTATATTATAATAAAAAGATTGGGGAAATATAGTTGAACCAATGTATTCAAAGCATGGATTTATATTACCATACATTTTGATACCTGCATATATATTTTTAAGTAATTTTATCATTTTAAATACTTTAATTGCATTGAGTTGTGAATATTTTGTGGAAGTCAAATATTATTCTATTGAAAAAGATTAAAATGATGTTAGATGTTCTCAATTTGTTGGTATCAATGAATTGAAGAATTATTGTAAATAAAATTAAAGTAATTTATAGTATCATCATACTTAAGTGCACTTTAATCTCCCCAATGTGGTCATTAATCATCATGATGAATTAAGTTCCAAAATTAAATCAGACACCATAATTTAAATTTAATATGGGAATCTTTAATTTACTGCTCAGGTAATATAATAATCTGATGCATTATGATTTAAATAAAGATTATTTGAGGCTAACTTATATATTAAATTAAATACATTTTATAAAAATGCAAACCTATTACAAATTGGCATTTTAAACTCTAAAAAATTTTTGTGATCTCTAAATCATCAGTGATGTAGAGAAAACCTATATGAAAGAGTACATCCTTAATTAGAATGTACATCCTGATATAGAGTTAAATTTGGACTAAATTTCCAAGTTCATTCTATAAAAGCTTATGAAATTAAGACAATCTGATAAGAAAAAAGATAGTAAACAAGATAGTTTAATATCTATCGAAGAGGAAACTGATGAAGATGACCTTAAATGAATAAGAATTTCTCAAAATTAACAACTTATGGAACTACTTTGATTTTTATATATTTAANTTTAGTCCTTTATCTTTAATTTGTTCATTTATATTTCTTGAAATTGGTTGTCTATTGAATTTACTAAAAATTGCCACTACTCCATCTGTAAAAGGAATCTTTGTAGGAACTATAGCCATGGTGCCTTTATTGATGCCATAATTTGCAGAATTATTTGGAATTATAATGTTTATTGCTAGCATTTTAACTTCTAATTATTATGCATATACAGGATTAAAATAATAGGAGTATTTTTCATCTTTTTGGGGTTCTTTTTATACTCTTGTTTAAATCATGACTTTAGATGGTATTATATTATAATAAAAAGATTGGGGAAATATAGTTGAACCAATGTATTCAAAGCATGGATTTATATTACCATACATTTTGATACCTGCATATATATTTTTAAGTAATTTTATCATTTTAAATACTTTAATTGCATTGAGTTGTGAATATTTTGTGGAAGTCAAATATTATTCTATTGAAAAAGATTAAAATGATGTTAGATGTTCTCAATTTGTTGGTATCAATGAATTGAAGAATTATTGTAAATAAAATTAAAGTAATTTATAGTATCATCATACTTAAGTGCACTTTAATCTCCCCAATGTGGTCATTAATCATCATGATGAATTAAGTTCCAAAATTAAATCAGACACCATAATTTAAATTTAATATGGGAATCTTTAATTTACTGCTCAGGTAATATAATAATCTGATGCATTATGATTTAAATAAAGATTATTTGAGGCTAACTTATATATTAAATTAAATACATTTTATAAAAATGCAAACCTATTACAAATTGGCATTTTAAACTCTAAAAAATTTTTGTGATCTCTAAATCATCAGTGATGTAGAGAAAACCTATATGAAAGAGTACATCCTTAATTAGAATGTACATCCTGATATAGAGTTAAATTTGGACTAAATTTCCAAGTTCATTCTATAAAAGCTTATGAAATTAAGACAATCTGATAAGAAAAAAGATAGTAAACAAGATAGTTTAATATCTATCGAAGAGGAAACTGATGAAGATGACCTTAAATGAATAAGAATTTCTCAAAATTAACAACTTATGGAACTACTTTGATTTTTATATATTTAACAAATTTTCATTATTACACTATTAATTAAATATTTTTGATTTTGTATTTCGAAAATTCTGATTTCTAAGGATTTCATATTTAATTAGTAATTCATATATATATATGTATAATTAAGTCTAATACTCTTATAAATATAGTTTATATATAAAATAAAGAAAAATTTTAACAAAAATAATTAATGAAATTAATGCTATATTTAATCATTAATATGAGAATGATGTGTTCGATTATTATTCAATAAAAAATTTGTTTAAATCCTAAATTTATTTCGTTTTTTCTTTCAATAATTTTAATATTACAAATAAAGATGTTTATTCTTAACATGTTCAAAAGTCTTTTGAGTTCTTTAGGACTCTATAAGAAGAATGCAAAAATATTGTTTTTAGGGTAATTAGAAAATTCTAATATTTTTATAGACTCGATAATGCAGGAAAGACAACTCTATTGAGAAGATTGAAAGATGATAGAATGGTTTAACATGATCCTACATTACATCCACATGCAGAAGAGCTTGTTTTAGGAAATGTTAGATTCAAGGCATTTGATTTGGGAGGACATTAAGCAGTTAGAAAGACTTGGAAGAATTATTTCCCTACAGTTGATGGAATCATCTATCTTGTTGATTCAGCAGATTCATAAAGATTAAAGGAAAGTAGAGATGAGTTAGAATAAATATTAAATACAGCAGAATTAGCAAAGGTATAAAAATCATAAATATTTTTGATTAGGTTCCAATAGTAATTTTGGGAAATAAAATTGATAAACCAGGAGCAGTGCCAGAAGAAGAATTGAGATAAGCATTAGGAATAAATGTTAAACAGCAAATTAATAATAAAAATATTAAGGAAATTGATGGAAGACCAGTTGATGTATTTATGTGTAGTGTAGCAAACAGAGTAGGCTATGCTGAAGGTTTTAGATGGTTATCATAATTTTTAAATTGAAATTTATTATTAGTATATGTATTTTTCTTTTCATAAAAAACCTTAAATTAGAATTTTAAATCATTGATAAATTAAATCAATTAGTAAAATATATTATAGTAATCAGTATTTAGATTTCATTATTTTTTTAAAGTTTGGTATTCTCTTTTTATTTTGACAATTATTACATTTACAAAGAGAAGAACATTTTTTATTTCTGATAAAACATTCACAATAGTTTTTTTTACATTATGATTTCTTACATTGACATCCCCAGATAGTTGTCTTATCAAATAAATCATCATCATTTTTAAGTCTTTATTACTTTATTTTCACTTTCTCTAAAGCTTATTTTCTGATTTAAGAATAATCTTAATTATTATGACAATCATGACATTAACACTTTTCAGAACATTCAATATTTTTATGGAAACAAGTACAATACAATAATAAACAATGTGATTTATTGCATTTACAAGGTGAATTACTTTATTAGTATTCATTCACATCATAATCAAAAAATTCCTAACATACTTTTATACAAATATTTACATTATAATGGGTTTTTTTTCTATTTCTCTTTTCTTTTACATTATTTTTCTAATTATTTATATTAATTAATTCAAATTGATGGAAACTGGTTGTTTAATGTTTTTCTTCATCTTAATTACTATTTATAGAAATTCCTAATTCTTGTTCCTAATCATAATCATTTGTGTTCTACAACTTTTCATTGATAAAGAAGTCTTATTCTGAGAAATTGCTTCTATATTTATAGTATTTGATGATTATTACCTATATTTTTATAAGGCTGGTGGTGGAATGTTATCAAAATATTGATCTAGTTCATATTCATTAAATTAATTTTAGAAGACAGCAGTAACATCTGAATGTTTTCTTAATTATGCTTCTTAATTGATTGAAGACATCAGTAAATTAAAAATATTTAATAATGATGATAAAATGACTTTAAATATAATATAAATAATTTAAATTCTTTAACAATCTATTCTCAATCTAATCCATATTATTTTTATTTAATTGTTTTGAAATTCAAAAGAAAGATATAAATTTCTATTTGTATTTTTAATTGCAATCATTTAAATTATTATCAAATAAAAATTTGATCGCCTCATAAAAATTCGTAAATTTACCCTATTATATATTAGAAATTTTAATAGATCTTAGATCTCAAGCTTTCTTCTTATTTTGGTTAATTTGTTAATCATTGATACACTTTATTACTTTTTGAGTGGAATTACTCATATAATACGACATTAATAATTAAATTCTAATATTAACATGGGATCATCTTGTAAATCAATAAAAAATGTAAAAGAATCCAATGATTTTGATATTCCAGAATAAGAAGGACCTATTCGTACAGTTGGTGATGAGCCAATTCCAAAGAAACCTTATTGTTGTCTCTCAAATGAATTAACTGAATAATCTGATAATTTTGGTGAAATAGAAATCCCAAAACACACAGGTATGCCTTAAAATCAAATTTTCCATAATTCTATTATCTACTCAAGAGAAATTGTTCGTTCAGAGTAATTCTAATAAAATAGAAAGCACCGTCCAAAAAAGAGATTAAATAAAGTTAGTCCAAATACTGAAACACATTATGAAAAATAAATATACAAACAATTAAGGATGAATATTTTATCACCGGATGGAATTATTAGAAAAATATATTGAAACAAAACAATATTGTTTGTGAATGAAAATTTTTGTCTTTGTAATATTTTATGAGAAAATGTTAATTCAAAAAAAATGATTAACTACATAATAAATTACCAGTAGAAGAGAAAAAGTATTATAATAATTTTTAATATACTTTCTATTTCCTAACATTGTGATCTTTTTGTTGTAGATATCATTTATGTATCCTTCCTTTCTCTTTTTCATAATAGCAAAATAGCCATTATTTAATTCATATGTTTTGTGTTATATAATAATTCTATTTTTTTCTATTTTTATTGAAATTACATCAATTTTCTTAAATTGACCTTGATAATATGATTTAAACATTATAAAAATACGTTTTGAACTTTTCTTATAATTGTAAGACAAGTATATTTGTAATCATTTTCTATAAAATTAGAATATTATCATAAATTATGAAATTTAAATTTTTTAGCGGGGTAGTATTTATAATTTTTTAATTTTTCTACAAATCGATTACTCTTTTTTCTGTAATAAAATAGTATTTTTATAGTCATATAATTAGAAGTGATTAACATCATTAAACCTTATGTTATTGAAAATTTAATTAAAGTAATTTGTGGTTATTCAGAAATATTAATTATTTATTTAATTTTTAATGATAAAGCCGTATTTTTGATAATAATTATAAAACTCTGAATAATCATACTATAATTTTTGATTACTTTATTATTTTAATATGGTTATACTATTATTTAAAATGAAGAGATATTTGAGTTATCATCAATAACAATTTTTTATTTGAATGTAAATAATTATGTATTTGAAATAATACGCATGATTCTTTTAATCAAAGTATTTTCTTCTAAATCTCTATTCAAAAAATTATTAAAATAGCATGAAATCTATTCAATAACTGTATTTACAAGCTGTATTAAAACAATAAGAATTAGAAAAAATCAAATAAGAGGAATAAGTTCATAGATAAAATCAAGAAGTAAATTAATTTAAAATAATATATAGATAATCAAATAGTAGCAACTACTCTCTCTTGTCTTATAACCTGGTTTAAATACTAATGATAAGTAAGAAGTTTTAATATTTGTATTAGATAAAGTTGGTCTTTAATCGATATTTAAAATAGAATAACATAATATTACTAACAATAAGTTTTAAGGAAAGAAATAGTTATCATTAGAAATTAAATTGAAATTCATTTACCTTATTTCCTTAATGTATTAGGAAATTTGATTATTCATGGTTTGGATTCAATAAAAGGAGAAGAAAATTATATTGGAATTCTAAAATCCTAATTTATAAATTAACCAATGAATATAACTATGAGTAATTCATTGTTCAAAACTCTCTCACTTTTATTTAGATCATCCCTAGTTTAGTTTGATAAAGGTATTGTTATAAATTTATCATTAGATTCATTATAGGATAGTAGATGTGTCAATATGAAATATTTTTCTTAATTCTTATTATTTAGAGATGATTTTTGTGATATATTTTTTAATTCTCTCTATTAATATTAGATATCTACAAATAAACAGGTGAGTTAATAGTTAACCTTCTATTAATTGTATTAATTAATAACAAAAAACTCAGAAGATATTTGGACTACATTCATATATAAATTATTAAGTCAATAGTAATAACAATTAACAAAAGATCAATTTTTTGTTTAATTTAATCATTATACATTTCTGATCAATAATTTCTTTAAAAAATCTAATCTTATCTTTAATATAGTTGAAAATACTGTTAAATAGACAGCTTAATTACATAACGACTCAATTTTTTAAGAAGTATAATTGTTATTTAATTTAGTATCTATTAATAATGGGCAGTTTCAAAGCAACAACCTAAGATTTCTTGAAAAATGCAACTTCTATATTTTTTGATGATAATAATACTTTTATTGAATTACCAGAATTTATAGTAAAAACAAAAAAAATACATAATTAATTGAATAGTTCTATCTTATATATTTTACCTATGATATTTTAATTGGAAAGTCAAATGATTGATATGATCTAAGTAAATGGGAAATAAGAAATCAAACCATTGAAAAATAGTTCCAATTATTATTTAAAGATGATAGAAAGATTGAAAAATAAATGTGTATATAATGGAGAAGAAAATTGTAATTGTAAGAAATGCTAATGCATCAGAAGAAATAGAAGTTCTGCTAATGAATCTTAAAGAAAAAAGAGAGAAGCACTTGAAAAGATAGGTCCATTATAAGATGCTTTTGAAGAATTAAGAAAAAAGGTTAAAGTAGTATAAAATGAGAATGAAAATCTTAGAAAATTACTTACAAGTGTATTTTAACATCCATAAGTATCAAAATTGGCTTCAACTTTCATAGAACCTCTCACAAAAATAATATCAGATACTGATTGTGGATTTGATTCATATGAATGTTGATTTTATTTAATTTATATAAACTATTTATAATTAATAAATGAATTATATTATATAACTTATTTTATATGAAATAGAATGATGTTTTTACAAAACGAGAAACACTTCGACCAATCAATACATTGACTTGTTTTGATTCAGCTCATACAAATTCTTTATATATTCTAAAAATGAAAGAGTTGACAGGAATTTATAAATAAGAAAGTGAATTACTCTAAGATGATCTTTCTCATATGAATCAATTAATTAATTCATAAAGTTAAGATATTCAAAATGAAATTGAACCTTAAATTCTTTAACTTAAATAGATGCTATAAAAATAGGTTATTGAATATAATCATGAAATGGATGATCAGATTGTATAATTAGAAAATATTAGAAATGATAATTTAGATTTAGAAAAATAAATATATAAATTGCAATAACGTTTAACTTAATTGGATGATCATATTGGATAATAGGTATTATAAAGAAAGTACGATATCAAATTTTAATGATTTATAAATGCATAATATATATATAATTAAATCTAATTATACTAATATTTATGATTATTCTAATTAATATATTTATTAATAATTAGTATAAATATATATTTATATTTATATTCAATATAATAATAGAGATTATTAAATTAATATAATTATTTATAATTTTAATACTTTCATTCTTTATCAAATTATTAATAATCTTATTAATAATCTTATTAATAATCTTAATGATAATCTTAATGATAATCTTAATGATAATCTTAATGATAATCTTATTTTCCATATTATTTTCTTTAACGAGTTTTTGATATTTAAAATTAAGGTTTGTCTTTATCATTTTTATCATATGTTTTTAATGTACTATAATCTACTTTGGTTATATCAACTTTAATTGGTATGCCTATAATTATAAATAGAAGTAATACCTAAATTGATAAAATATTTAGCTCTGTCTTCATGAGTTTATAATTTTAAGAATTATTTAAAATTAATAACAATAACCTATTTTGTAATGGTTGACAACAATTTCTTTTACAAAAGTCCTAATCCATTCAAAGTTGTTTAATCAAAGTTTAATGAACTTTAACCAGCTATAAAGATAGATGATTCACTTAATTTATAGTATAGGATAATTACATTGAAGGTAAGTAGAATTCAACATTAATACCATCAATACTTTTATTAGTTTCTAATTCAACACCTAATAAATTTAGATATTGAACACAGAATTCATGTATAAAAAATTGCTTAGAATTAGGATTAGCAATTTAATATCTTGCTTTTGAGAATTTCTCATCATTAAAATAATTTTCATGAATTTTAGTAGTAATAGAATTTGGATATTTTCTTAATAATATTTCATAAGTATAAGCAGTCTTAAAATTATCTTTATATTTAGTATCATTTATATTTTCTGCAATTTTATCCATAATTTCAATTGGTTGATCTGCTAAAACATAATATTACAATAATTTGAGTGCAGTACCACTTGAAATTTGTGTATTCTCTAATATAGAATTAATTAGATCAACGAATTCTTATTCAATTAATCCTAGACTAGTTACAATATCAATAATGTCATAATAAAAGTTTTTATATGTAGATGATTGTTATTTGATCTTTTCTAGAGATCTTTTAAATAGATCAGTTTATTTAAGTTTAGCTTAAGAACAAATATTTAATATCTAAATTCTTTATTCATTAAAAATAGAATTAAATGAATATCCATAAGTTTCAACAAGAACATTGTAAACCGTATAAGATTATATTTAAAATTTAGCAAATTTATCAATAGCTCTTATGATTCGATTGATACCTAATTTAGCAGACAATTCACCAAATGAATATGACAATTCTTTTAAAATAGAATGATCTTTAGCAAACATTATTAGATCAAAATATTATTTAGTAGATAATTAAGGCAATAATGTTTATAGTTTTGTTTTGATATTAATAAATTCTTCAGATGTAAAATCACCTAATGTTATCAATTCTAATATTGGTTAATATTTGACTTCTTATTCTAAAGCCTTGAAACAATCCACTTTAATTTTATCTCTTAATTCAATTATATGTTCAGGAATGTTTTCAGCTAATTATGCAATACCACATAATTATATTTTAGTATGTTAATGAATCTTTTCATTACTTAATTAAGTAGCAGCTTCTTCAGGAGTTAATATATTATGATTGATAAGTAAATTAACAAATAATGGATCTGGATATGGAGAACAAGGATAATTCTTTTTGAATTATTCTGAAATCTTTTTAATTGCATTACTAACATATTTACTATGATATCCTACAATCTCAAATCTATTTGCAAAATTGACAATTGAATATAGTTTTTATTCAGGTTATGCTTAATAAGCAACAACCAATAATTTAGTAACAGATAAGATTTAATCACTTTTAATAAATTCTATTAATTTATGTGTATTAAGTGTCAAATAATCAACAAATTTTTAAATTGGAATACTTTTTGGATCCTTTAATAAAATTGAAATAAGTGCAGAAAATGATTCAGTTTCAAATGGATCTACTTCTTAAACTAATCTTTACATAATCTATTTTAGATTTATTTTAGTATCTTATTAATCATATAAAGAAATGAGAGCATTTCTACATTTAATATTGCAACAACAATTTATTAATTCTCTACAAACTCTAAGAAAATCAAATTTTTTTTATTTTACTAATTCAATTAATTTCAAATAGGCTTCTTCTTAAAGTTGATATTTGATTTAAAAATTGAGTTCATTGTCATTTAATGTTTTTAAAGCTTACAATGGATAATTTTCAATTTATTCTCTAATTATTTTAATAAGAGTATCCAAATGTTCTTTAGCATCTCTATTAGCATAAACTACATAATAAATAGCCTAATTGAAAGCAATCTTTTTAGATTCTGTATTGAGCATAAATTTATCCACAACTACTTTCATATTAATATCATTAATAAATAAATAATTCAAAACTTTAATTGTTTTATCTTCTATCTTTTAAAAAGCTTAAAGAACTTCATCTATTTTTCTATATTTCATTAAAGCCAATATCAATTAATTCATTAAAAGAGTATCAATAGTATTATTAGTAATTCTATTACACAATTCTAAAAGTACTTTTTTGATTGCATCCTAAGGTATTCTATAATTGGTCATCTTAATCATTCTTTCTGCAATTTAAATTAAAAATTTATTAGATAAATTTGATGGATTCTATTCTAATGTAGTTAATATCATATCTCTTAATTCTCTTAAAAGATCAATATCAAATTATCTTGGTAAATATTCATATGCCTTAAAAATATTAATAACTGATTCTTCTTATAATAATTCAACTTTATCTAATAATTAATCCTTAATCTTTTTCACTTAAATTGGTAATTAAAATTTTGGAGGAAGATTTTAAAATTGTACTTCAGCACAAACTTTAAATAATAAGGATTTCTATATTAATTATATTATATACTTATTCAATATCAAAACTATCTAATAGAGTATCTAAAAGTTTGATAGAATTGGTGAGGATTACTTAATCATATTTAGAGAGATTGCAATGATTTATTTTAATGACTATAGTACTCAACAATTAGGTTATAAGGAATGGAGACATTTATTTAGATGTAAGCATTTATTCTGATATAGATTTAACTAAATTCTCATTATAATGGTTTAGTATTGATAAATCATAGTAAATATTACACATGTTTCTAAATGAAAACATTTAATTATCAAACATCTATTAAACTCGCTAAAATAACTATATTTGGGTTTGATTAGTGATATTAGTTGGAATTCTATTTAATCGAAATTTTCTTAACCAAAATAATACATCAACAACATCTTTATTTTTATAGTAAAATTAAATACCATATTCTGTTAATTGATTAACAATATCATTTAATTTACTTGTTAATTCAGAAAAGTTATTGTCTGAATTAATCTAACGACTAAATCTGCCAAGCACTCTTAATGTTAATATTACATGTTCATGTTTAAATTAATCTTTGTTTTCTTCATACAATCGTAAGAGACTATTTGGATTCTCAACACTACTCAATTTTTAAACCAATGATTCATATGTGGCAAACCCAAATGTTATTACTCTATTCATCCAGAATTAAATAATTTAATTTGATTTATAAAATCTCAAACTTCAAAAATCAATCTCATCTATGATTATTTCAATGATATCAATGGTTTCTAATTTTATTTAAGAGTCTTTTTCTCTAAATGATGTATCTATTGATAAACTATTTTTTAATCTTCTCTCTCTCCATAACCATCAAATATTAAACTATCATTTACTTATCTATATGTTAATTATAAATTTTTTATATTATTATCCCATTCTAAAATAATCGAATAATATTATTTAGTATTATCATTTGTAATTTTCGACTATTAATTTATCAATTATTTACGTTTATTTTAAACAATTATTTCTATCTATATTGTTCTAATTCTCTTTATAAATCTAAGTTATGCTTTTAAACAATTATTGCATTATTTTTAATTTATTCATAATTATTTAAATCTCTTGTTTTTTCTAATTATTATTATACACTAATTCTATTATAAATTTAAATACCTATATTCTGTATTCTTTATCTAATCGTTCAACTTCGTTATTTCATCTTATAATTATTTCTTCTCTTGATCTAATGATTAATTTTATTTATATAATTATTCATATTTATCTTTCCATTCTTAACCTTCCTTTGATAAAAGTACCTATCTCTCTAATTCTAATCTAAATAAGCTCATTATTAATATACTTGAGATTCCCTAATTTCAATTTCAATTCAAAATTTTCTGAACAAAGCTATTTGTTTATTAATTGTATATTTGCTTAAGGAAGCATCAAAATTAATATAATTAATAACTTAGAATTTAATATACTATAAATGTGTATAAACATTAATGATCGCTAAAAACAATTAGAAATTATTTTAATTTTGTTAAATATCTGTAAAAAAATTCAATTCATTTATTTTATTCATTTACTTATTATTCTAATTATTCTAATTTAAGAAGTGTAAATGACTTTATAGGCATTATTTTTGGTTTACATAGCACTTCTGAAAATTATGGTTTCTCTGAAAACACTTATCCATTCCTTGGAATTATCTCCTTTGCATTCATTATACCGATATTATATGAATAAATAATTTATATAAAATTAATAATATAATTTTTAATAAACAACTTATATATCATCACTTATTTTGCTTTTTGAAAATAATTATGAAAATTTGAATAAAAATATTGTTTATTACAACAATTCCAATCTTAATAAATCTGTAATAATTATCATCTTCTATTTAGTTTACAATATTTACTCTAAATTCTAATTAAGTTATATAGTTTTTAACAATAAATGTAATATTTTATTCATTATCAATATTAATATTATCATTTTTAACTAATCTCCATTAATCGATTGTATATATTGTTATAATTTTATATTAAAAATTGTATAAAGCTATATGAGTATTATTTAATTATGAAAAAATTTCTGTATTAAGAATATGAACAGCATAAGGATTTAATAATTGGAATCCGCTTTGAAGTTCATATAAAAACAATGAAAAGGATTCACAATAGTATAATAATTTATTTTGTATTAACAAGGATTAACATCCTAAATTAATATTTTGAAGTCTAATTAAATTATTTAACTTAATATAATATTCCTAATGTTTTAGTATTATCTAAAAATAAAATAATAATTCTAATTTGTAATAAACAACAATTTTTAAATCTAGTTCATCTTTTAAATTAGAAGATAAATTTAAAAAGCTAAATTAAATGTTTTAAATAAAATTTTGGAAATAATGACCCAAACCAATTGAGTTGTAGATTTCTGTAGTAGGTATTGTATAGTTTTGGATTGTATAAGTTAATCCTGATTTTATTTAAAAGCAGTGTATATCTATTTGATTTGATTAAAAGAGTATTAAACAGATTTTGTCAAAATCGATTTAATGATATAAAAAATGTTATGAAAATTTTTCTTCATTTTAAAAAGACTTTATTAAAGTAATTGAATCATTAATAAAATAATAATTTGTTTATTTATAAGATAAAACCATTAATATTGATTATATTAATTAGGTTTTTATTAATACATCTTCTATTAATACAAATGATTCAATATTTTATTTATAATATGATATTTTTATAAATTTTGATTAGGATTATTATATTATTAAAATTGCTTCATTACAACTATGAATTTTCATCTCTTAATTAAATGCTATTGGGACTGTTTAATTTGACTTTAAATCTTTTGTTAAATCTTAAACTATAAAAAATGTAGTTTCTTCAATTATACATAAATTATTAATAAATTAATGGCAGGATTTTCTATTAAAAAGACGGAATGGAGTTTCAAGATAATAGAAAGTTGTATTTATCAAATTGAATTCATAGAAAAGTCCTTTTACAAAAGTATTTGGATTGAATTAAGCAGAATTATTTTACACAATAATTTTATGATTGGTTTAATTGATAAGTTATAAATCATTTTAAAAATTGACAACTAATAAATCTAATTTTTCACTATAAACATTAGGATTTATCTTAGATTAATCATAAATATCTAATTAAAATTATTCTTTGTATACTATTTAATTAAGTTCTTTTAGGTCAACATCAATAGACAAATAATAAATGTTATATTAAATTAATTCTAGATTATGATTGTAATAATAAAGGAAACCAGATAAAGCATAAAAATATTAATAAGGAGTAGATACTATATCATAATATTCAAGATTGCTTTACTATTCCATATTAAATAATAAAATATGAAATAAATCTTTATCCTATTTTTTAGTTAGAATTATAATAATATTTTCCATAATTTAATAGCATAAAGGTAATATTGGTATATAATCTGAGAAATTAAATGTTGAAAGCTTGAAAAAATTTTATTAATTTATTAAATACTTATGCATGGTATTCATCTCTTTATTCATTCCTAATAATATTAATTTGATTGGATTTTTTCTTATAATATATCCCCCTAATAACAAAAGTTTCTAATTAATAACTATTATTTAATTAAGATATAAATACTTAAAGTATCACTATTTCCTATTTAAATTGTTATATATTATTCATATTAGAAAATAAAAACATTATAAAAATTTAGAACTTTGATAGCACATTATATATGTACTTTTAAATTGCTCTTTTCCAAATCAGAATAATAATGCAATGATTAATTTGAGAATGTATTTCTACTTTCATTTTCGAAAAGTATTTCTGTAGAATTTACTAATTGTAAACCTATTAAATTTCGATTAAAAAAAGAAATTCTTATCTCCTTTTTAAACTAATAAATTTAATATGTTATCATATCTTATTTACTCTTTGATGATTTAAAAATAAATATTTTTCTAAGGGTTTCCTCAACTAACACAAACTTAATATCTTTTAATACATAATAAATTTTTATTTAATTTAAATTCAGTCTTAAATTTAAATGTTCGAATCTTGAAGTGTTAACATTATAAAGTCTTATAAATTAATCTTCTTGATTAAACATTATATAAATTTATTATTTAATATTAAATAAATAAAATTACCCAAAAATTTTTAACTAATTTAATTGGCTTAATTTATAATTTTATGTTTACTCCTATTTTAATGAAAATATGTTTGTAAAATTAAATGAAAATTTAAGATCTATATTAAAAAAGATATTGAATTTGTCAATCCATATTTAATTAAAATTCCCCTTTGTTTAAATCATATAATTTTATTTCTTTAGATTTTAGATTCTAACTTATAATTTATCATTTTTATCTTAATATTCAAAGATATTAAAACATTAAATTAATGAAACGTTTAAATTGTCAAGCTTATAAAATCCTAAATATTATCCCTATTTTTAATAGAACAAATGATTATAAAATAAATTTGCCTTAAACATATGTACTATATTTGATTTATCAACAATTAAAAAAATTTGATTGCCTATAAACAAATTATTTATTTAATTAATATTAATATTAATTATTTATTATATCTCTTTTGTTATTATAGCTACTAAATTGTCAGTATATTACAGTAACATAATAGAGGACCCTAAAGTAGCCACTTTCTTTAAATCTTAAGTCTCTATGCCATTTATTATTGAATTCATATTTTTTTCTGAAATAAATTGATTATATTATTAACAACTTAAAATTATCAGTAACTTTTATTCTTAAATTTTAAAATATCCAGCTTATGGATCAAAATCGGAGGATAAAAAAGATAGAGCATTAAATTCGATGTATTCTTGATCAAAAATTAAAAACAACTGATTATAACAATTATGAACATTTTATAATTATTTATAAGAATCTATTTTTCCAATTTTAATTACTTATTTATTGGTAATTTTTGTTATAAAATTTAGATCTACATCCAAAAATAGAATTACCCAATCTTCACACTAATAAAAGGAAACTAAGATGAATCTATCTTATGGAACATTAAACTTGCTATTACATTATTTATTTGTGAAAGGAAATTAGTAAGATTATTTATTGCCTATCAAATCAAAAGTATTTATTATTATATGATCATTATTAAAGCAAAGAATTAAAAATACATCATTTAAAAATATAAAGCTGTTACATTAAAATCCCTCTTCATAGTTGATTATGAATGAAAATTCATTTATCTATTTAAATTAAGGTTGATTATCAATATATTAATATGGATTTGCTTATTTACAATTAATTTAGTAATTCAAATTTCCTTAATCCTATAATAGAGAACATATGTATTCTTTATCATTAAATTTCAAATATTAGGTTTAAAGAACATAATAAAAAATAGGTGCTAACTAATCTTTATAAATTAAATCTATAAATGTTAAATTCCATTTGTCATTAATTAGCCCATAAAAATCATTGGCATATCTATAAATTACATTAGTTTCTTTATTAATATCTTGATAGAAATATTAATTTTATTTAAGTTCAATATTTTCACATTCATTTTCATTAGTTGGATACAAATAATTTAGTTTAGTAGGATTAAATTATAAAATTTCAGCTTGGATAGTGATGATAAATAATGCAATTAACATATTTAATATTTACTATATTAATGATTATTTATGTTTTGTTAAATTTTATGTTGAAATATTTTCTATAATTTATAATATTAATCAAATAAATCAAAAATATTATAGTAATCATTATATACAATTATTTATAATATGTAATAAAAATTAAGATTATACACATACTTTAGATCATCAACTTCACATAGAATTAGAATTGTTCTAAACCTGAAAGAGATTGATTATGAACCAAAATTTGTTAATCTTCTTTAAGGTGAACATAAATCTGAAGATAATAAACAAGAATTGCCAAATTAGGTAACAATAATTTTAGATTTTGTTAGGCTGTTCCTGCTTTACATCTTCCTGATGGAACAATATTAATTGAAAGCATGGCAATTGCAGAATATTTAGATGAAGTATATCCTTAAAAGAAACTCTTACCACAAGATCCTGTTCTCAAGGCCAAGGTTAGGTAAAATACTTCATTTAATACTTTTAGAGGCTTTTGTGAACTTATTAATTCTGGAATGCATCCATATTAGAATCTAATTATGTTTGAATGGATAGAAAAATATGTAGAAAAATTTGATAGAGTTGAATTCGTTCAAAATGTGTTGAAGAGTGAATTTTAAAGTACACATCCATATTACCATTATAATAGCTATGGAGAAATTATTATTATAGAATCATGGTAAATACTCTTTTGGAGATGAGATCACCTTAGCAGATTGTTTCTTAGTTCCATAAGTTATGGGAGCTATTGCAAGATTCAAATTAGATATTACATTATTTCCAACAATATAAGAAGTTTATAATAATTTGAAAGACTTACCATAATTTTATAAAGCATAACCAGATTAATAACCAGACTTTAAATGATATTTGAGTATTAAATATATATACAATCAAATAATAAATAAAATTGGATATAGTTTCATATATGATAAATATATATTATATATTATAAGCAATCTTAAACTATTTTAATTGATTTAATTATTGAATCAATAAGAATTATACTAATTGTTATACTTAAATTTACATTAACAATTACAAACAATTATTTATTATTTGGCTTTATATTCAATTTAATATCATTAGATAAATTTATTACAATATTAAATTCAAAATAAGTATATATTATAAGAGTGAATAAGAAATAAATATAGTTTAACTTTAATTAAAAAGTATAGATTAAGTCTATTAACATTATTTGATCTTCAAATTATATTTATTATAGTTACTAAGTTTAAAAATATTTAAATTAAAGCCATAAATAATAATATTATAGAGAGTTTTTTTATAATATAAATGGATTAATGGAATGAATTTCTTCAGGATACATTCGCAGGATCAATTGGAGGCATAACATTTGTTTTAAGTGCACATCCCTTCGAGTAACAATTGATAATTGATTGTAGCACAATTAAAGTAAGAATGTAAATGGTCTCTGAAAATACATCTATTCTTAAAACAGCTTATAAAATATTTAAATAAGAAGGAGTAATAATCTAAATGATATTTAAATTAGCCTTTTGCTTTCTATAAAGGAGTGGTATCACCACTATTATTTAGTTTTCCTGTTTCAGCAACATTATTTGCATGCTATGAATAATACATGAGATATTTTTAAGTGGATAGAGATTCATATTAACTAATGCATTGTATGTTTAATTTCATTAAGTAGGGGGTGTTGGTGGAGCTTATGCTGGATTTATATAGAGTTTTGCTACAAGTCCATCTGAACTATTTAAAATCGTTTTCTAAATGTAAATTTCAGAAAGAAAGCGCAATTCTGTTTTGAGATGCATATTTGAGTTTGTAAATAAGGAAGGAATAGCTGCAGTCTTTAAAGGAGTTAATTCCACAATATTCAGAGACATTCCTTAATACGCAACTTTCTTTATTGCATTTGAATCTACAAAATAATATTTACAAAGTGAGAGAGGATATTTAAATATATTTGATTAATTTCTAGCTGGTATAGCTGCTGGTTTAGTTTGCATTTGTTTTTCTTATCCCTAAGATATGATAAAAACCAAAATCTAGTATGAAATTCTTGAATCTAAATAAAATCGAAGGTATATTGGAATAGATGGTGGTATTTCGAAATGCATGAAAGAAATATATAAAGAAACAGGTTTCAAAGGCTTTTGGCAAGGATTCAATAGTTGTGCAATATATTATATGGTAGCTTGTTCAGCTCAATTGGTTGGGTACTTATTTTAATCCATTTATAGATATGAGCAAGGTCGAATCTTTTGGGATACTTATGTTAAACATTGATATTTAATTATATTAAATCTATTGATAAAAATGAATAATATTATAAAATAATTTTTAGTTATTTAAGACATGACCTCAACATTTATATGTAATATACTTATTGATTAATTCATTATCCTATTTTATTTATTGTTTCATCTCTAAAAATATATTGGTTAAATTAGATCTAATAAATTATTGATATAAATAATTAGATTAAGTAAGGAATCTAAGAATTTAGTACAAAATTATAGAAATATGAGAAATTTAAGTGATGATTAAAGAAAATTATAAGAAATACTTAAATATTTGATTTTATATTATAATAATATTAATTTTAAATGGAATTTAATTACGATCAAATCAAAGAGAAACTTAATGGTTATGATCTATAAACAAAGATCTAATTAATCGCTTTGGCATAGTGTTTGTATGACAGAAAGAACTTGGATCATTAATAGGATTAAGAATTAGACTAGATGGAAGCTGATTATAAGAAAAGAGTTGAACCTTTAATTGAAGCCTCAAATTAAATAATTTCAGGTTAAAGATTAGTAAAGGAAGAGGAAGTAGAAGATTTAAAGGAATATTTAAATGCTTAAGAATAACCTATATTGGATAATCAAGAACCAATAGAAAATTATTGGTCTAAAGTGTTATTAAATTCAAAGACTTTAAAAAATGAAGTTATTGGAGATAGGGATGAACCATTATTAAAGGCAATAAAAAATATAAAAGGATTTGAAAATAAGGAATAACATAAATTAGGATTGATATTCCAATTTAAAGCAAATGATTATTTCCCAGAGGAAGAATTAAAAGTTGAATTTTTATTAGATGATAAATAAGGAGAACCTCTTAAAGTTGAAAGTACAAAAATAAATTGGAAGGAAGGTAAGAACATTTCTGTAAAGATTGTTAAGAAGAAGAATAAATAGAAGAAGAAGGTAAAGGAAGTAGAATAAAAGACATTGTTTTAATTATTTAAGAATTTAGATGTAAAAGATTGGGAGAAATTGGAAGAAGATAAGAAAGAAGAATAATAATAGAAAATGGATATGTGTTATGATATTTGTAGATTAATTTATGATGAAATATTACCATATTCTTTGGAATATTATTTAGATGTACATGTTGAAGATGATGATTATGAAGGAGAAGATATGGATGATGATGATGAAGATGATGATGAAGAATTAACAAAAGAAGAAGCAATTAAAAGAATGAAAGAAAGAAGAGGATTCAAAAAGTGATTTGTATAGTAATAATTATGTTTAAGATAATATTCGTTTTTCTCTTTTTTACTTATTTTTTTGATTAATATAATAAATGAAATCAGCATTGTTGGTTGTTGTTTTGATTGCCTGTCTCTAGGCAACTACAGTTTCTGAACTCAAGGAAAAACTTTCAGGATATGGAGATCATCCTTTTGGATCATCCATGATAAATTTAGTAAGTGTTAACATGAAAACAGGAGGATCATTAAATGAATTAAAATAGCTCTTATAATAAATTAAGGATGAATTAATAGCCTTAACTTAATTGTAAGATTAAGAAAGTGCCACTTTTACTAGAAGAAGTCAAGTTGATTTGGCTAAGCTTTAAGCCACACTTGAATAAGCTTAATAAGATCTTGATAATTAAAGATAAGAATAATCAAGTTTGAGTAATGAATTAAGTACATTATAAACAAGAGTAAAAGAAGGTAATATAAATTTTGAGTATTTCTTAGATTAAGCAGCCTTAGATCGTAATTCTAGAGGAAGTGGTGATGCTTAAAGTAGATTAGATGCTGAGAATACAGATTTCACTGCTAAATACTAAGATTATAGTGATGCTATTCTTGCATGTAAGGAAGCATAAAGATTACTTATGAATTTGAGAGGAGAAGGTGCATCATTAATTTAATTGACGTATCTAATTTATATTATCTATTTAGTTAAGACACTAAAAGTAATCTCATCTAAACTAAGGAGAATTTCTAAAAAATCAAAGAAATCTTGGAAGCACATACAAAGAAAAGTTCATTAACATTGTTCTAACCAATAATTGAAGGATTAGCTGAAATGACTACTAAAGTTAATCCAGAAACATTAAATAACGTTTTAAGCTTAGTTGCTAGATTAATCACTGCATTATAAGAAGGTTAAGATTAATTAGAAGCTAACCATAAAACTTAAGTTGAAAATCTTACTAGATTGGGTGATGATTTGAGAAATGAAAAATAAACACTCTAAGTTTCATTAGCCACTGCAAATAATAGACTTAAAGAGATCTAATCAAGATTAAATGAATTAGATGGATTAATTAATATTTCTAATGCTATCGTTGAAGTTACTTAATTAAATATTTAAGATGCTACTAGAATTAATGAATTAGAAGATTAAGAATATAGCAATTAAAAAGTCAGCAGGTATTCTATTTTATCATAATTAGATAAACTGAAATTGATATCGTAGATAGATTAATTGAATACATCAACCAAAAGTTATCTGAATGATTTATACATAATAATAATCATACATATTTCACATTTATCTTAATGTACTTTCATATTATTTTAACTTTTTTATTATCCAAATATTCTGTAAAATTGATATATTTTAAAACATTAAGAATGATTTTTTATAAAAAAGAAAAATTACATTTTATCTGATTAATATTAATACATTTCTAAAATTATTTAACTTAAGATTTTTTAATTAATCTGACTGCGTTAACAACTCTAAAAAAGTTGAAAAAAGAATCAAATTTAATCTTTTAAGTAATCAGTATTGTATGATAAGTTATTTAATATTTTATTAACCAAAGATCAGATAATTGATGCATTCTTTAAAATAAATATCTATATTTCAAAGCATGCATCAAAAATTTTTAACTAAATGCTAAATATACAAATTAATTAATTTTTTGGATGACATTCTTAAGTAAATATTCAATGAAGACTTAATTACTTACATACTCCGCTATATTTATTATAGTTGTTTCAGCCTTAACATATCTAACAGGGCATGTTGGAGGCCAATATATAATTCAAGATTTTTTGAGCTAATCTGATATTATTTATGAGAGACTTAATTCAAATAAATCCAGCCTTACAAACTATTATTTAAAGTATTTTAATTCTTATTTTGAAATAAGTAATTTTTCTAATCATAACAATAGACTCTAATCCATTAATTATACTAAATAAATTATACTTACATTATTTAGGAGTAATCACTACAACTGAAATAAACGTAAATAATTTTGGAGGAGTAAATCCTTTACCATCTGTTATAGCTGATAAAAAAAATTAGAAATTTTCAGATTCTATATTTTGTTATGCATTTAAAGAAGAATTTTAAGCATAAAATACTGAATCAATTTAAGAAGTCACTTTTGCAGATTTTTTGGCACCTCTTGGATAAATTGTTCATTCATAATTTGATGAAAATAAACCTTTATTATATGGATACATAATAAAAAGTCCAAAGATACTATATTCATATCCATGTTATTCTTATGGTGAATCATTTGAAGAATATGTACCAGAATCAAGACCATGGTTTAAATTGGCATAAAATGCATCAGAAAAAGTAGCTGAAAATTTAGAGTATGAATATTCAGTATCAGAACCATACTTATGTAATAAATTTTATATATAAATAATAGTTAATTAAGCTAAATAAATTGGGATTACTTTATCATTACCATTAGTAGATCGAAAATTAAGGTTTAAGGGAGCATGGTGCATGGATATATTTCCTGAATATTTAATAGTAATTACAGAAAAAATGACATCTTAATTTTAAAGCATGAGTATAATGATAGTGAGTACAGAAGGTATGATTATTAAAGATGATGACAATAAAAATGCATTTCCTGTTTATTTTTATAATGAAAGTATTACTGGATTTGATATTAATTAATGGTAAAAATTGAAGGAAAGTGATTTATAGTAATATCAATTTTTAAATAGTTTAAAGGGGACTCAATAAAGTATTATAAAGTTTTATTTGAAGAAGCAATAATTATTCATTTTATTGTATTATATATATTAATATAGATTAGCATTATTGATTCTAATGAATATATGAACTATCTGATGGAGTATTAAATTAATTAACAATAAAAAATAAATGATTTCTTACAAATCACTTTGATACTTTTATTGATGACTTTCTTTTTTTTAATATTATTGGCATATTTGATAATTACATTTTTGATAATGAAACCAATAGAAGATATAATTTGGTTTTTTTAAGTTAGAAAAAGTAAATCTTTGAAGGAGAAGTATCAGGATTTGTTAAAGACAAGGTTTCGATATAGGAATCATGTTTATATAAGTCCTACTATCAAAGTTTTATAAGAGGCAGCTTATAGATTAAATTATTGGAATTTCAAAATAAAGAAATAAAAAAATGCGTAATGTAATTTGTTACAAATGTTCTAATTTCCTAAAAATATATATCGTCAAAAGATATGTTTAAATGGATCTAAATTATTAGACTTGAATTAAAATTTAGAATAATAAGAATTTTTAGGAATGATCAGATTAGGCTATGATTAGAAATGATTTTTTTTTACTGCAATATTTATTAATAAATATATTTAATGAACAGAGACTTGGAGATGGCTAGATAAGCTTATATGGGCAAGAATGTTGAGATGACTAAGCAAGCCCATAATTATAATCCTTCAGAATAAATATATACTGATAATAGAGCAAATGAGAATGACCCATTATAAAAATAAGGTATTTTTAAGTTTTATAACATAATATAGATGCTCATTAAGAGAAACATTCAACTGGTGGTAATTATTTAAGAAGTTCGGTTTTTGGTGGTATGGATGGTATGATGACGACATTTTCTGTTGTTACTGCTGTTATTGGTGTAAATCATTTTATAAAATATAGGGAAATTTTGGAGTATAAGCTGTTTTAGCTTTGGGTGTAGCTAATATGATTGGAGATGGATTATCAATGGCTTTGGGTGATTATTTGTCAACAAAATCAGAATAATAGTTTTTTAAGTAAGAGAGAGAAAGAGAAAAATGGGAAGTAGAAAATAATTTGGAAGGAGAGAAAAAGGAAATGATTGATTTGTATAAAGTATCTTAAATATTTAACCTTAAGAAAAAAGGAATGGATTAAGAAGATGCAGAAAAGATAATGAATATCATAAGCAGACATAAGGATGCATTTATAGACATAATGATGTTGGAAGAATTAGAATTGGGAGGTGCAGAAGAAAATCCATTTATGAATGCATTAGTGACTTTCATTTCCTTTATTTTATTTGGATTAGTCCCAAGTATATTCTGCCAAAAATTTATTATTATAGTTATTCCATTTATTGTTGCAGCTATTGCAGGATTGACTGATGGCACAACTGATACGTTGTTTTATATATCTATTGCAATGACTGTTTTATTCTTGATCATTTTAGGAGTAAGCAAATCATTCTTCTCATATGCAACATGGTGGAGATGTGCTGCTGAAACTCTTTTTGTTGGAGCTTGTACAGCTAGTTCAAGTTATTTGATTGGTATGGCATTTGAAGGAAAAGAAATTGGTTGAATATGATATTAAATATATTTATTAAATTCATTTCTTTTTCATGTTACTCTACTTATTCAAATACATCAATATTAACATTAAAACACTTCCTATTACTATACCAGGAGCCCAATTGAAAAACCATCTTGGAAAGAAAAACATTTAGTATTATTCACCTAATAAAGGCTATCCAAATGTTGTTAATGTGCCATAAAGAAATGCTGCTATTGCTATCAATTAAAATATTTTCCCAAGCAATTAATCCATTTTTAATTAATTTTTATATATTATATAATTTAATTCATATTTCAACATTATATCCAATACTCATACCTTTTACGTGTTGCCATTTTAGACAATATCCCAATTTCCCCATTTTTGTTATAAAATCAATAATACCAAGTATCTCTTTTTCTGTTGAAATACCTATCAAAAATTTCAATTTGTTATTCAATCTATTTTCAATTTTATTAAATTAAAAATATGAACTCACATCATATTTTTTATTATTTATATTATAAGATGCAAGACTATACATATTTATAATCTTAGCTTTATATATGAAACCTAACCATGTTCTACTGTTTTATAATCCAATCTATAATTTATATGGTTACATAAAATTGCCTATTAAACAATATTCTATATTTTATCTATTTGACAAAGATGAAAATATATTAAATCTGACATGAACATTTTCTTTTTTATTCAAATAATGATATTTCAATCCAAAATCTACATTTGAGTTGGTTTCTATATTTTAATTGATTTATATTAAAGGAGTGAATGTGTGTTTAGTTAATAGATCCTTTTCATAATTATATTTTAAAGCAAGTAAGATACTATATCTATTAGATCTATTGATTAAATGAAATTAGTATTAGATTTACTAAAATATGACATTATCATATACTTATTAATCCTTTGACTATGATTTTATAATTGTATTTGTACACTAATTGTTTGCCCTATAAACTAATTTTTAATTATCTTGTTTATGTTTCCAAGTCAAATTTAGATTCTCCTTATTTGTTAAATTAAATTAGGTTTTGATATGAGGCAAATCATTTAATTAAATGTTGAATCCCTAATACAGAAAGTGTTCCTAAAAGAATCTGTTAAAATAAGGATTTTCATCATATAAATTTTAATAAAATTACATTAAATTTAATCATTTAAATTATACTTCTCTTTTTAGTTAAGTTATATTTTGTTCAAGTTCAGAAATACGGTTTAATAATAATTTTATATGTTCTTCTTTCTTGCCTAATTGTATTTGATTTTCATTTGTGTGAAGTAGTGACTATTTCAAAAATTCGATTTCATTCATTAATTACTAACATAACCATATTATATAAACCTTCTTTTCTGCTTCATTTTCATGGACATTCTGTATTAATATATGTAATTCATTTTATTTCTTATAAGTTAATATTTTATTATCTCTTAGTTCCTCAGTTAATTATTGTTGAATCACTTAGTTTTCTAATAATCAATACATAATATTGAACCTTTTAAACCTTGTAATTCTAATTTGATATTATCTTCTAACATCAAATTTTCTCTTTCTAAATTACCTTTCTTATGGTCAAAATCCATTAATTTCTCTTCTAATTCCATTTATCTTTCCTTTAATTTCTCAATCAATCCAGGATCTTCTCTTAAAGTTTAAGTTTGTCTATATGATTAACAAGTGCATTTTAAATGTGATTAAGACATACGTTAAATAATATAATTTGCGTTTTTAATGTGATAAATAAAATAATAATGGATTAAGTAAAAGCAATGTAGTAATATATAACTAAATTAAACATTGCTCTAACAGATTTATAATAAAAAAATAAAGATTTAGAAGTAAAACTTGATTAGGAATAAAAATTAGTGTAATCATTGCAAGAAAAATTAGAATATACTGAAAAAAAAGTTATCGAATGAAAAAGAATAAGTTGAAATTCTAGAAATCAAAGTTGATGAATATGAAAAGACATTAAAAAGTTTATCTGATACTAAAGTATTAAAATTATTTAATATAAGAAACCAATTTTTTTAGGCAAAGTTTTTAATAATTCATAATTAGATCAATTGATAATTAAACTTAATTAAAGTGAATAATCATTAGATTTATAAATATTAGAAAATGAAAAATTACATGCTTAGGTTTTTACATTAAAAACATGATTATAATTATTAGAAAATAAGTTTGATAAGAACAAAAATTAGCATAATAAAAATTTTAGAAATTGAAATTATATTATCAATAAGAAAAAACTAAAAAAAGTAGAATTAGAGAAATAAATATAATAATTAAATCTAGTACAAACTGGATTATGATATGAAATCAATGAATTAAATTAATAAATTGAATAGTTAAAGAAGGATATAGAAAATAAATAACAAGATTTGTTGTCTATATAATAATTACTTGATAAAAATTAAGATGATATGAAGAAGTTAACTTAAGATCTTATTAAACTATAATAGGATATGTATATACTATTTTATTAAAATAAAGTCGAAAATTAGAACAAGAAAAAAATGAATTGTAGAGTTTTGTTTAAGAAATTTAAAATTATGTTACTGGATTGTCTTTTGATTAATAATATTAAGATTTAGTTAATAGTTTAAAAGAAATAAATTAAAAAATACATAAGTAAATTAATGTGAAAGAATTATTCCTATAAGCAAAACCAGGCAATTATGAATATTTAAGGGTGGCCTAAGAAAAAATACTTAGAGTTTTAAAAAAAAGTATTAATAATATTAATATATTATAGAATGAATAATTAATTAAGTAGAATAAATAGTTACAAGATAAATTATTAGTTTAAAAGAGTAAATAAGAATGAAATTAATATATGTATTAATAAAAGAGAAAGTAGTATTTATAAAATTTCATTTGATTACTTTTAGTGGTTATCTTTTACACATTTCTGCAAGTTTATTCTTTAAATTAATGGTACTAGATTATTCTGGACTCTTGCTACTGAAGAAATGTTTTAATGATCTATTATTTTAAGATAAGATACATTTTAGAATCTTAATTCATTTATGATGTACTTGTTTAATTTTATTATTTAAACATATCTTATTTCATTTTTGTGAATTTGTTAAGATAATAATTTTATGTTCTACTTTTTTATCCATTAAAACTTTATGACATGATATGACTTTGATTATTTGAAGATAAATTAATATATTATCTTGATGTATTATTATTATGTTATGAATATTATGATCGTTTGGCTACAGATTTACGAATGAATGATATTATTTATTCATTTGTTTACTTTTCTATTGATTTATTTTTTTTTAGTGCATCTATGTAACTAACTTGATTTTCATCATATTATTCTGTTTTGTATCTAGTAGATTATCTATTAGCTTTCATAGATTTATCAGACATGATCTTAATCAATGATTTTGCTTTGATAGATTCTTTAGATAATTGTAAATGTTTGCTGTTAGTTTATTTTTTTTAATATTATTAACGTAGATCATATGTCCCTACTTTTTATAATTCTTCTAATGAACTGTCATTACTTTGATCATAATATTCATATGGAAATCGATACTCGTTGTTATGACGAGCCATCTTATATTTTTATTCCACTTCTTATTGGAATTTGCGTAACTGCTATTTCTAATCTTCATCATCTGTTTAAGGTTTACTTGATATCTTTTTAAGACATTATAATAATTATTCTTGCTTCTTTTTAACTACTTAATCCATTTTTATTATTTTTTTAATATTTTGGGAAAAATTAACTAAAAATGTTATTTTCTTGAATTCATTATTTTATATAAATTTACAGATATAATCTGATAACAATATTTAGATACTGAAAAATTCTATTAAGTTAAGATATCAATAGAAATATAATTGTTATTAATCATAATCTAATTATTTTTTATGGATAAATCTAATATATTCTCAATCTAATTTGTTCTTCTTAGAAATTATTTCAATATCCTCATTATCATATTCAACTAATCTTTTTTATGTCTAATTAGTCAAATTTGAACTATGATCTTATACAGATTTAAATAAATCAATTTCATTATCAATCACATTATAATCATTTTTCTATTATTATGATTTAGAATCAACAGATTTGTTACAAAATTCTTATTTCATACAGTTACACTTAATTAATTTGAAAATTTCATGAACTTTTTAATAATTAGAATGATTCTCCCATAATTTTAGTTGTTATTCCTAAAATAATAAAAATAGAATTATTACTATTGATATAATTATATTTTAATTGCCCCCTTCATAAATGATCTTAATTATCTCCATAAATTATGAAAATATTAAATTTTTTCTTATTCCTCTATATTATAATAAGGGTGATATCAAATTTGGCAAAGCCATTATAATTTCTTTATTTATATCATCATCTCTTTATAAAATTAAAATTTTAAAAAACTATAAACACTTCATTTATAAAATTTTATTCTTTTCTTACAATATATATCCAATTTTCAAAGTAATTTAATTTAAAATCAATACTTCCTTTACAGATATTTTAAAGTTTCTGGATAACCCTAAAGATATTTCAACAAATTATATTTTCTATTCAATTTTAGATTAATGTGAAATTTATTATGATATTTTTGGGTAAAAGAATGACAAAAAACAATCTAATGTTTCATTTTATTTATCTTAAGTGTTATTTATAAGTAATTTTAATATTTCTAGATATAAATCGTTCTCAAATGCATGATCCACAATTAAATTAAATAGTGGATATTTGAGTACTTATTGATCCTCACTAATTATATACTATTTAAAATTGTAAGGATAATGTTATAAACATGTAATAACTAGTTCTAATATCATAGTAGATGTTTTTATAAAAATATCATCCTATTTTTAATATTTTATATTTACTTCAATTTTTATCTTCAAATTTTAGAATTTAGTTTTTTACTTTTAGAAACCTTAAAGTGAATCTATAATATAATCTTCAATAATCTCATATAATCCAAGCTCACCTAATTTCTAGTAAATTAATGCTTTATTTATCTTAATAAGTATATCTATATATATAATTACATCTTAAAATTCCTTAAATACTGAACATATTTCATTTAAGAATCTCAAGGCTAAGAAATTAAAATTACGTAATTGTTCTATTAGATCAACTAGAAATTCCTTTGAATTCTGAATGTATTTAAAAAGCTCCACATAACAACTCTTAATAATCTATCATGATTTTTATTACTTTAAAACTATCTTAATAAACATCTACTGGGACTCGTCGATGTAGTAGGCTAAACCACAATCGCGCAAGTACTACAGTCGATATATGAAATGTATGATTTTCAATCGTTCTTTACTCTTAATTTGGACTACTTATAAAAATTGCACGTTGTTCTACAAAAATTATCTATGTGGAGTAAAATGTTTCTTTTTCATTTCTTCATCATCTAACAAATAATAATACTAATAATTACATTCTAAAGCACCAAAAATAAATAAATAATTTTAATCATTTAATATTATTTATAATAGTTCATTTTCAGAAACACTTACAATCTAAATGATAAATATTATTTATTACATTCTTAATAATAGAACACATTATTTTTAATAATATTTGATTGCGTTCTTTTTCTAATTTATTGAATAAGCTATTTAAAATTTCAAAATAATCCTATTGTTAGTTGAATTTAATTACTTTTTTATTAAGTAAGTAATTAGATAACATATATTTTGTTTATGTACCACTTTAGACTAGTTTATTCATAGTTTCTAGAATAACGGGTAGAGTATTCTCATTTACAGGAGTCAAAAATATAGAATTATTATCTTCTTCATTCAATATATTTTGAATTCTAATCCAGACTATTTATGCTCCTTCCTTACTCTAGAAACTAAATCCATAATACTCATTAAATTGAAATTGAATTCCTTCTTCTACAATTTGGTAATACTATTACCTCCATCAAAAAAGAAATCATAATCTTATTTCACTGAAATAGCAAATACTTCTATATTTGTGTCCTTCTCTAATAGTAATAATTCATTCTAATTTATTAAATCAAATTAAGAACTTTTGAATTAAAATGAATATATCCTGTATTCACCCAATTCCATTTATCATAGACAAACTAATGTAATTTACACAAATGAATTTCAGAATTTTGTTTCATTATATATTTTAAATTTTAAATCTTTTTTATCAAAAAACAATCATTTAATTATTTTTATACACTTTTCTTAATTCACAAATCAATCATCTTCTCTATTGTAAGAGATTGCATCAATAATATTAACTTCAATTCATCATTTTCTTAATTATTCTATATCTTTCCTAATTCACAATCTTAATCCTAGAGTTGCTCAAGACTTTTGATTTTTTCTTCTATTACATATTTCTTTTTACTAAGATCCTTTTATAACTATTTTATTGAATTAGGCATAATATCTGACAATTATTTTTATAATTATTAATTAATTTATGCAATTAACTATCCAATACATTAAACCTCATCTTTAATCAATTTCTAATAAATATATTGGATATATATACTTTTATTTTATCAAATTATTATAATTAGTATTAAAAAGATCTTTACTCCTCCTAACCTTACAATTATGCTTATTATGCTTCACAAGTTTCTTGAAGCTTTAATATTGACTATCGATAATTATTACAATCAAGTTCATATTATTATAATATTTTTTCATATTAACAGTCATTATTAATAATTGATTACTATAAGATTTTATTTTCTTATAATGTTGCATAATATTGCTCTTCTAAAAACCTCAATTATCCTAATTCAAATTTCATTGTATCATTTTCTTTAATTAGATTCTAATTTTATTATATTACATTGTCTAAATTTTTGTTGATCTCCAAAATTCTTTGATTAAGAGTCAAATACACTTCTTCATTCTAAATTTTATCTTATAATTCAATAATTAATTAATTCTTTTTATTTAATTCATCCTCAAGCTCTTCAATTGTCTTCTTATGTCCTTCCAATTATTGTTGATCAGGTATTTTAGAAATTAATTATTAGATTATTCTTTATTATTCTTCTAAAAGTTTGTTTTTCTTAGGAGTTTCTAAATTAAAGGGAGATTTTGATTTTGAATTAATTGATGTCTTAAATCTTTCTCTATATGTAGATAAATTAGCTCTTGAAGTAGATTGATTTGCAATTGTAGGATTGTTTTCACTATCTTTATTACTAGAAGTTCTCATTCCAAATGATAACCTAAATGATTATTATAATTTCACATCATTTAAAGTTTGTATTTAATTTTTAAGCATTTGAACTTAATTAGTTAACATATTTTAATTATGTTACTATTACAATTATAAAATTATAGATTGAATAACATTCTGAGTATCAATTATCACTTTTTTAAATTGTTATTAGCTTTAAATTGTATTTTGTTCTAGTTTTTAGTTTTCTAATAATTATTTTAAATGTTATATTTAATTTTCTTAATTCTAACTTTCAATAGATCTAGTTGTTTCTTAACCATTAGAATTTATTTCTTAAATAATTAAGTATATGAAATATTTTAAGGATATTAAATCTGTAGATCTATAAAAATCAAAACACTCATTAAAGTGTTAATCACAAAATTATTTAATTTTAGTCATAATTAGATCACATTCTTGTATTTTATGAATTTAAAATTCTCTTAATTTTTTTGTTAAATTTTATACTTTTATGTTTAAATTTGGAATAATAGGAATTTAATGACTTAATATACTATACTTATTATGTGTTGTAGATTGTTCAGATGGTGAATGGTCTATTTTACTAAAATTTTATTAACGTTTGCTTATAATGGATTCATAATATAGATTTCTTTTAAATTCTTTAGGTGATAGATTTGCAGTAGTTTTAGATGTATTTGTTGATCTATTTTCACTTACATGATTGCTATTAATGTTTTTTACTCTCTTTTCCAATGCTTAAATTTTGGTTTTCAAATAATTGGATGATTATTAGAATTCAGAATAATTGTTAAGATTTGTAAATGGTTTTCTGCAATTACGAGAGGTAGATTTTGGTGAATTGGGAGTTTGAAACAATTACATTTGATTTAGCTTTGTATTTATTTTAACAGAATATATAATAATGATAAAAAATCAATTAACTCAATTTAATTTAACTTTTTTGGATGCACTAGAGTCAGTATCACTTTCGAATTATTCTAATTATTTAAGTATTTCTTATGCAAATTATTCATCAGATTCTAAACATTATTATTTAAAGACTTTGATACACTAAAATAGATTAGTTATATTACTTTGAGAATATTGTTATTTTATATTTCAATTTCTTCATTTGAGACTAAGAGTTCTTCTATTTATTTGAGTATTATATGATTTTCTCTATTGGTTAAAGCACTACTTTATTCAAGTTCTTTAAGATAAGCTTTTTTTCTATCTCTAGAATTCTAGGCAGAAATTCGATTTCTAATCATTTGTATCGTTTTTTTATCACTACAATAAATATAAGTGTTACTGATCACTATTGTCTTCAACAAATTGTTTCTCAGCACATTTGATAGGTTTTCTACCTCTTTTTGCTTTTTTTGGCTCTTAAGGTTGTTGAGATGAATAAAGATGAGGCTATAAGATTTGCATACGATATTTAGCTTTATCTCTATAAAATTTGCGTTTAGCTTTTAACATCATTGATTCAAATTCAATAGGTTTATTGCGTGCAATCCAATCAACATACTCTTCATTTAAGTTGAGTATAGATGAAACAATTGAACAAAGATTAGAATTTTCATAAGTAATAAATTATGGTTGTTCTTCATAATATTAAAATTATGAACATTCTTCTTATTTAACAGAAGATAAATCATCTTAATCTTCCATGATTCCTGTTAAAATGTAATGGTGATAAGGGTTCATTAATTTAATTATATATAGTATAATTGAAAAAAACTGATCCTTAACATTCAAATCATATATAAAGGTAGAATAATGAGTTGCAAGTATTTATTAATTGAATAATATTTATAATTAAATGAAAAAGACTCATAAGAGATAATCTACAATATATCGATAATCGATAGCAATGTCTGAGTTTTCACAAAAGTTATTAGAGAAAAACGATGTTTTAGCATAAGAAATATAAAAAATAGTGAAGAAACTATCACCTCAATGTAGAATTGAGAAAGCTGAAAGACATATTTATGATGCTTATTATTTACGAGCTATACGCAATGATATTGATTTAGTAAATAAGACATACTTGAAATAATTGTGGTATTTAGAGAATAATCAATATTGGTTAAATGGCTTATTTCTATTGTCAATCATTTATCAATTATAAACATTTTTTGAACCTTCATTTGTTGATTAAGATGATTAAGATCATCCAAATCTATTCATTATTGAACTTATAATCTTGCTATTTATGGGCATTGATTCATGTATTACAATAGTATTACTATTAACAAAGAAAGAAGGCAGATTTACATTCAATCCAAAAAAATAATTTAAACTGATTGCATACTATTTTTGTTTAGTTGATTTCATAATACATTCATATGAACCTACTTTATTTAGAGTCAGCAAAATATGCAGAACTTTATTAATGCCTATGTATTCTAAAGATTTAAGACGAAATTTAAAAGGAATCTTTAAAGCAGGCAAAGATTTATTTTTACTCATTATTCTGTATCTAATTATAATTTCAATATTTTCATTTATTGGAATTAATTTAATTGGAAAATTGGATAATGTAGATCTAAGAACATAAGATTATGGAGATTTCTTTAAATTATTTTCAATGTTATTTATGGTAGCAACCCTTGATTTCTATCCAGATATACTAATTCCACCTATGCTTTAAGGAATTTATTATTGTTTATTCTTTATTACATATCTATTACTTTTTATTTTCTTATTTGCACCAATTCCATTAGCAGTTGTATATGAAGGATTTAGAAAACATAGAATGGAAATAGCTATAAGTGATATCATTAAATAAAAGACTGCTATGATGGCTAGTTTCATATCTTTGGATTTTCAAGATTAAGGGTTTTTGACAAGAGATTAATTTAGAACTTTTATCCTTCATTTCTATAAGAATTCCATTACTGAATCATAAATAAATTAATTATTCAATTAAATTGATTAGGATTTTAAGTAATGTAATTATTACAATATAGCGATAAGGTTCAATTTGATGAATTTCATAAGTTTCTTCATTTACTCCAAGATGCCTCAGTATTTTCATTACCAGAAACAAAACCACTTCATTGTTGGGAATAATTTAGAAATTATTTAATATCTAAAGGTTTATTAACATTTGTAGAAGGAAATGTATAATAATTTATATATATAATTATTATTTTAGATATTTGGAATTTCTATGTTGATAATAACAATATCTAATTGTGTTTTGATAGTAGTAGCATTTTTTATTGAAGATTAAGATATTCTTGATATTTTCAATTTGTTAGACACTATATTTTTGATCCTCTATTCTTTAGAATGTTCTATTAAAATTATAGCTTTAGGTATAAAACCATATTTTGAAGAAGGATGGTATAATATATATATTTATAAAAAAATAGGAATATTTTTGATATTACTTTGGTAATTCTACAAATAATATTTGATTATATATTATTTAATATAGTATCAGGAAATATTGTTTAATCAATCAAAGCTAATAGATTATTGAGATTAGCTAAAATATAGAAAGTATTTAGATTGTTTAGAGCATTTCGATCTCTAAAAATACTAAATATATTATTTGAAGGTTTACAATTTTTAGATGTAGTTAGAACACTATTATACAAAATCATTATTTGTGTTCCTTTAATTTTAAGATTAATGTTACCTGTACAAATGGTATTCTTTATATATTCTTGTGTTGGTATGTATTTATATGGTAAAATACAAAGAAATGAAGATAATCCATATGCTAATTCTTAATGTGATATAAACAATTTTGAATATTCATGGGGAAGTTGTAAATATGCTGATTTTTCTACTTTTGCAGGATCCTATTTAATGATGCTTTAAATGTTTATAGCAGCAGAATGGAATTAAATAGTATTTGAATTAACATATGATACTGATGATATGGTATCAGCTATGTTATTTGTTGGTTCTTTTGAATTCTTTTCAATATTTTTATTAGCCTTAATTGGTGGGTTGGTTTGGGAAGTCTTTACAGTTGTGTCTTAATCATTGAAATAGGATGAAGATAGACTTTCTTAACTTGAAAATAATTTAGATTAATAATAAGAAAATAATAATAATAATCAAGCAGCTACACATGATAAGAAAAAGAAACTTATTTTAAATGATGATAATCCAGATGAAATCAGATTTCATCGTAAATTTAGAAGTGATAAAATTAGTAAAACTCATACAAAGTTAAATAATATTTAACCAGGTTTTGAAGATGATATAGTAAATGATGAGAGACCTGAATTAAATATATCTTAACCTAATTCAAGAAATTACTTTTTATATCATGGTGGTTCGGGTAGAAGAGTTGTTCCATTTTAATCTTCTAAATTTAATATTTAAAGAAATGATGTTATTGATCATTTTTTAAAGAATTTTATAACAGCTGATATGTGGTTATAGAAAAAGTAAATAGAAGGTTTAGATATAAATAAAGTAGCAATAGATTATATGATTCATTTAAGAAGTGAAATTAAAAAAGATGAAATGTTTTAAAAGAAGAATTTTAATATATCAAATCATCATCTATTAATATAAAATGCAGTACTAAGAGATGCATCTGAAGTCTATATTAAATAATAAGAAGATAAATTCTTTAAAACTTCTTTTGGTTAAAAATTTGAAAGAATATAAGAACTCAAATTTTAAAGTAAATTTAAAATTGAAAGTAAAATCATATTCTCATTAATGGGAATATTAAAATTCCCAAATCCAAATTTGAAATACTACTTTTAAATTCTTAATTTAATAGAAAATTACTTCACATATTAATTACTTTCTGATTATTCTTTTTTTAAACTTATACATCAAATCAATAATAAATGGTATACTATTAGCATAGAAGAAGGTTAAATTTATTTTTTTAAAGTTGGTAATGGTCCATGGGATCATACAGAATAACTATTTTCAGAAAGTAATATAAGAATATGTGAAAATTTATCATCTCTTTTAGAATCTGGTAATCAAGAATGTCTAAGAGCAATTGAATAATTTAGTATTAGTGTAAAATCTATAGCAAAAAACTTTGAAATAAGTTTACCTTCAATTGATATAAATAATTCTTGTATACTTTATTAGATTAAGAATGAAAAACTAATTGTAAATGATATTTAATCATTAAAAATAAAAAAATGTAATTTTTTTCATTTAAATTTATTAGCCAATGTTACTTCAGATGATTAATCCCCTAATAATCAATAATATGTATATTTGGATTCATAAAATTAATTAAATGGTTTTTTAAAACTTAATCAATCTCCAAAAATAGAAACAAGTAATTTAGATGAATAGAAAAATGTTAATCAAACTATTTTATTTGTCATAGCAAGAACTACAGCATAAGAATAAAGAATCAAATATTAAAATATTACTATGTTAATCTAATTCATATAAGATTTGGGGAGTGTTATACAAAATTATAGTTCCACTTTCTTTAAATAAATAAATAATTTATATGAACTAAGATATTAAGACAAAATAAAGAGTATGCATAAATTGTGATATTGAGTAGACGCCTCTAATTTATAATTTTTGTATTTCTATAATTCTTTCTATTAATTAAATAAATGAATAATTGTTTGTTAACACCTAAGTCTAAATAACCAAAGTGCCCAAATGCTCCTAAGAAATAATACTATACAACCAGAATTAATGAATAATCAATAAGTTCAGTTTGTAGAGTTCTTTTCTCTGATGAACCAAAACCTTAAATAACTTCTGCAGAAACTGCTTGATTTTTGTATATTACATATAACTATTATATTGAAACTGTTAATATTTAGATCTATCAACATCATAAAATGAATAAGAGAATTATATATTCAAATGTTTTAAACTAAAGTTCAACTAATATGAAGTTTATTATCCATAATAAATTAAAGAATAAAAATTATTAATAAAATTATAAGCTAATTATGGATTTAAGAAACAAAAACACTAGAAATATACTTCTTCAACTTCTAGATAAATAGCTTAATAATATTCTATCAGATAATCATCAAATAACAAAATTTTAAGATTAACTTATTCGATTTTAAGGTGGAGAATAATAAAAATATGTAAAACAAAGATAATATTCACCATCTCCTTAATTCATGCGAACTCATAGTTAATCTGAACATATTACTTTTTATGAAAGATAATAATCTCAACTTAAATTGAAAAACTAAAGATTATAATAATCAAAAGAAAAGTTAATCTTAAAAAAACTAGAAGAACAAACCTAACAAAATACATTTCATCCTAAAATATTAAAACCAAAAAATGTGAATTCTTAAGTTAAAAATGATATATATAAATCAGGTATTAAATGGATGCAATAAAAAGTATTTAATATTATCTAAGTAGATAAGGCTGATCATATAGATAAATTAAAAGAGTCATCCACTATTTAAATGAATCAAGAAAATTCATTTAAACCTACAATAAATAAGATTTCCCAGAAAATTATCAAATAAAACAATTAAAGCGACTTTTTTTAAAGAATGAATACAAATGAGACTAAAAAACAACAGAAAATTAAATAACTTAAAAATGATGCAATTCCCTCTTTTAAACCTTAAATTAATAGTAATTATATATATAATATTATTAGATCGTCTTAAGAAAGTGTAAAACAATTAAAATAAAGATATTCTATAAGTTTCTGTTAATTTAGAACTATTAGAAAAAGTAAGAGATTATTATTAGAGAGATAACAGTTAATCCAATTTAAATATAAGTTAAATTGATTATAGAAATAGAGATTGTAATTCTGCTCTTTCTTAAACTATAGAGATTGATAAATAAAATTCTTAATCTCCTAGTTTTAGAAATTCTACTATTAAAAAATAATCTCGACTTTAAACTGATTTCAATTCACCTAATAATAATTTTACAGAAATGTTATATGAAGCATTAGGTGATTCATAATTTGATTACTTTTGATTTAAATATATATATTTGTAAGTATTAAATCATATATCTCTGAGCATAATATTTGAAAAACTATTACTTGATATATCTGGTTCAGTGCTTAAATTTTCATTTTTTAATTCAATGTCAAATTTTTATTTGAATTACAATAAAGATTATTTAATATTCCCTTATTTTTAATCTTATAATATATAGATAAATATATTACATAATTATTGATCCTTAATTTACAATTCTTTTGTTATGGATTCCAATTTAATTTCTGATGCTTCTAGTTATCTTCTCATTTCTTTTATTTCCTCTTAATAGATTTATGAATTTGTTTCTTATTTATAAATTTCTATTTATTTTTTATAATGTTCTATTTCCTCTTTCAATATTTCTATTTCTTTTGTTTTTTTAATATCTTCTTATTCACTTTCTTAAATATATTGTGCATGAATTGCCTATTAATAATAATTTCTTATACTTTTAACTCAACGATTTGATTTAATTAAGCCTCAAATCTTTTAAGCCATAACTACTCTTCCATTAACTTTTACTTTAATTATTTCTCCATTAATTTTAATCTTTATTCACATTCTTTATGAGAATTAGTGTTATTTTCATGTTATTTCTTATTAATCTAATTACCATCATGCACAGTCAAAACCTTCCCTTAAATGTTATTAAATAACTATTAGTTTAAGGCAGCATTTTAATTCTCTAACTACTAGCAATATTTCTTATAATATCCTAGTTCTTCTTATATTTTTGAAACAGAATCGTATTCCATTGATTATAACTGTTAGTATTTTATTTATAAATATTAAAAAACTATGTCCAAAAAAATTACTAAAAAGATATACTTCCTATTACATATAAAATAAATCTATAGATAATCATTTTAGCATCAAGTTACAACACACTCAATCTTAAACCACAAAATTTCATAGAATATAAATTCAACAATATTAATTAAGATTTTGTAATTTGTTATTAATAAACTTATTTATGCTAAGATAATTTGTATTATTGAACTCATTATATTAGATTATTCATATATCTTTATAATTTTAATAATAATTTAATACATAAAAGATAGAACTAGCCTAAATAAAAAGGAATTAATCTAATTTATGAAGATTTGATATAGTTTAACAAAAATCATAAATAGCTTAAAAACTATTTAATTTTAAATAAACAATAGCAATAATAAATGATAAAATAAAGTATATTATCCTATTAAATTATCAAATATATTATCCAATTATACAATAGCTATATTGTATCACATTTTTAGAATGATCAACTCTATATGATATAAATTATTAAGTATCTAATATGATTTCTTTATTGTAATAATGTTGTTTATCTATTCTTTAATAATTTATGGAGTTTAAATGATTTATCCATATTCAGAAATATATATGTGTATATATATGTTAATATAATGTTTAACATATCTTAGACAACTTAGATTGTGACGATTTGATTATTAATTTAAGTAAATATAAATATTTTTAAACATAAAAACTAAGATAAATATTAAAAAATTAATATATAAAAAAATTCAGAAATCAAAGTTGGTTTCTTTAGAAATTGATTAGAAATTGAAGTTGAATATGATTTATGAATCAGAAATGATTATTCGTTTATATCAATAGAAATACAATTAATGTTTGATGAAATAAATGAAAATATATGTATCTTATTATTTAGTTAATTTTTGTATTGTTTTTGCTATTTGAACATTATTAAAATTTTTTCATTTTTTCTACTAAAGAATCTAAAATCTTTTGAAATCAATGTTCCAGAATACTTTATCTTCATTAGGTAATACTTGAATTTGATTAGATTTGAATAATAATGGTTCATGAATGTCTTTCATCCTTATTTTTAATTTCTGACACTTCAACAGTGGTAATAACAATAACTCATATGTGATATTAAGTCAACAATAAAGGTTGAGGATGGCTTAGAGTATAAAAATACATAATTTCTAGTGAATAAAGAATTGAATCAAAATCAACCATATAGTCTATAGAATAGAACTAAAACTAAAAGAAATAAATAAAGAAAACAAGAAAGAAAAATTCAAAGAAAATGTATAATAATGGTAAAATAATAATTAAATACTAGGTCACTGGACAAAAAAGGAACATCGTTTATACTTATAATTTATTGAAACAAATAAAGAGATTATGATGAAATCAGACATGAAAAAACAAGAGAAAATCTTTAAATAAATGTCTATTGTCATTAAATCACGATCTCCTTCATAATGTAGATCTCACCATTAAAAATTCAATCCTTTTTGAATATCATCATTGATATATATATATTAAAATAAGAAACAGTTGATATTTATTTATAATTCAAATTATTTCTACTTACAAATAATTATTAAATATCATGTTTGAAATCCTATTGTAATTTATACCAGCTATGAATAAAGAACAAAAAAAGATAATTTTATAAAGTATAAATTGAATATATAAATTATAGTACTAAAATTCAGAAATCTCATTTTAAATTAATTATATTAAAAACAACACTAAATTTAATTGAGAATGAATAAATTATTCACCCAATTTAAATTTATTATTTATTTAATATCAAAAAAATAAACAAGATACATATTAATCATCCCAAAATTTCATTTATTTATCTTCTTTTCTTAAAGATCTATTAAAATATTGACCAATTTATTAGAAATATATTTATAATCAATCAAAGAAGATGCTTGATTAATTATAATCATTAAATTAAGTTTACTATTATATATATTCTTAATTTTATTAAGATTCTTATTTATTATATTAAATTCTATTCATAATTTCAATCAAATGAGAAATTTCTCTTTTCTATTGTAGATATTTGATTCTAAGCTATTAAAGAATGATCTTATCATGCATTTCTTCCTTAAATATATTTGACTCTAACTTATCTTATATATTTTATTAGAAATACTACAGATAGAGTATTTATCAACAATTCTTTATTAATGTTGAAAAGAGTAGATATTAAGATTTTTGATATATTAAAATGTAATTATTTTAATATAAATATTTTTAATAGATATTTAATCTTTAATTGATGTTAAACCACTTCAATTATGAATATCCTCAGATTTTGAACAAAATATGTAAAATCTACATTATTTAGATTATTATGATATAATTATAATTCATTTATATATAATTATCAAATTAATCCAACCAAGATATCTAGATTTGGCATATGAAGTGAATTTACTAATTGTGTTTCTCTTTTTTTTGTTTCTTTGATGAGTATCCAATTTTATAATAAATTTTCTTAAACTCCTTTATTCTGAGTTTCAGCACCATTAGATAAAAAATTAACACTAAATGTTTTTGGTTTATCATCTACTTTATATGTTTTTAGTTTTTAATTCAATGTATAAATCAAAGTTTTGAGTTGAATATCTGAGTCAAATTAAGAGAATTATTCATTATTTTCTTAATTAAAAACTATATTGATTGTATAAGTAGTAAGAATCTTATTGTCTTATTTAATTTATATTTCTATGCCTTCTAATATAGATAATAGATCTTGTAATTATTAAATCAATTTGTCTACATATTCACTCAAAATTGACTACTTTAAACTCCAAAGTGTTAATCCAACAGCAGATTTCTGATGAAAACATTCTGCTGGATAAACTTGAAATTTATATAGGAGCTGTGTCAATGATAAGCTAAACAAATTGGTTATTAGGTTTATATATTATTAATTCATTTAATGGAGAATGAAATCACAAAGATGGAATATAATTAGCTTCAAAAAGAGGCTAATTAATGTATGGAAAACATTTTGTTTTTGGCAATAGATAAAAAGTAGTAACCAAATGTAAAATCAGAGGAATATTAGAGATGTTAAAGATTAGTAACAGAATTTAGAAAATAATTTATTGAACATATGGCAAAGACTTTAAATTTAGATGAGAAATCTGTTTAACACATAAATTCATAAATGAACAGCAAATAAAACTGAATGAAAATAATTAAAAGTATAATCATATAATTTATTGATTGACATAATGCTACAATCTATTTTTGACTTTGGTTAAACGACATCTACATTTTGGTAATAATGCGATAAAGCATTACTTGATGTACATCTATATCTCTCATAATAAGGAATAAAATGAGTTGCTAGAGCATGAATTCTTGGTCGGCTCTAAAGAGAGGTTGATTAAAAAAAAGTTTCTTGTGATGAGTTAAGATTCAATTTTTAGAATTTCTTTATCAAATCTTAAGAGAGCACCATTACTAACAATGCATGTTTAGTTTATTGAAGCTTCTTCTGATAACTTTGTATAATTAAACTCAGATGAATAATTATATGGTTTTCACCTTTCTTATTAAGGAAAGAGCCTAGAAATATTTACTGCAGACAAAATTAATTATGATATATGGAAGTCTCATTTCAAGAGGTTTACTATTTTGGATAACTTTCACGAAGCTTATTCAGTATCTAAAATGATTGGAAAAGGTAGCTTTGCAAAAGTGTATCAAGCAACCAAAAAGGAAAATAATAATTAATATGCTATAAAAGCATTTAGTAAAGCATATATGTAACAGTAATCTAAAGGAATTGAAAGTATGCTAAATGAAATAAAATTAATGAGAAAACTTAATCATCCTAACATTGTGAAATTATATGAAGTACATGAAACCACTAATTCAGTCTATTTTGTATTAGATATGATCTAAGGTGGTGAATTATTATAAAGAGTGAGAGAAACAGGTAAATTATGAATTATTATTTCTTAGGTTTTTTACCAGCAGAAACGATGCAAAAGTTAGCATTTAATTTGATAAGTGCCCTAAGTCATATGCATGAAAATCGTATAATTCATAGAGATCTTAAACCAGAAAATCTACTATTAAGATCAACAGAAAATAATTATGAGATAATTTTAGCAGATTTTGGATTAGCTACAAATTTAGATGAAGAACCCTTATTTAAAAGATGTGGTACTCCTGGATTTGTTGCTCCAGAAATCTTAGATTATATTGATGGTTAAGAATTTTATACAGATAAATGTGATGTATTTAGTGCTGGAATCATTTTTTATTTATTAATTGTAATTAATTTTGATTTAAATTTTAGACTGGAAACACTCCCTTTATTGGTACTGATCAAAAGTCTATTCTCAAAAATAATAAATAATGTGAAATAGATTTTAAGGAACATCATTTTAAATTAGCACCAATATAAATGTAGGATCTAATTTAATCTATGCTCTAAAAGAAAGTTTCTTATAGATTAAGTTCACAAGAAGTACTTTTATTTAATAAATAATTTTTAGTGTATGAGACATCCTTACTTTAAACAATTAGTCAAAGAATATAAAGTTTAAATTGATAAATACTAAAACAATTTATTAGGATATTAAGAGATTTAAAATGCTAGAAAAATTGGCACATAAGATTTAGAATAGAGATCTCCTCTAAATTTTAATTCTTCTGATTCTATCTCTTCAAATATTTCTTAAAATAGATAAGATCAGAGAAAATCTTCAATTGTAGTTGGAGCTTCTAAATTTAGTCAATATAGTGCAAGATTATCAAAGTAGAATTCAAGAGAGATTTCGGGTAATTTACTTAATTAATATGAAGATATTCCATTAAAATAAGAACCAAAAAAAGCAAGAGATTTACATAGATTGGCTTTGACCAATAGTTAATTAAAATAGATAGCCTTAAATTAATTTGATAATGTCGAAGATCCAACGGCTGAGGATTGTAATGTTGGAGTCATGGTTAGATAATATAATTCAACCAGACAAATCAGAATACCAGATAATACATTAAAAATTAAAGAATGCAATACTCCTACAATGTAAAAATAATAATGAGATAAAATTATCATTTTTCATTTCTATCCTAATCTATAATTTATTATTATTCTGGATTTGATCTAATATATTGTTTTAAAAAATCTGATTCAGAGTTTATGTATTAAATATAAGATGGATCAATAGTAAAGAAGTCTTTTATTGGATAATCTTTTTCTAAACTTATGAATTTTTTGCTTAATGCCAAAAACCTAAAATATATATATAAGTATAAACATTAAAGTATCCTATTCTTGAGTTTAATTTAAATACTTTTGCATCTTTGAAATGATATACTTTTAATAATAATATTTAAACCAATGAGCATAAATTTCATAATTTGGTTATTATTCTGCTTTGCTTAAAAGTGTTTTAAATTTTTTCAAAGCATCATCGTTTATCTCGACTTCCCCTTAAAGAACTTATTAGATTGATTCCTAAATCATTAGATTATAAATACTTTGAATTAGAATAAATTAATTTGAGCATTCTCTTAGACTTTCTCTTTTTATTATTCTACTTTTTCATATTTATCTTTCATATAGAATTCACAATTTATATTTATAGAATTCTCTTTAAATGCCTCTTGTATTTATTTACAAACCTAATTATATTAATTTGAAATTAAATATATTTAATTTAAGTTTATTGCCATTTGATATCCACATAATGCTGCCTTTAATATATTTTAATCTTAATTACTAAATATAGACTTATATTTTTTTCTAATATAAATATAATATTTACAAACAAATTAAATATTATTATACTGATTTAGCTAATTCTTCTCTAGCCATTAAATTGCTTATCAAAGTTCTAACTTGATAAGATTAATAAGATTCATAAGATCGTTTTAAGCCTGTATTATCATTAAATATGCCAGAAGAAGGTTCTATTGTGGATTCTAGATCTTATTGTTGGACAATTTTGATTGAATCAACACATTCGTCAGGAGTTAAGAACATTTTAAATACTGATGGCCAATCTATTCTGTTGTCTTCATAATATGTTAGAGTTTTTGACATAAATAATAGTAGCAAATCTTTCAAGTGCTTTTCGCCTTAAATTTTCATTTCAGGAAATATCATTTCCTTTCCTTTTAATAATGCTTCTTAATGTAATTTCAATTCCATCATTGATCTCTTGTCAAATGGTAATTTTAAGAATGTTACATAATATACTATAACACCTAGCTATTAATATTTAAATTATAAATTACACTAAAGATATCAGTTTTAGATGAATATTTACCATCATTCAAAATTTATGGAGATGCATAATAAGGTGTACCTACTTATGATTGAATTACTAATTAATTTCTTGCTTCTTTTTCTAATATTTTACTCATTCCAAAATCAGAAATCTAAATATTATTATATTTTTACTTTTATCTTGCCATCATTACCAAATAGCAAATTTTCTGGTTTCAAATCTCTATGAATTATAGAATTTTTATAAAGAATACTATATCCTTTAATAATCTATGTTGTCATTTCAATAATTTCTGTTGCAGTGAAATATTATTTTACCGAAGCTCTTGCTTTTATTGTATTCTCTATATGACCTTAACTACATTTCTCCATAAATATATAGCAGGCCTTCTTATTCCAATCCTCATGTATATCAACTACTTTAATAATATTAGGATGATTAAATTTCATAAGATTAAATAATATTCTTATCTCTCTTTTCACTGCATTTTAATCATATTCGTCAGAACTCAAATTTATTATCTAATTAATCACAATTAAATATACTTTCGCACATAATGGCATTTATATATTATCTTTTTCACACTCATAAACTGTTGCAAATGCTCCCCTTCCTATATATTTGTTTAAATATATTCTGAAGCCGGCTATATCTTATTTCATTCTACTAAATTAATAAAAAAATAATTAAGAAAATATTTATTAACAAATTTTCATATTTATTTAAACTTTTCATATCAGAAAATTTTGATTATTTATATCTGAATTATATATATATAATTAATCTTTATCAATCCAATATACAAATTTTTGTAATTCAACTGAAATGACCTAAAATTTATTAATTCTAATATTAATTCATCAATAACATTCTTATATTAAATTAATTTTATATCAATCTAATATCAAAAGACTTTTTAAATATACAACTTATCTCCTTTCTGTTTGTATTTAGTTACTCAAATTTTTAGATCTGTCTAAAAATTTAATATTTTCTTTTGAACTTTAATAAATTCAAAAAAATTCAAACTACTTTAGAGTTTTACTATTCTTCAATTTTCAATTTATTTTTCTTAATAACAATATAAGTTTTTAAACATTGTTTATAATCATAGTTATTTAATATATCAGAGTTTAAATCATTTTATCTATCTAATAATAGCCCTTAGAATTCACTAAATATTTAATATTCGTATGTTTTATAATTAATTTATAAATTAAATTTATAGATTATCATTATCGTCATAACCTTCTTAACTAATTATTAGGATGATATAATAAAAAAAGATAGTTAAATGAAGTATTAACTGTATTTTTATTATTTAAGCTTAGATTTATATATAATATGTAATAAAACTTAATCTCTATTAAAATCATATCTTGAATGAATATGATTAATATACCCTTAATAGGATAGCTTAGGATGCTTAGAAAGTTTGAATAAGAGTTTATGTAATTTATCTGAATGGAAACAACTATTTGAATTTATTAAAATAATGTGAATATAACAAATTTATTTTATAATAGTCACTTGTAAATTTTAGTTGGTGAGGATTGCTCAGTTATTTATTCTTTGGTTCTTCTTCTCTTCAAGATTGTACTTTAGTCTTAATATAGTTTTATTTATTACCAATGGATTTAAGGGAGTATTTTCTGTTGTAACATTAGATATGGTACAATATTATTTTTTTGTTCATGGTTATTGGTCCATTTGATAAATTTTAGATAGGGAACTCGAGCAATTACTCCTTCTTTGAGATTTTCTATTGCAAGCATCCCATATTTATATCTCAAATAATTTAATTAAACTTATATGAATAAAATTAAATACATAGTGAAAAAAGATACTAATTTATACAATTATTAACAGGAAGATTTATAAAACTATTAAAATATCATTATACCTAATATCTATTATCTAGCCAATATTCAATAGAAATGCTATTACATTATTAACTCAATATTATCTATTGATTTTAAGATTTGTATTAATTATTTCATATATGAAGTTGAAAAACTACAATAGTATTTTATGAAATTAATTCAATTGAATATTTGTAGATAAAGCTTAATTTTTGATATCACCAGATATTATTAATAAATATCAAACTTTATGTGGAAGATGGTTAAATTTACTATTTTTTAATTGTTTTTCTAAATTTTTAAAGTAATTTTAGGAATAAAATAGAGAATTTGATTTTACATAAAAAATTGAATAACTATTTTTTATTAAAAAATTATGGGTAAAATTTAATTAGAGAAAGAGGATAAAAACTTAAAGAAAGATAAAAAATTTAATAAAAAGAAGACAGTTTTATCTAAAGGTGATATGGATGTTGAGAAACCTATGGGTATTAAGAAGAAAGTGATCAAATAAACTAATGAATAAATTAAATAAAAGCAGCTTAAAAAGAAAGTACATTAACTCAACCAAATAAAAACTTAAACTCAAACTGATACTCAAAAGAAAGCTGAAATATTTAAAGAATTCAATAAAAATCTTGATGAATAGATTCAAATTCCAAAAACTTCAACCAAAGGATAAAGAGAAAGATTGTTGAAAAAATAAAAAATTTTGAAAAAGAAAGTAATTTAATCATTAATATTTTAGTTATTGGATAAATATATCATTACCAAATAAAAGTAAGAACCATAAACTTTCATATTAGATTCATTGAAAAATAATTTATTAGATATTGATAAGCAACACCAAGAAAAACAAAAGTAATTAGAATTAGAAAAAAATAAAGGAACCTCTAGTCATTTAAGAAATAAATTGTTGAAAGAAGATCAAATTAGAATGAAACAGGTTTTCTAGATTAAACCATTTTAAGATAATCCCTTAGCAACTATGAAAATGCATTTAGAAAACACATATTCAAAAAAGTGATTAATTGTATATAAAAGTAAGTAATAAACATTTTCATGTTATATATTAATCAGTATCTTAAATTATCATATTCTAAGATGGATCTGATTATTAATCAAATAAATCTTCATCACTTTCTTCTAATATTCTTGAAGACTCTTTCTGTACTAATTATAGAAAAGGGTCTATAATTGAATCACTCTTAAAATCAAGTATTTAACCAGATTTTTCAAATAACTAAAAAATATAATGAACATAATACATTTAAGATATAAAACAATAAAACAGATTCACTCCAAGTAATCTTCAAATATTTTATCATTTATAAAACCTCTTCTTTATTCCAGATTTAAAGTTGTTTTGTTTAAATATATTCAGCTATTTCTGGTTATTTTAGTGTTTGTTTAATCACTTTTTCAGCTTCCTCAATTTTAAAATCAGGATAATCTAGAAATGTTTTATATTTTCCAATTTAATTCAATAAAGAATCTGCTAATTTATTTCCATAAGCTGATAATGATTTAACAACTTCTTATATTCTATCTTCACCTAAAGTAAAGGGTTCTTAACTTAATATATATTCAATATCCTCTTTCTCAATTTCTTTTTTTAAATCTATAGCTTGCTATTTTAATTCTTAAATCATTTAAGTAAATTATTCATATGTGATACCTCTTATTATTAATTTATATTAAAGTTCCTCTTGAGTTTTTGATCTTAATTAGGTGGATGATAATTCAGTTGTTGCTTAAAATTTATTACTTTTAAAAGAATTTGTAGAACTTTTTTTATTTTATTCTGTTGTTATTCTCTACATTTTATCTTCTAAATTAATTTTAATCTAAGATAATTTTGAAACTTCATTCTAATCAAACTTAAAAAAAATACTTGCAATTATATAATTTTCTAATTATCATTTTATTATTTTTATTTCAAATTATTTATTTCTATTTACTATTTGATAAAACCTTATTGTGTTTTTTAAAAATTATCTTTTATCATATATAATTAGTTTTGATATCTTGATATAGATATTATTTTAATACTCTTGAGTGCTTTTTTCTTAATCTTGTATCAATTTTTTCAACTTTTTAATCTCTTCTTTAAATAATTAATTTTCTATCTTTAATTCTTGTACTTTTGTAACTTTAGTATTTTTTTTCATTTGTTCTATTAAATATAATTTCTCTTATAACTATAATTATAAATCTTTATTTTATTTTTTGATCTATTAAATAATGTACTCATTATTTTTAGCTAAAGGATTATGCTTAATTTACAGTTCTTCTATATATTTATCAAAATTTTAAAGTTCTTTCTATCAATTTAACATATAAAATACATCTTATTATAAAATTCGAGTTTTTAACTTAATATTTTCAGCTCTAATGAAATTAATTTCTTCTTTGAGAGATTTTATTTGAAAATAGAGAGTTTCTTTATCATGATAATCATTTTCTGGCCAAAACTTGGAAATATTTGCATAACTATTTTATAAAATTGAATTACTTTCTTTAGGTCTATAGTTTTGTATACTTTATTATATTTTCATGTGCTGATATAGATCTCTTTCAAATAAAAAAAATATTATTACAACTTCTTTAGACATCGATGAATAAATTTTAATATTTATAATATTTATAATTGATCATAGATTTGCTGCAATACTTAATTTATTGCATGTATCTTCTAATAGACTTAAGAGATGTTCTTCTGACTATTCCCTAATTATAATTTAGGAACAATAAGTTACCTTGTTTTCTTTTCTTAATCCAATTCTACTTTTACTCTATTAACGATATCTTTCAACATTTCAAATATTGACTATTCACTTTCATCTCTATTTCTCTTCTCTACATTTATTAAATTACTTAATTTAACAAGTTCATCAGTGATTGATTTCATAACCTAATAATAAATGGCTAAATCTATACATTTTAATCAGATTCATCTCTTTCATTTGATTCATTTCTGATGGCTTCTTAAATTTTTGGTAAATCATTTTACAATCCTTGATGAATTCCTTCTATAGCATCAACTCTGCTTGCTGTTTCTTTCTAAACTTCAGTTCTTAATAATGCAGTTTTATCCTCTAACAGACGTAGTACTTTAGATTCTCCTTCTTTTCTTGTTTGAGTTTCATTTTCAATTGCATTTTCAAATTTCTTTTCTAAAGCTAACACTTCCCTATTTTTAGTTTCATTAGCTTATTCTTTAGCTAATTTATCTTCTTCAACTTATTTTTGTAATTTCCCTAACTAATACATGACATAAAATAATACTTGATCTCTAAGACCATTAAGTTTAGTAAAGATTTATTCTTAAAATTCATTAAATGCATCTTCAGCTTATTGGATTCTTTATTCAGCTTATTCAAGTTTTTAGAATCTCTCGTTTTCAACTCCTATTTATATGGTTGATAATTTTTCTGATATTTTTTAAATTCTTCCACTGCTTGGAGACACTTATTAGTCTAGTAAAGATAGATGTTAAATTTTACATAAAGATCTTGAATTATACATTGTTAATAAATTTTATTTATGATTAAACTCAATATATATATAGAAATAAAAATGTCAATCTAATAAAAATTTTTAGTTCCTTTTAATACTACTTTAACCAATATCAAATTAAGATATATCTGCAAAATCAGTATTTGAACTATTAAAAAACTCTTCTTTATCCTCTTGATTTGTTATTTTACTATTTCTGCTTGAAACCTAATTGAGATTTTTAAATATATGCTCAACATCAATCCCTCTTGACTTTACTGCTTTTACTAATGAAATTAATTTTTTCTCTTTCTCAGAAAGTGTTTAAATTTTAGTTTACATCAATATGATTTAGTTTTTTAATTCCATTTTTTCTTTTGTATTTGTTTACTATTTTTTAGGTTAAATTTGGTTTTAATTTTTTATCTGTTTTATTTACTCTAATTGAACTTCATAATGTTTTTTCCTCTCCTCTGCTTCTTTATTTTGTATCTGTAATTCTAATCTTAATATATATATACATACTCATTTAAAATTGATTTTCTTTGGCTTGCTATTCTAATTCATGAATTTTTTACATCAAATTTGCTTTATCCTTATCATGCATAATTTATTTTTGGTGTTAATGTTTATTGGTGATTTCTCTAATTATTTAGATTAATTAAATTATGTAGCTTGACACTTCTTATTAATTAATGCATGTTCTTAATCCTATTATCAATTTTGAGAGTTATTAATTTAACTACTTAAAGCTTTTATTTTTCTCAAGATTATCAATCACATCTCTGATTTACCTAAGAATCTCTTTCTTTGAAGCTTCTTCCTTTAAATGAGCTTACTCATATAAATAACTTTAAACTGACATCATTTCTCCACTAAGCTTCAAAGTTGATTAAGTATTTTACCTACTCTTATATAATTCATACGCATACTTTATTTATTTTCGTATCAGGAGTGCTAAAGCTGTTATTCAAACTTATGTAATAATTATATTTAGGAGCTGATACAGATTTCATTTTACCTAACAATTTTATTTTTTTTTATAATAATTTTTTTTCTCAGTCTATTCTCACTAATAATTCACTTAATCAGTTTGAATTGTTATGTATTTCCCTTTTATTATTCTATAAAATTAACGAAACTGATTTTTTATACAAGTATTAAAATATTAAATACAAAAATGAATTAAAAAAAACCTGAAAAGCAATACTACTTAAGTCCATTTCCAAAGGATGTAATTGGATTAATAGCATCAAGTTGTGTTTAAAAATTTTAAGGGGCTTATACTTTGGAATTGCAATAAAAATAAAGCAGAACTTTGTAGGAGGAATTAATTTATAGATATTTTAAAGGAAGATCTCCCCCTCATGAACTGAGTTAATCTGATAAAGATGAGTTAGAAAAATTTGAAGGAAATGAATACCATTTATGTGAGTATAGAGGATAGCAATTTTTAAAGAAATATTTCCATCCGGAAGTGATAAAATTTAATGAATGTATAGAGATTTGCGATATTGAGAATGCTTCAAATTATAAGGGATTACTAATTCTAAAAAGATCAATGTGTAGAAGAAAATGTGAAGATAAAATGGATATGACATTAAAGGAATACATGAGAGATGGTAAATTCCCAAAAATGGAGGAAATCTTGAAAATGTGAGTATATTAATATATTTTATGAAGAGTAAAGAAATTGATAAATTCATGTATATTTTATAATATAATTATTTGAAAGAAAGTATTCATAAATTATTAGATAAAGCATAATTTATATAATAATTTAAGAATGGCATCCTTAATCTATGAATAATTATTAGCAGCATATACAAATAAAGATAATTAAATTAGATCTTAAGCTGAGAAATCTTTACTAAATTCTTTGATTGAAAATTATTAGAATTTTTCACTTATTGCTTAATTAGCTTAAAAATAAGATTAAAGTACTTATTTATGCTCCATTATAGTGTAGGAATAAGCTGTCAATTTAATAAATTTGGTTGTAATGAAAATGCTGAATAATAATACAGGTAATAAAAGATGATATCTATTAGATTTATTTACAATTTAATATACTAATTAATTGATATCTGTAATAACTTCATAAAATACACCTTTCAAATACAAATAATCCCTTATATAATCAATTAGTTTGATTTTGAGAAGGAATAATAGTATAATTTCTCTATTAAATTAGATTTTAAGGTTGATTTTGAAAACAAAATGAAAGAATACTTGAATTGTGAAGATCAGTGGCAAATATAAACAGGAATATTGTTTTTCAAAATTTTAGTAGACTCTTTAGAATTATAGAACTTTTCAAATGTTCTGAAAATCAGATATGGATGGATTACAGATTATTTTAATAAATTCCTCTAAATAATGGCTATTTTGCAAGATTAACCAAAAGATTTATCGAATGAATTTATTAACACTATGAAATATTTTGCTTAATCTATTTAGGATTTGTGTGAGAAAATATAATAAAAATCAAATAATTAAAGAGAACTAATTTAACCAATTTTTAATATTCTTTTCTCATTAAATTCATTTTCTGGTTCTTTAATCTTATTACTCAAATATTCCCCATAATTGGGAAAATAGATGCAAGATTCAATTATTATAAATACTGGTAATAAGAACTTTGATGATAAAATCAATGAAATTAAAAGTTATGTTCTGAAAACCTATATGATAATCTTTTAAATTTTACTTAGTACTCTAAATAAATAAGTAATTAAAATAAGCTCTTATGGTCCTTATTTTCATACAATAACTTCACTATTACTTTATTCAATCCTGATTTATACAAATAATGAACAAATTAATGTCATTCTGAAGTAATTCTATTAAATATCATTAGCAAACCATTTTTAAAAAATATTATAACATATATTCTGAAATTGTTAGCAATTTTAGGATAATAGACAGAATAGTATTAAATATTCGAAAATTCCAAAGTGGCTCTGATAACAGATGTCATTTATCCTTATTTAATAACATCTTCGGATGAATATGTATAGATGTAATAAGAGCCAGAAGAATTTGTAAATTTATCTCTTGATACCGTTGATAAAAAAGAGTCAGATATACCTAAAACAGCTGCAGCTCAATTATTAGAAACTTTATGTGAGCATATAGATGGATCAACTTATTTCTTGGCTAATCTAGCTATTATTATAATATAACATGCAATCAATAGTTTTAATTTTAAATCTATTCCACTAAAAGAATAATAATAAACATTTATTTAAGCAATTTCAAATAAGTAAATACTTTAATGATCATATAAGGAAATTATTTACAGAATGCAATGCTGTCGATAGAATAGAGTGTAGTTTAATTGTATTGACAATAATGAGTTCATTGATTTAAAAGAGAATTGACATAGTAATTATGTTGGAATAACTTTTGACAAATAATTTAGACTTTTTCTAAAATATTCAATAACAGATAATTAAAGTGAGATTTTCCTTATTTTATGGATATTTTGCTGATAATTTGTTTAAAAAAGACTTATAGGCCTAAAGTATGCTTATATATTTATCTATTCTGATTAATTTTGTATAACTATTATAACCAGTTGTTTTGTATTAATCAATAGATGCATTAAATGATATATTTGAAGATGATGAATTGAAAGCAAATAAAATAGATTTGGTTAAAGTTATCTTCCCATCTTTATGTAATGGCTTGAGATTTAGTGTATATGATAGACATTTCGAGATGATCATAAATCTTCTCAAAAGGTATTCACAGGTATTTTAGTAAAATAATTAATTGTTAATTGGGCTGATGCAAATTTTAGTTCAAAGAATAATTAAAGAATAAGGATTAATTAATAAAGGAAATTATTAAAGAGTAATTTATTTAAACAGATGTTGGAATATTATTAAGTCTTTGGCTGATGAGAATGAATATAAAAATTTATTAGTACTTCTAGAATAAAGCATCACTACATTATATTAAATGTTAGCTACTTGTTAAAAAATAGATTTTTATGAAGATCTGATCATATTCATCTCTATATGCATATAAAAATTATCATCTGTATCTCTTTTGTAAATATAAGTTTTACCTCACTTTATGAATATAATATAGAAATAACATTGCAGATTAGGAAATCTATATGAAACTTTAAATTATTTTATTCATTATGGTAGAAATCATTTTGTAGATGAATAATATTAGTAAATATTTTTCAACTTAGCATTTTAACATCTTTAATCTGATTAATACTTTGTAGACATAGAATAAGCTTAAGGTGCATTACTGATTTAATTAGGAATCTAAGAGCTCAATTAAGATTTAAAGAATTTTATTTTAGAATCAATTCTTAATTAAACTTTAAAAATCATATCAAAGAAGGAACTCAATGGTCTTCTAAGATCAAGAATTACTGGAATTATATTAAGTGCATTCTACTCAGTTCCTTAATTAACTTCTTAATTATTATCAGGAATATTTTCAGCTGTATTTAATTAAGTACTTGATACTCAATATTCTCCAGGTTATGATATTAAATTGTTTGTAATTACTATGTCATTTTTAATTAATAAACAACCTAACCTATTAACACCTAAACTAATAATAACTATAATCAATAATTTATAATAACAAGAAAAGTTTGAAAATTAGATAGAATTAAAAAAATTGAAAGGGTATTCCATCTATTAAACTTAGATCTTTTCATGATCAAGAAGAAGTTAATAAATAATAAAATTATATTGATAAAGATAAAGATGACATTACAAAAGCCTTATAATAAATTAAATAGTTCTTAAGCCCAATCTTAAACATGGATGAATATACTGTTTTTAAAAATACTTTATTTGCAATCAAATAAAAGTAAAATATTTATTATGCTAAGTTATTTCATGGGTTTTGAATAACTAAAATAAGAACTAGACCAATAAATTATTTATAAATTGAATGAGTTAATGTCTTTCGTGAGAATAAATACAAATGATGGAATTCAACATAACAGAAAAGTAAATGTATCATCTTTTTCTTTTAGATAATTAAAGTTTAAAGAAGAAAGAAGAATAATTGATTATCTATATACATAAAATTTACCTAAAAAATTAATGCATAGTTCGATTATATCATTTTTGATATTAAGAAATCTATTAAAATTTAATGCTCAATTTTTAACTTATTAATCTGTATAGAAAATATTAATATAATTTTTTAATTTGATATAAAGCCATCATATCTTCTATTACCAATTAATTATGAAATTTTTACTGTGAAAATTTGTAAATTAATAGTAATATATTGTTTAAAGAGTACAGTAAAATTGTTTTTTCTAATGAAATATTTGAGTTGATATAATATTAATATATATAATATGATAATGATTTAGTTTATGTTCAATAAATGTTATTCTTAAGTATAAAGTTAGTCATCTATTATAAAATATTTAATACTTTAAAATTATCCATGATTATGACATAAGGTTTATTTTTATAGTTGTTTTTGCAAAATACTATAATTTAATCCAAAAAAAACTAATTTAAAAAAAAGTTCATTAAATTAATTCATACCAAATTCATAATTATTCTCTTAAATCTAGTATTTATTTCCATCCTATTACTACTTTTTAATTCTTTCCAAAAGTTGCTTCAATCTAAAAATAATATTTGATATATAGAATAATATAAATATAATTATTCTCATTTAGTTTATTTTTTTCAAATTATGCTTCCATTGTTTCTAAAATTAATGTTGAAAATAAACTAATACATACATAACCCAAATAAACATAGATAAAATTAATATCTAATATTAATAATTCTTTAAAATGATAAGCTTTAAATCAAACCAAAGTAGACATAACACCACTCAATCCATATATAATTTTCAGATAATGATAGCTCAAACGATATCGAAGCCCAATTAGAAGACTAATTAATCTATAGAGAATGCTAAAAAAGGACCATATAAGTCTTAGCATTCCCATCAATAACATATTAGAAAATATCATTAAGGGAAAGAACTGGGGATTAATAAAATAAATTATAAAAAAGGGAAAGAAATATGAGCGAAGAAATTTAAAAAAACCCTCCATTAATGATACAAAATTATGGATATTTAAATTTTGAAATAACCCCAATTCCATTTCTCAATGACTAAGTACCAAAGAAAATAACATTCTAAAGATAAAATTGAAATAGAATTATTCTCTCATAAACTGATCACATTCTATCTAATCAATAACTAAGAATGAAAGTTCAGTCTTATTGATACTAAGAATCAGATTATTGTTTGATTGAGATAAAAATAGAAATAAACAAAATGCAAATGAGGATCGTAATAAAAGAATCTCAAAAAATACAGATATACAAGGATAATTTTATGAAAAAATTATACGAAAAGCTTCAATATTCAGTAAAAATCTAGGATAAGCAGATGACCTAACATTTATATTATGCAAAGACTAAATACAAGGCTTTGTGTAAGTGTTGAATTAGCTTTCTCAAGAATGGGAATTGCATATTAACAACAAAAAGCCTGGTAAAATGCCAATCAAATATCAAATGAAATATCTTGGAATGAAAGTTCTTCCTATTATATTTAAATATATTGGAATAACAATTGATTATAAAGAAAACTTAAAATAACATATGAAGAACTTAAAATAACATATCAATTATAAAATTAAGAAAATTAGACATATAAATTACAAGATGGAATTCAAACATAGATTATTAATAGATATTATGTACTTAGAACTTTATTTTTCATATTGCTACATTGTATCCTAATTTGAAAAGAAAACGTAAAAACAGATCCAAAGAATAAGAAAGAAAACAATCAAAGCTATCCTAAGACTGCCCATCAGATAGTTTATGGAATTGTTCTTAGAAAAATGGATATAAGTAATAAAATATCGATCAAAAAAGTTTACAAAAAAGCATTATATAGAGGTTTCGATTTATAGAAAAATACACAACTTTTTATAGAACATAAGGATAAAGCCCATTTATAAAGACAAATTAAAACATTAAATAAGCTGCCCGAAAATCTAGTATACTTGTTAAAATTTGGATGGTGTTATTGTGCGATTTTCAGTAATAAGAAAATTACTTTCAAGCATATTCTAGAAGATCATTTAGGTTTATATTAAGAACAGGATCAAGTAAGAACTTGAGAAACTATAAAAATAATAGATTATAGAGAAGAGAATTTGAGTATTTATATTTGGATCATTTCCTGAAAAAGGGTTTTAGAATAATAATAATAATTTTAGGATTATTGACAAATCTCTTAAATTTAATCGATTTAAAAAAAATTAAATAGAAAATAAAATATTCTAAAGAAAAAAGGAACTAGTTACTGTAGATAATAGGTTCATCTTTAATAATTGAATTTTGCAATATTATTTTTAGATTGAAGCAACTTTTGGAAAGAATTAAAAAGTAGTAATAGGATGGAAATAAATACTAGATTTAAGAGAATAATTATGAATTTGGTATGAATTAATTTAATGAACTTTTTTTTAAATTAGTTTTTTTTGGATTAAATTATAGTATTTTGCAAAAACAACTATAAAAATAAACCTTATGTCATAATCATGGATAATTTTAAAGTATTAAATATTTTATAATAGATGACTAACTTTATACTTAAGAATAACATTTATTGAACATAAACTAAATCATTATCATATTATATATATTAATATTATATCAACTCAAATATTTCATTAGAAAAAACAATTTTACTGTACTCTTTAAGTTAATTCAGTGGAGCTAATTTAGAATTTCAGTGTCATATGTCAATTTTTGAATAGGGCGAAGATATTTTTTATTTAATATTTTAATTGACCTCTAATTATCTTCATATCATTATTAAATGCATAAATATAAATCTTTAACAAAAATTAGCCTCTTCATAAGAGTAAGTGTAAATCAAAACGATTGTTGGATAATTTTATTTATATAAATTTAAGGATTATTTTGGTAATCCAAACGTCCTTATCTGCTGGAAAGATATTAAAATAAATTCCTTAGATATCATTAAAACATCATATTGATTACTTAAAGAATTTGCTTTCATTATATTTAATTTACTTTTAAAAAATAAAATAGATGTTTTATAATTCAACAATCAAATGAGAAATTATGTTATTTTATAGATTTTCTGTTACATTACCTGTAATACTCTTATAAAACTTAAAAATTGTTAAACAAGAAAATATAAATTGTTTATTAATAATTGATATTAATGATGGCTTGAATAGCTTTTAAAATAATTTAGAAAATGTCTATAAAACTAGAAAAATTATATGTTATATTTTGAAACAAAATGCCGGTTTTAGCTATAAATGATTTTTAAAGTGATGAATATATAATGATCTTATTGATTTTACTATGAATTAAATTCAATCTTTACTCAAATAATTATGAAATTATTTTAACCATTATAATCATATTAGTCGCTAACTTTCCATTCTTCATCTACAATAAATTTGAATTCATATTTACCCAAGGGTAATTATACATCAATTTCAAATCTTTAAAATTAAACTAAATTTACTTATTATCAATTTATAATAATTCGATTTTATCTGTCCAATTTAACCAGCTGCCTGTTAAAAATACTTTACTACCTCCTTAAACCCTAAAATAATTAGACATACACTACCATGTAAATTTAAAATTATTGTTAATTATTTACTCTTAAGGTTAAACTTAACTTTAGTTTTAAGTCTATTCTTACATAATTCTTTCTTCTTCTTATTATTATAATCTCAATTTTTCAGCTTCTTATTCTTATCTAATTCTTTCTTCTTCTTGTTATTATAATCTCAATTTTTCAGCTTCTTATTCTTATCTAATTCTTTCTTCTTCTTGTTATTATAATCTCAATTTTTCAGCTTCTTATTCTTATCTAATTCTTTCTTCTTCTTGTTATTATAATCTCAATTTTTCAGCTTCTTATTCTTATCTAATTCTTTCTTCTTCTTGTTATTATAATCTCAATTTTTCAGCTTCTTATTCTTATCTAATTCTTTCTTCTTCTTGTTATTATAATCTCAATTTTTCAGCTTCTTATTCTTATCTAATTCTTTCTTCTTCTTGTTATTATAATCTCAATTTTTCAGCTTCTTATTCTTATCTAATTCTTTCTTCTTCTTGTTATTATAATCTCAATTTTTCAGCTTCTTATTCTTATCTAATTCTTTCTTCTTCTTGTTATTATAATCTCAATTTTTCAGCTTCTTATTCTTATCTAATTCTTTCTTCTTCTTGTTATTATAATCTCAATTTTTCAGCTTCTTATTCTTATCTAATTCTTTCTTCTTCTTGTTATTATAATCTCAATTTTTCAGCTTCTTATTCTTATCTAATTCTTTCTTCTTCTTGTTATTATAATCTCAATTTTTCAGCTTCTTATTCTTATCTAATTCTTTCTTCTTCTTGTTATTATAATCTCAATTTTTCAGCTTCTTATTCTTATCTAATTCTTTCTTCTTCTTGTTATTATAATCTCAATTTTTCAGCTTCTTATTCTTATCTAATTCTTTCTTCTTCTTGTTATTATAATCTCAATTTTTCAGCTTCTTATTCTTATCTAATTCTTTCTTCTTCTTGTTATTATAATCTCAATTTTTCAGCTTCTTATTCTTATCTAATTCTTTCTTCTTCTTGTTATTATAATCTCAATTTTTCAGCTTCTTATTCTTATCTAATTCTTTCTTCTTCTTGTTATTATAATCTCAATTTTTCAGCTTCTTATTCTTATCTAATTCTTTCTTCTTCTTGTTATTATAATCTCAATTTTTCAGCTTCTTATTCTTATCTAATTCTTTCTTCTTCTTGTTATTATAATCTCAATTTTTCAGCTTCTTATTCTTATCTAATTCTTTCTTCTTCTTGTTATTATAATCTCAATTTTTCAGCTTCTTATTCTTATCTAATTCTTTCTTCTTCTTGTTATTATAATCTCAATTTTTCAGCTTCTTATTCTTATCTAATTCGTTCTTCTTCTTGTTACTATAATCTCAATTTTTCAGCTTATTGTATTTATCTAATTCGTTCTTCTTCTTATTATTGTAATCTCAATTTTTCAGCCTCTTATTCTCGTCTAATTCTTTCTTCCTCTTTTTTTTATAATCTTAATCTTTCAGCCTCTTATTCCTATCTAATTCTTTCTTCCTCTATTTATTTTAATCTCATTTTTTCATTTTCTTATTCGATTTAAATTTATCTTTATCTTTCATTCTCTTTCTCTATTCTTGTTCTTTCTTATTAAAGTTGTCTTTTTCGTTCGTTTTCTTATTCTATTCTTATTTACTACTCCTTTTACTATTTTAATAATTCTGCCTCTTATTCTTTTCTATTTATCTCATCCTATTCTTAGTTCTCTCTATATTTTTAAACCTTTTATTAATTTCTATTTCTTACTTCTTCAATATAAACTCTCTATACATCATTTTCTTTTGGATTGTTTAGAAGATTTTATGATAATGATGGTTGTCCCATATTCAAAACAGCATCATCATATTACTAAAACTAGTGTAATTCTTACTTATTATTTAATTTTTGATAATTCTGCTTTAGCTAATTCTCCTTGTTTAATAAGCTTTTGAGTGTCCTTATCTAGATCATTAAGAATTTGAATTGTAGCTTAGTTATTTCCTTATGAAAATTAGTCTTATTTATTATCAACATTCAAAATCAAAGCTTCTTGAAATACATAATATAGATACCAGAGCTATTGTCATCTAAAATATGGTAATTGTACATACCTTATGATTCAATTTTAATTTTTTTTTCCAATTCATCCAAAGTAGCTGGGGTATAGGTGATATGATTTTCATCAGCAATATTGTACTTTTTTTAAAAAAATAAGATACCTAGGGCTATTAGGATTTTTCTTTCTTTCTAAGACACAAATTACCCATTTAAATAAAAATTATATTTATATTATGAATACATTAGAAAGTTGATTTATGAATCTATTTTAGAATTTAGATGATAAAAAGTTCGATTTGGGTAAATTGATGAACAATAAAGTGTATTATTAATTTTAATTGTAATTAACTAAATTTCACTTTTAGTATAGATTGTAGTATTTTGAGTGAAAAATTAACTTTCTATTTTTTGATTTTAATTTCTATATATTTGAAATAATTTTATTAATAATTGAATTTGAATTTCAAAATGAACTCAAAATAGTTTAAATTTTAAAAGGAGGTAGAAAATCCTAACAAGGAGAACGAAGGATATTACGAGGGAAATCGAATTAATAAAAAAAGGATTAGTTATCTCCCTCTAACAGATATTACAGATATATTATATCCTAAGAGAAGAGAATTGGAAGTATTTGAATAGAATCAATTAAAGCTCTCTCTAACTATTCAATTGAGATGATAACAATGAATTAATACCTTTAATCAATATAAATATCTTCCTTTAACTAATTATATTTTTTTATACTGCGATGAAGATTCAATCATTATAATCAACATCTGGTAATAATTCTCTGATGATCATATCACTAACTCTGAAATCCATTTCCTTAGCATTTGCTAATTCTGCTTCTTCATAATTAGTAAATTTTTCCTTAAATAACTTTTTCATATTATCTAATAAATTCAATTTATTGACATTTATCAATCTATAATGGATTTCCCTTATATTGATCACATGAGCAACTTTATCAAGAGTTACACCAGATCTAAAATATATGATAAAGAATACGGAACACCATTAGGCCATGATGATGGTAAATCAGTAAATTCTTTTCCATGAGGAGGGGCATCAGCTACATGGAAGATATATCTTAATGAAGGTGTGTGACTGGCATCTCTCCATTCAATCTTTTTTGCTGCATCATACAATCCATCCAAAACAGCCTCAGGTTGATCTCCTCCACCACAAGCATCTTGTTAATCTATAAATTTAAGTATTTCTTCTTCTCCACACAATTCTTAAATTTTAGTTATATAAGATGTGTCTTCAGGAGGATGATCTCTATAGCATACAAATCCAAATTTAACACTAATGTCCTCATTTTAAGCTTTATTTTTGATGTTTTTAATAATTTCTTTTACAGTATTCTATATAATTAAATAAAGATTTACTTTTGTTTAATTTAAATATTGAGACATAGATGAAGTAGTATCTACACAAAAAACAACATCAACAATACCAGCTGCAGCTTTGCTTTCTGTTCTTCTTGGGATCTTTGCAGAATCTGTTTATTTTTATTCTTATTATTCTTATTATTATTCTTTTTTTCCACTTTTTCCTTTTTTATCACTTTTCTTGTCTGATTTTTCAACAGCCTTTTTCTCACTTTTATCATTTGCTTTCTTATCTGATTTTTCTACTTCTTTTTTCTCAGATTTATCTGTAACTTTTTTTTCACTTTTATCATTATTTTTCTTTTCAGATTTTTCTTCTACCTTTTTTTCGCTTTTACTCACTTCCTTTTCATTTTTCTTTTAAGAGACCTTTGGTTTCTTATCATCTTTGGCAACAGTTGCTTCAACAGGAGTTTTTTTTGGTGTACTTTTTTTAACAGGACTTTTTTTTGGAGTACTTTTTTTTTTACTTATTACTTTTTTTTATACCGGTTGAACTTTCTATTTAGTTTCTGTAGGTTTTTTTATATCCTAGACTTCTGGTTATTTTTTTTATTTAGTATTATCTTTAATTGGTTATTTTTCTTCTTTTTAATTTGAATTCTTTTTAGGCGCACTCTTTTCTTTTTCATTAACTACATTTTTTTATTTTGTTTCTTAGGTCTACTTGGTAATCTTCTTTTGTATTATACCTAAGTGATAAAGAAGATATTTACCATTGCTTTTACTTCTAGTCTAACCCAATTTTTCGTGTACAATATTTTCATTGTCTTTTATTAAAGCTGAGATTGTTCTTGTTCTTCTAACAGGAGCCTTTTTAGTCTCTTATTTCTTTGGAGCAGCTTTCTTTACCATTATATATTTAAATAAAATTTATAATTAATAATAATTTCTCAATCTTCCAGAGAGTATTAAAAAGTATCTAAATAAAATTAATAGCATTTTTAATTCATATACTCTTTTATTTTATTTCTACATCACATAAATTAACATTTACATCATATAATATTAAGATTTCTCTATTAAAACATCTTTTTAATAATACTCTGTAATGAAAATTTCATCATATTATAAAATTTATTATAAAATATAATATATATCTTTCTTTTCAAAATCTGAAGTTAAAATCTAAATGTCATCTATATATCATTTTAGGTTAATTATAAAAAGAATTTTCAATTAGATACTTTTAAATTGAAATTTTTTAGATTAGTTAATTTAGTAATTTTATGAATAAATACTCAATTTTTTAAATGTTCTGAAAACACAAGTTATAATGAACTAGTAATTTATACCTTAAATACATATGAAAATTAGAGAAATTAAAAAATATATCACTAGATTAGAGTATTACAAATGGTGAAGACATCATTCAATTTATTATTTATAAAAATAAAGAATAATTTTTAATAATTCATTTAAAGTCATGAGAAATTATATGCTTTAAAAACCATTGCTTTTATTTAATAATAAAAATGAGTATCGAGTATTTTAGCATGATTATTTAATTAATTTAGTATGTGAGAATGAGTTTTCAATATTATTTATGCATTGAACTTGGAATGAAAGATATAAATATTTTAGAGAATATTCATTATTTATTTATTCATCAAAAACAGCAAAAAGTATCTGATTTAAGATTTGATTTAATAAGTTATTTTATTTATGGATTTGTAGTTTATTAAATGGCAGCTTTCAACTCTTTATTTGAATAGTTAGATTTTTCAAGTAACAATTAAACACATTAAAAATGATTCCATCTAATTGAGACTTCTAATGGAGATTCATAAAAGTTATCGTAAACTCTGCTTTTTATAGAAGGATTGGCTTGTTAATCTAATAAGAATTTAATAACAGCAAGATTTCCATTTTTGCAAGAAATGTACAAAGAGTTCTATCCAAATTTATTGAAAGAATTAAGTATATGTTTTGGATCTGTTGGACAATACAAATGTCTAAATAAAAAAATAATTTACTTTTTAGGATAGATTTATAATAATTTAATCATATTTTGAATATCTTTTTATGATCCTTATTCAGAATAAAAAATGAATCTATCAACTAATTTCAAGTTTGATAAGATTTCATTGACATTTTCACTATCCCTCGAAGAAGGGTCAGGATGTATTTTTGACACATTTGTATTAGTGGATGGTTTAATAATTGTTTCTTTTAATTAATCCTAATATAATTATCTAGTTAATATACTATGTTTGAAATACGTTCAACTAAATTCTGTTATAACCTTCTTATACTTAATAGTAAGTTTCCAAAGGCTTTGAATTTATTTTTTTTAGGTGAATCATCTGTAATCATCTTAGTTGGTGAATCAATAATAGTGTTAGTTTAAATTTGTTAATCATCTTTAATGTACTAAAAGTCTTATTACCCTTTTTTATTGATATCAATACTAATTTAAGTTTATTTCATCTATTGTTAGGATTAATTGAATAATTCTTACTTGAGAATTGACAAACTCACTTTGGAAATCTTGACTTAATTTATTATGACTATAAAGTTATTGTGAATTCTTTAGTTCTTGAATTCTGTCTTCTGAAAAGCTTAGCTTGCGATTGGAGGGACTGTAGTCTTCTAAAAATTACTAGAAATTTTAATAAAAATATGCACTTGAATGTTGTTGAATGCTACTTATGAATGTGGAGATGAATTCTACTTCTTATCTGATTAATTTGGGATTATATATTTTGAGTAAATGCTATCCATTGTATTTAATTATTTATATATATTTATACTTCAAGTTTATCCTCATTTGCTTACCAAAGAAACCAATTATTTTAACTTTGTATTTGTGGACTCTGCTTCTATTAATGATTTGTTTAAATTCTTAAATATAATACATGTTTTATACATTGGAAGTCTGTAGTAGATTCTACTCCATTTTAGAGTAATCATTAATTATCTAATCTAATAATTTATTGTCAAAGAATTGAATAGTTTTTTCAATATTACTTTATCCAAATTTAACCATTCTTATACATTAAGCTTCTAATTCAGACATTAATTATAAATTATATTTAAATTAATCATTAATAATCATCTCTTTCATCTTAGGGTTGCACACTTCTTCTATCTCCACGTAATAAAGGAATTTATTTAGATAGTTAATTTTATTGATATTTTGTTGGTTATTTAGTATTAAGTTCAGTCCATGCATTTTATCCAAAAGCCTTTAAGACAAAGGAAACTGACTCTTCCATTATTTTTGTTGGTCTCTTAGAATTATGTGTTCCATCAAAACTAAACAATTCTTTATTTTTTCCACTAAATTATTTCATTAGCAATTTAGGATGACTTTCTCTTATCAAATCATCCTATTAAGCAGACAAAAATAATATTTGAACATCCTAAGGTAATACTTATAATTATTTAATTATTACCTTGTATTATTTAAACTATATTCAATTCATCAATATTAAATTTAACTTCTTAATGAATTTTAGATTTTACATAACACCAAAAACAATTAAAACAACAATTTGGAATTTTGTAATTCACTTTCGCTAATTCTTAGCATAATAAAGTTAAATTTGAGAATGGGCTATCACAAACTAAAACTTTAAAATCATTTTTATTATGAGCTGCTAAGATGGCTGTCACAGAACCCATTGATCGACCCCATAATCCAATAGATGTAATATCACTCTATGTAACTTATATTCTATTAAATGATTACTTTGTTTTCTCTTAAGTAATCATATAAACATATGACATCATTAGACTCATGAAAGCCCAAGGATATATATTCTCCTTCCGATAATCCAGAACCTTATTTACTTAATTGAAAATACCAGACAAATCAATACCACAAACTGAAATGTTTGCTGGAATTAAATATTCAATAATTGTAAATGATTCAATTCTACTGCTTGAATTACCATGCAGGTATATCATACAAGGATGAGGATTTCCTTACATTCTTAAAGGCTCAAATAAACTTAATATAGTTTGAATCTCACCTACATTATAATTTCTAATTTCTATTATTATGTATTTCAAAGTCTGTTCTTTTTGCTATTGTTTCTTTAACTTTAAAAAGTTCATTCCCAAGATCTTTAAGATGATAACAATGTCTTGGAGGTCTAACAATAGGTTTCCATAATTTTTCATTCCATTTGTATTCTTATTGTCTCATATAAGTTTAAAATAAATAATATATTGATTTATAATAATATTAATGAATTTACCCTAAGTATTCAATGTATTTACAGATAATAACTAATTCGAAAAATTTATTGAAGATCTTGTGGCTGATTGTGTTCATGGAATTAAACTACCATATTTGAATTAATTCCCTGAAATTAATCACTACAATCTAATTGTGGAAGCTCAATAATTTATGCAACAATTTAGTGAATATTTGTTAGAAATGAATAATTAAAATAGGGAAGAAGTATAAATAATTATTAATTTGTAATTAGGTGTAAAGACTATTAGAAAAATTAAAATCATAAATAGACCCAGAAAAACATTAGATCTTCACAAGGATAATAACTGAGAACTTTAAAGGTATGTGTAAACAAGCATTATATACACATATAGCATTATCAAAATATGTTTTAATTGATTATAATTGGAATTTGAATGTACATTCCATAAATTCTATATAGTTAACAATATCATCCAATAAAATAGCTAAGTCACAGATTCCTACAATAATTGTGGAATTGCATTTATAAACCTTAGATAATATAGCTAATAAAAAAAAGATTAGATTTGAAATGACAAAGGAAGAGCTTGAATAGTTTGTAGGTAAATTATAAAAAGTTATGAATTAATTACAATTATAATATAAATGATTTCATTAACACCTGGTTATATCAATATAATCACCCTTTTTAACATATGATTTCCTATAATTTCTAAATTTACGTTTTTGTTTTTAAGGAAATATCTAATTTTACAGAATCATTCAAATTTAAACGAGGAAATGCTCAGAAGATAATTTACTTTATTTTTTTTGATCATATTTAGTACAATATTTCTTAAATATTCTATTATTCCTAAGCTTTTATAAATTTTTATTTTTCCCTTTACACTTTCCTTATCTGCTACATATCGAAATGGTTTCCATCTTTTTCTAAGATCATTTCTTCAACTATTCCTTTCTATTCTTTCTATTCTTTCAACTATTTTAATTGTTGTTTTCTTGAAGAATTAGTTAATTCTTTGATTAAGGATATCAAGTTGATTGCAATTTAGTGTTATTTTAATTTTCAACAGGATATTCATCTACTTCATCATCATTGAATAATGATAATTTGATATCTGGTTAACAAATTAATTATTCTGTAATTTTAGTAATAATATCTATAATCGATTTTAAGTTATATAATAATTTAAGTTTATCTTATTATGAAATATTAATTATCCAATTCATCTTCTTCATTACTTTCTTTTTTCCCATTCCTTTAAATATATAATAATGCATAAGAAATTTGGCAATTTTACAATCTATAAAATATTACACTAATATAATTGTATATCATTAGAAATTAATAACTATTTAACGGAGCTATTGATAATCAAATGAGAGATAAAGTTGATAAAAATAATAAAATAGAATAATTAAGATTATCTTATATAATATATTAAATTTAATTAAATAATTATTTATAATGACAGATTGAATATTAAATAAGCAAACTTAAACTTTAAAAAAGAATTAAAATAGATGTCCTATTTAGAATAAATAATTATACTTATATAAATTATATCCAAAATATATGTTATTATATTCTAATAATTTATATTAATGAATAGAACTGATAATGTTCATTCCTATATTAGAATTATCGATTTGATTATGATTTTTAACTTTAAAAAATCAATACTATAAATGAAGAATGGTGTAATCTTAAATCTTCAAATTTTAATGAGATGAATATATATTTATAAAATTACTTTCATGATTTTATTTATAATTCTTATATCACTAGAAATTAAAGACATAGCTTTTGCCTCATTTGAATAGCAATATGATTAACTGTATTCCAGATGCATATTATTTATCTTAAATATAAGTATAGTCTTATATTAACATTAGTTTGTTTAATTTATCAGAAAAAATCTAAAAAACAACTATGCTTTTTGGTTATAATACATTTTGTTTAAAACTGTATTTATTTTGGATTTCATTAGTTATGGTATCTCTATCCTTTAGCAAGCAATTTTAAACATAACAATTAAACAAAGTTTTTTATATTTTTATTATACCTATTTACTGGGGCTTTAGATTTGGCAAACCCTAACTCCTTATTTACTCAAACTGAGTTAAACTCGAAATTAACAATTTTACTCATAATTTTATTCGAATTTTATAACCTTCTTATATCAACTAAAATTGGGCACAAGGCAAGACAACTTATACTTGATATACTAATAGAAGATTGTGTGATTAAAATTTATGATAGTTAATTAAATGATTTAACTCCAAATCTACTCTCCAAATCATAAAATATTGATAATTTTTCATCTCCAACCATTTATACTACAAGACAATCAAAAAGTAATGATAATTTTACAAATAACTAATCTTAAAATAAATAGATTAATTTCAAAACATATAAATTTTATGACAATATTAGTCTATCAGCTGATTCTTTGTAATCTTCCACTTAAAAAGATTAAACATACAATAATATAAAGGATTTAATTAAATAATATTTAAATGATACTAAAATTAGTGAATAATTAATCATAGCCAATGAATACGATTATAAAACTGGTTAGAAAATCAAATACAAACTCATTATTTCATAAAGTATTTCTAATTATATTATTGTTGCCTTCATTAAACTAGATTAAGTCTATTTAATTAAACAATAAAATAAATTAATTTAGTTTAAATAATAATTAGCATCAATCTTTACTAATAAATTAAAAACACCTTTAAATGCAACATTTGGTTATTTAAATTAATCAATAAATGATATATCAGTATCTGATTAATTTAAATAATTATACTTAATACCTGCTATGCTAAATTCTAAACTTTAGTTATATCAAATATAAGATCTTTTAGATTATCTTTACTAAGATTCTACATAATTAACATTATAAGTTGCTAAAACTAATTTGATAAAATTATTATTAAGTGTCAATGAATTGTTAGAATTGTAATGCAAAACTAAATAAATATCATTATAATATCATATAAATAATGTAGATATCAAATATTAAAAATCAATATATATTAATACAGATTCACAAAAATTAGAAAGAATACTAATTAATTTACTTAATAATAGTTATCGATACTCTCCATCAAATAATACAATAAAAATAGATATCTAGATTGATGAGTAAGAATCAAAAGCATTTTTTAGAGTATCTGATAATGGTGAAGGATTTACTTAAGACTAAATCAAGTTTATAAATTAGTAAGCACTTTTATAAAATAAATTTTAATTAGTACAAAATCATCATTAAGATAAATATCATCATTTTAAAATCCATATCAAATTTGGAATATCTTTATAAATAACAAATCATTTAATTTCTGCTTTAAGCGATTAACATTCAAGTTTACAATTAAACAATTCTTAACAAGGAGCTGCTTTTGAATTTTTTATTAGTACGAAAATGTAAAACCAATTTTTAAGTTCATAGAAAATAATTTAGAATTCAAAACCAATTAAATCTACTAAAGGCTTATAACATATTGAGTAAGATAATGGTTCAATTTACAGTCATTCAAGTTCATTAATAATTGAACCATCACCTTAATTACCATTAAATCAGAAAAAAAATGAATTATAATAATTTAAGAGTAGACACTCTCATAGATAATCAAGTATATCCCTTACAAAAAGGGCAGAAGAAAATCAATTTCATTTATTGAAAAAAGGAACCTTATGTGAATCTATTGATTTTGAAAATGAATAAGAAATATTGATAGTTGATGATGAACCTTTCAATCATGATATATTATGTTTAATGCTTAAGAGATTAGGACTTAATAAGTTTGTTAAAGCTTATAATGGTCAATAATGTTTAGATATAGTTATGAAAAAGAAATCAAGAATTCAATTAATATTTATGGATTTAGATATGCCAATTTTAGGAGGACTTTAAGTACATTCATATTTAATTTTAGACAACAGAAATCTTAATAGATATGATGTAATAAAAGAAATTAGATTATATAAATATAATTGGATGTACTGCACATGATGATTATGATACTTAATTAAAATGTATTAATGCTGGAATGAAGCATGTTATTAGCAAACCCATCTTCTTAAAATAAGTAAAGGAACTATTTTTGAAATTAAGTGACGAATTGCTAATCAAAAATTTATTCATTAGTTAATCTATTGAAAAACACATTTGATACATCTATTGAATTATTATGTTAAATTTTGTGTTTATTTTTTGCAATATTGAGATTCTCAATTGAATAAATTAACATTTTTTAATTGTTCAATTAATTTCTATTATTAAAAAATGATTAATTAGTTTATACTTTAAGTAATTTATAGTGATTTGATTTTATATATTAAAATTAGATCCTCTTTTTGTAATTAATAGTCAAAATATGTGAATATATAACAATAATAATAATACTTTTATTTTTCATATCTACATTTATAGTTTGAATATAAACTCTCCTATTTGATAAGATTAAAAATTATACAAAGATAAATCAGTATCATAAAATATTATATTATTATTGAAGATAATTAAAGCATAATGTAATACGTTAAAATTTAAAGAAATTGAATACTAATTGTAGAAATATTTTTTTTTTTATATTATAAAAATCTCATTAAAATTCTATCAAAATAATTTAGTTAGAAATAAGTTAAATAGAATTTGATTAAATTTAAGGAAGTCAAGAATAATTAACTTAGTTAAATAAAGATTTAAAATATATTATAAAATACTAGTAATTTATATGTTTTTATAAACTTGATTAAAAATTAATTAATTAATAGAAATAGCGCGATGAGTGAATAGATAGTCTATATTGAGGACTTTGCTATCGATACCTGTAATTTATTAGGTTAAGGAGCATGTGGCAAAGTCTTTGCTGCATCCAGAAAAAATGATAATAGATAATTTTGTGCCAAAGTATAATAATAATAATATTAATTTTTAGATTGTGACTGCAAATTCCACAAATGTCTAAAAAGAATTAGATATTTTGAATTTTATGAAAGACAAGCAAAATGAGAATATTGTAAATGTGTTCTACAGTAATTTCGTTCCAGAGAGAAAATTTTTTGTTATTATAATGGAAAAATGTGAGTCAGACTTAGAAAAAGAAATTAAAGCTAGACAACAATAATAACTTAGGTATACAGAACAAGAAGCTTTTGAAATAATGAAACAATTATTCAATGGATATAGAGTACTTTATTAAAGTCAGGTTATCCATAGAGATATAAAACCTGCCAATATTTTGACATAGCAAGGAAAATATAAGGTAATTATTATGGATATATTTAGATTGCTGATTTTGGAGTAGGTAAGATTTATTCAGCAGATTCGAATTTATTAAACATCACAAAAAATGGTACACCAGTATATAAAGCACCAGAATTATAACCCAACTATGAATATTCTCCAAGTATGATTTAAGTTTAACTTTAATTTAGCCGACATGATGTATATTCAAGGAAATCAACCAAGATTTTCAACTAATACAGGTTAAAATTCAAATTTTAATTTACAATAGGTAATAATATTAATAATGTAGACAACTCCATTTAAAGGTGCATTTGATGACAAAGATAAAAAATAAAAACTAATGCACAAAGTCGATATTTATTCAGTATATATCTTACATAAATATTTAAGTTTGGGATTCTATATTATCATCTTTTAACAGGTTAATATCCTTTTGATTTATCAATTGCTGGAATCATGAATTTTACTTAAAGATTAAAAACTATGCCTTTTAAAATACCTCCTTAATTTAATTTAAGTCCAAATACTTGTTAAATGGTGGAAAGAATGATTACTTATTCTCCAGTTGAAAGAATTGATTTCCCAGCACTTAGTCAATGGTTTGGACTAAGACTTGGAACTATGTACAATAGAGATAATGCTATAATGCTTCCTGTAAGGCCAGCTACTATTGCATATGTTGCTTCAAAGATCGTAATGATTTTACCTTAAAAATCTGTCCAAGATTGGTTTTAATAATATAGAACTTTGTTTGTAGAAAAATGGTATTATAAATAATATTATTATAATAGTTGTGAAAATAATCAAATCATTCCAATATATAGAAATTATTGTGATTTATGTTTGAATTTGGCCATTTTGTAATTTGAATAACAAATAAATATAGATTAAATAAATGATTATATAGCAAAGTATTAATAAGCAAACAAATGTGATATTTAATTTAAAATAGAAGCTAAATTGGATAAAACCTATTATATTTTAGAATATTGTAGAATTTTATAAAGCTAATTTATACCTAAATTTTTTGATTATGAATAAATTAAAACTTATGGAGAATAACATTTAAAGTTTATGTTTATTTCTCATAAATTAAACAAAGGACTTTATTATATTTAAGAATTATTAGGAGCATAAATACCAAATTATAATGGATTTAAAGAGCTAATCTCAAAAGATAATGGTTTAACTAAAGAATAATACAAATAATATTTAGATGAATAATTTTGAAGTATAAATGTCATAAAATAATTATAAATGTAATTATCATTCTTATTATTATTACTCTTATGAAATCTATTCTTATTATTAGCTGATATCTTATTGTATATTTTAACCAAAGTTTTATTCATTTATAGGTTCTTAATAAATAATTTATAATTTTACTTCTTGGATTAAAATTAAAATAGAAATTCAATTCAATTTAATTGATTATTTGTAAATTTGTTTAACAAAATCCTTCCCATTCTTAATTATTTTTCATTGCTGTTAAAATTACTGGATTATTTTATTAATTAATCATATAATTAGCTAATTTACTTAAAAATCCTTTAAATCCTATAATTGTTTATGTTTAATTAAATTAGTTTACAATGAAATTTAATAAAGAATCAATTATCTATATAAAAATGATTAGATTAAATTACTTATAGGATTTAATCTATTTGATGATTTTCAATAAGTTTTTCAAATATTAAAAAAGAAGTGAAATGAAGCTGATTGTGAAAAGGAAATTCACATATTGTATTTATAAGAATATTAACAAGTCCATTATCTATTAATTTAGAATTAATTGATTAATTATTTAATCTAAATTTTAATTATATAATTATTACTCAATTAATTGTAAAGTAAGATTTAATAATCTTACATTTTTTCTGCCAAAGAGTTTATTATAATATCTATCATATTAATTATAATTTTAATAGGTTTTCTAAAATTCTAAAGGTATTAAATGTGATATATCTATAAATGAATCTATTTAATCTTATTAGTAATTTTTAAAATACTCTAAAAGTAGATTCAATATATGATATGGTCCTTCTGAATTTGATTAAATTGCTATTTAAAATAATTTACTTGGTTATAACATTATAATTTATGATATTTCTAAATTTTGATTTTATGATTTTCTTGTGAGTATTTCTATATATATTTCAGAAATATTATCAACAATTATATTTTAATATGATTTCTTTATCATAATTTTAAATAATCGATCTGAAAACTATTGAGCTAGATAAGAATAATCTAAAATATTAGATGGTTGATTGCCAAATATAATTAATTCTGTGATGGTCTTACAAATATGAGGTTAATCAACATGTTTAAGAAAAGATGACATTATTCTCTAATCATTTTCTATAAAGTTCCAAACATCAGCACCTCTTTTTTAGATAATAGAATTCATCGCTTTATAAAAGTATCCACATATAGTTTCTGATATAGTATCTAATTCTACCAAAGTAATTAAATAGCGAAATAATCCCTATTTTATTACTTATTAGTTTTCATTTAAACCTTCGAGATGATCAAATAAGTAATCAATGAATTCTTAATTAGCATTTTCAAATAATTCTGAACATTAAAATAGAAGTCTAATATTTATTATATAAATACTATGGAGTTGGATTTCTATTAAAAATATTACTATTCAAAGTGATTGTGGAGATTAATTCATAATAGATCCAAGCTGAATATTCACTAATTTTATATAATATTAGTTACTGAGTGATTATTGAATTACATTTCTAGTATACTGAGAGGTCACTTTGAATGATTGAAGTTACTTAATTGATGATAAATTCCTAGATCATTAACTATTAATCTTATGGACTATTTAGATGTATTTATTGAATAATTACTTCTCCATGGTATATGTTTGAAATGATAATAATTTATAAATATTCAATTTTTATTGCTTTTCATTTATATTAAACATTAAGAAGTTTAAAGACAAAATAATTCTAACATTTCTAAATCTATTGAGTTAACTTTAGAATCACTACCTCCTATGCCTTTAACATTGACAACTTATAATGCTCCAATAATCTAATTACTATATTTTAGAGGCATACAAATAATTGGCATACTTGTTTCTATATCAATATTAGGATTGAAAAGAGGATTAATATAACAATTACTTATTGCAATAATTGATTAACTTTATATACAATTACCCATTATACCTAATGAATTATCACATTCATCTAATTTACCTTCTCTATTAATATGAATAACTTATTTAATTTAAATATCATTATAAACAATTTTAGCAAAATCTACATTCATAAGTGATCTTAATCTTTCTTCTGCTTATTATATAAATTGATGAAGTTCATATTATTTAGATTATAATAATACTCCTGTTTTAATAAGATGTCTTAATTTATTTTAAATTAACATTTAAGCATCATGATTCATAGCATTTTTAAGTACTGATCTTGAAAATTCACACATTATTTATAATAATGCTTCATCATCTTTTGTAAAATAACCACTTTATTTATTAACACATTATAATACTCCAACACATTTATCATTTTCCATAATTGGACAAACTAATAATGTTTTTGTCTTATAATTATTTTTAATATCTTATTATGAATTAAATCTTTAATCTCTATAAGCATCTTCTATATTTAATATACTTTTTGATTATGCTACAAAACCAGCAATTCCTTGTCCTATTTATAAACGTATTGTAGTTGATGTTCCTTTAGCTACTCTAGTCCACAATTCTTTTTTACTTTCATCTACTATAAAACATGATGCCCTATCACATTCTAAACAATCTACACATTTATTTATTATAGTTTATAAAGCATCATCTAATAAAATTGATGAATTCATTTATAGAGCACCCATAACAATTTTTTTTAATCTCAATACTAAAATAAATAATTGATTATGATCAGACATTATTCTTTTAAATTTATCATAAAGAAATGATAATTTCTATGCAGACATATTTTATATGATATCTCCAAATGAATCTTCATTATCTAATAATTCTCTCATTAATGATACAGTTCCATCTTATTTATATTATTACATAGCATCTTCATCAGATAATTATATATTTAAAATTGCATTAGTTCTAAAACAATCTTCTTATTATAATGTATCATAAAATGTAGATGCTTTTTAAGTCTATTTTTCATTCTTTTATTATTCACTTTCTTATTCTAAATGTAATCGTGCTAAAGTTGGATTTCTATAGATTCTTCTTTTAACACTAGGACTTTATTATGATGTATCATCTAAAAATTTACTTAAATAATTCTTCTTTTCACTAAGTGTCTTATTATGACCTAATTTTATTGTAATTTTTTTAGAATGAAATTATCTTTCTGATTATAAAATATTTAGTTTTGTTTGATTTGCTTATATTAAATATTCATTAATGCATGATAATCTTTCTATTTCTTTCTATTATAATTTAATCTTATCTTTTAATCTTCTAATTTATTCTAACATTGTTTCATTTTATTGATTAGATGGACTACATGTACCATCATTTTTTTAAGTTCTTTGATGATATAGAGAAGATTCTAAATTCTTATCATTTTTTAGATCCTTATTAAAGAATGATCTTTTAACATGTTCTGTTTAAGTAGTTAATCTAGGACTATTTAATATTTCTAATTTATTCATTATTAAATATTAATAAATATGNTTAATATCTTATTATGAATTAAATCTTTAATCTCTATAAGCATCTTCTATATTTAATATACTTTTTGATTATGCTACAAAACCAGCAATTCCTTGTCCTATTTATAAACGTATTGTAGTTGATGTTCCTTTAGCTACTCTAGTCCACAATTCTTTTTTACTTTCATCTACTATAAAACATGATGCCCTATCACATTCTAAACAATCTACACATTTATTTATTATAGTTTATAAAGCATCATCTAATAAAATTGATGAATTCATTTATAGAGCACCCATAACAATTTTTTTTAATCTCAATACTAAAATAAATAATTGATTATGATCAGACATTATTCTTTTAAATTTATCATAAAGAAATGATAATTTCTATGCAGACATATTTTATATGATATCTCCAAATGAATCTTCATTATCTAATAATTCTCTCATTAATGATACAGTTCCATCTTATTTATATTATTACATAGCATCTTCATCAGATAATTATATATTTAAAATTGCATTAGTTCTAAAACAATCTTCTTATTATAATGTATCATAAAATGTAGATGCTTTTTAAGTCTATTTTTCATTCTTTTATTATTCACTTTCTTATTCTAAATGTAATCGTGCTAAAGTTGGATTTCTATAGATTCTTCTTTTAACACTAGGACTTTATTATGATGTATCATCTAAAAATTTACTTAAATAATTCTTCTTTTCACTAAGTGTCTTATTATGACCTAATTTTATTGTAATTTTTTTAGAATGAAATTATCTTTCTGATTATAAAATATTTAGTTTTGTTTGATTTGCTTATATTAAATATTCATTAATGCATGATAATCTTTCTATTTCTTTCTATTATAATTTAATCTTATCTTTTAATCTTCTAATTTATTCTAACATTGTTTCATTTTATTGATTAGATGGACTACATGTACCATCATTTTTTTAAGTTCTTTGATGATATAGAGAAGATTCTAAATTCTTATCATTTTTTAGATCCTTATTAAAGAATGATCTTTTAACATGTTCTGTTTAAGTAGTTAATCTAGGACTATTTAATATTTCTAATTTATTCATTATTAAATATTAATAAATATGTTACACTATAATAAACATATATTTATTATATCATTCAATAGAAACATTACTTTTTTTGCATATTAGTTATCTTGGTATAAATTTATTTCCTTAATTCTTTTGTTAACTTATTTATTAATTTTAATCTTAATCAATCTTTCCTTCTTATTTTAAAAAGACATCAGGTATTTTATATTCTTTTGGATTTACTTTTCTTTTTTTAATAATTGAAGGTTCTATTGGTATTATTTTTGTTTATTAAATCTATTATTATTATTATTATTATTATGGTTTAATATCTTTTACTATAGGATTATTATTTTATTTATTATCATCTTCACTATCTGAATAATTAACTAGCATTTTGTAAATTAAAACAATAATTTAAATTTGAATAATAATAATAATATTAATGTCATCAGAGTCTGTTTCAATAAGCACTTTGATATAAAAGAATGCTTAATAAAATGTAAATTCAATCATTATATTAAGACATAATACAATTGGGTTGGAGTATTGGAATTCTTACATGAATAGCATAAATAAGTTTAATATAAAGATTGTGAATGGGCATTAGAGAAATCATAAATGTAGTAGAAAATAAATGAATTAGAAGGAGTAGTCAAAGGATAAGAAAGAGTAATAACAGATTTAGGCAAAAGATGTAAAATGTTAGAAGTAGCATTACGATAAGAAAGATTAAAATATTAATAAAATGGATAAGTTCCTGATTATTTGAATCAATTATTAAAGGAAAACATAGAAAATTAAAGTTAGATATAAAATTATTAAACAATTCCAAAAAGAAAAGCTAAACCTTATAGACCCTTATTATAAAAGTATAAAAATATTAGTTAAACTTAAGAATAATTTAAGAGGTGGGATTGTAATCAATATTTTCACCACCAAGTTCTCCTAAAATAGAACATTCAAATAGACCATCAGTAATGTTAACACCAAATTAAAATGTGACATCAATTGTCTAAAATTCAGGTAGACAAAGTCCAACTAATATGAATAGTACAAGTGGATTTCCAACTCATAGTAGAAGCAAATCATAAAATATTAATGAAGAATAACCATAAATAGTTTCAAAAGATCCTGTTTAATTATAAAATACATTGAGACATCATTTAGATGGTGTAAGAGATGCATATTTTTTTAATAATATGACTATATTAGCAACAGTTTCTGAAGATTGTCAATTAAAATTATGGGATTATCAAAATTATTAATAATAATAAAATTAGATAGAACCATATTTGACATTAAGAGATCATACTGGACCTTTATTTGCAATAGCAGGAATAGAATAAAGATAAAAAGGAATGTAGAATGCAATATTTAGTGCTGGAGCAGAAGGAGCAATAAAAATGTGGTATTTTCCATTGCCAGATGAATGTGATTAATTAGGATAGACAGAAGAATTTTAATAATGTAGAATGACTTGGTAAGCTCATTAAGATGCAATTTGGTAATTAAAAGTTAATTAGTAATAAAATTTATTATTATCTTCTGCAGCTGATTCTCTAATTAAATTATGGCCAATTTAAGATTCATAAATAGAACCTAAATAACTTTATTAATTTGGATAAAAAAATTAATATGGTCATTTTATAGATTCACCAACTGCTATATAATGGTTATAACATAATCCAAATAATTTTGCATCTGGTTTTATGAATTCAGCTATATTATCTATATTTGATATAGAAAATGGAAGAAATATTTAAAATATTAAATATTTATAAGAAAATAATGTATCAGCATAAATAAATTAATTAACATAATTTTAATAATAATGTTTAATATCATCACATGATGATGGAAAATTAAGAATTTTTGATTTACAATAATGTATAAATATATTAATATTTTAGCTAAATTAATATAATAAATAATTTGTGGAAATGAACCAATTACTTCAGCTATTACTAATCTTAGTAATACTATTATATATATTGCAACTGGGAATGTTATTAAGTAATAATTTAAATTTAATTATAATAAGAGTTTGGGATACAAGAAGATAATAATTTATATAAGAACTTTAAGGACATCAATCTAAATATGATGAAAATATTCATAATCTAGTTCATCATAGTAGTTATAATTTATTCGCATCTTTAGGTGCAGATGGATAAATCAAATTATTTTCATCTAAATGATTTATATATAATAGATCATATATATATATATATTTTTTATTATTATACCGTTTTTAATGAAATAAGTCATTTTCCTAGTAATGCTTATTACTTTGACTCTACAAACATAATTGTCATCTAAAATTGATGTTGTTATGGCACATATGGATAAAATGACAATTAAAAATGAATTTTCAAAGCAACTTGCTGGATTAATTGAACTTAAAATGTTATAGAGTTCATATGTAGAGGAAGTATTAAAAGAAATCAAAACAATTAGAGATTAATTAATTGCAGATTAAACTATAGAGGATCAAGAATTTGCTAAAGTATACAATATTATTTATATATAATCTAGAAAATTGGATAATTGAATGTAGAAATTGAAATATTAGAAATCTAAACTGAAAAATTAGCTAAAGAATTACAAAGACTCAATCAATAAATTGCAGATTTAAATGAAGATATTAGTAAATTAATTGGTACACAATAATCATAAGAAAAATAATTATCAACTTTGAATTCTAAAGAAGAAGATATTAGAAATCAATATAAATTAGAAATTGAAACTATTTCAGTATATCTCATCAATATTTCTAGTAAAGAACAACAAACAATATCAAATCTATTGATGGATTAAATGAAATGATTGCTAAATTATAATAGGCTGTATTTGCTGAATAAAGTAAAACAACTGTACTTTCATAATAACATACTAAATAATATGTTGATTAACTTGCTAATTCATTAGGACCTAATCATCCTATTACAGCACTTGTCTCTGTTACAACTAAGTATTTAACTATTTATATATATATATCAGATTTGATGTACCAACAGTTACCAGAATTATATAATTACTAGAGAATATTAGAGATTAAAGAATATAAGAAAATGCAGGTGCAAATGATTTTGTTGTTAAAGTTACATAATCATATGAAGTTACATTAAAAGAAGTAACTGAAGTTAGAGAAAGACTTAGTGCTGATTATTCAAGAACACTTATTACATTAAAGAGAAGAAATGAAGAAAATGTAATTTATATATTCATTATTAAATTAGACATTATCTACTAAAACTAGAAATCAAATATAAAAGGATTTACCTATTGCATTAGATTTACTCTAATAATATAGAAATGAAAGAGAAATTGTTCAATCAAATTATAATTTAAGATCTGCTAAAAGAGAAAATGAAGTTAAAATTATTACATAAGCTTATACTATAGTAGCCTAATAAGTTAAAGTTTGAATAATATTAAAAATAAAAACACAATTATTTCTAATTTATATTATTTTCTCAAATGGATAGAACCAATATCTCTTAAACTATCTAACCTATGACTATTAGTATGATCAAAAAAGGAATGAAATCTACATTACATACATAATTAGATTATGTTATTAATGAAGGCCATCCAATTAATACTATATTAATTGTAGGCTTCTCTGTTGAATTATTGATTAATAGTGATTTACAAGAATTCTAAGCATTAATTGAAGATAGTACAGGCAATATTTAAGTCATTACACCCTTAACACAATAATATCCATATTGGTTAGATGTAATCAAAATTATTATTAACATAGAAACTAATCTAAGAAAATCCTAAATAACCATCATATGTAAGATGTATCATTATTCCTAAATAATTTAAATAAGAGATTGTATTTTAGTGTGTTTATATGGAATTAATCAAAAATTTTAATATTATCACATTACATTTGATTGATTGTATTAAAGCATATGAATATCGTAAATCCATTTCATATTTAACTTAATTAGATAACAATTAAGAATAATAATAATTAATCAAAACTAAATCACTTTAATATCAATCCTCTTCTATTCTCTAATTAATTGAAAAATAACCCTTATCAAAAGATAAAATTTTAGAACTTACTAATATATCAGAATAATTATTTCAATAATGTTTATAATTTTTAGCTGATCAAATATAATTAAATGAAAATGATGAATATTATAAATTATAACAATGAATATATATCAACTATTTTTTAATAATAATTAATATATCATTTTTAATATAATATTAATTCCTATTTATTTTGAATAATGATATATATTAAAAGTCTATTAAATATAATATATTTTAAAATTCAAATAATTGTTTAACTAAATCATCTTAAAGTTTTGATATATATTAATTTATCATTATTAAGATCTTTGACAAATAAATCATGACAGAAATTTAGTAATAAAGAATTAAATAAAGGATTAAAATAATTAATAATTATTTATAAGGATTATATAGGTGAGTATTTAGCTAAATAAGAAGGAATTAGTATATATTCTAAACAAATAACTAATTCTCATATGTCTGAATATAAAGTACATGAATTGAATTTCACTTTAAGTTTACGAGTTAAGATATATAGTTTTATTAAGAAATTAAGGTAAATTTATAAAAGGTAGCTATGATAAATCTATAATAATTTTTGAAACATCAGAATTAATAAACATAATCGATCATTTTTGTATAAATAAATCAATTTAAATCAAAATAATTATTCATCATCTAATTATAAACAAATTATTATTCAATACTTAAAATAGACTGGATTAAGTTTTAATTTATATGAAAAATGATAATTTTCAATATGTACTTTTTAATATGCACTTTTCAAAAATAAATAAAATTTCAAACTAAATGATGATGGAGATTATTTAAATTATATTGGGAAGTTTAATTGTTAAATTTATATTTATAAATCATTAATATAATATCAATTAATATCTAATTCTAAATAAAAAATATACTCTCTTTTTTTTTTATATCAATTAATTTATATTGATATATTATTTAATTAATCTTTGATTTCTAATATTAATTGATCTATTTATTGTTCTTATTTAAATTTATTGAAATACTTAGTTAAATATTTAAAACATTTAGTATTATTCTCACTATCCTTATATATTTATCAAAACTAAATGCATAAATTACTCTTATTGTATTTATTTCCAAATTAAATCATTTTATAGAATAATAAATATATTTATAAATGTATAAAATACCATGCTACAAACATGAAGGTTCTTATGTTTAATTCATAAATACAGATAAAGAAAAAACTTAATTCATTTGTGATTAGTGCTAATAGGACTTATTTGATTTGAATCCTAACTTTAATTTTTAGAATCTAATAAATCTAAACAGAGTAATTTAGATTATCAATATATAAGGGATTGAAGTCTCCTGAATTTCTCTTTTCAAAATTAGAAGTATCTGGAGATATAAGGAATTTTTTTGGAGAATATTCAAAACATGATGTAATTAGTTTAAATAACTAAATAAAACAATTTGAATCCTTGATTGCTGAAATTTAAAATGGATTTACAAAAATGATTGATGAATTATAATAGAATATTAAATTATTTTTGGATACAAAATAAATAATTCGATAGGATTTAGAATAAGTATTAATATATAATCAAAAATTTTTAGATAATTAAATTTAATGAGTTCAAATAAATAATGAATAAATTAGTGGAATTAGGAGATTCAATCAATCCTAAAGCTATTGAATAAGCAGAAGCAGATATAAATTAATATTTTTAGTTTATTTCAAAAGATTGCAAATAATTATTAACAGAAAATATATAAGAAAATTATTAAAGGAATAAATAGAAATTAAAAAATGAAGAAACCTTTATGTTTTCTTAATTTAAAAAATTAGAGTCTTTACTTTAATCCATAATATTTAAACATAATGAATTTACTAAACAATTATAACCAATACCTCCAAAAAGTTTTATTTTAAGTGATTAATTCTATGATAGAATAATTAGTTAGATAGAAATAAAATCAAAGAAAAAGATATTAGATTCTAATTTGATTTTTAAAGGTTCTAGAGATGGATTGAATGCTAGTTCATTTTGGAAATGTTGTAATTAAAAATCTAATTTGTTGATGATATTTAAGTCATCTAATAAATCTATATTTGGAGGATATTCTCCATGTAAATGGGTAGGTGAGTAATATATTACACATATTTCTGATCCAACATATTCAACATTTCTATTTTGTTAAGATAAGAATGAAATTTATGATTAAAAAGATGGATTTCAAAATAGTGCTATTTGTTGCAATATCTAAGGTGGACCTATATTTGGAGCAGGTCATGATCTATATATAGGAAATGATTTTGTTGATGGATATTCAAAATTAGGACGAACATTTAAAAATCCTTAATTATAATAAAAAAATGTTTGGAGTTTTATGGAAACTTAAGAATAATCAAGTTATTTATTTGGTTAGTTAACTCCAAATATTGTAGAATGTCAAATATTTGAAATAACATTTTAATGAGTTTTATAGATGATTAAAATAAATGACATTACCAATCTAAAATATATTATATATATATATATATATATATATATATAAAATATCAACATTATTATATTATTTAAAATAATGTTGCTTAAATTAATACATTTATAATTATATTTATTCCTATTATATAATTTTTCTATTTTAAATTGAAATGCAAGAACTATTGATTTATAAATCTCATGTGATATCAAAAGAGAGTAAGAATAATCTCTACAAAAATGATGTAAAAATAATAAACTTACATAAATAATCTAATTTAAGAGGAGGTGGATGTGTAGGTTAAAAGTAATCAAATCAGAATCCATTTCTTATGATAAATCATGAGTAATATGTATTAGAAACATTACCTAAAGATTTTTTAGAAAACTTAAGAAGAAGATCAAAAACAATATAACAAATAGCAAAGACAATAAATGAAGAAAATCAAAGAGCAGAATTTTCCATTTGTTATTAATGGTTATATGATTCAAGAGAATAAATTCATTGGATAGGAGAGAAGGATAATTCATCATTATTTTATGATTGCATTTTAGAATGTTTTCTATAACTATTAACATCCTCTATAATTTATGTTAGAACTTCAGGATTATATTGTTTCTATATCTTAAAAATATGCTCAGATTTATCCAAAGCAATATTTAATTTTTATAGATAAAACAATGAAAGATTTATGAAAATGGAAGAAAAGAAGAACATCTTAAATACTGTTAAAGAATTAGAATCTCTTGTATAAGTGGAAGCTTATAAACTTTGGTTAAATGGAATTAACTATCATATCTCTATTATAAAAGCTGCTATTTAATTAATACCTGTTGATGGAAATCTCTAATTATTTTAATTATTTGTGAAAGGTTTGATTACATCTGCTGCAACTCTCACACCAAGTGATGATTTAATTAAATTTTTATGTAAAGCTGCAGAAGAAATTTATGATAAATATAAAGAGTATAAAAGTGAAAAGATATATTAACAATATTATAACTTTGAATGTTTAAAATGGTCAATGATTGCATATTTAAAAAATAATGATTAAGGAATAAATAGAGTAGTTAAATAACTTGAAAAATTATATGAAGAATAAATTAAAGATTCTAAAAGTTTTACTCTTCATTTTATATGGATATATTTCCTATCAGATTTATTAATTTTTCGACCAATAATACAAAAATAAGATTGGATCAAATATTAATCAAATTTGTAAAATCATCTCTAAACTTGGGAATAATTTCTTACTTAATACAATTTAAAACCTTTATCTTATAATGTTGATTCTATTAAATTAAATTTAGAATTTACACTTAATAAATAAGTAAAACCAATATTATAATAATTTGGTTTAAATAATTTTAAATCTCTTTCTTTATTATTAATAGAAAAGAATAAAACTTTTAAATTTAATGGATTAGATTACTATGTCAATTTTCATTTCTCAACTCATTAAAATAAACTATTCAATTCTATTGATCCTTTTATTTCAGAAATATATTAATTACTTTTACAAAATAAAGAAAATTAAAATTAAATTATTAGAATTGAATATCTAGAAACTTTAAATTCTTAATTAGAGGAAAACAATTTAAAATTAATAGAAATAATAAATACTATTTAATAATAAAATAATTCTATTGAAATTAATCAAGAATTATAGGATATCATACATAAAAATGAAGATTTGATATTTCAAACTATAACATACTTTTTGAAGTTAATTAATGTTTAATCTAAATTAAATGGATCATATCATCTTATTAAATTGTAATTAACTTCTTATAGCACACTTTCTAACCATTAATAAACTGAAAACTTAATTCCATTGAATACTTTTTTTTCTGATTTTGAATCCTCATTTACAAGTATTTGGATTAAATTAGCAAATTCAATATAATAAGATAAAATCTTTATTGATTCTTTAAATTAAAGAAATAATAGCATTTCTATATATGCATCAGACACTTTATCATAATGTCATATATACTGTAAAATGATTGAAGATTAAATAGAAAATTTTAAATGTTAAAATAAAAGATAAATAAAAGATCAAAATTTAATGTATTCAGAACTTATTAAAATTTAGATATAATTTGAATCACATACTATTCCTCTTTCTAAAATAAATTACAGGTAAATTAATTATGAAGATATATTTTCAATTATAAAATTAATAGAAAATATATAATGGTAATTTTTGATGAATTTAGAAGAAATTAAAAAGGAATTGTAATTAAATCTATCAACTTATAATTTTAAATAAAAAGAAATAGCAATGATACAATTTTCTATAAAACTTACAATATTTTGTAGATAAATTGAATTATTTAATAAATTATTAGATATGTTTAGATAAGAATATATAAGTATCAATAGATTAATATAAAAATAATCTGAAATTTTTATTATTTAATAAATAGAATCAAGAAGAGAGTTTATATTATTAGATAAATACAAATAAAATTTATCTGAATATTTGTAATTTATTATAAGTACTTTATAATAATAATCTAATATGATTGATGAAACAGAGAAATTTGAAAAGAGTAAAACTATTTTAATGTAACATTATCGTTTATAAAGTGAATTAAAATAACAATTATCAAAATTCAATGATAATTTTATTGGAGTTCATTCCTTATCTGAAAAAGCTAATCCATTGAAATCACTTTATTAAATAGTTAAGAATATTGATGTAATAGAATCATTAATTAATTTGGCAGATTAGAATGCATTTAATTCTGAAATTTAAGATGTTCTAATCTTATTATCAACTTTGTAATAAGATCTTGTTAAAATTGATTGTAATTAAATATAGGATTTACAATATAATGAAACTGATATTTAATACAAATAAATACTATCTATATTTAAAAGAGATATATAAATATTAGATGAAATCTTAGAGAAAAATAATATCAATAAAGAACTAATTCATAAATTAATAACAAAATGTTAAGATATTCAGACATTAATGAATAAATTTTAAGAACTTCAAAAGTATGTAAACAAAAAAGAAATTGATTAAATGAGTTGGTAATAGATAATATATAATTTTAAATAAGAATTAAATAATTTATATATTAGTGAAATAATTGAATTACTTAATAAAATTAAAACAAAATCTTTATTTGAATAATTAAATAATTTGAATTATGATATGGAATTATTAAATTCAATATTAAAATATTTGAATGAAGATTTATTTTAAGAAAGTATTGATAATAATTAATCATCTGAATAATTTATAAAAATATTAGTATAAAAATAAATAGAAGAAATCAAAGATTTTATTAATAATTATGAATATCAAATTAGAGAATGTTTGATATTTTAATTGCTTGAAATATAGAATTTATCTGAAGAATCATAAATCTAATCTTATGTAACAGAGCTTCTCTTATAAATATGGGGAATAGAAAAAGATCAAAGAGTAAGAGCACTTTTAAAAAATAAAGAAATGATATAGTTACAATAATAATTATTTTCAAAAAATTAAATTACAATAAATGAAAAATTAAGAAAAACATTTTAAAATAAATTAAAATAAATTAATGAATTAGAATAAGAGATTAGATAAGAATTTGATGAAGATAGTAGAAATTAAAAAATATCAACTATGCAATCTGAATATTAATAATTTTAAGAATTTCTTAGTAATATTAATGAAATGTAATAATTGTTAAATATTACATTATATTTTTTAGTAGATATTAAAAAAGATTTAAATTAGATAATGAATAAATTAGAAAATCTTTAGAATATTATTAATATAATTGGAAGAGATATTTCAATTCTTAAAGGAAAATCTTTTTAATAACTATTTGATTTAAGAAAGTAGACTGTTCTTTTAAATAAAAAGAGAATGGATTTAACAAAAATATTTGTTCCACTTTATGGTAGAGAGAAATCAAATGGTTTAGAATCTAAATTATTACCTATGTTTGATGATGATCATTATAATAAGATTTCAATAGTCAATAATTTTATATGGTATGATCATTAAGGATAAGAATACAAAGATTAATCAGATGTATTATTAATACATGGTTAAGCAGGATCTGGTAAAAGTACAATAGCTAGAAAAATAGAAGAATTTCTATGGGAAAAATAGTAATATCAAAATAATAAAGAAAAGAATCTTATACCTATTTTTGTTTAGTTATCAAGTTTAAAAGATCCTTTACATAGTGCTGTAGAAGAAACATTATAATCTGAATAATTATCATTTGATAAAATATAAATTAATTAATTAAAAGAAGAAGTATAAAAAGGTAAGATATCTCTTATTATAATAATGGATGGATATGATGAATTAAAAACTGAATATTCATAATAGAATTTATATATTTTAAATAGATTAAATGAAATATGGAAGAAACCTAAAGTAATCTATACTTCTAGAACTGAAATTTTGAATTCAAATCTATATCAAACATGGTTTTAAGGTAATGGAAAATTAAAAGAAGTTGAATTATAATCATTTTCATCTTTACAACAAAATTAATACTTTTAAAGTTTTGTTTTTCAATTAGTTAAATAAAAAATCTTAACATTTTATGAATATGCTATATAGATTGAGAAAAAAATCTTTAATTTTGAAGAATTTGAAAAAATATGGTTGCCCATAAATGAAATGATTATTTCAAAAAGTATAGAAGGAAAAAACTATATGAATTTATTTTTAAATAGGAATTAAATTAAATCAATTATTAATTCAATTACATAAAATTCTAAAATAGAAATTAGATAAGATCATCATGAAGAATTACTATAAAATTTGTAAAAAGAATTATCAGAAATCTGGAATGCTAATAGATATATAGAGATTATGGATGCTATTAATATAAGAAGTATTGTATAAATGCCATTTATGCTTGAAATTGTTGCTTAAATATTCCCTAAATTGACATCTGCAACTTCTGATATCAATTAAGTTAAAAGTAATTTCATTAAAAATTATGTAAATTTAAAATAATAATAAT